ACTGATGGGAGGGTTGTATCTTTTGGTGCTATTAAGCGGACTGGTGAGCCTTATCAACAGTATCGAGATCGCACATCGTTGAAAGCTTACAAAGACTACGATCATAACGATAAGGCTCGCCGAGAGAGCTACTACAAGAGGCATGGACCCCTTGACGAATCAAATCTATACACAGCCGATTGGTTCTCGAAAAAATATCTTTGGTAGAGTATATATATCATGGGTTGCGTACCAAGTAAAAGGCAGATCACAAAGGATTTGACAAATCCTGAAACTGGTCAAGTCATCGGCTCAATAACGATGCGCGATGGAGTAGTATCTACTGGTGATAATGCTTATATCCCCGTGCGCAATGTCCACAACGGCAAGAATGCTATCATGGTTATCGATATCGGTGATAAAAAAATTAGAGTCTACCGTGAGAAACAAACAGAAGTATCTCTATAGAGCAAGGTTTTCACGCTCTTCGACTTTTTTTTCGGCTGGTACGCCCATACCCGTCCACCTTCAGTTTGGGTAGCTGCTTCCACCTTCTTGATTGACTTATCGAGGTCAGTAGCCCATGCTGCTGCTTGGGTCTGTTGAGGTCGGTCATGGATGATTAGATTCTTCATGATGGACTTGAGCTCAGCAATGTTGAGATCGCTGTTGTCTCCATAGCTGCCGCCTGAACTGGCGATGATGCGGGGGTTGAAAAAGAACATAGCTATATTAGTCCGAAAATAAAAATGGCCCAAGCGATAATTAGAGTAGTAGGAAATTTCATAGTTTATAGTAATCGAGTGATAATTTCCTTGAACTCCTTATCATCAATCAGACGATTGCTGTACATATCCACCGTGAGAGACTTCAGCTGTTTGATGATGCTAGGATTATCGTTTCCTAGCTCTAATTCACCTTTCAGCTTGTCATACTCGGCGCGGAGCGTCGAAAGTGGATCCTCGAGCTTGTCGTGGAAGTTGTACTGGAGGTGAGTGATTGCTAGGATTTCCTTGAAAAGCTTCTTATCATCGATCGATAGCTTATCGTATGAGGCTTGATCAATTTGCTGCTTATAGACTAAGGTTCGGATCATTCCTTGGAGACTCTCACTGATTTGACATTTTGGACCACATTTTCGGCGATTCGGCTGTACAATGACCAGTGTTTTTGCATCAAGATCGGGAATTCTGATGTATTTGCTCCCAAACTGCTTATAGGTATAGGCACTAGGTGTAGCTAATCCCTGGATCTCGTTGAGATTATAGGTACGACCTCGGCGAACCACACCTTCCAATGGAGCAACTCCTGCACCACGCAATCCTCGCCCCTTAAGCCCGCTACCTTGAGCTAAATGACGAAAGTGAGCACGGACATTAGCTCGGTCCACCCTTGCTCGAGCCGAATCGGGCATTGGATGATCATTGTACCTAATTTCATTGAGTTCTTGTGCTCTGGTTATATAATCACGTTTCTTAACCGTATACGCTGCCTTAGTAGCTTTTACAGCTGCTTTTGAAGCTCTTACAGCGTCCTTATCGGCTTCTGAATTTGAGTTCATTAAATCATGTAGATTCTTTTCCAGCTGACTGTAGGCTTCTCCGTATGCGCGATAGGCTTCTTCAGCCTCATCGTGTAGCTTTTGTAGCTGCTCGTCCTCATAGCCATCGTAACCTAGTGGGCTTTTAATGTCAGAAACGTTGCTGAAGATAGCTTCACGGAGTAGTTTGAGGTTATCATCAAGAATTTTCTCTAAATTCTTATCATCATTCTCATCAACGTACTTACCATAATCTTCAAGCTTGGTTAGTAAGAATTGAAATGTATCCATCCATCTGATAGTTTTCATTAGGTAAGCCATAGCATCACCCTTCACTGGTTTGTGCTGTGCATTCTTGAAGTTCAGTGGTTTAGTATCTGTCGGCATGCCAAGATAGTAAGTAGGATGGGTTTTAATACCCTTATCGGAATCAACAATCGGATACAACCTTGTGGCAATCGATACTCCATTATTAGCAAGTTTCTTATAGTACTGGGTGAGGATGGTTTTAGCTTCGAGATCTGGGATAGACATTAATTTATCCATATCTTCATCTTTTCCGGTTTTAAGTCCTGGAAGTTCTTCAAAGTCCCCATCAAACGCATCGTATGCTTTGGCAAGTTTCTCCTTATCCATTTGAGTGTTTAGCGATAGCACCAATCCCTTATCCTTAACCATTGCTACGAATCGCTCGAGTGTGGCTATCCAATTGACTTCCTTCTGTACAGCAGGGCGATGCTTATTAGTGTCGGTTCCAAATACATAGATTCGGAAATTGGCGTCAAGCCATAGATACCCCTCTTTATAAATTTTCCCGTCCTTGAGGATAGGATTGATTTGCTTATGAAGATGATTGGCTTCTAGCAAAGCACTATTTTGAATAATCAACCATGTAAGATTGTACTTGGCGTCGTCATCATCTAGCTTTGTAGAAGTAGATTTGTCCTTGTACTTTAAATCTAGTCTTGGCTCCTTAAGTGGAGTATCTAAGTCCTCAATATCATCATCACCTCTCCGCTTTCTATCTGATCGAGGTGGTTTGTCTTCCCTACGCATCGCATCAACTTCATCGATCGAGTTGCTTTCCCCATCGTAGAAAATATCGCGAATCTTTCCTTCAGTGGCAATCCAATCGATCAAGTCATATCTCTTGTATTTACGACCGCTACGCACTGAGCGGAGAGAACCCTTTTCACTAATTACTAGGTTTTGATCATCTCTACCAGTTTTCTTTTTCACTGGGTGAATACCAAGCGCCACCCAGTTAGGATTGTCCGTAAAGAACTTTTTAATCCATTCACGTGCATGAACTTGCTCCTCAATATCTCGAATAGAGGTTTCTGCTTTTTCTCATTGAATATGTCAGTGTTTACACCAGTATCTGTCATTCTTGCACTATTATCAATTCCAACATCATTCATATCAGGTCTCACGTGGACCCAACCATCACTGGTTTGAGGCTTTGCTGTGGTCGAAGCATCACTTGTTTGAGGCTTAACAGTAGCTTCTGCATCGCTTGTTGTAGGTACTGCGCTAACACCAGCATCTACCATTAACGGATGAACATTTGGCATGGCTTCAGTTTTAGTTGATGTTGAGGACTCAGGGTTTTTCTGGGAGTTTTCAATTTTCAGCTTTTTTTTTAAGATTTCCGCGAGCGGAATTTTTAATTCATCAGGCGTTTCTTCGTCAGGTCCGACAGAAATATCAGTCTGTGTGGATTCAGCTGTTTTCTTAGTAACGGTGGTGATGCCCTTGATGATGTCACTAGCCCATGATGCGCCTTCGTACATCTGACGCTTGGAATTGGCTTGTCGAACCCGTCGTTGAGCTCTTTCGAGCAACTCTAGTCGCTTCTGCTCTCTTTGAGCAAGTGATGTAAAATTTGGAAACATATCGATCCTATATAGATGTTAGGCATAAAAAAATGAGTATTCGAATTACCAATAGCTCGGCATAACTGAGTCATGGCGGAAAGGTAGATACGAATGACAAATACGATTTCGTTCGTTTAATAGATTTAAATATCGGTCTTTAATACAATGGAATGGAACGCCAAAGATTTCCTCCAATTCGTGTCTGTATTTATGATTGACCACTGTCTTACGAAAATTCGCGCTTGCATCAAGATTCAGCAACTCATTTTTGATTCGACTTACCTCCTGAATGATCCACAGCTTTCGTCGGAGCTGTACAAGCTCACGTTGGTTCTCTACGCAGTTGGAACACATTCTTTTATCTATATGAAGTCATATATTTATGCAATCGTTTTCAAAAAAAAAATTGATAGATATAGATGAGTCAAAGCTTACAGAGGATTGCTCTATTAAACTTATTTTGAAGCTAGTTCGACTCATTTTTTATCGACTTCCAGTACTCATTCTCTAAGGTTGATCTCTTGCTCTTATTGACTAATCTAAGATTATCTTGTGGCTCCCAGGAGTCAAGTTCATTACCGAGCCATTTTATCAGATATTTGTACTTCCCAGTCCGTGTCTTCTTATGATCCAAGATCTTTTCCGCCTCAAGAATATCACCTCGATTAATAGTAGCATCTGTAGTCTCTGTTTTGACCAGTTTAAGATCGTTTGGAGCCTTGTAGAGGGTATGACCATTCTTTGAGCGGATTTGGACTCGGTAGCCATCAATTCCAACTATCATATAGACTGCATTGCTCCACCGAGCCGATTCCTTACCAAATGCATGCTTCTTGAGACGGTATAATACGCTTGATCCGACCTCAAACTCCTTCTCAATTCTATCGGCTTCTGCTTGATTATGACTCAGATCCGCATCCATTACTTTACCTTTGGCATCACTCGGGGCCATACCAATCGAACGATGAAACGTGCTATTGTAGTTTTCGATCACATCACCAATAAGCTTTTGCGTAATTCTATTGGGGGACATTTTAGTTAGTCTCTGCTTCAACGTTCTGTTAAATCGCTCGATTTTTCCCATAGTACCGTGATCACCTGGATCGTTGTTGCAGTGTTCAATTTTTTTGGATTTGAAGTATGCTTGAGCCTGCGAGTTCATGAACTCGCTACCGTTATCGCTTGTAATGATATCCACTTTATGGAGTCGAACAAACGCTTTAAGCGCTGCTAACACAGTTGCTGCTGTCTTGTTCGATAAGACCTTGGCAAAGCCCAACCTCGAGTTGATATTGATAGCAGTCAAAATTGGTCGCTTCTCCCAAAACGCGAGGTCAATTTGCCAAGAGTTAGGGTTATGCGAAGCTATTTTGAACCCATCGTATCGCTTTTTCTGCTCCTGAAATCGCTGAATATCGCTCTGGTTTGAGAACCATTCCTTGACGATTTTCATTGTTATCTTCGGCTTTAGTTCTTTCGCCTTCTGGTACAAGGCTTGTGCCCCCACATAGCCCGTTTTGGGGTTATAGTATAATTTGGACAACAGCTGATCCATCGCTCTATATGGTTATAAAACAAAAAAAAATCCCCTGCCGGGTAGTTGCTTATATGTCGAGCGGCTCGGTGGTGATACCATCCGCAAGTACACGACGCTTGTCATAGTAGAAATTTAGAGCTGTTTTAGTCTGGCTGTACGTAATTATTGACTTACTCTCCTTACTGAGTCTAAACCCCTTGTTGGTACCCTGTAGCGTGATGCGATCGCCAACAACTGATTCAAAGCCATCTGGGTTGAGGACGTCGCCATTGCGTCCAGCACTCTGCTGGACTCCCTTCGCTGAAACCTTGACCTTGTAAGATTCATCTGGTAGGTAGCAAATGTAGTTCTTAGAGGACAATGATACCATAGCATCACCAGACCACTCTTCCTTAAATAAACCAGGGGTTCGACGGTCAAACTTGGCTACAGTCTCATTATAGTCGCGCGGGAACCACTCATACTTGTGCTGCTGAAAATGCTCACGAAGCTCAGGCTTGATGCACTCCTCAAGTGGCTTTTCACAGCTGAAAGCGATGTAGCCAGAGTCGGTGTCCATCTCCTGATACTGAAAATTTGAGCGGTCGAAGTAGAAGTCAATACAATCGTAGTAGAACTCAAGCATGCGGAGCTTAGCGAGCTGATAGATTGCAATCGAGAGATGAATTGGGTTCTTGTTGTTGAGCTTTCTCTTCTTTATTGTGAATTCACATGAATCATTCAACTCTTCCATTCCATGGAAGGTGAAGTGCTCAATCTTTGATTTAATTGCCTTCTCATCCGACTCATACTTGACCTCCTTATGCTTGCTCATGTCCATGCCACTGCGACCGAACGCTGAATTACCTACTAGTTTCATCATCTCAGCAATCATGGCCTTAGACTTATCGGCATCACCTTCCCGTCGCGCGTTCGATACGGCTTCCATGAATGGAGCAAACGCCTTGTGAGAGCTAGCCCTGATGAAGCTGTAAGTCTTGGTGATCTCCATGCCATGAGAAATGTACCATTTGAGTAGCGGTGCATAAATGAGGATCTTCTCACCAAAGTAGCTCCCGATGAGTTTGCGAGCCGGCTTTGCTCGGCTTTGCTTGCACCCCTCGTTGTACTCGAACATGTGCTGACCGATGACACTCCGATCGCTGCAGTCGATAAGGGTGTTCTTGAAAATTGGGGTCATTTCACTGAAATAGGGTTTGAGATGCTCTGGTGTACGGATATCACACTCTAGGAAGCCAAAGATCTTGCCATTTACAATATCATCGACGATCCCTGTGTATGCCTCGATGGTGGTCAACCGTCCACATGGCATCTCGTTACCAAGAGCCCACAAATACAGAGCATTAGCATCGTAGCCGATGATTTTTTTGCAGATCTTACCCCCTCGAATCTTGGTCTCGTTGCGTTTCGCGTATCTGTTGAAAATGATAGAAGGGCCACCAGCAATGTTCGCCTTCATCTTGGTGTAGATGTCCTTCTCCTCTCTATCGATACTGTACACCAACCTGTCTGAGTTGAATTCAAGTAGCTTCTTGTGGCGGAAGCCCTTGAGCGACATGTTCTTGCGAGCAACGCTGCATCCCACACAGCTGATCAAGATATTGCCATCAATGTGTCCGAGCTTGTTGTTGATTCGGTCAGCCGGGGCAGTATCAGCTGTGAGTTGCTTATAGCATAGACCACACAGGTACTTTTGACGCTCTAGCAGCTCATCCAGGTGTTGTATGGTCATACCGAACTCGCGGTCAGCCTCTCATCTTGCTCGATGTAGCCTAGGTAGCGCTGCTCAGGGAAGTCGAATGCCTTAGCTGGGACTCTAGGTTGCTTAACAAGTTTGGAGAAGCACGTCTGATACATGACTTTCTCAGAGAGACCAGGTAGCGACACACCATCAGCGAACATATCAAGTCCGAAACGTTTGAATAGTTCTCGCTGGGCTTTGATGGCCTTGATGAAGGGGACTACATCGAGGTTGTTGTACCAAATTAGTAGATCCTTGATTGACTTCATGCCATAGTGCCCCCATACGAACTGTACCCGCGCAAAGTCCTCATCACTGATGCTAGTGCTACGGAGAGTGCTGTCGAATGCTGACTTAGGAGGGACTTCCGACTGACTGAGTACGTCAAATGACGTAATGTACTCGTACGGGAAGATACCTTTTCCTAGGCCACAGACGCATCGAATCTTGTCATCACACTTGCACTCACCGAGATATGTCGACAAGTACTTCGCATAGCTGGTGCCTGCCGGAACATAGTTGCTAATGTCAAGCATCTTCATGTCTGACGTGGCGATGCACATGTAGCTAGGGTTCTTGATGACTGATGTGATGTTGTCAGTACCGATGACTGCAAACAGGTCCGCCTTGATAAGATTGATGTCGTATCGTCCAGAGTTGAATCCGAGTACTGGTACCTGATCAATGCACTGCTTCAGGTTTCCATAGTCAGAGCGCTTCTTACCGAATGTGAGCTTGCTGTGGAGATCGAAGAAACTAGCAAAATCTCCGTTCTGAATCCAAGCATTGACATCTTCCATCTTGTACGTCTTACCCAAGTCTAGGCCAGGAACCTCAGCGTCAGTCAAACCATGGACGTTGATGATCTTGTGTAGCAAAGTCTCATACTTCGAGACGTTGTACCGCTGAATCTTAGCCGCAACTTCCTCGATGTACTGGAACATATCCTTGAGCAACTCCTTTGGATCATCGCTGACAAAGCATCGCACCTCCTCAGTCAAGCTGTTGGCTACGGAAACAGACACAGCGATGTGTTCGTTTGTGAAGATAGTATTCTCTCCGTGTTTGACACCCGTAGGCTTGAGGATAGCCTCAAAATCATATACAATGAAGTGATCGATGTAATGGTCAGCATCCTCGATGGAGTACTTAGTCAGTATGGAACGAATGCTATTCGGAGCGGGTTGGTAGATGGTTGGCTGAGCTGGGAACGATTCGATGTTCACGAGTTCACACTGGTTCTTGGTGTGGTTGCGTAGCTTGTCAGAGCTGACAAACACCATCTCACACTTAGAGCATTGGTACTTCTGCTGGAGCATATCAATGTTCGTGATGTAGAGAGCGTGATTCTCGTGCGACAGGATGTTGATCGAATCATAGTCCTTGTCCGAGCGGCGAATGCATTCAACCTTGTGGTGAAGACGTTGATGTTCAGCTTGAAGCACTCCTCAAGCTCATCGAATTGGAGAATATCGATAGGCTTGAAATTGCGGAACAGACCCAGAGTGTAGGTGATCTCCTTGTACGAACAGTACTGCTTGAAGGCTTGTTTCACCAGAGCCTGGATTCTGCGTGGATCCTTCTTCGCCCCCTCCTGCTTGTGATAAGCAATGCAGTGGAAGACACACTTGTTATTCGTCTTGGGGAAGTTGATGACGTGCTTGTTATCGCGGATCACCTTAGGAATGACAGCCTCACTATCGCCCAGCGCATGGTCGCGCTGGTAGATATAGATTTTGAAGCCAGTAATATCCTTCACCATGTACCCGGATCTGGGGTAGTTGAGCTTGTCAGCCAACTCCATGGAGCGAATCTCCGAGATCACCTTCTTACGAATATCAGCCTTGCTGTTGATAGCCACAGGAGTGCTAAATACAGATGTGTTGCTAATATTCGGGTGGAAGTAGCGAGTCTCGCTGTCATCGGTTCTGCTGACAAGCTTGTATCCAAGAGCGATGTTGACCTTGAAGGCAGACTTCTGGGATGCAAGCACGTTCTCAAGCTTGTCGTAGAAGTCAGCAGGCTGGATTCCCTCATATAGGTGCGACTCCATGTGTTTGCCTTGGTAGAAGCGGTACTTACTGTCTTCCTTGAAATCAGCAGCCAAATTCTTTTGGAGCTTGCCTAGACTGATCTTGTACTGCTTCGCTACCAATTTTTGGTTGATGGGGTGGGAAATGTTGCTAATGTATACCATGCGCCCCGTCTTGCCACGTACCTTAATACGGTAGCTGCTACCCCATCGGATTGGGTTAATATTTAATCTCTTAAGACCTTCAAGCTCGTATGCGAACATTGCTATATATCGGTGGCTATATTATTCTCCGAAAAAACGACTTTATAATATTGGGTCTTGTATCAGGATTGACTTTATATCATAGGCGACATTTTATCCGAGGAAAAAAAATTAATTAATTAAGTTCGGTTTCATTATTAAGTTCGACTTCACCATCAATAAGTTCGGTTTTGGGTTTACGCTTGCGAGCTCGAATCTGGTCTCTGTTCTTGTCATCGTAGTCTTTTTGATAAGATAAACGGGCTTCGCGTGTGCGCTGGTAGTAGCGCTTCTGCGCTGCTTTGATTCGTTCCTTGCTAGCTTGGTATTGCTCAGGAGAGTACGCCATCTTTGTATATTACTAACTTTATATTTATCAGGATCAAAGTATGTCAAGAAATCAAATACTACTTCGAAGTATTTAACTCGGGAGCCACATTATTCCATTCAATCGACCGCAGGAGTCATATCCCAAAAGCTTCTCCAACGCTCCGCATTATCGTCGTGCTTCCACCTCATGCACAAACAAAATGTTTCTGGATCCTCCACGTGAACAAACGTCTTCATCATGAGCGGATCGTCCGTCCTGGTTGATCCTCCTTTCAAACGACTGAAAACGCGATCTGTGCACTGAGCATCCAGAACCTTCACGAAGACCTCGACCTACACGCAAATGTCAGTAAACTTACACACACCAGAACTACGCGCTCACACAGTACCTTGCGTCTGTTGCCAATGGATTGATTCTCTTCAACAGATCCGGGTAGCATGTTGACGATGGGAACCTCAATGCTCATACCGTCGAACCAACCATGCATTTCGCGAGAAAGCGCAAGCCTGTTGTTTGAGTCGCGATCGTACTTGGCGAATTCCCGTTTGTGGTCTCTGCTTTGCTTTCTCGACACCAAACGGCAGCTTTCTGCCTTGCCGTACGGTAGGAAGAACTTCGCGTCCTCAATCCGCTGAAAACGAAACTCGTCAGTCGATGAGTCCAGATTCGAAACGCTTGTAGTCAACGATATCGATGAAACTGTGTTTTGAGGAGATTCCGAATCGTCTGGAACGTAGTCGCAGTAGAAGACGCGCTGGAGATCAGTAGACACAGCGTTAGCTGGTGCAACACGCGTCTCAACAACCTGGTTAGTTAACGGAGAGCCCAGCGTTTGTGGCCCAGTCCTTAAGTCAGTTTCGAACAGCAAAGCAGCATCTTCTATAAAAGAAACAGAGTTAGCCCTCAATGAAGCAGTATTACGATGCAGCGACAGCATATAGAAGCACGTACTTGTCTCGAATAAAACATGAAAACACAATTTCTTGTCTTCATACCAAAACGCGACATTCTTGTTGCCGATGCAGCGCGTAGGATCGTAGTATCCAATGCGTAACGTCGCCATCCAGTACAGTTTGCAGCGAATCCCTTTCGTGTTCAGCGCGTTGTCAACGGATCCAGTGACAAGCCACAATCCAGTTTGTGCGTGTTCTTGCTCCGGAACCACCACCAGCACGTGAATCGTCTTCTTCGTTGGAGCACCTTCAAACACGTCGCCAATCTCATCTGCTGGGTCCATTTCCACGTTCAGCAGTGTCTTCACTTGTTCAGGAATGCCTCCACTTCGCATAGAAATCACATCAGGGTCCTTCGATGAGAGCCACGCGCCGCCCTCCGTCTTCGCCAGGAAGAGCTGCAGGTCCTTGGCGTCGCACGTGATAGTCGCCGGGTTCTTCGCCTTGGTCGCGTCCTTCAAGTGGCCCACCAACTTGTTCTCGTCAATGTCCACAGGGAATGCGCTGCCCGCGGCACCGACGACAGCACAGATAAGCGTCACCATCTTTCCTCAAGCCGGCAGATTCTGGAATGAGGAGGGAGAATTTTTGGCGTACTTAAGCGGACATGAAGGTGTGTGACATAGATTTTCAACCAATGATGAGACGCCACGTCGCGCTGGTCCAAGCTAATCCTTGAGGTGAAAATCTGCCGGCGTAATGTTCTATTGCTTTTTTATTAATGTAGTTAGAACGTTGTCGGTCGAGCGGTCCCGAAATGCCCTAAGAAACAAAAGACGTGGCTCTCGCTATAAGGTGGTCGAGAGGTTGCGTCGTCAAAATAGCAGCTGCTAGATCTCAGTACTTGAGCGGTTCTAAGACTACCCTAAGATCCAAAAGACGTGGCTTTCACTCTCAGGTGGTCGAGAGGTCGTACCCGTAAAACGAACGTCTACCCCAAAGATCGTTCTAGCACCGTTCTCGGTTGTAAATTACGGTAAGAAATTATGAAAATAAAAAACTGCCGGCGTAATGTGCCAGTACCTACTACTGACGTATTGGAGGGCCGCGTTCGGCGACGCATTCGGTCAGGAAGCTGTCGAGTAGAAATAATCCCGTTGAGTAGCAAACGTGTGTTACGCTCATCAAGGGTTTTTCTGGTCTCCCTCAAGAGTTTCTGCAATACATCAACTTGACTCACACTGAAAGCAGGACCCTCCCATTTTCCCGTGATAACACCGACTGGAATTAGCTCGCCAGTATCTCCAACGTAGCGATACAGCATGGCGCCAGAGTCACCGTTCGCAGCCTCCACGTGGTGGTGCAGTTTACCTTCAATCTCCACCGACAAACCCGTGAACCCAACGTCACGTTGAAAAATTTCTCCATCATCACATCGAAAAGCGCTGCTGAAAAAAATTGTGCCGTGTGACCAGTCCCCAACGACCACATTATTGATGTCGGGCATAATTGTGCGGTCAGGTAGTGGTTGTCCCTCGGCCAGCTCAATCGCAACGTCGTTTTGGCCATTCTGGCCATCGAAAAACTCGAATTGGGTGTCAGGGCTGATCCAGTTCCACGCAGCATTGGCAGGCATCGTGATTTCAATGTCGTACTCCTCTTTCAGGCGTTGCCGCGATTCTTGTAGCTCGTAGATAGCCTCCTGTTCTGAGTCAGAAGTCTCCCACTCGAGAGTGTGCTTTGATGTCAGCAGCAGCAGAGTGTAACGCTGGGTATTTCCCGCATGACAAGAATGCAAGTAGACGGCAACAGCGCATACTTGGCCCAAGATCACGCCAGCGTCGCGTGGATACAGATAACGATGGAAAAATACGCTCCACCAAAAAATACGCCATGCGACAAGTCCCGACTTCTGATCCGATACAAAACAATGTTTGTATTTTAGCCAATCAGACGAACACGAGCTCGTATGTTTTACCAACCATTATTGCCGTTTGCAGATATTTTGGCCAACGCATGCTTATTATCTCGTTAATAATCTCGATTTTAATCCAGCCAGCTCTTAATTAAGACCTAGGTCTGATTTATATATCTCGCCAGTACGGTCTAAGATCCGAGCTTGGGGCTCTGTTTTCTCGACCAAGGCGCTTTTCTACGACTTGGAAACGCAGAAATGCCATTCTAGACGGGCCAAACCGAGTTTCTGGGCCTAAAAGCGGCCCCCAGCAAAGCATAAAGCTAAATCAGCCCTCGCCTATCTCGTGTCTACTCATATTAAGAGACAGGCGTGGTCTATTTTAGAGGGTTATTTTTTGTTCGTCATCTACCTGGAAGCTCGCATCCAACCTCGGAGTGAATCGGACCCTACTCGACCAAATGATCGTCTATGCTGATGATGCAGACTTTGTCTGCCGCGATACCGAGCTGGTCCAGCGCATCCAAGCCGAAGCACCAGCAGTGTTCGCACGCTGGTCCCTCCAGATGAATGCAACTAAGACAGAACTAACCATGATTCAGCGATGTACAGGCTCATCGGGCTACTCCCGACACGCTCGGGCGACAGAAGAGGCGTGGCGCTCCACACAGAAGCTTGGCAGTTTACTCAGCGACTCAGAAGATCTGACACGACGCAAAATACTCGCAGCAGGCACGCTACGTCGGCTCTGGACAATATGGATCCGGCCCCAGTACGTCAGTGACGCCACCAGAGTCCGGCTGTATAACTGCTATGTGCTTCCTGTTCTGCTGTACAACAGCGGAACGTGGGCACTGACGCCGTCCGAGCTGAGCGGACTCGAAAGCTTCCACCGCCGACAACTACGTAGCGTACTAAACTTTTGCTACCCTCAGCGAATCTCTAACGCCACGCTCTACGAAATCTGTCAGGGACGCCCGCTCCGCCACAGAATCACAGCAGCACGATGGCGTCTGTTCGGCCACATCCTGCGCCGGCCCGAGATCCCAGCGTACACCCAGATGGCCGCCTACTTCGACTCGTCGTCCAAGGGAACCTGACGTGGACGCCCACGCACGACACTACCGACTGTGCTCGATGCGGACCTTATCTCGAGCGGATACGCCTATCGCCTCGAGACCCGCCGTGACCTGGACCAACTTCGGCTGCTTGCACAAGAGAAACCTAAATGGAAAGCCCTTGAGAGGGCAATTGTCGCCGCACTGCTGGCGAAGAAGGACCCGACGTATGCGGACACCACCTTATGCCGTCGACTTGCAAAGCTGAGCCTAGCGACAGCATAGTGTGGCAACGCGAAAACGTAATACATTACATTACATTATTTTAGAGCGCAAAGTATTTGCAAGCGGCAATACTACAAAAAATTACTGGCACGGAGAGCACCGCGAAGCATGGCGTGACAAAAAGCATGGCGTGACAAAAAATTACTGGCACGGAGAGCACCGCGAAGCATGGCATGGAAAGTGTTCGCTGTGGTGGACCCGTTGCCAGCGAACACCACGTCCACTTGCCAGCCCTCGACGTAAACGTGATGGGCCCGCTGAAGTCGGCCCTGCGCAGTACATGGGCTTACCGCAAAAGCCCCAAAACGGCAAAAGAAAAGCGCCTTGATATTATTGAGCGCACTATCATAGCCTGGAACAGCCTTGATGGACATTGTAGTTGAGAGTTTTGAAAAGGCGCTTCCTCAGCACTTTGAAGCTCTGGAATTCTTGTAGCCACAACAAAACACTCCAACTTTTCTTTGTCACGACCGTAACTTCCTTGTCGTCTTTTTCTACATTATTGACCTTTCTCTAGGATTAAGACCTCACTTTTGACCAATCAGCTCAACTGGCGTATTTTTTGGTAGCTACCTATTTACTATGGAGGATACGTAGTGGTCAGTGCTGGCGTATTTTTCCGTGGTCATCTGTATATCCAGCCGCTCGACGAGCATCCTCCCAAGAGTACAGCGCTGGTTGGACAGGGACATTTGGGAACGGCTCACCAAAGCCTTCAAGCCTCCTCGGTGACATATTGGGTGGTAGCCCTGGGTGGCGCATTCGTTCAGGAGGCCGACGCTGTCGGGCACTTGATGTAGGCGGAAGTCTCATGCGGGGTCTTGCAGCTCTGCAGGAAGTTTCTGTGAATCGTCACGAGAAGCTTCGTTTAAGTCCGAATACATAAGTAAGTTGCTGGGCAACCAAGTCGCATAGTCAGTTCAAGTGGTGCGTCACTTCGCGATTGTGTCCGCCGCCGTCATGTCGGACACGACGCCGTCCGTGGCGCGTATGCGCGCCATCCTGCGCCAGCTCTCGGTGGGCGGGCGCCCCAGCTGCTCCTCCTCCTCGTGCTCTGCCTCCTCCGCACTTCCCGCGTCTCCACCGCTGGCGCTGAGCCCCGCCACGCGCTGGAACGGCTGGGGCTTCCAGGACACGAAGCTCTTCGTGAACGCCGACAAGGTCATCGAGATCTCGGGCGCGCGCTACGCCGAGGTGTTCGCCAGCGCGCCGGACCGCACACTGCCAGCGCTGCTGCCCTGGGCCGAGAAGCGCCTGGGCCTGGACGCGGACCGCGGCAGTCCCCCGAGCGTCACGTGCGCCGAGGAGCTGACGCTGCGCAACCAGCTGCCGGAGGGCGGCGAGACGCAGCGGAAGCTGCTGCAGCTGCTGCACGTGGCGAGCGAGGAGCTGGGGCTCAAGATCAGCACTGAGGTGGAGGAGCGCGTGCGCCACGGCCATGGCCAGACGTGCGAGGACGTCTTCCGGCTGCGGCATGTGAAGACAGTGGAGAGGGTCCCGGACGCGGTGGTGTGGCCGACGTCCCACGAAAAGGTGGAGGCGCTGGTGAAGGAAGTCACGAGCAACTTTGCAGAGTTTGTGTGCATTATTCCCTTTGGGGGAGGCACCAACGTGACCAATGCGCTGGAGTGCGACCCCAATGAGCGCCGCGCCATTGTGTCGATGGATATGGGCGAGATGCGCCGCATTCTGAGCGTGGATAGGGAGAATATGCTCGCTGTTGTGGAGGCGGGTATTACAGGGCTGGACCTGCACGAACGCCTGCGTCACCGTGGACTCACGCTCGGTCATGAACCGGATTCGTGGGAGTTCTCGACCCTCGGAGGGTGGGTTGCCACGCGCGGGTCAGGGATGAAGAAGAACACGTACGGCAACATTGAGGACTTGGTGGTGAACATCACGACGGTGACGCCGCAGGGCACGATGCAGCGCGCGGCGAACGTGCCTCGTGCTGCCATGGGCCCGGACATGAACAACGCAATGATGGGCTCGGAGGGCATCTTCGGAGTCCATACGTTGGTGACGCTGCGGCTCCGTGAATACCCCGAGGTGCAAGTGTACGACTCGCTCATTTTCCCGAGTCTAGAGCATGGACTAGCGACACTGAAGGAGATTACAAGAGAGGGGTGCGAGCCAGCGTCTCTCCGTCTGCTGGATAACACGCAGTTCCAGCTCGGCCAGGCGCTGAAGACGTCATCCTCGACCAACAAGTTCACCGCTGGCGTCCTCGACTTTGCGAAGAAGACGTACGTGACTAAGATTCGCGGGTTTGATGTGAATGAAATGTGCGCGGCGACAGTTCTGCTGGAGGGATCCAGTCAACAGAAGGTGGCGGAGCAGCAGAAGCGTATTCAGGCCATTGCTAAGCGCCATGAAGGCGTGGTGGGCGGCGAAGAGAACGGCAAGCGCGGCTACTTTTTCACGTACATCATCGCGTATCTGCGCGACTTCGCGCTGGACTACTACTTCATGAGCGAGTCCTTCGAGACGTCGGTTCCCTGGACCAACGCGCGCCAGCTCATTACCGACATCAAGCTGGCCATCAACTCGGTCGCCGCCAAGCGTAATGTGAAGGTCCCGCCGCTCATTGCATGCCGCATTTCTCAAGTCTACGAAACGGGTGTGTGCGTGTACGTGTACTACGGCATCAACTACTTCGGCATCAAGGAGCCGTTGACGCTCTTCCGTGAAACGGAGCTGGCTGCCGTAGATGCCATTGTGCGCAACGGTGGCGCCTTATCGCACCACCATGGTGTTGGCAAGCACCGTATTGGTTGGCTTCCCCAAGCAGTCTCACCTCCGGCCATCGCAGCCATTCAGGGGATCAAGACCGCGCTGGACCCGACCAATGTTTTCGCACTGACGAATCTGCAGCCATCGAAGAAACACCTCGAGAGTAAGCACAAGGCCTAGATGTTCTCTTGTGCGGTGATATCCACATAGATCGAGACGTGTGCCTACCATGAATGATGTATAAAGAGAAAATGGACAAACAACCTCCACCTGTGCGTTTTTCAATCCGAAGGGCACTATTGAAACGACGCTCACTCAGTGGAGCGTCAGGCCTCAACGATGCAGTCGGCAGCGAGGAAGCAGTTCACGCTGAATGCGCCACCCCAGCTTTCAACCTTCTCCGACGACTACGAAGACGATGACGACGACGATGAGTACGAAGGAGTTGACGGTGGCGCGCTGGATCAGTACGAGGAGGGCGGAGATCCTGGCGATGACAACTCCCTACTGGCGGAACAACTTGGCGCCTTCTTGGGGACTCGGTCGCCCACCACACCTCAGTCTGCGGATCTTGAGAATGAAAAGCTGCTGGATCTGCTCCAGAAGAGGTTGTTCGTTGCTGCTGGTGATCGTGAAGCACAGGAAGAAGAAGAAGGCGGGATCGTTGAATCCCCACGAGTTGAAACCGCGTCACCACAGTCACCACGGCGCAGATCATCTATAACATCTTCACTGGAAGATTTCCTAGCTGAACGAGCATCCAAACAGAAGTCGTTGAAGCAAAAGATGGGTCAAGATGCTCAGCGAGCGCTCCTCGATACATTCTCGCAGGAACCGAGCAAAGCCCCACCGCTGTCACCCCAGCGCGTCGCTCAAATGACTAACCGGTTCCGCATCTTCGAGGAGAAGAAGGTTCGCCGACTCACCGCCAAGAGACGAGAGACGGAGACGCAGGAGAACAACGAGTTCCGCTTCGCGCCTACGATGAACAGCAAGAGCCGACAACTTACCAGTCAATTCCCCACTTTTGCAGAGCGACAGGCAACTCTATTAGCCAAGAAGCGGCAGCAGCGAGCGCGACTGGAGAAGCAGCGCGAGGAGTTGCTGACCCGCGACAGAGCACTCGACCTCCAGGAAAGCGTGAAAACTCCCTGCATTTGCAGCCATGGCAACACAAGTCGATCGGACAATTGCGTCATGGGAGTTGAGCGGGAACCCAGTCCATCAAAGGCTGCAAGCGAAGCTCCGGCGTCTCCTGTTGATGGTATCCGTCACACTCAAGCCTGCATGCGCTTCATGGCAATGTGTAGCAAGATGAACGCGTCCTTCGCCATCCAACGTAAGAAGGAGATGATGAAGCGCTCTCTCGACGACATCATCGCCTATCAGGAGGACAAAAAGCAGCGGCAGCAGGCTCGAGCAGCGATCGAAAAGGCCAAGGAGGAGAAGGAAACGACGTTCACGCCACAGATCAATGCCAAGTCTGAGAAGGTAAGACGTGGGTTTGATTAACTTGGTGAAGCTGTGAAATTCATTAACGATGATTGCTCTCTTGTTCAAAGATCTACGCCGCACTCATCCGAAGCGGGAAGCTGGACACAGAGCTAGCAGGACGGATGTTCAAGCCTCGGAAGGCCCCTCCTCTGCCTCCAAAGCTGACCTTCCAGCCAACGATCAGCAAGAAGTCCAAGTGGTTGCTGAAGAAAAAGCAGCGCGAGCTGATGGCCAGTGCTGACAGCGATACGCTGGAGGGCAAGAGCGACACCACTCGACCGACTTCTCCGCTCCACCTCGACGTGTTCTCCAGACTGCAGCAGCTCTCGCACCATCGCGAAAACGAAGCTCAACGACTGCAGCGCATGCGTGAGGAAGAAGCTATGAAGGCCAAACCTCAGGTCGAGTGGAACGTCGTCCCGTACGACGCAGCCAGCTGCCGCTTCATCTTGCAGGGGTTCGACCGCCCCAACGCCTTGTCGTAGCCAAGGTCACTAGAGAGTTTATCCTAATAAGCTTCCTTGTTACTTGACATACACAGGGTCCTCGTTGTTCATTGCTCGCGCGTCGCGCAGCCGCTTGATGAAGTTATACAGGGGGGCATTGCGCTTGACGTTCTCCAAGTGCGTCTCGTGCGACTTGAGCAGCTCCACGCAGCCTTCGGTCGACGTGCTCTGCATGCACTCCATCAGTGATTCATAGTATTCCTCTTCATAAACCCCACGCGATAGCAGTCGCTGGACGGGGGATCTCCGCAGTCTATCCAAAAACCCGAACCAGTCGGCGAGGTCGCTCTGCGTCAAGCGAAGCTGCGAGTCTTCCGGTGCATTCACCTTGGCGCCGTCCAGCCAGATCGTCAGTACGTATCGCTCCGCGTGAGACGGAAGCACTCGGTGCAGCATCCAGTCGCTCTGGAACAGCACGACTCGGTCCATCTTGGGCGCGACGGTGACAGGCTGCTGCAGGAAGGGGAAGAGCTGCACCTCGCCGCCGTCGCCCTCCTTCCAGCCCTCGTTCAGGTAGAGCAGACACGTGACCTTGCGCTTGTTGGGGGCTCCGGGGTTGTCGTAGTGGCACGGAAAGCAGCCGCCGTGTCCGGAATTGCGCTGAAGCTTGAGCGTGCGGTCCGAGGTGCTGAACTGCAGCTCGTACTGCGGTAACTTGCTGGACAGCACCTGCAGCAGCTCCGTCGAGTGGAACAGCGCGTCGAGCTCGGGCACTTTCGTGCGCAGCGAGGCGTCGTGCAGATCCACCTCGAAGATGTGCGGCTTGACGAAGTGGAAGGCCTGCGGCTTGCCGTCCGATCCCTTCTGCGTGAGCGCGAACTGCGTCTTGTTGGGCTTGAAGTGCTGCTTCTCGTTCAGCCAGCGCATCTCCTCCAGCAAGGCGCTCGCCCAGCCATGGCCGAAGCAGTCGTCGATCACCACGTAGCCCTGCTCGTCCAGCTGCGTGCACGCCTCCTTGGTGATCTTACTGCGCAGACGCTCATAGTCGCGCGTGAACGGCTCCTTGTAGACGCCCGGGAAGCTGTCGACCATGGCCGATACAGAGAGAGAGAGGAGGCGACCAGGTCTCAGGTCGACGGACAATGCTGCAATGACACTCAAACGAGTGGCTGCCGACAGCTGGAGAGCTTGCCCCAGACACCAAAGGCAAGTGCAGACCTCAGATGTGGAGGCAGCGATTTGAAACGGAAGCGGAGCAGAGGACTGCGTCTCTGCTGAGATGGCAACGAAAAAGTATCCTAAAGCAGGCTGAGGGTTCTAGTGGGTGGTGGCGAATATATTAGTGTACGCGCGCATGTGCTTACTGCGAGTACTCGAGCTGCGTGATGGTCTTGGGGTCGGCGCCCTCGAAGGCGATCTTGTAGATGGCCGTGAAGAGCGGGAACTGGTCGGTGGCGTTGTGCTCCTTGAGGATGCCGTAGACCTCCTTGGACGTGAGCGTGCCCTGCAGCATCTGGCCGTTGAGCATGGTCTTCTCGAGCTCCTCCCAGGTCGTCTTCTGGGTCACGAAGGCCTCGGCGCACTTGCGGTTGCGGCCGCCGAAGCACGTGGTGATGAGGTCGGCGATGCCGCAGCTCTCGAAGAACGTGTCCTCCTTGACGCCGTCGAAGTACTTGAAGCAGAACTTCTTCATCTCGCTCAGGCCGATGCGGATGATGGCGGCCTTGGTGTTGCCGCCGTACTTGACGCCGTCGCAGAAGCCGGCGCCGAGCGCCACCACGTTCTTGAGGGCGCCGCACATCTCCACGCCGTGCGGGTCCAGCGCCACGTCCACGCGGAACGTGGGGCAGTTGAACAGCTCGCGCAGCAGCGCGCCGTGGCGCAGGTCGGCGCAGCCGAGCGTGGACTCGCAGAAGTCGCCGGCGGCCACCTCGTTGGCCACGTTGGCGCCCATGAGCACGCTGCAGTCAATGTCCAGGCCCTTGCGGATGAGGTCGGACACGAGCACGACTCCGTTCTCGTCGAAGTCGATGCCCTTGATGAGCGACACGGCCATGGCGCCCTCCTTGAGGCCCTGCTCCTTGATGGACACGAGCATGCGGCCCAGGAACTGGTGCGGCACGCAGAAGATGAGGATGTCGGCGCCACGCACGGCCTCGAGCAGGTCCGGCACGGCGATGATGTTCTCCGGCAGCTTGTAGCCGGGCAGGTACTTGACGTTCTCGTGCTCCGAGTTGATGATCTCCGTGAGCTTGCGGCCGTTCACCTGCTCCTCGAAGACCCACATGTTGATGTCGCGCTCGAACGTCTCGGGCAGGTTCTTGGTGTTCTCGCCGATGATGCGGGCGATGGCCGAGCCCCAGTTGCCGGAGCCCACGAGACAGACCTTCTGAGGCATGGTTGGAGTTACTTGAGGGGGTTCTTGGGGGGGAGTGTGCACTAGAGGGCGAATGCAAGAATGAAGAGCATGGGACACCGTCCTCGGCCGCTGATCCTCTCACCGCGCTGACGTCAGCGGCCGGAGTGACGGTCGCTATTACCGATTGCAGGTGGACATTGTATGGTCACGACGTTGAGTAAACGGTTTTTGTGTATACGTAAAGGACGGGATATGCGTTTGCGCGGGTTTTCTGCTTGGTGTGCGAATCTCGGCATTTTTCGCCAAGGTGGTTTTTTAAGTTGAAAGAAACAAATTAAAGCTCCGACGCGCTATGCGATAAATCAATCAAGCGGTAGGCCATTCGTGATGAAGGCGAGTGTAGATCGACCTCGAGATGAAACCCACGCACTGATTGGCCGGCCTTGCAGGTTAACCTAGGTCGGCCATGGTCAACCGCCTGCAGCGTCGGGTCGGGGTTGTCTTACCGGCGTTGCCAAGCCCACGAATCATACGACGTATGCGCATTCACTTGCAGCGCAGCCCTCCCCCCCGTGCTGAGATTCATATCATTCTGCATGGAGCAGTTTTCCGGCGATCTCGACCGACATACTCACCCATTTCCATGCGACCGTATAATCCTCGCTGTCTGCACCGCCGAAACAAGCTGCGCTTCAAGCTCTGCGTCGCTGTTGCAATGCAGCAGCACGCAGCGCGGGTCTGTGGATATTTAACCGAGCCTCGGTCCGAGGGCGCTCTGAAGTGTTGGGATCACGTCACCTGTAGACGAAAACGTACGGAGAACCTATAAATCTAGGAAGGGCGAGGTGAGACCGCGCCAGCGAAGCCTCTGGGGCTTTGACGCTGATGCGAGTCGAAGCACGAGCAGTGCATACAGTACAAGTGCCTAACCTACACATGCAAAATCTTTCAGGACGCAACCTAGAAACCGAGGTGAGCAAGCGACCGATGCTGCTTGGTTTAACATGGGGTCGAGCTCCGCCTGTTTCGTACGCGGCCATCTGCCGGCCTACAGAGCGTCTGCTTGTTGCCGCCGGCCAATCGTTCCCGGCCGCAGGTGGGCTGCTTGGTGCGAGCAGGCGACTTATGCACGCGACTCACGTTGCTTGCTCACGAACTTCTGCTTGGAGAATCTGCCGACGTCCGGATTGCGCCTTCAACATCCGATTTCGGCGGTCTTCGTTAAACGACCGGAGCTTGGACGGGCACATGGGATCGCTTGCTCATGCCGCAATCGCGACGCAAGCCATTCTCCAGGTTTCCAGACTTCTAGTCCAGGCGGGTCAGTGGCATGCCCTGGAACGATGGAGTTTGCTGTCACATTTGGCGACCGATTATGGCAAGTACGTCGTGAACGCAAGGCCCAACGCGAGAGATAAACAGGGGGAGGCTTGTTGTGGTGCGGAGAATGGGGGCTGAAGGCTTACAATGGAGATGTTGAGCAACGCGGTTCATGGCGGCATGGGTATCAGGCAGAATGCGATACAACTGCGGCGCTGGTTTCCAAGAAGGTCACACAAAAGCTGGACTTGCAATGGAGCGAGTTACGTGCACGCTAAGGGCAACAGCCAGGCGGTATATTTCGATCAAGCCGCGCTCATGGACTTATCTGCCAAGTTGGGAATGTGGTTGTACGTCACGGAGGCGACTTTGAGCACAAGTGAACTGTTTCGTCTGGGTACAATTAGTCCATAGCTGCGATGTGGTCACCGATGGCACGCAGCGCCTTCTTCATGTGCTTGGAGTTGGACAGCAGGTGGTTGGCCTTCGGGATGGCCAGCCAAGTCTTGGGCTCCGCGGCAGCAGCGAAGAGCTCTTCGCCATTCTCGAACGGCACGTCAACGTCGGCGTCGCCGTGAATCACCAGCAGCGGAGGCAGACCGGGCCCCGACACAGCTCGAAGGATGTCCAGCGAGCCGTCGTAGTACTCGTTGATGTATCGTTGGTCCAGATGCACGTAGATCTTCGAGGGCGCAGTCGCGTCGGTCAACTCGGTCGTGGAGTGGACACCATCGAGAGAAAGCTCCACGTTCTTGGGCAGCGGACAGCCGTCCTCGAGGTAGAACTCCTTCCAGCACCAGCCCTGAGCTGCGCTCTGCTCCAGCTGCTGCTGGTTGAAGTCAAAGTGGACGCCCTTCGTCATGCTCAGCAAGCCCGCGATCACCGTGATGGAGTCCGACACCTTCTTGTCTCGCAGCAATGCACCCAGGATGGCTCCAGTGGAGAGCCCGACCACGTGCAGCTTCCCCTTACCGCCCAGTAGACTCGAGCGGATGTACTTGCACACGACGATCATATCCTCCACCTCCTGGGAGATGGTCTTGTCCGTGAAGAGCAGCTCGTTGTCCGACCCAGGGACGCCGCCGAAGTTGAAGGTCATGAAGGCCACGTTCTTCTTCTCTTGCTGCGGGTTCAGCCAGAACTCGGCCAGCTTGGCAGGCACCCGCGACGCAAAGTCCACCTTGGTTGGGTGCACGCCCATGTCTGGGAACCCGTGCAGATACAGCATCACTTCGTCGAAGTCGCCTTCCTTGTGGTCGTCTGGCGTGGCCAAGATCGCCAGCAGCTTCCGACTCGACCCGGACGAAGCTTCCGCTGTTGGCACCTCGACATACACGTGGCGTAGCTGCATCTATCTACCTGGAGAAGATATGCGCGACCGATTTTCTACTTCTTGTCAAGTCCGATTTAGGAATGCGGAGCCAGCGACGGGTCCCAATCTACTCGGTAGCTGCTGCCACGTGGCGGGCTCTGAAGACGCCTCCATCTTCAATGACACGCATTGAATGCCCTCCCGTATACTATTACATTGCATGCATTTTGCAGTGCCTATAGCCCGTTATTGTTTCCTTCTCCTATTTGTACTAAAGTTTGGTTAGTGGCAGAGGTGGCGACGTCCCCATGATCTTATACCGGGGTAATGGCAAAAATGTTGCTCCTACTTTCGCACTTGCCTCGACTCAAATACGAAAGACGCGGGGCGAATGGAGAACAGTAAAGAGCGTTGTCCCCGTCAAGCTGTGTTCAACCCGTCACGCCTCAGTGGTAGCGGAAGCGTCCGTGAAATTATTCCGAGTCAGCCTGATGCTAGGAGCGACGCCGTCTTGGTGGCGTCGTGGAATGTCAAGAGTTTTTCGTGGAAGCGATGCAAGAACCTCGAGTTCCTCAAACGAGTCGCGGAAGTCATCAGCGAGTTTGACCTCATCGCTCTGCAGGTAAGGCGTCTGTATGTGTACAGAAGATCTACGTAGGTCGGCTGACTAAAGTTGATATCGTCAACTGCAGGAGGTGCGCGACCCAGAGGTGTTGTGGCTGATGAAACAAGTTCTTCGAGAGTATACGGGGAAAATCTGGGAGTCGCAATGCTCTGAGCCCCTCGAAAAGCACACAGACGAAGAGAAAGCAGAAAACGCCGAAAGGTCCGTGGACAAGAAGAAGAAATTCAACTACACGGAATACCTCGCCTTTATCTACCGCACGGACGTAGTGGAACTAGCGTCCAGACAGCGTGAGTTCAAGATTGACCCCATTCAGATCGTGCGTCAGCCGTACACCCGGACTTTTGAGATCCCAGACTTGGACTTGACCATCACACTGGTGAACGTGCACCTGGTACCTGAGCGCTCGGGATCCAAAGCTGAAGCGGAGGCGATTGGCTCCACGTTGAACGGTTTGGCTGGCCAGGTGAAGATGGGAGCCAAGTACGGCGTGCTAGGAGATTTCAACTTGAGCACTACCCAGACTGCCGGTGCCTTCTCCAAGTCAGGCGAAATGGTGAACCTCATTGGACAGTCGACGATGGTCTGTGGAGACAGCGAGAACGACAATATTTGGCTCGATAGGAAGAAATTCCAGAACCGAGCGACGAATGGGAAGCCGTGGACAACCTTTTTCATTGATAGTGGGGTGCTCTACATCGACGAGAAGTACGACGTCCCCCACACGCCAGTGGAAACTCGACGAAGGACTCAAATTGCGAGCGAACTGTCCGATCACTGCCCTATATGGGCGGCATTTCGAATGCAGTCTTGGGCTGCGGAAGATAAGGACTACTCGAAAATCGATCCGTTACTGCGAAAGTGGCCCGATGAAGAGGACAAATGTAGTCGAGTGAAAACGCGCAACAAACAGAAGAAGGCAAACGCAAGTGGTAAGGCTGATACAAAGGAAGAAGATAACGAAGAAGTGTTCGATTCCCAAGTCGTCACATAAAGGCCGAGAGAAGGCGGTCAAAGCCGTATCCAAAGGAGAAGAGACGAACACTTTTTCAAAGAGGACTTCGACCCTGAAAACTCCGGAAAACAAGAAAGAAAAGGATGCGGAGCCAAGTGAAGAGTCCACAACTAAACAAGACAGTACTCCTGTCCGAAAGAACAGTGCGAAGCCTAAAACCTCGCGTGGCAAGTAGATGAAGAACGGTCAATTTTTCGGCATGACTTCGGCTTTTGATGGAGTGATATTAACGTTAGAGGTTTTCCAAGGTTTGCTTTGCATCGGCCACCGCTTATATTACGGTGCATTATACTTGCATCCGTGAACGCATTCTTCCAGTGCTCCATCGCATTATGTTAGTCAACTCCTCGCACGTCGAATGCGGGATTCGTATGGAAATATGCCTAAGCATTGTGCTACGCGCGAAACCTTTTCTTGGGCAATCAGTGCACGTCGCCACAACCAAGAAGTATGCATTCCTATTAACCATGAAAAAATTGACATAGCAAGAATTACATTCGCGAAAAAGAAAAAAATGAGAATGGAATGTCTTTTAAGTCCAAAATTGCAAAGTAACAATCGACACCTTGCTACGACTCATCGCCAAATGTGCTGCTAGCTTCTTCAAAACTAAACGAAGCCTCCGAAATCGAAAAATACCGTCCTGGCGTCCACGAAGGAGTAATGTTACCGTCCAAATGCCCCCAGGATGACCGAATGCTGTCCGTGCCTCCATCTGACTGCAGTAACCGCTGCTGATATTGCTGCTATGAAATGTCTGCGGCACTTTGCTGCTGCACAAATGTCACACATGACCGACACACAATTACGTGCTCACTACGGGTCGGGGGTCCCTTTGCTCGGCTTATAAGAACTTTAAGCGACCTCTTCACCCGGTATTTGGGGCACAGCAGCGTCGCGCATACCGCGCAAGAATTCCTCGCGCTTGGTAAGCTGCGCTTCACCTTGTTTCGACAAACACCACAGCTCGATAGATCTGTCACCCCTTTCTTCGCCTTACATTTTGGACTCTTCGCAGAGTTCAGGATGTTCCACTGCAGCTTCTTCTCTTCTGACAGCCTTGGGACCTCCCAAAATCCCAGCAATCCACATCGCATTCATCACGATCGTATCCAAGATACTCCCCATAGTCTCCACATAGAGTTGAATATGCACATCAACAGTCCCGTCCTGCAGCTCCCGGTACAGCGCGCCGTACATCAACTTGCCTCTGGTCATGGGCTTCGGGAGCTCAGGTAGCTGCGGCAAGTGGGCTGGTTGCACCAGATCGTCGCGTTCCAACGGAGATCGGGTTGGGTTGATGACCCCCGACGCCGACAGATTCACAAAGTCTCTCGGCCGCACGATCATACTCAGCGGCCAGCCCTGTTCCCCCACCATCCACATGACGCTGAGATTCTGAAATGGGTCCTCTTCCGTCGGCACCGACAGTTTCGCTAACGTGGCACCGCTCACGTCATGTGACGCAATTGACGCCGCACGAGCCCGCATATCCCGAACGTCTGCGTCACCAGTCCAAACATGACGTCATCCAAACAGGCCTGGATATTCCCCACAGCTAGCAGCACAGCGGGATTCTCCCAGTTGTCCCCGGGCATATGCAGATCACGGCGTCCCCCGTGATCGCGTTCGGAATACAGTGAGGGTCTTCTGGCGCTTCCAGCGCGTACTGTCGAGATTCGAGTGGTGGCGCGGCGTGCTGCTGGTAGTGGTGTCCCGCTCGTCGTACGTAGCTGCGCAGGGTTCGGTCCAGCAGCTGCAGCGTGAGCTCCTGGCACCGCTCCTGCTCCTCGAATGTCAGTTGCAGCGGCCGGAACGGGATCTGACCGCGGTAGCCCTCGCCGACGTGCATGCTGTTCCTATAGCGTGTGTCTCGTAAAATGATCGATCGGTGGTCGAAGCTCGCTCGATCAATGTCAACGCCACACTATAATACTATACAGAGAACATTGAAGCTTTTGTGCATGAGCCTGTACAATTACTTGATCGGTTTTTACTGTATTGGCACTTCACACAATCGAGCACTGCGTTTCAACACGACGGCAAGCAGGAGCTTGGCAATGCTTTCCCAAGGCTTTCAACTTGGGACTGTGTCCGTTGTTGCCGATCTGGTGCGCATTTTCGTAGCCACAACTAACGTTAGGCACTCCTTGAAGACGTCGAGTTGATATTTTCCGGATTTTCACTTATGAATTTACGCCCCTAGATATTTAGCGCAAATTCGTTGCACCCTGGGAGCTAATAGCTAGGCCGCGTTTGAAGAGTTCGACTGGCGCTTGAGCTCCATTCGCAATACCTTCTTGATTCTCCTGTTTCGTGTTTCTCGTAGTGCTTCAGTCAATATGCTTTGAGACCAATCGAAGGCTCCGTACATAACCAGCAGAGTCCGCTTTCGGCCAAATCGAGCTGCCAAAGGAAAAGCTTCGCCCAGAAACTTCTGCTCGATCGAACCCTGGCCAGCAAGAAACTTTAGGAACCCCAATCCTTGTCTATCTGCAACAGCACTCACAAAAGCCGCCCCTATCGCTGCAGAACTGATACTGTGTTCTGTGCACATGGACCCAGCAACGTCGAGGGGGATCTTGGTAGCTACCCGATTAAAGGCCTCGCTAATTACGCCCGATGGAATGCCGTTCAGTGTGTACAAGAAGCACACAATCTTGGTGCTCTCTTCGCTGAGCTCGCTTGAGAACGATTTGATCGTTTCTGGCGTAGTCCCGTACCGTGATGCGTTTGTGAACGCTGCGATGATAGAACTAACCGGGACGTGTTCATTTGAATACAAGAACTTGACCACGGCGAGACTGCCTCCAGTTTCGAAGGCGTCGATGGTCGCTTGCGGCGACGCACGTTTCTTCCCATGCAGCAATGCTGCAGACTTTAGTTTGCCGATGCGTGAGACCAACGCAAAGGCCTTGTCAAAAAGGTCCGTAGAAACCTCCTCCGTAGACAGTAAAAACTCGATTATATCGGTCCATTCATGGGCGATTGCAGCGTAAAACCCAGCTTCAAACGACGATGAATCGACGAAATGGTTCTTGTGAAGATACTTCACCGCGTTGGCACTTCCAGCCGTTACCATTCGGACGAACAAGTCTTCTTTCTCCCGGCGTGAATAGGCATGATAAAGTGTACTGGCCACGACGTCATTACCAGCTACTGCTGCTTTCTCGAATGCTCGAGCGATGTTCCAGCAATTTTCCCTGTCGCTGAGCAAGAAATTGACAACATCGCTGTGTCCTCCAGCACTTGCACGCGCCAAAGCGCAGAATTGATTCCCACTGGGGTCGTACCGATGCCAATACTGTTCGTCCTTTGCGTGATCCACTGCGAATCGCACAACTTCCAGGTGCCGTTCTCAGCCGCCGCCTCCAGGACGTCCCACGTGGCCTTGTAGATGAGTGTAGGTGGTCTGTGTCTTCGTCATCCGAATCGTATTCATGAGCTACATTTTCCGGTATTATGCATTCAACAATGACCAGATGGCCGTTGCCGGCAGCAGCTACAGCTGCATCTCTCTTCGCTTCCCAGGTCAAGTAGTCCTCCTCGTCGTCTTCATCTCCATCGTCTTCCTCGTCTTCACGGTACTGTCCAGAGTTTTCCATGAATACTTTAACTACTTAACTATATCCAGCTGACCAGCCTTAGCAGCCATTGTCATGGCATTCCCCATTACAACATAGCCGAATCTACTCTTCAGTTCTTCGAGTCGATCCAGTTTACGGGCTTGTACGGCTTCGACCTCCGGTGTGGTGACCAAAAATACTTCAAATGCGTGATCCGTATGCAAACTTTGCCTTGCCTAAATATGTATCCAAAACGTGCGTTAATCATATTTATCCGGAATTATCCACTATTATCCGGATATTAGTCGTAGCCGCACACAATTAATTTCATCCAAAACGTTCAATATGCCGCCAGTGCCGCCCGAGCGCCGCGCAGACGGCAGCGCTGCGGTCCCCAGGGGACAGGACGCCGAAGTGCCGTGCACCTACTGCGTGGGCATCAGCGTGTACACCAAGTAGGCGCTTTCCCGCTCCATTTCGGTCCACGGACTCCATCGCAAACCATATTCTGACTTAAACATTCTAAATGCTGCAATCATTCAGAGCCATGTGGAAAGAGCGCAAAGGGCCCGAGTGCAAGGGCATCCAAGTGGATTTCAGCACCAGTCGCGAGCGCCTTCAGGAGATGAGGGAGCGTGCAGGTGAGGACGAGGTTTCGACCCCTATTTCGTGGTGGAACTATAAAAATTGACCAGGATTTGATGAAATTGTGACTAATTATTTGATCCATTGATGCAGCCCACCCGAGGAAGGACGACTTCACCTTCATAGGCTTCGGATTGTCGACGTATTCGCCCGAGTGGATGGAAGAAGGCAAGCACCTTCCATACGTCAGGGGTGTCGGCCTCATTGCTGTCTACACGGACAACGACGAGCTGATGAAGCAGATCGAGGAGCGCAAGCGCATCAAGCGCGAGCTGCAGAAGAACGCCGGCAACAGAGGAGACCTGCAGGACGGGAATGAGCCTGATGACGACGATGACTTGGTCGAGGTCGATGACGATGAAGACTTGTTCGACTTTGACGATGGCGAGGCGACGGACGACGGTCAGGCGTTGGTGGAGAACGAAGTGGTGCGGGGACTTAAGACCCCGCGTGGCCCGGCTGTTGTCCCCGCGTCCATTACCATGGCTGAGGTGAGAGATCGAGCCGTGGAGAAAGCCAAGTACTCGGTGAACGCCATGTACAAGTTCTGGGAGCGCCGGCTGGACGGCTTCAGCGACCGGTATGTGGACTCGTGCCGACGACTTACGGTGCAAATGGAAAAGCAGGTCGTGAGCACGCCGCACAACGTAATGTGGCTGGTGCAGAGGATCGAGGAGTACGTTCTCGGGAAGGACGATGATGGAAAGAAGTAGGTAATGGGCGAGATGACAATGGGCAGAGTGAGAGGCAATACGCACCAGTGTAAGGCATCTTCCTGGTATTTTCGTTATGCACGGTGCTTTGCTCCACCTACCTTATTGAGGCAGGAGCAAGGCTACGACGTCCGCGTGATCGTTTTCCAAAGTCTTGGTAAGCGCGGTTTCGCCCACGTAATTTATGTAGTCCACTGACGCTCCAGATTCGACTAAGAACCTCACAATGGAAGCCTGGCCAGCTTCAGCTGCACAAATCAGCGCGGTATCCCCTTCGTCGTCTGCTAGATCAATGAACGCGCCTCTCTCGACCAGCAATTTAGCAACATCAAGATGCCGATACGCACTCGCCAGCTCCAGCGCCGTGTTTCCATTCGGCCCTTGCAAGTCGATAGTTGCCCCTTTCTCCAGAGGCATGGCAGCAATCTGCGTCGCCCCGTTCTCAGCTGCTAGCATCAGAGGCGTTAAAACTTCACGATTCGCCAGATTCACGGAGGCTCCTCTTTCCACGAGACCCCTGGCCACAACGGCATGACCATACTTGATCGCCATGAAGAGAGGACTATTGCCACCGTCGTCCGTGAGATCGACACTTGCGCCGAGTTCCAGCAGTAGCTTCGTGATCTTGGAGTGTCCATGTCTAGCTGCCGCTAACAGCGCCGACGTTCCAGTAGGCCCCTGCTTATTGATACTGGCCCCCTTCTGCAGAAGCAGCGATATCAAGCCCTAATAACCCTTCTGAGACGCAATCATGAGCGGAGTTCAGCCATAACAATCCTGCTCATCAACACTGGCTCCTCGTTCCAACAGCAAGTTCACTAGAGCTGGGTCGCCCCTGTGAACTGCAGCCATGAACGGACCATCTCCCGACTCATCTGATAATTTTATTGATGCTCCGTGGTTGATCAGCATCCGAGCAATCTCCAGATGGCCGTGATCACACGCAATGACCAACGCCGTAGCGTCTTGGGGGCCGCGCAAGTTGACGTTAGCTCCCTTCTTGAGAAGAGCATCGACTACATCGGTGTGACCTTCATACACGGCACTCATAAGCGGGGTCCAGCCTTGCGGGTCCGGAATATTTATCGCTTCGGTACTCTCCAACAGAGCTTCGACCACCTTCAACTCTCCCCGATAGCAGGCAATTCGTAGGGCGGTATCATCCTTGCGTTGCTTTTGATCCACTGTGTAGTTGACCACAGTACTTTCAGGCGTTTTAGGTTCAACTGGTTCGTCAGATAATAAATCGATCTCCGTCTCAGGTGGAACTCGTTCGTAGATAAGCTGGGTCAGGTCCCTGAAGCCGCTGAAATATGCCACGGTCAGTGGTGGCCAGCTCTGAAAATCTCCACATAAGTTGATGTTTGCCCCGTTATCCAGGAGAATCCGTACCACCGCAAGGCGTTTGAACCAAACTGCCGTCAGCAGCGCCGTGCTTCCACTGGGCAAGCGCGCGTCCACATTAGCTCCTCTGGTGACAAGAAATTGGACGATATCGGAATATCCGAGCTGTGCAGCAGTGATCAATGGCGTGTATCCATCATTGTCTGGCACTTCAAGATCAGCTCTGTAGTTTACCAGTGCCACAACGATATCCAGCTGACCATGCTCACACGCAATATTCAGAGCTGTCGCTCCATTGAACCGCCTCAAGTTTAGCGACGCCTTGCCTCTCAGGAGTGTCATCACCACGGCGTAGTGTCCTTGTTCTGCAGCCTTCATCAAGGGCGTCCAGCCTTCGTTATTGCATACATCAATAGACGCACCATTTTGAATTAAGCACTTGACCATGTTGTCCTTGCCGTGGCGAGCGGCAGTGATCAGAGGAGTTTTACCCTCTTCGTCTTGCAAGTCAATAGACGCACCCTTCTCGATAAGCTTCTCGGCAATGGGGAGGTGGCCCATATAGCATGCCATTCGCAGAGCCGAGATTCCATCCTGAAGCTGACTATCGACACCTGCTCCATTCTCCAGAAGTACCGTAACCACATCCAAATGAGCATTGTACGTAGCTTTCAGTAGCGGCGTCCACATGTTAAAGTTGGAGACATCACAGCTAGCGCCACTCTCCAACAAGAACTCCACAATCGCTATGTGGCCTCTTTCAGCAGCGTTCATCAGCGGGGTATTACCTTCATAGTCGCCCAAATCAACGGACGCACGGTTAGCAACCAGCATCCGAACAACCTCAACGCGACCCGCAGCACTTGCACTGGCAAGAGCTGTGCCTCCGCGCGGACCTTTCTCGTTGACATTCGCCCCCTTGGACAGTAAAAGAGCCACCACGTTCGAATAATTACAGTGCGAAGCGATCATGAGCGCTGTACAATGCGAAAAATCGGCTAAATCAACCGATGCACCGCGAGTTAGTAGGAGCTCCACGACGTCGACATGGTTCTTCGTCGACGCGATAATGAGCGGGGTCTTTCCATTGTCATCAGTGAAATCGATGCCCGCGCCGCCCTCCAGCAACTTCTGAGCCACAGCTAGATATCCTTGGGCACTCGCGATCACCAGAGGCGTGGCGCCATTTGGTCCCTGTCTGTTCGCATTCGCCCCACGCTTCAGCAGCAGCTCCACTGTTTCGACCTGACCCCGTTGTGAAGCGCAATGCAGTGCCGTCCAGCCCGCGTGGTTTGCTGTCTCAACAACCGCTCCATTCTCCAGCAGGAACTCGACAATGGGCATGAAGCCATTATGAGCCGCTGCAATGAGAGGAGTAGTTCCGTCATCGTCCGCTACGTCAATAGACACACTGCCACTACGGAAAAGAAGCTGGGAAGTGGTCAAATGACCGTTTTCACACGAAATCAGGAAGGCCACCGCGCCATTCGGCCCCGGAATGTCCGCATAAGCACCGTGCTCAAGGAGAACTGTCACCGTCTTGGCGTGTCCATGCTGCGAGGCACCCATGGCGTCCACCCGTTGTTGTTCGGTAGGTCGACCAATGCGCCACACTCTACCAACAACCTCACAACTTGGTCGTGATCTTCTACTGCTGCAGCCCAAAGGGGAGAACCACCGTCGTCGTTTGTAGAATCCACCACCGCTCCCCCATCTACCAGCACCCGGGCAGTGGGGAGGTGGCCCTCAGAGCACGCCAGAAGAAGAGCTGTGACGCCATTTGGGCCTCGGTTGCTCACATTTGCTCCGTGCTTCAAGAGTGCCGCAACAACGTCGGTGTATCCCTTTCGTGATGCACTTAACAGCGGGGTAAATCCCTCCTTGTCGACTGCATCAACCGCAGCACCGCACTTGAGAAGATACTCCACGACGGTAAGGTGCCCATTTTCAACTGCCAGCACAAGGGGAGAAGCCCCATTTTCATCGAGTAGACTCGCCGATATTCCACGATCAGTGAGCTCTTGGACAGTGGGTTCCACTGAGGGATCCTCTGCAGTCAGAGGCTCCTGTACTGGACCTTGGTTGCCAGCTCGCGGGGATTCCTTTAGACGCTCATGATGCGCATCATGAGTTGTCTCTCCTTGGTCACCATCAGGATGCTGCCCCATAGCGAGTAAGTGCTCGTATCCCGCCGGCAAAGGGTATCTAAGCTTTGCTTTGTACCCATTGACACGGAGCGACTTTTAGCCAATACACGAGGCTTTAGCATCAGTTCCATTATGGAACTTCCATAATGCTTCTATCTTCATGTACTTAAGTTGGATCCATTTATTTATTTAATTCGTTATTTAGATTACTTGAGTTGTCGTAGTTGGATCAAGATGCAGCACGTTCGTGCGGTCGGTCGGCTCCCCTGCGCACACGTTGTTCTCCTACTTAAAGCATTCCCAGAACCAGAGGCGCAAAAGCAGACAGCATCAGCATGGCAACGGCCAGAGATACCGAGACGGCGGAGGCGCTTGACGCCGTGGTCGTCGTGCTGCTGGTGCCGCTGCTCGAAGTGCTGGAGGAAGTGTCCGGGGCATCAGGGAAGCTGCCATCCGGCTTTGATCCACCAAAACCACTGCCACCACCTCCACCAAGAACGGAGTTGGAGGAGATGACACCTCCGTTAGCTGTGAGGATAGCGGCCTCCTGGACTTCCTGGGCAGCCGACATGTTCACGGCCAGCGAGATCCACACGAATAAGCCGTCGGCCTCAGTGGCACCCAGGAGAGCGTAGTTCATGATGGGGTCGTAGTCTTCTTCTGCAGCCGCAATGAGCCATTTGTCGACGGCGTTTTGTGTGACGCTTTGGGTGTTCGTCGAATACGGAGGGATTTTATCCACCGCAGAAATGAGAGTTTGGTCGAAGAAGAACTGGCCGACGTGAGCGACAGAGCCGCCGGAGTACGTGGCGTTTCCCTGCTCGGTACCGCCGTATTTACCGATGAAGTGCAGGTGCGTGGCGCGTCCTTCGTAGTGGCCCGGGAAGATGGACGTCATCTGAGCGACTCCGTCCTCGTCCGTTTTGGCCACGCCACGCAACAAGGTGGCGTTGAGGTTGGACGTATCACTGTTGTCACCGTTGCCCTCGGCCACCACTCCAGAGTACACACCAGTCGCATTCGCGTGCCAGAAGTTGACGTACATGTCCGACACGGGCTCACAGTTGCTCACGTCGATCACTTGGACGTCGATGATCATCGGGACGCCATCCTGATCCTCCGTCATGTCAGTGCGAATGCGTTCACCGAGCACGTAGTAGGGTCCGTAGGTGACCTCAGGCTCAAGAATCGCCTTCACCCTCCGAGTCGAACAGTTCGCTAGAGGCCGTAGAGCTGGAGACTTTGATGTCAGACTTGTGCTCTTTACCAACCACTGTGTCGACGTCGAGGCGACGCCGAGCGAACTCTTAGCGGAGGCTCTCAACTGCTTGGAAACGACGGGTAGTTGCTCGTTCTCGGAGCTGTCGGAGAGTACTGGAGCTGCCGCATTCCTCAAGACCACGCTTGGCGTTGAGAGCGAAGAGCTTGCGTTGGTCGATGGAGAGGGCGCGGCGCGTGGGATCCTTGTGGCCGGACACGGAGTCGGGGAGGTTGCAAGCAGCAATCAGAGCTGCAGCGAGGAAAGCTGATGTCATCACCATTGTTGACTTGACGGGGTGTTGCGAGACACCGTTTCAGGGGAGGCTTGAGGGCTTTGTTTTTGTTGCGGCAAATTGCATAGGTGAATCATGCTAACGTGAGCACAGGAGCCACGAAAGAGAAACACGAGACGCCTCGATGCGCTCAAACCAACCTCTGAAAATAAGCTCCACCCGGACCTGGTAAGATCGCAGGATGAGGGACTCATCATGAGACGTGTCCACATACTGCGAGTTATTTGAAGACCCTCGCGGTCTTATCTAACTGGTCACAGCTGCACCGAGACGAGTCTTCATCGCGGTACAGAACAATATGTCCTGTGTCGACCAAAAGATTGGGGTCAAACTGTGTTTCTTGGAGCACGAGTTCCTTCAACTCTTCGAAAACTGGAGCCAACTAAGACAGCGATTCACCAAAGCGCCTCCTTGGTCAAGACAGCCTTCACCTTCCTGGCAATACCGAGACTTCGGTGGCGACATTTATACTCACAAACTAACAAAATAGGAAATAATTATCTGGAACTGGTTGAAGCTGTTGCTAAAATGCTGTACGCATTTCAGTGACAGCTTCAACGTCATGTGCGCCACACCACCTCTCGGGCTTCTATATCGTGTTCGCTACACAATGCTATGTTGCGTACACGACGTGCTGGGCACATCACTCTGCCACTTCAACCCACAGCCACTCACTCACTCTTCAACAAGCATGCGTGGAGCTCGAGACCTTCACTCTCGTGGTGCAGGAGATCGCGCGGGACCCGTCGACGCTCACGCCCAGGCTGCTGCAGGAGCTGCCCAAGGTGCTGGCTGGGCGCGCTGCAGTCGCTGAACGTGGAGCAGCAGGCGCTGCCGGTGCAGGCGGAAATCCTCAAGTTCAGCAACTATTATCAGGTCTTAGAGGTGGACGAGGACTACTTCCCCGACCAGGAGAGCTTCGTGCAGGACCGCGGCGCGTCCAAGAAGGCCAAGGCCGAGCGCAGACGCCTGTTCGACGAGGCCTTCGCCCAGGACCTGCAGATGGAGGTGGTGTGCTACTTCATGGAGCTGGAGGGGCTCGTGCAGGGCGTGTTTAACGTCCACGAGCAGGTCAAGAAGCAGCAGAAGTCCATGATGGAGGCCACGGTCGTGAGCACGCTGGCGCTGATGTTGGCCAAGGAGCTAACGGCCAAGCTGCAGCTACGCTATCCGGCGCTCGAGCTGGCTCAAGACCTGGTGGGGGTGCTGGTCTGCTACCCGTCGGCCAGTCTGGCCAGTGACATCACAGAGGCGGTGGCTAAGGTTCGGCAGGCTTTCGATGAAGAAGGGACGTTCAAGTTCGTGCCGGGCACGCTGCTCCACGACTTCACCAACGTCTGGACCACGTTGACGACCTTCTCGTCCATCTTCCCGCCGATCGACAAGGGATCTCTCATCATTCTCCCGGATGGATACTTTGGCGAGAACTGTGGGGAAGAACGCACGCCGGAGTACGTGCGCGCGGACGTCAACCACTACGTGGTGCTGCTTGCACAGCAGCTGCCGCATATCTACAATCTGATCATATCCAAGCGGGAATACATGGGGCCTGGACTGGATGGACAAAGTGGATTGGTCGTGGACTTCATGCTCTTGATGGAGGAGTATTTCGCGACCCGGAAGGTCACGATCCCGCTGGTATTTCTCTGTGTTTGCTGGATGCAGTCCGTTGCGGCGCTGCGAGGAGATGCCGGCCTTAGCCGCAACATGAGTCTAACGTTCAAGCACACCGAGGACTTGATCAAAGTCATGGACACCGACACCCATTGCCAGTTCTGGTGAAAGGGGACTCGTTCCATGCTCTGCTGACGGATATTCGGGAGGGTTACATTGTGTCACTTCGAACCAACATCCTAGCTCGCGCCAACCCGCTGTTTGCAGGATCTCAGATGATGTCAAACCACCTCGAGTTCTTGATTGCAGGGTGTGGCCACTTTTCATCGAGATGCCGCGCGTTCTGCCACCTCTACAATGCTTTTGGGCAGCAAGGGCACCTCGAGCGAATCCCATTTTTCGACGATATGTTGGACCTGTATGACGAACTGATTTTCTCTCGGTCGTCACGGTCGGCTGCGGTCCGCGGTTCGTACAATCAGGTCTACCTACTCGCCACGCAACTTTCCGGAACTTCTATCAACGCGATGTATGAAAGTGCTTCGTCTACGGGTGTGTATGTTAGGGGGAAGAAGAACCGAGCTGATCTGAATATATTGTCCCTGACGTACCGGCTAATGGACGACGACGACATCTCGTTCTTGAAAGGATACTCGTCAAAGACCATGCTGGAAAAGGCCGCAGACATCTGCACGAAAGAGATGTTCGAGACGCGGATTTTATCTCGAGACTTACTGACACTCGACGATGATCTGGAAGACGTTTTCTCGGATATATGCACGGCATTGGGTCAGCAACAAGCTCGTAACTTGTACACGGCTAATGCACAGCCAGAAATGAATCGTGAGGCGCGGGCTAATCTTGCGCTGGACCACGCTGTGATGATCCCGCTATTGGCTCTGGTGGATGCTTTACAGCCTGATGGGGCGCTGGATTCGAGTTTAGTGCCAGCTGAACTTCGATCGACTGTGGAATTCGTCATCGATGGCGAATATGTTCGCCGACTGTGTAGGATTGTTGCGGCCGTGATCGAAGCCAGGTTTACAACTCCAGCTCAGATGTGCGAACAGAGGTATTTCACGTTTCCAGACTTCGCAAGCCAAGAGTACGGATCGCTATTGTTCAAAACCAAGACCAAGAATGAACAGCGCGAAGAAGTTTTCGCTGATTTGATGGAGCTCATGGAATCCAACCGTGGACCACTTGACGGGGACGATCTTGACCGTCTCAAGTCGGAGATTAAGAAAGATCCCGAGCTTTTGGGTATGTTTTCGACAAACACCGGCGACTACCGAGAGTATGACGAGTTGTGTACGCTACTCCACCAGGCAGCTGCTGGCCCCGCGCATGACGCTAAACTGGTGGAATGGATGATTCAGTTGGGGGAACTGTTTACGCAGCCCCTACACTACCGTAATGCGCCGCGGCAAAGAGACCTCTCGTGTCCTCGAAGGCTTTTGCCGAATACCATGGCTGTTCACAGTGCTGCGATCGCGGGGTATCAAGATATTGCCCTGGTTATTCTTGAAGCGGATAACTTCGTGGACTTAAATACGCGCACCTTTCACACGAAGGAAACCCTCGCACATTTGGTTGTCAAGAACAACCACACGAGCTTGTACTATTCTTTTCTGATGAATGGCGCTGATCTTCGGATCCAAGATGGCAAAGGGCGACATGTGTGCGATCTTACAGCGGATCCAGCTTGGGCACGTGAAATTGCGGGAACCGCGGCCAAAATGGAAGCGGATGCTAAACGGGGTCGAGGTAGGCGAGACAACCCCACCACATATGAGCGTTACATGAGGAAGCATGCGGAACAACTGCGCAAGTCCGTGTTTGCTCAGTGGGACAAGGAGCGGAGTTGTGCACTGGAAAATTTCGAGGACGACATCTCCGTGGAGCCGACGAAGAAAAAGAAAGGCAAGAAAGGAGCCAAGGCGAATCCCACTGGGCGTGACGAGGTTGCCTCAAGTCCACCGGCGAATCCTGCGGTCGATACCTCAGCAATGTCGGACGTGATCACTGCTTTGCTAGGATCGCCAGGCTCAGCATCCAAGAAATCCAAAAGCTCGCCAAAGTCGACAGGGCGTGATGCCATCCTTGTCGAGTCAATCCAGAAAACGAGCGCTGCATTCGCTCATCTGAGAGACCCCAGTATTCCGGCGTCGGAAAAGCTGGAGGATGTGAAGCGCGTTTGTAAAGTGATTCGCAGACTGGACAACGCCAATGAGGTACAGTCCGATCCAACCAAGATGGCCGGTACGGGTGTGCAGCTGAGGATGGATGTGTCGTTCGAAGCACTGCAAGTGATCCACATGATCCAGAAGTTCTATCGAGCTGACCACGGCTCCAAGAATGACCCCGAGCTCGCACCTGTGCGAGATCTTTGCGCCACAACGCTGGACTTCGTCACCTTTGTGGTTCGCACTGCATGGATCAGTATTTCTGCCCACAGGGAACCACAAGCCAGCGAAGCCATGGGCGCGCTGGAGAAGCGTTTGCTGAAGGTGCCATTTGGCGAGCGAAACCCAGCCGAGTTTCGGAAGCTGGTGCAAAGTTACTCTATGAACCGTGATGGGATGGGCTTTGGGAGTACTACAAGCCCTGAGACTTTTCGTCGCTTGGAATGGTATCTGCATAATGTTGTAGAGAACTCCGAGCTGCAGATGACGTTGGACAAGATGGTTGGACGGCCGTACTATTTCAAGCTAGCGATTGGCTCCCAGACGAGCGATGCGGGCTCAATCGCACCTGTAATTGATGCCGACACAGCGCTGAGAGATGTGGTCGTCCTCGGAAAGTCTGACTGGTGCGTTGTGTATGGTGGCACCAGCAAAAGTGACGTGGACCGAGTGCGCAATTTGGTGCTCGAAGCAGCCGCTGGTGCCGGGATCCAGTTCGATGACCACAACTCGCAACTCTGTACCCCCGCGATTCATCTTCAACAGTTCCAATTCTCAGATGCGGGTGCTCTTCGGAATGCACAAGCGGCATAAGGAACTTTCTCCAGCGATGAAGGTCGACACGCGCAAAAGTGGGGAAGGAGGCACCTGAATGGCATTCACTTCTTGCACATTAGCTGTTCATTTGATGTATCGTAGTAACATGGTAATTGTTTAAGTGTTGGGTTACACGTTCAAGTAAAAAAAAGTGTGCATATGGCACACAACGATTGAAGTCAAGGGAACGATTAAAATCCGTGACGTGTACATTTTGCCTGATCATGTTGAAGTATTCTTGTTAGAGACTTCAAATACGTGTATCTGTTGATTATTATCAAAGTTGCATATCCCTGAATCAGTCTCATCATCCGTCCTACTTACAGATTCGCCAGGAAAACCGGAGCAAAAGCAGCCACAAGAGCCACAATTCCTCCAAAATTGTAGACGCTCGAAGCTCCATTCGGCGTGGTGGAGGTGGTTGTGGAAGCGCTGGAACCGGTCAGAGCCGACACCGCCTTGACGTCCCGATCGGCCGTCATATCCACCGCCACCGAGATCCACACAAACAATCCCTCATCGACCGAGTCGCCCAGCTGCGCGCAGGTGAAGATCGGATCGTAGACAGTTGCAGCGGCTTCCTTGAAGATGTTGTCGTTCTTGTTGAGTGTGGTCGACTGCGTGTTGGTCGAATAGGGCGCCACTTTCTCGACGGACGTGATGAGGTCCTGGTCGAAGAAGAACTGACCCACATGAGACACAGACGCGCCCGAGTACGTGTTGTTCGAGAGAACCGTGCCGCCGTAGTTGCCGATGAAGTGCACGTGTGTGGTGCGCCCTGCATAGTGACCCGGGAAGATGGACAGCATCTGGGCAACACCGTCTTCATCCGTGGGAGTCATGCCTCGCAGGAAATTCGCGTTGAGTTGGTAGCGTCGTTGCTGTTGCCGTTCGTGCTGGCCACGACGCCCGAGTACACGCCAGTCGCATTCGTGTGCCAAAGATCCACGTACATATCCTTGACTGGATTGCAGTTGCTCACGTCGATGACCTGCACGTGGATGTACATGTCCACGCCCTCCTGGCCGTCCCTCATGTCACTGCGGATGAGCTCGCCGCTGACGTAGTAGGGTCCTTCCGTGAGCTCAGGCTCCACGACAGCAGCGGTGTCGCTGTCAAACAACGCGCTAGCTGCCGTGTCTTTCGTCACGTTAAGTGTCGAGTGGTAGTTGGTGGCTCCAAGGCGGCGCTGGCGTCGCTATTGGCGGAGTTTGTCGATGGCTTCGGTGCGTCGAGCCACGGCACGCTCCTGGAGTTTGCGGGACGCTGACGACTGGTTGCACTCTTCCAGCGCTCGACGGGTGTTCTAGGCGAAAAGCTTGCGTTCGTCGGTGGACAGCGCGCGGCGGGTGAGATCTTGGTGACCTGACGCGGAGTCAGGAAGGGCGCATGCTGCGAGCTCTGCAGCGGCGAGGAAAGTTGATGCCTTCACCATGATTGGCTTGGGGAAAACCTGGTTTGAGACGCTGTTCCAATTGGGGCTCGAGGGCTTGAGTTGTCGAAGCAAATTGCTAAGTGAATCCATGTACGGCACAGCACCGCCGGGACGCATCCAATTCAGACTGGTGCGTCTAAGTGTTCCGACAAGACAGCAAGGATGGCAAGATCAGAAATAACTTTTTTTCATGGTCCTAGCTATCTCATCCTAGATCTTGTCGGACAATTACGTAAGCCTTATGGTGTTTTGGTGGTGTACGGGTAGCACTTTTAAATCCAGTGTGATAACTCACAAGTGACCTCTGCTGGTTGATCAATTGACGACATGAAACATTTGGCGGTGACCCGGGCCACGCAAAATCTCAGGAAGAAAGTTTGAGATAATTATTTTTATTGCGAGGTACTACTAGTAGGAATGATAACCCTCTTGAGGATGATTATTTGTAAGGGTAGAACATCCTAAGCGACAAGTAGTTAGTACAGTCATCACGGCAGCAGCCATCCGCGACTCTCCGCGTCACGAACCATTCTACTGTCGCCACACAGGGGTAAAACTAACAACTACACCTCGACTACATTGGGGTCGGCAACATATGACGTCAAGTAGACCACCTTACTAACTGGGCTTCTTTATAGGATTTTTGATATACCGGGTCATCGGGTCACCGCCAAACGTTTCACGTGCGTAGGATAGGAAGACACAAATGATTTTTATTACTTTAGTGTGTGGCTTAGCTCCTGGAAAATCAGCGCGAACACAGCAATAATGAGAGTCACAAACACGCCACCCTTGCACGTAGTAGATGCTATATTGGAGGTGGCTGTGGCAATACTGGCTGCGCTTTCGCCGACAGAACTTCCGCTGGTTGACATGCTCGAAGTCGAAGAATTCAGAGCACTCGCCATCGGGTCATGCTCGACCGACAAGTTCACCGCCACCGAGATCCACACAAACAACCCATCAGCCACCGAGTCTCCCAACAAAGCGTAGATCATGACTGGGTCGTCGCCGTTAGCAACCGCTTGCTGGAAAACGTAGTCATCCTTGTTGAGCGATATCGGCTCAATATTCACCGAGTAGAGTTCTAGTGCCTCCACCGACGTGACAAGCTCCTGGTCGAAGAAAAGCTGCGCCACGTGTGAAAAAGACCCGCCCACGTAGCTCTTGTTCGCCAGCACTTCGCCGCCGTAGTTGCCGATGAAGTGCAGATGTGTAGCGCGGCCGAATTCGTGACCTGGAAAGATCGAGAGCATTCGAGCGACTCCGTCTGCGTCTGTGGGGGTCGCTCCACGTAAGAAAGTCGCGTCGAGATTGCTCATGTCGCCACTGTCTCCGTTCATGATGACCACGACGCCCGAGGTGACTCCAGTCGCATTCGCGTGCTGGAACTCCACGTGCATGCCTTCCACCGGGCCGCAGCTGCTCACGTCGATGACTTGCACATTAATGTGCATGTCAACGCCCTTCTGATCTTCTCTCATGTCGTCGCGGACCAGGTTGCCCCTGATGGAGTAAGGTCCTCTGATGACCTCTGGCAGCACAGTGGTGAATGTATTGCTGCCAAATAGGTCGGCGCCCGTTGTGGTGACATTAACCGAGGTTGTCGAATGGTACTTCGAGGCTTCAAGACGACGCTGGCGGCGTTGCTTGCGCAATTTCTCGATGGCTTCAGCGCGTCGGGCCGCGGTGCGCTCGCCAAGTTTTCGCGTTGTCCAGGATTCTTCGCATTCCTGTAACCTTCTCTGAGCTAGTTCTTGGTCACCAGAGGCAGAATCGGGAAGGATCCAGGCTAAAAGTGCGACAGCAGTGAGGAGCGTTGATTCCTTCATCACGTCTGGCCTTAAGGCTTGAATTGTTTTGTAAGCTGCGCGGAGTGCGCGAATGAGCAGGGGGAAAATTCGAAGTAGGCGGTTTGTTATATCTAACCATGCGATCCGATAAGGTAGAAAGGATGTGAACTATTTCTCAGTTCCTTGAAGATGCCGCGAGGACGATCATACTGCTGTAAATGTCATAGGTGAACATTATGATCAATTTCAATTGCAGGATGATATTGATTGTGGTGAATAGCTCGTACTCAGCTTAAGAGTCGATCAATTCCTGCGGCAGGAGAAGGCTTTTTAGTAGGTGGGGAGGCACTGCGAGAAGCTCGGACTGATGTACTTGCACACCGCTCCGGGGGCACAGAAGGTCTGGCCGTCGTAGTTGCCACCTCCGCACTGGCCGTAGAACGGAACAGGCTCGCGACTGGGCCACACGTCGCACGTGAAGACGTCGCTCCCGTCGACGCCCTGGCATCTGTAACCAGGCTCGCAGGTGAGTCTGGTCAGGTCGCTCGTGACCGGATCCTCTGGCATGTACACGGTGTAGTTGAAGCCGACGCCTCCACAGTCACTGTAGCCAGGAACCAGAGTCACCTGGCCGGCGATCGGCTGAGGACCAGCCTTGGCCGTAGGAGCTGGCGCTTCAGTCGAGTTGGTGTTGGTGGCGTTAACCGCAGCTGGCTTCAGTGTTGGTGTGGTCGTCGGCTTCACCGTCGCAGCAGTGGTAGTAGCTGGGGTGGTCGTATTGGCGACATCGGCGGCAGCGCTGGCGCTTGAGCTGCTGACGGTACTGTTGCTACCTGCATCGGTGACGGCGGCTTCGGTTGCGGCACTGGCGCTTGTATCATTCGACGGAACACTGGGTAGGGTGACAGCGACAGTGGCGTTGGCGGTGTCGGTAGCAGCGCTGGCGCTGGTATCGTTCAAGGCACTGCTGTTGCCGACGGTAGCAGCTCGCCCGAACGAAGACGCGACAGCGATCGCAGCGAAGCCGAGGATGAAGCTGCACTTGACCATTCTTGAAGGGGGGGGGGGCTCTGGCTGTAGATTTGCTGGGGTTGAACCGAAATTAAAAGTGGCAGATGTGGAGGCACAGGTGCGGCATCCCTACGTCTATATACAGCACCCCTACTGAAATGACATGCATCGCTCACAAGCGCAGGTTCTTAGATTAGATCGTGTCCATAGTTCCTGACCAACGGTACGATGCTATTTGAGGCATCTGTGGCTTCTGGTCTCGTGCTTTCCTTTGCGTCTGAGCTTTTTCGATGCAAACGCTTTCGAACTGGTTGAGATACGCAGAATATTTTGTAGTGCACTTACGCCATGTTGTTACGTGTAGGAAATACTCGAAAGCGGTCAAGCCACTATCATGCTATGAGAAGTGCCCATGTAATATAAAAAAGAAAACTTCCAGTGCTTGGAATCAGTGTGGCATGAGCACCACTACAGCAGCAAGCAAGAGGAGATCCCACTAGTGGAGTAAGGTATGCATTATTTTAAAATAAATTGCCTGGATTGAATGTGTTGCTCGCCAAAGGCGATTATACGTCGCAGCTACCTGTTGTCAGGAGCATACTCTTTATACGTCTAGCTAGACGCCTACTCACTTACAACGATCCCTCGCTGCCCTCGGTACTCTCGCTGCCTTCGACCTCCTCTAAGAAGCGCTCTTCATCAGCACTCGTGCTGCTTTCGTCCTCAGCGCTCTCGCTACCCTCCATTTCAACCAGGAAGCGCTCGGTATCAAGGCTTGCACTGTTGTCGTCGGCCTCGGCGCTCTCGCTGCCCTCGACTTCCTGCAAGAATCGCTCGCCGTCAACACTGTCGCTGCTGGTGTCGACGTCTGCACTCTCACTACCCTCGATTTCCTGAAGGAATCGGACACCGTCGACGCTCTCACTGCCTTCGTCATCTGCTGCACTATCGTCGCTGCCGTCGACCTCCTGCAGGAACCGCTCACCGTCAAAGCTATCGCTTCCCCCGTCAGTCGCCGCGCTGTCATCACCGCTGTCAACTGCCTGTAGGAAGCGTTCGCCATCAAGGCTCTCACTACCCTGGTCGTCAGCGGCACTATCGTCGCTGCTGTCCACTTCCATCAGGAACCGCTCGCCGTCAAGACTCTCGCTGCCCTCCGCATCAACGTCGGTGTCGGCGCTCTCACTCCCCTCCATCTCGAACAGGAAGCGCTCGCCCGCACCGCTGTCGCTGGCGTCCGTGCTGGCGTCGAAGCTGCCCAGGAAACTGTCGGCGTCGACCGATCGGAGGCTGGCGGCGTTGACACCATCGAAGGTGGCGAGTGCCAGCGCGGCGGCGGCGGCGAAGCTGAGGATGATGTTCAACTTGGTCATGGTTGCTGGTGGTTGGTTGTGGGGGGTGAGGTGTTTGCTGTGTTGTTGGCAAATTGAGTGATGAGTGCTGGAGGTATCCTGGCTTGGTTGGTTTTACAACGATAGAGGCGAGCGTGGGGTAGCGTTTTGCCAAACTAATCCAGCTACGGTTTTGCTGTATAGTGGAGTCCCACTGCGATGGTTCAGGAAGAGTGGAGATCTAGCGTACCGAACCTTCCCATCACGAAAAGAGGAACAAGAGTTCTCGAAATTATCAGCCGCGATGCACATCAACACGCCCACAGGGCTGTCGCCACTCACCTTCCCAGACACGTCCCGTGTCCGGGAATAGGCGCCACTAACACCATCGAAAATAGCTCTAAGCTTAGCTCAAATTCTGGCGATGATAGCCCATCAGTCCTGTGACTGTTTCTATCGCTGGACTGTACCAAACGTAGCTGGCAGCCGACACACAGATCACCAATATCTCTTCATCTTTAGCCAGACGACCGATAGAAAAAAATCAGCTACAATCTACTTGACGAATCGTATATTGGAAACTCGCATTGGCGATTGGGCAAGCCTAAAACGTTATCGATTTCCACCTTATTCTACGAATCATGGATTCCTTTACACTTTTCAACGGCTATTTGCGTACACCTGAGATGCAAGTTGTGGCGAATCTGAAGCGAAACGTTGTCGGCTCTTTCCCATGACAGAATAGCCAAGTAAGCACCGCTATATACAGCGTATCGGACACCAAGCAGAAAAATGCCGTTGGTTTTACAGTCTCTAGCTCTGGATCGAATGCAATCGATCACTTCCAATTTTCCCCTGGACCGAAAACACCTCCGCCCGACCTTCCCTCGACACCCTCGACTTCACCCAGCCACCACCAGCAACCATGACCAAGTTGAACATCATCCTCAGCTTCGCCGCCGCCGCCGCGCTGGCACTCGCCACCTTCGATGGTGTCAACGCCGCCAGCCTCCGATCGGTCGACGCCGACAGTTTCCTGGGCAGCTTCGACGCCAGCACGGACGCCAGCGACAGCGGTGCGGGCGAGCGCTTCCTGTTCGAGATGGAGGGGAGCGAGAGCGCCGACACCGACGTTGATGCGGAGGGCAGCGAGAGTCTTGACGGCGAGCGGTTCCTGCTGGAAGTGGAGAGCGGTGACGATAGTGCCGCCGATGATGAGGGAAGTGAGAGCTTCGCCGGCGAACGCTTCCTGCAGGCAGTTGACAGCGGTGACGACAGCGCAGCGACTGACGAGGGAAGTGAGAGCCTTGACGGCGAACGGTTCCTGCAGGAGATCGACGGCAGCGACGAAAGTGCCGGTGACGACGAGGGCAGTGAGAGCGTCGACGGAGAACGGTTCCTGCAGGAGATCGACGGCAGCGACGAAAGTGCCGGTGACGACGAGGGAAGCGAAAGCGTCGATGGTGAGCGGTTCCTCCAGGAAGTCGAGGGCAGTGAGAGCGCAGACGTCGACACCAGCAGCAACAATCCCAGAGGAAAAATCCATAGATATTCCAACATCTACTGCACACGTAAAAGTGAATCACGTGAATCGAATACAGCGGATAACGCGAATAAGTATACATGGTATCCGAAATACGCATCGACCATGACACCCCGTTTTCACGATAAACGAAGTGAACTCTCCTCATGAACATAATGATAACCCGCGTGTTGATGAAAGCTGTACAAATCGTTGCAATGCAATTACTTAAGTAGTTGTATTTGCTTGGTACTGCAAATGCCTTGGGCCCCGAGGCTTAAGGTGGTCATAAACGAATCCTAGTCTTCAACGAATCCTAGTCTAGTCAGCTAGAGACTGTGCCGATAAATATTAAGCGCTACCGCTCTCACTGCCTTCATCGCCCTCGCTGCCTTCGAACTCCTCCAAGAAGCGCTCGCCGTCGACACTCGCGCTGCCTTCATCCTCAGCACTCTCGCTGCCCTCCACCTCGGCCAAGAAGCGCTCGCCTTCGGTGCTGTCACTGCCCTCATCCTCAGCACTCTCGCTACCCTCCGCATCGACTTCGGTCAGGAAGCGTTCGCTATCAAGACTCGCACTGCTGTCATCGGCCTCAGAACCCTCGCTTCCTTCGACTTCAAGTAGGAAGCGCTCACCGTCAAAGCTCTCGCTGCTGTCATCGGTCTCGGCGCTCTCACTGCCCTCGGCCTCCTGCAAGAAGCGCTCGCCGTCGACACTGTTGCTGCTGGTGTCGACGTCTGCGCTCTCACTGCCCTCGACTTCCTGGAGGAACCGCTCACCATCGACGCTTTCGCTTCCCTCGTCGTCACCGGCACTTTCGTCGCTGCCGTCGATCTCCTGCAGGAACCGTTCTCCGTCGACGCTCTCACTGCCCTCGTCGTCACCGGCACTTTCGTCGCTGCCGTCGATCTCCTGCAGGAACCGTTCGCCGTCAAGGCTCTCACTTCCCTCGTCAGTCGCTGCGCTGTCGTCACCGCTGTCAACTGCCTGCAGGAAGCGTTCGCCGGCGAAGCTCTCACTTCCCTCATCATCGGCGGCACTATCGTCACCGCTCTCCACTTCCAGCAGGAACCGCTCGCCGTCAAGACTCTCGCTGCCCTCCGCATCAACGTCGGTGTCGGCGCTCTCGCTCCCCTCCATCTCGAACAGGAAGCGCTCGCCCGCACCGCTGTCGCTGGCGTCCGTGCTGGCGTCGAAGCTGCCCAGGAAACTGTCGGCGTCGACCGATCGGAGGCTGGCGGCGTTGACACCATCGAAGGTGGCGAGTGCCAGCGCGGCGGCGGCGGCGAAGCTGAGGATGATGTTCAACTTGGTCATGGTTGCTGGTGGTGGCTGGGTGGAGTCGAGGGAGGTTGGGCGGAGGTGTTTCCGGTCCGGGGAAAAGTTGGAAGTGAATGATCGATCAATCGGGAGCTTTTCGCGTTGGAAGGGTGAATCGTAGAGCAAGCAAGGTGGAGACGTTGAGACCGAGATCCGGGAAGCTGTTGTTGAGATCGTGCTCGATGGGGTTGGTGTCTGTGTGGCGTCCCTGCTCGATTCATCCATGCTTACGGAGACTTAATTCAGAAATAGAGTTGCGATTCACCTGCGATGAAGCAAAACTGCAGCTCCTGGGACGTCGTTGAATAAGGTGCTGGAGATTTGGAAATAGGATAGCAAACACACGATCAAAACGGCCTCAGCATTTCTGAAGTAAGCAGTTTCGCTTACTACGTATATTTAAAGACGGGGATATCCACCGAGAGACGAAGTGTTCTATCACTTTTTCATGCGCGATCCCAAGTGATATGGTAAATAGAAAAAAAATAACTAACAGCAACAAGTAGCAGAAGCAAACAAGAATAAAAAGGTGAACTGTATTTGCCTTACTTCCACCAGGACAGATTCGACGGGTCAAACACTCCGCTATCATCATCAATTGGCGCAGGCTTTACGGTGCCAGGTTGGTACTCGCCGTCCACGTCGTCTTCACCGTCATCTTCGCTGTCGACTGAATCTTTGGCATTATCGTCACTCTCATCCGAGTCTTGGACATTTGAGGTCGAGTCGCTTAAACTGAGATCATCGACGAGTGTGGATCCATCCACGCTGGACTCGACTTCAATTAGCAGGCGGAAATCAGAGCCGTCCTCACTTGAGTCGGCCGACTCCTCCGAGCTCGAGGACTCTTCTTCTGCCAAGAAGCGGTCTCCAGACCCGTTGTCCGACGTGTCCTCGCTGCTGTCCAGCTCCACCAAGAAGCTTGACCCGTCGACGCTGGTAGCGATCTCCTCCAGGAAGCGTTCGCCTGCAACACTATCGCTTGAGTCGGACTCAGCAAGGAAGAAGTCGGCCGATCCGCTGTCACTGGCGTCCAACGTTGCCAAGAACCGACTTGGCTCATTCTGGCGGAGATTGCTCGCCTTCACACTGCAAAAGGCAACGGCTGCAGTAGCTAGGGTGACGATAACGCTCAACTTGGTCATGGCAGTACGGCGAAGGGGATGTTTGCTGGATACGGAGTAAATGTGTAAATGATAAGGTGTGTAAGCCAAGGTTTTCTCTAGCTGCTAGTAGGCTATTTTTTTCAGCCTGCGAAGTCACAGCTCCACAGTCTCAGCAGTGTGTATCTCTTCTTTGGAATCGAGCAGTTTCAGCCACAATGGCAGGCTCAAATTTTGAGACCAAACACCTCACAGAAAAATATCAAGTGGGATGAAGTCCTTCAGCAACAACTCACATGCTGCAGATTCTCGATCTCAAGCTCATTGTCGCAATTGAGCGCGTTCCCAGCCCTGAGAAGCTCGCACCTTTCGTTGCATGAAAACAGGAGGGGAATATAAAAAATCCTGGCGGTATTCAGCAATTGCAGGTATTTACAGGTTGTTGACTTGCATGTTTTTTCCATGCAAAGCCCTAGTCGATCAGACAATCTCGCTGGGCATTTTTCTCGGACTCGTCGGTTTCGTAGGCGACAAAGGCCTCTCTTTCGCATCCGCGGACATAAGCAGTCTCGCTCCTTCTTCTTCGTCGCTGCTATTGGCCTCCTCGCCCGACTCGTCCTCCGATTCTTCGTCGGCTTTTTGCAGTGCAAGCTCCAGTTTCTCCATCTCGGTCATCGCCGGCGCTTTCCGCCACCATCTCGCCATGACGAATGGAAGGCCCTCCTCCATCGCAACATAAAGGAAGTAGTTCACTGGCGGGGTCAACCCAAATGGCCAAAACCAAAGACCACGCCGCATCCCATCCCTGAGTTGGTGGCTGAACCACGCCGCCACGATGAAGCACACCCGGTAGCGCCTCTTCCTAGCTTGAACTCTCCTCGAACACCGATTGACCAGTAACGCCACCACAATGATGAAGGTGACTGCGTGGCCGAACGGCCGTCCGTTGAGATGTGTAGCTCCAGCCACACTCAAAGCTCCAGCAGCGATGAAATGGTCGACGTCTAGCAGTGACGCGGTGATGCCGTTAAAAAAGCACTTTTTCAGCATTCCGAGACTGGAAAAGGTCGAGTCCCCGGACTCGGAATATTTCTCGGTCTGGAGCAGGAAAATGGCCCAGCAGCAGAAAGCCACGCTACCATGAGCCGCAGAGTCGACGAGGTGGCGGAGGAGCTTGTAGTCTAAGAGATAGACGCTACACAAGTGAAAAAAAGTGCTTAGAATTCTGCTTTTTTGCGTTTTGGGAAATATTTTGAAGAGGAGAAAGAGGCGACAGACGACGTACTGCTGGAAGAGGAAGTAGTCGCTGGAGAGGCAGATGAGCAGCAGAAGCACCATGAACGCGCGCTGCAGCAGCGTCAACCGGTGCTTGTGGGCGCGCTCCTCGTCCTCGTCCAGCATAATTGCGACTCGACTAGAAAAAAGCAGGAATGAAGAATGGCTTGATATTTGTAGAATGCTTTTTATTATGCTTGCTTAGACGAGGACTGCTTTTTTTTACTGCAGCCTCGAAGTGACTGGTGTCATGCCATGGCGACTTCCCAATTGTCGAGTTCTCAAATGCAATTCATTTCATTCACTACTGTTTGTTGGTAGACTTAGCAGACGATCGAGATCTAGGGAGGTAATAGAAGCGTGGACATCTACGAGAACTCTTGCTCCTTGGGGACGCACTGCGAGTACCACGCGTTGAAGTACTTGCAGATGGCGCCATTGGCGCACTCGGTCGAGCCTCGGTAGTCTACACCGCCGCACTGATCCCACAACTTGAGGCCTGTCAGGTCGGGCAGTGGCTGGCACTGGTAGTACCATTCGTTGACGATCTCGCACGTGTAGCCTTCCTCGCACTCCTTCTTGGGCGTCTCCTCATCGGGCAGCGAGTCGTCCCTAGAGAAGTCAAAGTCGAACCCTTTGCCGCCGCATTGCTCCCAGGCTGGGACCACATCAACATCATCTGCAATATCATCGAGCAGAAGCTCGGCGTCGTCGTCGGCCGTGTGTTGCTTGGAGAGATGGCCGCGCTTCTTGGTCGAAGCTGACGTTGCTGATCCCCTCGGGAGGCACTGAGCGAACCACGGGTCGGACTGCACGCAGACGTAGCCTGGGGCACACACTTCGCTGCCCTCGTAGCCGATGCCGCCGCACTGCCCGTACTTCGGGACCTCAAGCTCCTCCGTCTCCTGCCCCTCGTAGGAAGCACTCCCAGTCCAAGAAGCGCTGTCGTCGTCGTCGACCGAATCGTCAAAGTCGGCGTCCACGTCCACATCGCTGTCGTCAACGTCGAGTCTGCGGACGTGCGAGGCGCTGGCAACGTCCGACGCAGCCAAAGCCACTGCAGCAGCGGCAAAGGCGGCGATCACATGCAGTCTGACCATGTTGAAGAGGTCGGCAAGAAGGGTGGGTAGCTTGGTATGAAGAAAACTTCAAAGTGAACCAAACAATGCGAACGACATGTAGCTTGAGTAGCGTTGGGGGGGGCAGTTGGATAACTGAAGGGGTTTCCCAACTCTCAGCGAAGTGTATCATCGCAGTTAGGAACGGTCTGTACACCTTCGGCGACTAAATTACCGGCGGTTCATTCCTCCGTCGCTCACATCGCAAACTTTTTGACATGGATCGATCTCAAAACAAAACGCACTTCGCATTCTCACTGCTACGCTACAAATACTGGTATTGGACAGAAAGGAGGAGGTTGGTGTGGAGTCTCAGGAGCCCCTCGAGAGGAGCTCGACAGCTTATTGTCGTCATAATGTTCAACATGATCAGACGGCACTTCCTAAGAAAAAAGCTATACTTTCATCATTCTCGCACACGCTGCCTCTCCATGCCTCAAATGACCGACACTCTACTGAGATGTATAGAGGTCCCTCATCTGGATAATTGTCATCACTTGGATCGGTGTAATTCTAGAGTTATAACAATCATCGGGGCCTCGAAGAAGGAAGGAAATCCACACGCAATAAAGACTCACGAGCAGCTACTGGCACTGGAATACCAGGCAACTCACTTGGAAGAAGAAATCTGTAACTGACGTGTCTAACCAGCAGCTCCAGTTCGGCTGTCCAGTCGTTTCGTAAAAAGCGTAATTACGAGCGTTTTTACAATGGTCGAGGATGTACCATCCAACTGGTACAATCAATGAGGCGCGAGTCTCGACCTGCTTGCGGTGCTGGGCTGGTTCACATGTGAGGCGGGACAAGCGTACGACACCGACTGTGGTCTTGCAACGAAAGACTTGATCCATTGTGGGGAAACTATAATACGATTGCAAGTCTTTCGTTGCTATACATACTGTAGCCATTCTGCATTTCATCGTCGTAGGGCGTTCGTCGATTGCTGCAACAGCTCAACTACGAGTCGTAGTCATCGTAGCCCGTCTCCAAGCAGACTGCCGTCGACTATCGGCAATCTTGAGGCGGAGCATCGTCGAGGAATCGACAATCGAGCTGTCGCAGCCTCGCGCATCGAAAACCCAAAGTCCAATTCGCATTGTATATCGCTGCAACACTACCGATTACTGACCTCCAGCAGCACTAGGTATGCCGTTTCCTGTTACCATTCACTACGCGCGCCAGCAGGAAGGGGGCAGAGGGGCAACGAAATTCCAAAGACAACTGCAGCATTTCAGCTGCTCGCCGTGTCGGCAAGTCGCTCTGGTTGCCCTGATGTCGTTACTAATGCCTTCTTCTCGCGCACGCATTGGTCACCATTTCACCCAATCGCAGCTCTCCGAAAGAGCGAGAAGAAGAAGAGAACGAGAACAGAACAAAAGGCGATAGAGGCAAAAGAGCAGCATGGCGGACGCGGGCAACAGCAAGGCGCGCGAGGTGAAGGTGGTGCTGCTGGGCGACACGGGCGTGGGCAAGTCCTCGCTCGTGCTGCGCTTCGTGACCAACAACTTCCGCCCGTACTCGGAGTCCACCATCGGCGCCTCCTTCATGTCCAAGATGATCGTGGTCAACGACACGCCCATCAAGTATCAGATTTGGGATACCGCCGGCCAGGAAAAGGTACCAAATTCTCTAACCTGCCGGTAGTGCCCAAATTCTCTAACCTTCAGGCAACATCAGTCTCTAACCTTTGTTTGTATCTACTTAAACGTTCGCAGTACCACAGCTTGGCGCCCATGTACTACCGAGGAGCTGCCGCCGCCATCGTCGTGTACGATATCACTAGAAAGGTGAGCTCCATCAACGATGCAACCCTTAAGGGATCTCCACAAGTTATATGCAAATGCAACTGGTGCTAACCTGTGCTTCTTACGCACTGCAACAGCAATCTCTGACGACGCTGAAGAACTGGGTCAAGGAGCTGAAGCAACTGGGTCCGGACAACATCGTGATCGCCATCGCCGGCAACAAGAGCGACCTGGAGGAGAAGCGCGAGGTGCCGGCGTCGCAGGCGCGCGCCTACGCCGAGGAGATCGGCGCGCTGTTTATCGAGACGAGCGCCAAGGAGGACACGAACGTGTCGGACCTGTTCATCCAGATCAGCCAGGCGCTGCCCACGGCCTCGGCCGAGAGCAACGCACTGCCCGAGATCGTGGACCCGTACGGCGGTGGCAAGAAGAAGTCTGGTGGCTGCTGTTAAGGGGGGATAGTTAGGCCGACAGGGAGAACGCTGGATAAAAGATACCTACCGGACGGTGACATGGAGGAGGAAGCAATTCGTGAGGTTGACAGACAGGAGACAAGTGCTGAACAATGCGTAAGATTTTTTTTGGATTTTGTAAAGGTGTTAGAGTGGCAACTTTGTCATGTTGCCGAGCTGGTTACTGCTTGGTGACAAAGTTGTTGCGTGTCATTTGGTTGGACGAGTCCATCGTGGTATTTTACCAGTCGCGCAGCTGGCGCTTGATTTCTCGTTGGTCGTCGCGCCGGCGGTTGTCCACTTGGCCCCGCTTGAAGCACGCCGCCAAGATAACCTTGATCCAGCCGGTGTTGCCCACTTCAATCCGCATCGGAATCTGCACATAACAAATATCGTTGTCAGATGCAACGCAAAAGTACCCATTTTAATGTCTAACCAGCACCTTACCAGCTGAGCATTGGGTCGATTGGCAAACTCCTCCAGTTTCTTGAGCTCGGAGCGGTTTGCCAGCAGCTTACGCACTCGCGTCGGCTCAGGTCGGCCGATGAGTCCATGCCGCCATACTGTTCACACACTCCGTTAGCACTCTCTAACCTGGTTAACACTAGCCTAAACAGTCCGAACCTGGAATACTCAGGTCGTGCAGGAACAGTTCGTGCTTGTAGAAAGCCCCAAAGGCGGTGGAGAGATCGGCGTTCCGGTCCCGCAGCGACTTCACCTCAGAAGGTTTAAGCACGATGCCCAAATTCCACTCGCGCTCCACCTCGTAGTAACTTCCGGCAGCTTTGCGGATGAACTTCTGGTTGCGACACAGAATTTTGATGGGGAAGTCACGGAGCCCTCGGCAACTCTGAGACAGCCACGGAGAAGAGCGTGGTAGGCCCCCCTGGCCAAGACGCGCGCCTCGAACGAGCAGCTCCATTAGCAGAGACCGTCAACACCAATGTGTAAGATTTGCCACTTCCAGGAAATCGGAGTTGAACAGCATAACGGCATATTTGGGTTGAAGTGGAGTTAAAGAGCACTGCTGTCGACACCGTTTACTTGTTGAAGTCGAAGCATTATGCTCTTCTCGTTTGTCGGAGATGCCCATAGAATGCAATTGCTCCAGCTAAACGCGACGACGCACGCCTGGTCAAGTAGATGGCGTTGAAGAAATCTACCGTCACGATGATAGACTCCTGCAGCAGATCTTCCCTTTGGGTTGAGCTGCATGAGGGGAGGTAAAACTTACTTTATGGCAAACTTGATAAGAGGTGATAGAGAGCACTAAAGTCATGGGCAGCTCGTATCTTGTGTCGATTGTTAGCTTATAAGGGTATCTTGTCGATTACCGCTAACTAGCACTTAACGTTATGGGTTTTTCTTGGGGATGCACTGTGAGTACCAATCGTTGACGTAGTTGCACTCAAATCCAGCGGGGCACTTGGTCAGCCCACGGTAGTCCACGCCACCACACTGGCCCCACTGCTCGACCGTTTTGACGGCCTTGGCTGCCCGGCATTGGTAGTACCAAGGATTCACAACCTCGCAGTTGTAGCCTTCCGTGCAGTTCAGCTTCGTCGACCAATTTGCCGAGGTTCCGTCAGCAAAATATTGTGCATAGTCGAAGCTCAGACCGCCGCATTGCTTCCAAGGTGCGACCTCGGTAAGTTGAGGCGGGGCACCAGTTACAGGACCATCCGTTGCAGCAGCGTCGGTGGCGACAGGAGCGTCCGTGGCATCGTTGCCGGTGGTCGTGCCGGCACTGCCCGATCCGGCAGGTTCAGTCGCGGCAGGCGTCTCGGAAGCAGAGGCATCGGACGAAGGCGTCGCTGGAGCCTCGGTTGTCACGTCCGGCGTCGTGGCCGCGTCGGACGTGGTAGGCGCATCCGTAGCGGCAGCGTCGGTGGCGACAGGAGCGTCCGTGGCATCGTTGCCGGTGGTCGTGCCGGCACTGCCCGATCCGGCAGGTTCAGTCGCGGCAGGCGTCTCGGAAGCAGAGGCATCGGACGAAGGCGTCGCTGGAGCCTCGGTTGTCACGTCCGGCGTCGTGGCCGCGTCGGACGTGGTAGGCGCATCCGTAGCGGCAGCGTCGGTGGCGACAGGAGCGTCCGTGGCATCGTTGCCGGTGGTCGTGCCGGCACTGCCCGATCCGGCAGGTTCAGTCGCGGCAGGCGTCTCGGAAGCAGAGGCATCGGACGAAGGCGTCGCTGGAGCCTCGGTTGTCACGTCCGGCGTCGTGGCCGCGTCGGACGTGGTAGGCGCATCCGTAGCGGCAGCGTCGGTGGCGACAGGAGCGTCCGTGGCATCGTTGCCGGTGGTCGTGCCGGCACTGCCCGATCCGGCAGGTTCAGTCGCGGCAGGCGTCTCGGAAGCAGAGGCATCGGACGAAGGCGTCGCTGGAGCCTCGGTTGTCACGTCCGGCGTCGTGGCCGCGTCGGACGTGGTAGGCGCATCCGTAGCGGCAGCGTCGGTGGCGACAGGAGCGTCCGTGGCATCGTTGCCGGTGGTCGTGCCGGCACTGCCCGATCCGGCAGGTTCAGTCGCGGCAGGCGTCTCGGAAGCAGAGGCATCGGACGAAGGCGTCGCTGGAGCCTCGGTTGTCACGTCCGGCGTCGTGGCCGCGTCGGACGTGGTAGGCGCATCCGTAGCGGCAGCGTCGGTGGCGACAGGAGCGTCCGTGGCATCGTTGCCGGTGGTCGTGCCGGCACTGCCCGATCCGGCAGGTTCAGTCGCGGCAGGCGTCTCGGAAGCAGAGGCATCGGACGAAGGCGTCGCTGGAGCCTCGGTTGTCACGTCCGGCGTCGTGGCCGTGTCGGACGTGGTAGGCGCATCCGTAGCGGCAGCGTCGGTGGCGACAGGAGCGTCCGTGGCATCGTTGCCGGTGGTCGTGCCGGCACTGCCCGATCCGGCAGGTTCAGTCGCGGCAGGCGTCTCAGAAGCAGAGGCATCGGACGAAGGCGTCGCTGGAGCCTCGGTTGTCACGTCCGGCGTCGTGGCCGCGTCGGACGTGGTAGGCGCATCCGTAGCGGCAGCGTCGGTGGCGACAGGAGCGTCCGTGGCATCGTTGCCGGTGGTCGTGCCGGCACTGCCCGATCCGGCAGGTTCAGTCGCGGCAGGCGTCTCGGAAGCAGAGGCATCGGACGAAGGCGTCGCTGGAGCCTCGGTTGTCACGTCCGGCGTCGTGGCCGCGTCGGACGTGGTAGGCGCATCCGTAGCGGCAGCGTCGGTGGCGACAGGAGCGTCCGTGGCATCGTTGCCGGTGGTCGTGCCGGCACTGCCCGATCCGGCAGGTTCAGTCGCGGCAGGCGTCTCAGAAGCAGAGGCATCGGACGAAGGCGTCGCTGGAGCCTCGGTTGTCACGTCCGGCGTCGTGGCCGCGTCGGACGTGGTAGGCGCATCCGTAGCGGCAGCGTCGGTGGCGACAGGAGCGTCCGTGGCATCGTTGCCGGTGGTCGTGCCGGCACTGCCCGATCCGGCAGGTTCAGTCGCGGCAGGCGTCTCAGAAGCAGAGGCATCGGACGAAGGCGTCGCTGGAGCCTCGGTTGTCACGTCCGGCGTCGTGGCCGCGTCGGACGTGGTAGGCGCATCCGTAGCGGCAGCGTCGGTGGCGACAGGAGCGTCCGTGGCATCGTTGCCGGTGGTCGTGCCGGCACTGCCCGATCCGGCAGGTTCAGTCGCGGCAGGCTTCTCAGAAGCAGAGGCATCGGATGAAAGTGTTGCTGGGGCACTGGGTGTTACAGTTGGGTTCTTTGACGTTGTTGTGTTGGTGGGCGAAGATGTCGGTGTTGTTGTCGGCTCAGCTGCCGGAATTGTTGTGTTTAGGATGTCGTCGAGGTTATCGAGGTCGCTGCTTCCATCAGCATTGTCGTCTGCTCCCCAGACATCTCCGGCGAGCGAGTCTTCCTCCGTTGATGTGATCGAGTCCAGGAACGCGGTCTCCTTGTTCTCGGCCAGCAAACGTCCGTCGTCCATTGAGCGGAGGTGTTCGGCTTTCGCGTGGTCCACTGCCGTCATAGTCGCCGTCGCCGCCGCCGCGAAGCCGACAATCACGCGTAGTTTGGTCATCACGAGGTTGTAGCACGGGTTGTGTGCGGGTGTGGGGTCGTTCGATAAACGAAAAGTGACAGTGAATGAGGGCAACTGCTCACCAAGCAGCGCAGCGTGCCACCGCTGCGGCAAAATGCGCGTTGATCATACCCAACGCTCGAATTCAGCAGGACATGGCTCGGTCTTATCCATTCACTGTCTGACGCTTGTTAGACAGACCCTGCCAGTTCACCAGCGCCGCCGGCCACCAATAGACGCGAGGATGCAGCCAACGCTCACATTGCCGCTAATAGCAGGTCTCAGCCCTCAGACACACACATCCCAACCGCCCACTGGATTCCACCACCAAAACGACAAACTTACCCGTTTGCTCCACCAAACGCCGCAGTGTCTTCGTCGAACTCGCGTGCATCAACCGAAGTTGAAGTGCATTCGTCCACAATGGCCACAGACGATACGAGTACATATTGTGCGCCACGCCAAATTATCTCACTCGCAAAATGGCAGCACCGCGCGGATGCCTGAGCTGAGCTGGAAAGCAGGGAACGGAGAAGACCCGAGCTTTTCGTGGTTGCGGACGCAAAACGATACGGTCCTTGGACTATTCACTGCTTGTCAATCGCTCTAACGTGCTGGAAGGTTCAGTGTCGACGAGGCTACTGATGCTGCGAGGTCATCGATGCTTCAACACCCCAAAGTGAGGCCCCGAGGCTTGACTGGTTGGTGTGGCTCGCTGGGTCGAGTTGACCGCCGAACTCGGAGACAAGTGATAAGCACGGAGGACCAGAGGACAGAGAACTAAAGCGAGCACCGCTCGTCGAACGCGCCATCGCCAAAACAAGGCAAAGCTTTGTCGGCCGGTCATTTCCAGCTCAAAGCCAAGTGAAAGTGATCCCGGAACGCTTGGGCTCGGCAACGCTATTATAGACACACGCCGTCCAGTGCCGCGTGTCGTGTGATACAGTACCCGGTATGCTGTTAGTTGATTGAGTTTTTCAGCTAGCGGGAAGGCGACTGCACCTTCCAGTAGGGCAACGCGTTGCGATCGAGCGCAAAACGGACCCCTTTTCGGCGGGACTGGGTCATTTATTCGCCTGAGATGCTGTCGCCTCCAGGTGAGATGGTGCTTTCCTGGTGCTCTTCGAAACGAAACGACCGCACAGTGCGAAGGCCATCCCCATTTTCGTAACGACCCGTGTCGGTGTGCCCCTCCACAGCAACAGAAGTTGCCACAGTCGTCAAGAATCGCAAGGGGGCACTGGTGCTGTCGGTGTTCTTCTCGTGACTGACTGGCGGACGGGAAGGTGACGATGGCCGAGCCACCGGTGGAAGACGCCGTAGATTCTCCCGAGCTAGCTGAGGAGCAAGAGTCCGACCCGGTCGTGGAAAACGAGGCCAAGCAGGCATTTGAAGAAGACCAACCCGTTGAAGAAAATGAGGGTGACGTGGAGCAGTCTGCAGGAACGGAGGAGCCAGCCGAGGCTCCACCTGAAGAAGAGTCCCCAGGTGAAGACGCAGCAGTTCCTCAAGACGAACAGCCGACTGAAGATACCGTAAAGGACGGCGTTGCTGTGACTCAAGAGACTTCGAATCGAGCGGAACTTCCAGTATCAGCTGAGCAGGTTGAGGTGAAGGAGGCGGCGGACGCTCCTGCTGATGCTGATGCAGTGGCTGAGCCATTCCAAGCTCTGGACATGACCCCGCTCGAGGAGAGCGTCGCTGCTGCGGCTGAGTCGCCAAAGGCTAAAGCCCCCAAATCTTTCTCACGGTTGTCAAGCAGACGTAACAATTCTATCCGCGAGGGCATGACGCAAGAGCAAAAAGTCAAAACGATGGTGCGCAATGCCATCATTCGCGCGCGAGAGGACCGTCTCGGCAAGGGGATGAAGGGCGTGTTCGAGGCCAATATGGACGACATCGGCGCGCTGGGCATCGGCATGCAGCTGTACTTCATGCTGACCAAGTACCTGAGCGTGGTCTTCGTGTGCATGGGGATCATCTCTCTGCCCGCCATCATGGTCAACTCGTACGGCCACGGCATCACCAGCAAGATGGTGGATCCGCTGCAGCTCGCGTACTCTTCGATTGGCAACGGAGGCGTCAATAGCGACACGGCCGCGACAGCTCGTAGTTGTCTACCAATCGGCGACATTGACTGCACCTGGGAGACGGTGGACACGCCGCTGACGTCGAACCCCAAGACCGTCACGTGGATCGTCACCATCAGCGACGTGCTGTACTCGCTCGTCTTCACGATATTCCTGCTCTTCTACTCGTACCGAGCCAAGAAGGCCATCAAGGAACACCAGAACAAGCACCTGACGCCTGCGAGGTACGCGGTTATGGTGCGTGGACTGCCCAAGAGTGCCACGGAGAAGGAGATCCTGGAGCATTTTAACAACCTGTACGACCTCAACAAGGAGGAGGAGTACGCCAAGCTGTGGTTCGGCATGTACTGGGGCAAGCGGCGCAAGGTCAAGCGCTCGCGCTCGAAGAAGGCGGACAACAGGAGCGTCGTCTCAAATGTGGACCATCTTGAAGGATCCACGACGATCAACAAGGATCTCTACCTCAACACTTGGATCGCGGAGGTCAGCGTCGCTCACCCGACTGGAGGACTGCTGCGCACGTTCCTGAAGATGGAGCACTTAGACCAGAAGAGAGAGGAAGTCGAGCAGCTCATTGCTCTACTGGAGAAAGAGAAGAGTCACTCCCTGGCCAATTTCAGTGCGGCCGACGAGAAACTGATTCACGCGTCGAAGAAGAAGCTCAAGAAGATCGAGAAGAAGATCGAGAACAAGATGAAGAAGATCGCGGCGCTCAAGGAGGTGCTTCCCGAGTCGTCGGAAGCTGAACAAGTACTGGAGCAAAAGAAGATGAAGCAGGAGAAGAAGGCCAGCACGCTCTCGTCCAAGCAGAAGCTCGCGGCCGCCGCGAAAGCCGCAAGCTCGGCAGCAAGTTCCGCAGCGAGTACTCTGGCGTCCAAGGAGAAGCTCGCGGCGGCTGCAAAGGCGGCCAAGACGGCGGCGACGAGCACTCAGCAGGCGTTCGACTGGGAGGGGTGCGAGTGCGCCTTCGTGGTGTTCAACAACCTCGAATCAAGACGCCGGTGCCTCGAGGACTACCGCCAGTCAAGCGGTTGGCTTGCGCGCAAGTGGCAGCCGTCGATCCTGCGCTTCCGCAACGGAACTTACCCGCTGATCGTGACCCCCGCCCCCGAGCCGTCGAACATCCTGTGGGAGAACCTCGAGGTGACCGAGCGTGGCCGATTCTATCGCCAATTTGTGACGAACTTGATCACCGTGATGCTGCTGATCATCTCGTGTGCCATCATCTCGGCCGCGCAGTCGACGCAGGAGCAGTTCGCGAGCAAGATGCCACCGGAGGGGCTGTGCGACCGAGCGCTCCCGGCCGTGTACTACGCAGACACGCCGTTCTCAGTGAACGCCACTACCCGGAGATCGATCGTGTGGACGCTCGGGTGGGATGCGAAAGCGACCTGTTCACCTGGGGACTCGGGAGATACGCGCTACCACATCGCGTACACGAACGAGATCAACAACGACTTGAACACCTCGAGGTTGTCGTACGGATCGGCCTATCCAGACCCCACGCGGTGCACGGAGCCGTGTATCTCGGAGGCCAGCACAGGAACGTGTAATACTCTACCGTGCTTCTACTACGACGAGCTGGTCCAGTCCGACGGTATGGCTTGTGAAGCGTACGAGGCGAGTCACGTGCTGTACTGCTACTGCTCGACGGCGTTGACGACCAGTATCAAGAATAACGGCTTCGTTGACGGACCCAAGATGCTGTGGAACAACTTGCCGTGCCGCGGATACATCAAGGACTACCTCATCAAGAACTCGTTCATCCTGCTGGCTGCTGCGATCGTCGTGATTGTCAACTTTCTGCTGGACAACATCCTGCGCGCGTTCGCGGTGTTCGAGCGCCACACGAGCGAGTCGACCAAGACCATCCGCGTCGCAGTGCGCATGTTCGTCGCGCAGTTCCTCAACACGGCGCTGATCGTGATCGTTGTGAACGCATCCTTTGGTTTGAGTGGGGTTCCAGTCGCCAAGGAGCTGCTGGGCGGCAAGTACAAGGACTTCCAGCGCGGTTGGTACCCGACGGTGGGCATGGGAATCGCCACGACCATGCTGCTTAACGCCTTCCTGCCGCAGGTCACGCTGTTCGGAAAGATGTTCATCTGGTCGCCGGTCTACCGCTGGCACAAGCGCCGCTCGATCCGCACCCAAGAGAAGATGGACAAGCTGTACGCCGGCCCCAAGTTCGACATGTCGGAGCGATACCCGATGGTGCTCAACTCGGTGTTCGTGACGATGGTTTTCTGCGGTGGAGTGCCCGTGCTGCTCTTCATCGGCGCCGTGGCGGCTGCCGGCATCTACTGGTTCGACAAGCTCTCGATTCTGCACCTGTACAGCGTCAAGACGACGTACGATGAGATTCTTGGACAGGTGACGCTCCAGGCGCTGCCTTGGACGCTGGCGCTGCACTTGGCGTTCTCCGCGTGGATGTACGGCAACACGGAGCTGCTCAAGGGCACGATGCTCAACTTGCCGTGGCTGTTACGCTCTGTGGGTCTCTCTTCAGTGGTGAGAGACAACCCGAACGCGACGACAGACCAACTGTACGCCATCCTGACAGATAAACTCGGCAAGTTCGACGTGTTGGGGCAGTACGGCTTCTTGGTCAAGATCGTGTACTCGCACGTGATGCTGATGACGGTGCTGTGTTTCATCGTCACGGTCGGTCTCTTGCTGTACACGATCTTCGGCCGCCTCGTGTTCGTCGTGCTCGGTCAGATGCTGGAGCTGTTGAAACAGGCCGCGCTGCTGCCTGTGGAGCTGATCCGCTCTCTTGTCGTGAAGGAAGACGGCGAGTCTCTACCCAAGGAGACGGATTCTCTTCAGCAGGAGAAGTTGCCGAAGGTGCTGATCCCAGAGTTCACGGAGCCGTTCGTCATGTCGGTCTCGAAGAAGTACAAGTCGGACGGGAGTCTCGGCTTCCAGAAGAACATAGTGGACAATACCGAAGAGCTCACGTGTGTGTGGCCGGACGATGCCAATGGCCGAGTCGCGGGTGAGCGCATGTTGACGTGGGAGACCATGCAGGCGCCCGTCAAGTCGTACGCGATCGAGGCGAACGAAAAGTACAGCCTGGTTGTCAAGCGCATCACCAAGTCGTGGGCGCAAGTGAAGGAGGCTCGACGTACTGAGCACGTCCCGGAACCTGTCGCCCTTGGCAAAGTCGTGCCCATGCTCGGTAACCAGGACGAACACCAGGTAGAGGACGCAGTTACTGCAACGGAGATCGTCACGAAGAAGGAGGAGGACCCTGAAGACGCAGCCGCCGAAGCCACCAGACCCGAAGAGACCGCCGAAGCAGTAGCTATTGGTGAAGAACCAGCATCCAACAATGACGAAGTGATCGCCGACGCAGTGGCTGAAGACGCAGCAGAACCAGCACAGGAGATGGTTGAGGAAGAAGCTGAGCCGGTCGAGGAGGAAGCTGAAGTCGCAGTGAACGAGGAGGAAGACAACGCTGAACAGTGATCCATTAGCGATAAAACCTTTATGATACTACTGTATGCAACAACACTTCTCAACGCAAACCGGGTGATGTTGATTAGCTTCATATGAAAATACTTGTTGAGAGTTTGCAGGCTGGGGGTATGCAGTTTTAAGTTCTCAGCTACGAATTCGCTAAACTATCCAGCTTCCAGGGTGGGTGTTCTTGTATGATACATTTCTCCTCTTGCTTTTTCTCCTCGCGATGGCTATGTTGCCAATGGCTTGACGTTCCAGGCGCAGGAGGACAGCCCAATCGCGAAAGCCTGGATCGGAGCCAGCGGGAACCTGAAGTCGAGTGCGAACTTGGACTTGGAGAACTTGCCGAACTGCATCACCACTCGGTTATTGCCCGTCGGGTCCGGCACCGCGCTTAGCTGCGCTCCCACAGGCTCTTCGTCCAGCATCAGCATGAAGTTCTTGGCCGAAGCTTCACGGATGCGGCCGCCGTGGAATTTCAGCATGAGCGAGTTGACTTCGGGGCACCAGACCGGCAGCTTGCTGCCGATCTTGATGCGGTCGCTCGTGGGCGTGTCGAAGGTGAAGATGTGCTGGTTCTTGTTGCGCGGCGACGGCGACGTCATGAGTTGGCAGCTCGGAGTTCCGCGCGGAGTTCCGCCCGAAGTCGTCACGCCACGACTCACTCGAGGGCACCAGACAACACGCGAGCGCTTGTCGTCCATGATGGCGGGGATGACCACCGAGAAGCAGCGCATCTCGGAGCCCACGACGCCCGCAGCTTTGGTGAAGTGCGAGATGTCGGCGAGCAGTTGACGGTCAGCGCCTTCCACGGCTGTGGCCGCTGCGTCCTCGTTGATGTTGCTGCACGTGTACGTGCTGAAGCTCTGGTCGCAGCCTTCACATCCACAGCTGTAGAGCTTGAAGTTGTGATCGGTGGCCTTACGCAGCACGGCGCAGTAGTGGCCCGTGGGCTCGTCGGCCTCGCCCGACTCGGGGAAATTCTCGTACTGCGAGATGTAGAAGGTGCCGCCAACCTGCTTGGCGCTCAGCAGGAACTGGTCGTTGTTCCAGTACATTTTGTACTGGTTCTTGTTGGTGCGCTCGACGGTCGAGTACGTCCACGACTTGGACTGCGTGGGGCTCAGACACTCCTCGGCCAGGTACTCGCGCGCGTGGCCGTTTTCGAGCATGTCCATGTCCTGGAACGGTTCTTTGATAATGGTGTTGCCCCACGTGGGGCTCGTGAGCTCGGACGTGGGGGACCCGTCCTTCTTGTCGTCGTCGTCCGCCGCGGCGTTCAAATGGGCCGACAACATCTTCGAGGCGCGCTCGAGGAACCCGGAGGGGGCGACGTTGGGTTTCGCGCGGGTTTCTCCCTGGCGAGGCAAGTCGGTGTCGATGGACAGGCCCGGACGCTGCATCGTGTCTGCCATGGTCGACTGCGACTGCGGGAGTTTGGGACGAGCTCCCTCGCTTTTCAAAGAGCTTTAGCTGCGGGCTTGGCAAGTACGCTTATGGCCGGTGGAAGGAGGTGCTGGGCGTAGTGCAATGGGGGAGGAAGGAGGGTGGGTCGAGACCTTTTTTAGCTGTCAGGCAAGTGCCGGATTGAGTTATCTCGCTCGCGTCCTCGATGGCCGAGCGAGGACGAGACTCCGCCCAGGTTGCAGCTGGAAGGAAGTCTGCGGTGATCGCCGTCTTGGAGGGTATAAATAATGGTGCAGGTTGTTGTGAGGGTTTCCAAGAATAGGAGGAACAACAACTAGATGAGTGGCGAGGTGGTTCTTATCAACAGAACAAGTTGGCCACTATCACACCCCCAAAACCAGCCCAAATTGAATCAATTGGCGCCTTGCGAGCAAGCAGGTTGAGACGGTCGTGGGCCTCGAACTCGAGCTCTTATTCAAACAGAGGAAAATGAGAGGCTCGAGTTGGATCCACACCAGCAGTCTGGTTTAACACGTGCCATTATTATGGAAGTCGAACATTGCGGTAGGTCAGACCAACCCATTCACTTGTTTGCAGATTGGTGATCACGATCGTAGAAGCTGGGTTTAGTGGATGGGCGTGAGGATAATTTCACTTCATTTCGATCTTTTGGTTTTCTTACATTTGATTGAGGTGCTGGGCGCTTTCAACTTGTCGAATCAATACTTAGACACAGCAAATGGCTAGTACTACCGGTAGGATAGGTTTATTGCTTTCGAGATGATAATGGACGGTCTTACGAGAACTTGTTGCCATCGCTTTCAATTGGGTACAGCGTTTGCTACTCGTCAGTCACCGAGGCAGCAGGTATTCCTTCGAGCGGTATTTGCCCCGCGGAACATATCCTTGAAGCGAATGACGTCTATTCAGATACCCCACAACCAGCCTTAATGCTCTGATCAAGAGAAGCCGTCTTTATAAAACCCGCGTGGCGGCTCGCTGCTACTTCTGGATTCGATTGAGATGTCGAACTTATCTGTTGATGTTTGTATCGATTCGAGCATTTACTGGAGCTCAAAGTTTTCGAGACATTGCATTTGACCGAAGTCAACTACTAAAGTTTCTCAACTTCGCCGGTCTAGAAGCTATTACATGTGCACCAGCGGAATGTGCAGGCTCCAGTTATAAGACTCCACACCTAACGTAAATTAGAATGGGCCTGGCTAAAAATGTCTGTAGATATAGGGATGGATGTCCAAGCCTGCTTTAACTTCCAAACGAGAACACTCCCACTGCAGCCAAGAAGCCATGATCAAGGTCTCAACGCTTGGAATTGTCGCTGCAGTCGCGGTAATGGCTACGGCATTCGGCGTTGCCACTGCGAATCAAGTATCCGCCGCCTTGCAAAAATTTTCTAGCAGCAGGAACGGGAGTGGCTCTGCAGTAGATGACGCTGGTGTCGTGGAGGCTGGTTACCAAATTGCTGATGTCTCAGGGGCGCAAGCCTGCGGAGGCGTGGGCTTCGACTACTCGCGCTACTGGGTCGGCCCACTACCGGACGGGGACAAGACCAAGCTCAACTGCGTCTCCGGCTACCGCTGCCAGGCGCGAGGCTCAAGCAAACTCTTATGGTGCAAGCAGTACGCGCTGCCGCTGAACGCCAAGTGCGGCGGCTACACGTTCTACACGCTGTTCAAGTGCGTCGACGGCACCGCATGCAAGATCGACCCCATCCGTCTCGAACCGCGATGCCTCCCGGTCGAATGATAAGAGTTTGCATTCCGTGTGACTCGTAAAATTAAGCTGTTGAGTCACATTGGTATTAATGGTCGACTAATTGAGTTCTCTCGCTACAACGGTGTTGATGTCGACGGTTTGTCGAGTGACGTTGAGGCGAGCTTAGGTACAGAGCAATGTCCGACCACGAGTTGGAGTGGACTCGCATCGGTGGCTTCGGTGCTCGCGGCCACCACACACTGGCGACCGGCTATGGCGATAAGTCCCGAGCCCGAGGCTTTCCAGTTGGACTCGCTGTCCTTACCACAGAACGCAAATCGTGTCCCTCGCCGCGTCGTAAGTCCACACTTTTTCGGCGTGTTGAAAGGTTTCGACCACGCACGCGTTCACGTCGGCTCCACAAGCTCAAGATGCTGGGCTGGGGCGGTGTCTGTCGCTGTTGTCCAGCTGCAGCTACTGCGCGCAGGAGCCAATTTGACCAGCAAAACATCCAGCCGCCAAGTCGGCATGTCCACTTCTCGCAGAGCCGAGACGGGCTCCGAAAACCTCTCGCATACGCATGCGTGATCTCGATGGAATAACACCGGGTATCGATTCTCAGAGGTATCTTTAACCAATAGTTCTATGACCCAAGCTGCAATCATACCAGTACGCAGCTAGTAGTTCTCGCTGACAACGGTATCCATCTTCTACCAGATGCGTTCAAGGGATCGGAGCTGTATCGCATGGTCTCGACAGAAATCAGCGCCCGGCCTTCAGATTCTTAAGTCATTCGCGAATTCGGTCCAAGCAGAGCAGAGGCCCCGAGGACCGTCGGTCTCCGATCCAGACCAACACAATGAGCGCGCACCGCTTCGTGGCCATGCTGGCCACCGTCTTCGCCTTGCTGCTGTGCATCACCCAAGCGTCCAACCTCCGAAACTCGATCCATCAAAACCAAGAAGTTCCGAGCGGCTCGAGTAGCTCCGAAAGTGTCGCGCAGGACTCGACGCCCGCCGTCCCGAGTGACGCGCAGTCCACAACCAGCGAATCCAAGGACAGCAGCATCGTTGAGACGCAGAGCAGCTTGGTGGAGGACGCCAGTGCCGACGGAGTCAAGGCGTGGGCCCAGTGCGGCGGGCTGTACTACCTGGGCGAGACGAGGTGCCAGCCGCACACTTTCTGCAAGAAGCTGAGCGACTTCATCTCCGTGTGCTTCCCGGAGTCCCGACCCACGGAGAAGGTCATCCGGCTCGAGCTGTAGGCTTCCGTCGGCTGGATTGTCCGTACAAGTTCTCCCCCCCCCCCCATAGCTAGCTAGTGACTGAGTGAGGTATGAAAAACTAACTATTCCCCTAATGTTATTGAACGCAACCACGTCGACACCTCTCCTTTTGATGCGCATGGAGCTGTTGTAGCTGGCTAGGCTGGCCGTTACCAGGAGCTCCAGCTTGTGGTGTCGAAGCCCCAGCAATAGGTTGTGGGTCTCTCTCATTATCCGTTTTGCTCCTCACAACTTTCGGGTCCACTTCAACATGGTCAAGCTGCAGCGATTCCTCGTCGCCATGGCCATCGCGGCGGCGGTGGCAACAAGCGCGAGCGCTCAAGACGTAGCGGCAGAGGATCTGCGCCAAGATTCGGGCAGCTCACTCGACGAGAGCGACTCTGGAGACGGCAGCGCATTTCTCGACTCCGATTCCGGCAGCTTCGCAGTTGATACATCCACAATCGGCAGCGACAGCGCAGCGGGCGAGGTCACGACCCAGCCAGAGACACCACCACCACCAAACAGTCCTCCAGTAGTGCAGGTGCAGCCCGTAGTCGACGGCGTCAAGATGTTCGGACAGTGCGGCGGCGTGTTCTACTCCGGCAGCAGCACGTGCGCCGACCCTGACGCCTACTGCAAAGAGCTCAGCATCTACAGCTCCATCTGCTCCCCCAAGCCAGTCAAGTAGGCAGGTAGACAGACCTGCGTACCAAATACAGCTCCGCTCACCTTTGATCCATTCACCGCCGTCTCCATCAACGCACCGTCCCAATCGATGCGATCCTGCACTGCGTACTGCAACGATCGCAAGTGGCCCTTGACAAGAATAACGCCTGCAGAGCCGCACGTTGCACGCCGCGAAAAGACACGCTCCGGGGCCTCGGAGCCGTTCATCGACATCACATTTCGCCTCCAGATCCTCAGCCCACGCCCCAGTAATTCTCCATGCTCAAGCTGCGTGTCGTTCTGAGCTTCGCGGTTGCAGTCTTGGTGTCCCTATCAACCCTCGACCATGTAGCCGCCCAGGCATCCCAAGCCGACAACGAGCCCAGCTACACCGGCAGCGGAGACGGTGGAGAGACTGCAGAACCAGTGGTGGAAGAACCCCCACCAGAATACAACTACACGCCGTCTCCAACCAAGACCGCAGCCAACAAGGCATCGTCGGGCAGCGGGGCCAGCAGCAACACCATCCAATTCCCCACTGGAGGCGGCACAGTGCCGCAATGGGGTCCCTGCGACGCGAACGCCAAGTGCGCAAAGCACACGTACTGTAAGCTGCTCAGCAGCGGCACCTCCATCTGCTACCCTGCGTAATGGAGACGACATAACGGTCAATACACATCACAAATTCTTGCAAAACCCGTGTTCATTCCGGTACACCAACCTCCAGGGTCTACTTGTTGAACAGCATCTTGCGGAAGTCCTCGTTGCTCTTGGGCGTCACCGTTGCAGTCGTGGCACCAGCTTCTGCCTCCGAGGGATCCGTCTTGGCTGCATTGCTCTGCGCCGCCAGCTTCCGACGAAGAGCGCGCGGCATCAAGCTCGTAGCAGACCCACTGGATGGCAGATTGAGCCGCGTTGACGGCCGCACGTGCGGTGCGTTAGCTCCTTTGCTCGGTCCTGCACCACGGCCCATTGTAGCGGAGGCATTCGCTTTCCGCTGTTGCTTCTGCTTCTGCTGCTTCTCCTGCTGCTCCAGAATGTGAGCGATCGAGAAACGAGAGGGCTTCATCGTCACTTGCTCGCCGAGCTTTTCTCGCAGAGCAGAAGCATTGGCCAGGCAGAACTCGGCCTGCGCAGGCTCGGCTACTTCCACTAGGCCGTAGTTTTTGAGCTTTCCGTGACGATCCTTCAAAATGGACACGCGCGTGACCACCACGAGCTGACCTGCTGCCTGCATCGCCTGCTGGAGAGAGATCTGTAGCTGCTCCTCCGTCACTTGGTCCTTCGAGTCTTCGCGGTTGAGGTCACCAACGTACAGCGTCAACGGATCGGTCTTCCAAAAGCTCTGCGAGGCCGCAGGTTTGCCACCAGGTGTAGACGCCGAAGTCAGTGGCGGCTTGGAGCGCTCAACACGCAGCGGATGCCCGTGAAGCAGACACCCATTTTGCTTAAGCCCTTCTTCGACGCCCGCTTCGTCCGTGAACTGCACGTATGCCATGCCGCGAGACTTGACGCGATCACCACGCGTCTTCACAACAAGCCGGACTTCTTTCAATGTTGGAATATCTCGGAACAGAGCCTCGATATCCTGTTGAGTTGCTTCCTTGTCAACGTTACACAGGAAGAGCGTGTGCTCGTTCGTCAAGCTCTCGTGCGCATTCTTCTTCTCCGCGCTCTTGGCCTTCTTGGTCGCGTCCACTTCCATGGCTGTAGTAGCATCACCTCCCTCAACGCTGGTCTCCTGGTCCTTGGCACGCTTTGGAGGGGGTTGCTTTTGTGAGCTCTTATCGCTTGCGTTGGCCTTGCGTTTCTTCGAGGGTTTCATCTTCTTGTCGGCGCTAGCGGGTGCTGGATCCGCAGTAGCGCTGGCAGCAGGAGCTTGAATGTTTGCAGTTGCTTGGGCTGTTGATCGGTGCTTTGTGTGATACCGGCGAGCGCGGAGATAGCCACGTAAGTTGCCAAATTCACGCTCGAAGGCGAGCCACGCCTCCGCGAGAACCAGCGGCGAGTCCTTCACGCGTTCTACCGCCCTCTCAAACACCATGGAACGCATTATATCCACCGGATACGCATTCGTGTAACGAAGAGCCTCCAAGTAGGCAATCCACGAAGCTGCCTGATCCCCAAGAGTTGTGTCCAGCTTGTCCTTCCAGAACTTGGCTACCTTGCGCTCCTTCATTGTATGTTTGTGGTCAGGTGGAGTCCAGCCTTCACGGTTCATCAACAACCAGTAGCACTTGGCTTGGTACTCTGCCAGCCTTACTCTGCCGTCAAGGAAGTCTGGGAATGTCTTCGTTATGAACTGCTCGCAGTCGGAGAAAACACGCTCCACCAGCGACTCCGCTGCAATGCGGTCGAGATCATCGTCGATGATGGCCATGGAGGCGCGGCGTCGCACGGAATCACACCATGTGAGCAGTACATTGAGCAAGTGGAACTGGTCCATGGGCGGACTCGAGCGAGCTAGCAGCTCTGTTTGAACAAGCTCCGAGATTGCTTGATTGGGCTTGTTCTGGCGCTCCATCTCAATCAGATACTCCGTCCAAGCGGACGAGTCAAACGGGACGTTTCGCACTGCTCGTCGAGCCACCTGCAGCTTTCCGAAGTTGTTGCGTCCGTTGTCTTCGTCGTCTTGGCTTGGCTCCAAGTACTCTAGATAGCTTGCCCAAAGCGAGGGACTGAGACACATGACCGCCACAGCGCGCTCATAAAGACACATTACAAGCTGCCGGCCTTGCTCCGACGCGCCACCAGCCTTCTCACTTGACATCAACGGCGCAACGCGATGCTTGACGAAGTTCAGATACTGCTGCCACGCCTGCTCCGGCGCTGCGGCGTCTTCCGTCCCTGGGGCCGCATTAACTCTTGCCTCAAACCCGCGCAGCTTCTTCATCAACGGAGCGAACAGCTTGCTCTGTCTCTTCGACGCCTCCTCAAAGGCCGAGCCCAAAGCTTCAGCATCCAGCGTGTTGTACGCGTCCCAGGCTCGAAACTCCGACATGACGAGGTCGTTCTGGTCCAGCGGCAGCTGCATCTGCTTGCAGAAGAGTTCTCTAATCGCCCTCTCCTTCTTCAGCTCCGCGTCCTTCTCTTCGTCATCAAACTTCTCCGCCGTCAGCTCCCTACACAACGCCCAGACCTCGTGACCCCTGGCAAAGTGCATGCCCACAGTGCTCTGAGCCCTCTCCATAGTCTTCTCCAGCTCGTTACCCACCCCCTCCTCCCTCAAGAACTTGAGGTATTGCAGTGTCAGCGGCACGGACCAGTAGTCTCTATGGGTCAGCTCGAACAACTTCTTGATCTCCAGTGCCGCGTCTCCTCTGGCTTCTGCGTCGCCGATCCACTGCGTGTACATGTCCTCCGTCAGTGGGAAAGCCCGCTGGAAGGCCTTGTACAGCTCTGCACGCAGCGAATGGTAGGCCACGAGCCTCTTGTCGAGCTCTGGGGACTCGGAGGTCGGCCAGTGCCACGTCACGTGGGCGATAGCGGTCGTGAACTGCTCGTAGGACACGTCCAGGGGCTGTGAAGTGCGTAGAATCGGCTCCGCAGCCTCTTGGCAGCACTGCAGCACGTCGGAGGGCGCTGCGGAGGCCTCGGAAGAGGCTTGGGCATCGATTGGCGCGGATTCTTGGGCCTCTTCGACCTCCTCGTCCAGCACTTCCACGTGGACGCTGGGGGTGTATGAGGCGGTGGACGGAAGGTCCGACACGTCCGCCATGTCCTCGTCGCTGGAGAAGCCCGAGGACGAGCTGTCGTCGTCGCCAGGAGCTGCGCCGCGAGCCATCTCCGGAGCAGGAAGAGCTTGTACGCTTTGGTGAATTTCGCAATAGGAGCGAATTTCCTATTGATATTTTTCAAGATATTTTTCAGTTGCATACGCATAAAGGAAAACGAATTAGCGTTAGTCAAACTACATCACACAAGTTGATGTTGCAGTTTGGCTATGGCTCAACGTCAGGAAGATGAAGAAGTGGGGGGAGGCTATGGACAGACTTCTCCGCGCGTCCACACTCGTGGAGCTCGACGCTCTGCGCAGAATTGAAGAGGAACAAGACATGGAGATTCTCGTGGCGGAGCGTACCTAGTATTCCGTTGGAGACGTGGAACCGGTTCGCCGACCTGGACGAGTTGCCTCACCATTTTCGGCTTCGGCAGTTAATGTGGGATGCTGACCGAGTCTCGATTGTTGAGTATCCCCTTTCGCATGGCCACGAAGTCACCGTAGGCCACTTCCACGTGCTGTTTGCGTTGGCCTTCGGAGAGCTTTCCGTGGCTAGTTGCACGGGTGACCTACCAGGCCGACTTCGCCTTCAACTCGCTGGCTACGATTCCCGGAGCTCAAGAGCCGCGGGACGGTGCGACCGTTATCGTGGAGGTCATGCGCAGACAGCAATGGGAGTCGGCTCACGCCAAAGTGCAAATGTACCGACGACTTGATGGTGTGGAGTATGTTTTCTACTTGAAGATGTCTCCGGCGATGGCTTCCTGGTCCTACGAGCTCTACGACGTCGGCAACAACAACCCAGCCTACCCTGACTTTGCCTGGCAGCACTCGTTCGACATTAGCGAGGCGAACGTGCCGGTGAACCACCAGCATTTCGTGCACTTCGACTCGAGGCGTGTTCTTGGCTTGCCGCAGGGCACGCAGTTGCCACCAGGGATTCCAGACGAGGTCGAGGTGAACCTTGTGAGTGTAGCACTACTGGCGCGCAGGGGTGCGCGTTTCGCGGGGGAAGAAGTATCTCCGTGACTATCGTAGCCTACTAGTCCTCTTCGACCGGAGGAGATTAGAGAGGCTAGGAAAGCTATCCGGGGATCCACAGTACGACGGTAAATGAATAACAATGGACTGGTTCTACTGCCCGTAGCCCGAAGAAGTGGCACACTGCACTCCTGGGCAGTCAGCTAACGTTGCCCACGACGGGACTTAATCCTTCTAAGGAGGGCTTCCTTACTACTCGAGCCACGTCCAACCTTTTGCTATCGAAGATTATCACGGACTTACTTCTTCCCCCATGCTCTACGTGTGCGTAAAGCTACACTCACAAGGTTCACCTCGACCTCGTCTGGAATCCCTGGTGGCAACTGCGTGCCCTGCGGCAAGCCAAGAACACGCCTCGAGTCGAAGTGCACGAAATGCTGGTGGTTCACCGGCACGTTCGCCTCGCTAATGTCGAACGAGTGCTGCCAGGCAAAGTCAGGGTAGGCTGGGTTGTTGTTGCCGACGTCGTAGAGCTCGTAGGACCAGGAAGCCATCGCCGGAGACATCTTCAAGTAGAAAACATACTCCACACCATCAAGTCGTCGGTACATTTGCACTTTGGCGTGAGCCGACTCCCATTGCTGTCTGCGCATGACCTCCACGATAACGGTCGCACCGTCCCGCGGCTCTTGAGCTCCGGGAATCGTAGCCAGCGAGTTGAAGGCGAAGTCAGGCGAGTACGTCACCAGCCCACCATTTGGCACAGGGCCGGTGATATTCGCGTGACCCTGGTTGCCGTAATAGCCACCAAAGGCAGCACCGAACGCCGCATCGCTCCACACCAATTGCTGCAGTTTGAGACCGCCAGGCAGTCTGTCCAACTCCGCGAACCGGTTCCATGTGGCCAACGGTATGCGTTCTGCCACGAGGATCTCCGTGTCTTGCTCCGCGTTGTTGCCGTTGCTGTTGCGGGCAGCCTCGAGGACGAGTGCGAATCCGGTCAGCAGGCGAGTCATAGCTTCTCTCTCCTTGGTGGCGACTTGGTGTCGGGCTGGCGCAAAGGTTGCATCCATGACCACGTCGCAGGCTCGACTCTTCTCAGTGAAAGTGAGCGAAGCTGTAAAGTTACGGAAATCACCTCTCTGTACTTGAAACTAAGTGCCACAATATGTCTGATCGATGTTGGTGTTGAAGCGCTGCGGTCAGACGCCACAGTTTAATAGTGTAGCCCGGCAGCGCATTGCTCATTGAAATGTCGATGCAGCTCCAGTACCGAGAGACGTATTATGTTACTTAAGCGACTTCGCACGCAAACGTCGACTGAATTGGTTGGAAATCAGCCTGCGTACGCAAGTACATGTCGTGCTAACTCAACGACGTTCACTACGACCTCTCCTGGACACTCTGCTGGCAACTGCGCGTCGTGCTGTAGACCAAGAACACGTCTCGAGTCCAAGTGCACGAAATGGTTGTGGTTGTCCGGAACAGTTTCCGTGCGGAACTGATGGCGAATCACTGCGTCGAGGAAGTCAGGGTTTCGAGCGTGCAGCTCGTATGTCCAGTTGCTCAACGCGTCCGACATCCTCACCAAAAAGACGTATTGGAGATGTGGGAGCTGGCGATACATTCGCAGTTTGCACTGTACCGACCACCAGTTCTGGCTGTGCATGATCTCCACGACAACGGTAACCGCGTCTCTCGGCAATCGGTTCCCAGGCAGTCTCGGGTTCGGGATGTAGGAGAAGTCGGGAGCGAGCGTCACGCTGCTTCCATTGGGGCCGTCAGGTCCAGAGATGTTCGCTTGGCCGCGATTCGAGCCGTGGAACTGAAGGGCACGCGCGAATACGCGTTGAATGTAGCCGATGGCGTCTTCATGCTCATTTGTAAAGGGGAACTCGACCACATACACGCGCCCATCATCCCACACCAACTGCCGAAGCCGAAGACCGCGAGGCAAATGATCCAGTTGGGCGAACCGGTTCCACGTCTTCAGCGATATGCGCTCCGCCACAAGGACGGCCGTGTCTTCATCATCTATTGGTGGGGGAGTGTGGAGATCAAGGCCCCTGAACGCGCGTAGAAGTCGATCCATGGCCCCCTCGCCTCCCTTGTTGGACGCATTGTTGACTGAGAACAAAAGGCTAGATCCATCATACCCGCGCCACGTCTCAGGTTTAACGCTTTTAGGCCTTCTGATTGGGCGATTCACTTCAACTTCTTGTAACGTGTCCACAACTATATTCATCATGAACGCATTTGGGCAAGAAGAGCAACACCAAGGGCAGCGAACGCAAGGGCAAGTCCGGGCACCTTGGCTTCCAGGCGGGCGAGATCGCCTTCGTCGAGGGTGAGATGGCGGCGTTGGCGGCTGAGTACGGACTCGACGTGGACGGCGACGCGTGTCTGGCAGCACAGCGACTAGACGCTTGAGCAACAACTTGTGCGCGTCCTCGGTGTCGCCACTATGGGTTTTGCTGGGAGCAACTTAATGCGGAAGCTGGAGGACTGCTGCTCGCTATTTGAAGACTGTACGCTGCTCTTGCGCTGTTGGCGCCGCGTCTTCTTGCTCTGGTGCCGCTGCCGCACGTGTGCGGCCAAGATCCTTAGCATTATGGATAGAGGCGTTTGGCGGAGACATTGGGGTCTTGTGCACCTGAGCCCAAGTGTGTAGCAACTACTGGCGCCACTAACGCCACGCGAGCCTCGCCCTCAGGCTCTTCCAGCTAGACGGCGCTCGCGCTGCGGCCTGGCATCTTCGTCAGTGACGACGTCATGGGTGAACGTAGAAGAACGCACTCGCCGTGAATACTCACCGCTCGGCGCGAGAAGGGCCACGCAGCGCGATCTTCGGTGGAGCACTCGGCCGCATGGAGAGCTCTCGCAGTCCGCCAGCTCCGTCCTCAGCGAGGAAGGCTAAAAATGCTAGCAATGCATTGCAACACTTATAGGTTTCGCCGCCAGCTTGGGAATGCGGTCTCCGCTTGGTGTTTGGATGCATCCGGTGTTGCACCTGACGATGCTTCGCGTTACTTCATATCGCGACTTAATGCGTGTCAAACAAAATGCCATAAACCAGTGCATTCGACTGACATTATACAAACGATAGTTTGAAAGCATGAAAAATCCACTGCTTTATGGTGAATCGTGAAGAGCCGCGACTTCATATCGTTACTTCAGCTTTGCCCGCATTGCGATTCTGGTGTTTCACAATCGAACTCGCCGCCAGGACCCCCAGCCCAGCACCAGCTCCAGCTCCAGCTACACCGCACGATGTTCGTCCGCAAGCTCGCCGCCCTCTCCGCCCGCTCTAGCGCTGCTGCTGCCGCTGGCGCGCGCTTCCAGTCGTCGTCCGTGGCGCTGACGGTGCCCGGTCTGTCGGCCGAGGTGCGCCACGACTGGACCAAGGAGGAGGTGCAGGCCATCTTCGACCAGCCGCTGCTGGAGCTCGTGTACAAGGCGGCCACGGTGCACCGCATGCACTTCGACCCGACGGAGGTGCAGCAGTGCACGCTGCTGTCCATCAAGACGGGCGGCTGCACGGAGGACTGCAAGTACTGCTCGCAGTCGTCGCGCCACAAGACGTTCGTCAAGCCCGAGCCCACCAAGAAGGTGCAGGAGGTCGTGGAGATGGCGCGCCGCGCCAAGGCCGCGGGCAGCACGCGCTTCTGCATGGGCTCGGCCTGGCGCGAGGTGGGCAAGAAGAACGCGTTCCGCCACATCCTGGACATGGTGCGCCAGGTCAAGGCCATGGACCTCGAGGTCTGCTGCACGCTGGGCATGCTCACGGAGGAGCAGGCCGTGCAGCTCAAGGAGGCCGGGCTCTCGGCCTACAACCACAACCTCGACACGAGCCGCGAGCACTACGCCAAGGTCATCACCACGCGCACGTACGACGACCGCCTCAAGACCATCGAGAACGTGCGCAAGGCCGGCATCTCCGTCTGCTGCGGCGGCATCCTGGGCCTCGGCGAGGACAAGATCGACCGCGTCGGCCTGCTGCACACGCTCGCCACCATGGACGAGCACCCGGAGTCCGTTCCGGTCAACGCGCTCGTGTCTGTGGAGGGCACGCCGCTCTTCGACGAGGACATCGCGCCCGTGACGGCCTCTGACATGGCCCGCATGATCGCCACGGCGCGCATCCTCATGCCCAAGACCATGGTGCGCCTCAGCGCCGGCCGCATGTCCTTCACGGACGCCGAGCAGGGGATGATGTTCATGGCCGGCGCCAACTCCATCTTCAACGGCGACACACTGCTGACGACGGCCAACCCGGCCTTCGAGAAGGACAAGCGCCTCTTCGAGAGTTTCGGACTCAAGGGCAAGCTCGCCTACCACGCGCACAAGTCTACGCCTTACATCGTCAAGGTCACGCACTCGGCCCCCGTGGAGACCGAGGCCGTGGCATAATTGGAAAGTATGTGTCAGGACGAAGCACGCGTATCGATACAGAACGTGCCTGTAAATCTGTAGCCTGTTAAGATTAAGTGGGGAAGCAAACATCAATATCACCTTTTTGACGCCAACAAGACCAGGTTTACCTAGAGACTTCAATTAGGCAGAACCACATCGCTGTTGACACTACCATCAAATGCCACGTACGGACTTGTTACTGGGTGAGTCAGCAAGGCGGCGTCGAAGGTTGCGGTGCAGCTTGCGGTCGTCGAGTGACGCGCGTATCTTCCTGTTGACACCAGTTCATTAGGAGTTCTTCCGGATCTTACAGTAGCTGACGAAAGAGCACCAGGGTGATCACGAGGTCATGCAGAAAGAAAAAGTCTATATTAGTTACTCAGACAGCGCTGCCATGTTCACCTGGTGGAGCTCAGTCTGCCTTCTTGACCTTCTTGGACTTGTGTCGGGTCTTCTTGGGAGCCGAGTTGCCCTTGGCAGGGCGCTTGTTCTTCTTGGGCTTCTCCTCCATGGTTTCACCGCCGTCCTTATCCTTGTTCTCCTCCTCGTCAGACTCGTCGTCCGGGTACAGGTCGGCCATGTCATCCTTCTCTTCCTGCTGCTGCTGCTTCTTCTTGCCCTTCTTGGGCTTGGCAGCCTCCTCATCCTCGTCATCATCAGCGTCTCCCTCCTCTTCTTCCTCCTCGGACGAGTAGATGACCTGGCTGTTGGCGAACTCGAAGGCGTCGGCGTCGAACTCGCCGTTGACTGGCATCCCATTGCCGTCCTGGTCGTCCTCGCTCCTCTGGACCTTGACCTTGACGTGCTGCTTCATGCGCTTGTAGCGCTTGCCCTGCACGTGCTTCTCCACCTCCGCCGGGATGCGGTTGAGGATGGTACCCGTGACGTTGCAGTACAGGCTCTTGGCCAGCCGTCGGTGCGGCACGATGTATGGCTCGTACTGCGAGTAGTCGTGGCAGTACCAGTCGCGCGCCTTGACGAACTTCTTGGACTTGAGGTGCGTCTCGATCACGTCCGCGCGCGGCAGCATCTCGTGCTGCGTCAGGCCGCACTTGACGCGCACGCGCTTGCCGTCGCTCTCGCCAGTCTCCACCAGCTCCAGGAACTCATGCTTGCTCAGCAGCTGCTGCACCGCGGGCTCCAACGCACTCGACGCCATCACTTCGAGGACAATTGCAGTCAGAATGGCACAATCGACCGAGGAGCTCCATTCATAAACGGATTGTTTATGTTCGTAATTGGTGTGGCGTACATACGATGAAGTTGAAGTGCCTTGGTCCGAACGCGGCTAATGAAGGTGAAATTGAGCAGATTAAGCGGGTGCGTGATAACAACCTGCCAGGTTACCTGGTGATTCTGCGCGAGCACCTCTGTAAAAGCAATGCGGCAGTAGAACACCGCTGTCAGCAGCGTCTGTGTGAGTGAGTTCAACCAGTCGCTAGTACGTAGCGACTCGCTACTGAAAGTCGACATCCACGAGCTACTGTAGACGAGTGCAAGAACTGGCACATCAAAAGCTGGTCCCACACCAACTGACGAAGCCGAAGACCGCGAGGCAAATGATCGAACCGGTTCCACGTCTCCAATGTTCGCTCCGCCACAAGGACGAACGTGTCTTCATCATCTATTGGCGGGGGAGTGTGGACATCAAGCTCCCTGAACACGCGGAGAAGTTGATCCATAAGCCTTCCTCCGGCAATTCCTCCGCGCACGTATCAGGTTTGAAAGCTTTTAGGCCTTCTGATTGGTTGACTCACTTCAACTTCACCTATTGCGTGGTCCCCACAACTGTACCACTATATCGGTACCCACGCCTTCCACCAGTCAAAGGCAGCATCATTCGCTGATCATGGGCAAGAAGAGCAGCGCCAAGGGCAGCGGCCGCAAGCGCAAGGCCGGGCACCTGGGCTTCCAGGCGGGCGAGATCGCCTTCATCGAGGATGAGATGGCGGCGCTGGCGGCTGAGTACGGACTCGACGTGGACGGCGACGTGGCCGCGCACGTGCAGCAGCGGCGCCAGAGCAAGAAGACGCGGCGCCGACAGCTCAAGAGCAGCTCGCAGCCTTCAAATAGCGAGCAGCAGTCCTCCAGCTCCCGCATTAAGTTGCTGCAAGCCAAGCCCAAGGCCAGCGAGGCTAGTGACGACACGGAGGACGCGCACAAGTTGTTGCTCAAGCGTCTGGCCGCTGTGTTGCCCGACACGTGCGCGTTGCGCGCGTGCGGCGTGCCCGGCTGCTCGTGCGTCAATGGCGCGCGCTCTTTAGGGCTGCCGGAGCAAGATGAGGCAGGTTCCAACGCTCACAAGCACCTGTTGCAGCGTGCGCAGTGCAACAAGTGCCAGCATGGGGCGCTGCAACACTCTGTTGTGTTGCGCGAGGACGCGGACGCTGCTGCGGCGCTGCCCAGCGGTGGGCAGAGATTGCTTCAGACGCTGTTCCAGATCATTCGGCTGGCGCGCATCGGCGCCAGCATCTTCCGCAGCCGCGTGTGGACCAAGTCCGCGTTGGAGCGGTTGGAGGCCGTGCTGCTGCACCTTAAGAAGCAGTTTGCTGCAGGTGGCACCCAGAACGGTCAGAAGTCGGCGGACGAACTGAAGCAGGAGATGCAGCTGCTTACAGATCTGCAGGCGCAGCTCCGCAAGGCCCAGCAGGCTGTCGGAACGGCGTCGAGGGACGAACTCCCCATTGCGCTGGCCTGCGTGACTGATCAAATGTACTTCCAGGTGTATTACGCGACGCTGGTGCTGTATGGACGCGCGTGCGGAGCCGTGCCCACACCTGAGACGTACTTGAAGGAGCTGGAGCAGTTCACGCCCGAGAGCACGAAAATGCTGGAAGCGTTCTTGAACCGAGAGCTGTCGGGATCCGGTGTGCCGTCACGGTTGATTGAGACGCTGGCGCTCCCGGTTGAGTCGGGTGCCTCGCAAGACGAAGTTGCTCGTGAGAGAATGCGTGTTGCCCAGCTTGAGAGTGAGAACCCGCTGCTATCTATCTACCACGCGCGACTGCGTGAGGGTGTGCGCCTCTTTTACGAGGAGGGCGTCGGCATGGACGGCGAGATGGATGCGGTGCTGGCTGCGCCGAAGGGTAGCGATGCCGTTGCGAGCAAGAAGACCAAGGGCAGCAAAAAGAAGCCGCAGAAGAAGCACTACCGCCGTGAGAGGAATAACAGCGCTCGTCCTGGAGGTGAAGCTGAGGGATCAACTCTCGTGGAGATGCCGAGTTATCCTCTACTAGCGCAGTGGCGCAACAACTGCCGTGATTGGTGCTGTCATATGTACGCTTACGCCACGCCGACACAGGAAGCTCTGGATGTGATGGCGGAGCACGCACCTATCGTCGAGGTTGGTGCCGGCACCGGCTACTGGAGCTCGCTGCTGCAGCGCGCTGACGTTGACGTCGTTGCTTACGATAAGGCTCCGCCTAGCGCTGATGGTGCGGAGGGCAACGCTTACCACGGCCACGTGCCGCCGTTCTGCTCCATCGGTCGTGGTGGCCCCGAAGTGCTTGGCCAGGAAGATATGGCTGGGCGCAGCCTGTTCCTGTGCTACCCTCCTCCAGGCGACGCAATGGCCGTGCGCAGTGTGCAGTTGTTCCAGGGCGACGTGATCTTGCACGTCGGCGAGTGGCAGGGTGACACGGGCGACAGTCGTTTCGAGAGCGAGCTGCACCGCCGCTTTGTGCTGGAGCAGGAGATTTCGCTGCCCAATTGGGGCAACTCCGCCTACGGATTGACGGTGTGGCGGCGTAAGTCGAAGGGTGCTGAGTCTGTGGCATGGCGTGCAATGAGCTGCTTCCATTGCGACAAGACCCTGGCCGATGCTGCTGCTGAGGACGAGCCGCTGCGACGCTGTGTGGTCTGCAAGACCAACGTGTACTGTTCGCCCATCTGCGCTCAACGAGACGCGGTGGCCCATGCGGCCGAGCACGCAAAGCGCCTGGTGTTCTCGGAAGACCCTACTTCGGACATTGCTTACGACCGCATTTTCAAGAATGAGGCGTACTACCGTGAGCTGCAGGAGCCCGACCTGGACGACACCGTCGTTGCTGTCAAGAGCAACTGGAACGCGCTGGTGAAGGCCGATTCGTCTGCCCAGGACGACGACGACATGGACTCCAACGACGAAAGCCAAGACGAGGGAGACGAGGACGACAGTGATGGCGACGATTCTGAAACGGAAGCTGAGCCTGCGAAGACCTCCAAGAAGACTGCGTTCGCCTTCAACTTCGGCGCCTAGACGACTTCACTTTCAAACTGATAGAGACAAAACACGACTTGCTATATAAGTATGTTACTTCCTCCTACTGCTTCCCTGCGGCTCGGTGCATCTGCCGCAGCTGCTTCTTGAGCCACATATCGCGGAGCTCGCCCGGTTCCATGACGGAGAACAAATCCGCCTTCCTCGAGTCCAGCATCAGGTCAAAGGCGTCCACCACATCTCGCAGCGGCCACGACGCCGCGTAACTCTCCTGCACGGCGAACACCGCCCTCTCAACGGGCGTCCGCAGCAACCCCTCCTCCTCCAGTTGGTGCCGGGTCTTCCAGTCTTCAATCGACCCTCTGTCCCTCTGCACTGCATCGTTCTCCTCGTTCTCTTCTTCTTCTCCTCCTTCTCGTTCCTCCGCCACGACCATGTGCTCTCCAGGCCCCGAAACTTCGGGATGGCGCGACCTGAACCTCGTATACCAGCCCGAGGAGATCGCGGCGTCGGGGCCGCTCTGAAGTCGCAGCACCTCGTTGGCCTTCACCAGCAGCTCGCGCCGCCGCACCGGCAGCCCCGCGGCCTGCAGCTCCCGCATCCAGAGCAGCAGTTGGCGCTCTCCATCGACTGTCAGCGCTGGTCGAGGCCCCCGCCGCTTGGCCACAATCGACTCGCCGCGGCGACGGCGCGCCGCGTACTTAAGCAAGGTGCGGTAGGGCACATTCAGCTCCGGGCTCACGACGACCGCGCGCTCGCCGCCGGCCACGACGCGCTCCACGCCCCGGGCCAAGTCGTCGTCGCTGTACTGCTTGCGCTGCTTGGGCGGCATCTTGAGTTATTGTCACATTCTGACTCAAAATATGACAATACCATTTCCTCAAAATAAATGTAACGTTAAAATTTAGTAAGTCTTAGATGCCATTTTATTCTTCGTAAAACGATGCGGCAATTGAAGTGTGCCCGAGGACTGGCAGCGGAAGTTCTTAACATATGCTAATGTGGTCTCCTCTCAAGGCGGTTCGTAGTGCTTTATGGAGACTCATTCATACATTTGCGGATGCTGTTTGATTTTTTTCCCTACAGGATACTGTACTGACAAACGCCATGGACACCAACGCAGGAGCGAGGATACCCAAGCATGCTCGGTCAGCCTCACAGTTTGAACTCCGATGTGCCAAAAGGCTGGGTAGCGCCGGACTTTTGCTGGATGTTGTTCTCATCGGTGCGTGCAATTGTGCTGAGCTCCATCCTAAATCCAATTTCCGACAATCGGCGACACCATCGTCGTCAGTTTCCTGCGCGATCAGCGGTGCTGGGCAAAATTCCTGCACTCGGCGCAACGCCACACGCCTGATATCATGTGGCTACTCTCTAGCGGTCTCCGCTGGCGGCGGTGGGAGTTCTACGAATTCGGAGACCGTGGCGGCGGTCGTGACTGAAGTTCGGTGGAGGTGGAGAAACATATCGCGCGCGTCGAGCGTTCGTTCAGTACGCGAAACGCACTCGGTGGGTGAAACGTCATGCAATTCTCGCCAAGAAGACAGCCGGGGTTAGGAGGCATTTGTAGCCTGCGCACGCCTCAAGTCGGCAGTTTGACACGCGCAGTAGGTGACCTATCCTGGAGACAACAGCACTTCCGTGTTATAACTGAAGTTGAGGCCTGGTGTCGCAAGACGCGTTCCTTTCGCGGCACGACTTGAGCGTGCGCCCTCCGGCCACTGCTGACTGCAACGCTGGCCAAGCAATCGGTATGGCAGGAGCGCCGACGAGAGCAAAGCGTTCTGCGCATGTAAAGTGTGGAGTCAACCTGGACCTTTTTTGAGTCGAAAGTTGTACTAAATGGGTCGATCCCGGTTTTACACAGGTATTACCGGTGCTACCGCCTAGCCTGTTTTGTATTGGCTAACGGAAAGCAGTAGGTATTCGGGTTTTCCCGGGCGATCCGTTCCCATAGAAATGGGCTGTTTCAAACACGCGAGAGACGGTAGAACCGGTATATCGTGGATGACCCGTCCGGGCCAATGTACTGAGGCGTAACTGGGTTATGTACCCCGTTACGTAACTGGTCCCCCCTGGGTTACACGTCGTAATTCGCGCAGTCGACAGCTAGTCAGAGCGGATCGGCACTGCACTGCACACTGCAGCGCTGCAGCATTTCCACTTCGGCCTCGCAACCGAAAGTACCTCACGCACCCCCCGCGCTTCCTTCGCTCTCTGCGGCTTCTTGTCAGATCGCGAGGAAGCAGTTCACAGCAGGGGTCTCCACTCTCTCAATTGACCATTGAACGGACGTTGACGACATTGACACAAGTCTCGCCCTGCCTTGACGACGACGACGCATAGACAGTAGACGGACGATGCGGTGTGGTTGGGTTCGCGTGATCATGGCGGCCTGCCTCGTGCTGGCGGCGGTGCACGCCCAGGAGGGCAGCTACAGCGGCAGCGGCAGTCTGGCCGACGTCGTGGGCGACGAGCAGCAGCAGGAGCAGCAGCAACAACAGGAGGAGAGCACCCCGACGCCGACGCCGACGCCGACGTCGACGACGTCAGCCCCCACCACCACGAGCTTCTCCAGCTCGTCGCTGGGCCTGGGCGTTCTGCAGGCCAACTCGGTCACGGGCACGGTGGACTCGGCCGCGGAAGTGGTGGACCAGACGGCGGACACGACCTCATCTACGGTGCAGGGCGTGGTCAGCACGGCGAGCTCGGCTGTGGGCGACGTTGCCAATCCGACGACGTCGACGGTGCAGCAGGTTTCGTCCACGGTGAGCTCGGCGGCGGACGACGTGACGCAAACCGCTTCTTCGGCTGTGAACGACGTCGCTCAGACCGCGACTTCTGCCGTGGACGATGTCGCTCACACCGCGACTTCTGCCGTGGACGATGTCGCTCAGACTGCGACTTCAGCTGTGGACGATGTGGCTCAGACGACGGGCTCGACGCTGGATGGAGTCACGAGGACGGTGGGCTCTACACTGGATGATACGACCGATACCGTGGGCTCGACTCTGGACGATACGACTGATACCGTGGGCTCGACTCTCGACGACGTGACCCAGACTGTGGGCTCGACGCTGGACGACGTGACCCAGACTGTGGGCTCGACGCTGGACGATGTGACTAGCACGGCAGGCTCTACCTTGGACGATGTGACGTACACTGTAGGCTCTACGCTCGGCGATGGCGCCGATACTCTGGACGACGTTGTGTACACTGTGGGCTCGACCATGGATGACTTTACGTACGTGGTGGGCTCGACGCTGGGCGATGTTGCCTCAACTGTTGGCTCGGCTGTCGATGGAGTCACGCAGAATGTGGATGAAGTCACGCAGACGGCGAGCTCCACTGTGCAGGACGTTACCGACACGGTGGACTCGACTGTGAGCGGGGCGACTGACGTTGTGGACTCGGTGGTGGACACTGTCGCCCCAGCGGTGGAGACTGTGACTAGCACGGCGGGATCGACGGTGAACAAGGTGGCCGACACTGCGTCGACCGGTGTGCAGACGACGGCTCCTGTTGTTAACACCGTGGCCAAAACTGCATCGACTGTGGTCAAGACGGCGGCTCCTGTTGTCAAGTCGGTGGCTAGCACGACGGCTTCGACCTTGAACACCGTGGTGCAGACGGCGGCGCCAGTTGCGAAGACTGTGGCGAACACGGCCGGCTCAACGGTGAACACGGTCGCTAACACCGTGGTGCAGACGACAGCGCCTGTGGCGAACAAGGTGACCAGCACGGTCGGCTCCACGGTGAACATGGTGGCCAACACTGCATCGACTGTGGTGAAAACTTCGGCCCTCGTTGCTACTACGGCTACTACCACGGCTAAGACTACGACGAATACTGTACCCGCGACGAAGTCCGGCCTAACGACTTCATTTACGACTGCCCCCACGACGACCGCGCCTACCAAGACCGGCACGACCAAGACTGGCGTTATGACCAAGACTACCACGGCTCCGTCCAAGCTGTCTTCTTCGCAGAAGGCGGACGGGAAGGCCAAGTCCATTATCTCGAACCTGGTGACTCTGACGGCCACGCAGTCGTCGGGCTCCAAGACAGAGGAGGAGGAGGAGACGAGCGCCGGCGACACTGCCTCGAGCAAGTCGAGCTCCAAGACCAAGAAGAGCACGTCGGCCGGTGATGAATCCGACAGCAGCGACGAGTCTGTGTTCGTGCACAAGAAGGACTCGTCCTATTCTTCCTCGTCGTCGGCTGACGTTGCGGACGTGACCAAGAAGCCCTCGACCAAGACTACGAAGAAGCCCAGCACCAAGTCGCTGAGCTCCAGCGCTTCCGACAACGACTCTGGCTCGGGCTCGGAGGAGGTTGGACTCCCGTCGGACGACTCGGCTTCCGCCTCTCCCTCGGGTAGTGCGGCCTCCATGCCGGGATCGATGGAAGTTCCCGACGTGGGTGACGTCTCCACGGAGGAGCCGAGCAAGACGGCGCTGCGTCCGGAGCCCACGACGGCGGCGCCGACCGCTGCGCCTGCTGCCCCTGCTGCACCGGCCGCTACCACTGCGGCACCTGCAGCGTCAACCTCTGGCAGCAGCAGCTTGCAGAGCCAGGAGGCCCAGGCCAAGCGTGCTGAGGATGTGTCGGGCAGCTCGGGCGCTGGTACGTCCGCCTTGTTCACGGTGGTGGGCGTTGCTGGCTGTGCTGCCGTTGTCGCCATCGTCGCGTACATGAAGAAGCAGAACCACGAGACGGAGGCCACGGGCCCGAACGGCGAGCGGATGTCTGGGGCTACGGCGGAGGGAGCTCGCACCTCGGAGGACAGCGTGTACAACGACCCGCTGGGCACGCGCTACTCCAGCATTGTCATGATCACGCCCAATGGCGACGGCGTGTGCATCTTGTAGACATCGGGTGGCACGGGATCGCCTTGTGAATTGCACAGCATGTTGATAGCTTTTCCCTCGGAAGTTTTGAGACTTAAGTAATCGAGTGTGTTGCCGAGAAGAATAAGTGAGTGAATGAGTTTTGCCAACAATCTTCCTATTCTACTACTTGTTGGTCCAGATCTGCTGCAGCAGTAGGAAGCACTAGACGCACTGTGACATCACCGCGGTCCTTGCGCATGCTGTCGAGCGGGTGGAAAGGTGTCAGCCCCACTGGAAAAGCAAGGCGGTTGCAGAATGTAGTTTCAACCTCGTACAGTTCGTTCGTAGGGTCTTCAGAATCGCACACGAGATACCACGTCACCGCCACAAGCTTCACACGCAGTCCAAAGGCCCACGTTGTCTCCTTGGAGCCTGGTACAGTCTCCAGATACGGGCCCACGTCCATGTGAACCTCCAGCGGAGCCGCGCGTGCCGACGCCGGGCGCAGCAGCACTCGATCCATCTCATGGTTGCTAAGGAACTTACCCAGTAATTCATACGAACTACCACCCGATTCCGTGCGGTTGCTCGCATGCAGCACCGCCATCGCAACCGACTGCAGCGCATTGCTCACTGCCATAGGCGTCTGCTCCGGCGTCTTGCCCGCTTGCCGCGCCAGGACATGCTCCAGCTCATGCTGCAGCGCATCCACGACGGCGTCGTACCCTCTCGTGCCTTCCACGCGCTGACCATTGATCAGCAGCTCGTCACGCCCGATATCCTTGGCGTCTTGGAAGATCTCTGCCTCTGACAACGTCGGCATGCGGCTGGCATTGCCCGGCTCGTCACTGGAGATGGCCAAAACCTGCTTCAAGTAGCTCTTGTCCCCCGTCTCCTCCTGCTCCACCGCTGCAACATCCTCTCTCTGCAGCCAGTTCGTCGACACCACCAGCTTCTGCTCCGGCAGACCTTCAAAAAGCTGCTCGACCACCTCTCGGAACAGCGTCAAGTCTTCGTTTTCCGCATCCAGAGCGTTGTGCAGCAGCCCCGTCATCTCTTCGAGTTGACGGCGCTCTGATGCACCCAGCGTCGTCTCCAGCAGCTTCTGATCGCCCCACTCTCCTGCCAATTGCTGCAGCTCTTCAGCCATAGCGTCCAACTCTTCCTGCAAGCTCTGTGGGCCGCTCTGCAGCTCGGCAAAGCTGCCACGAGCCAACTCAACGTGCAGGCGCGCGACCAGCACTAGCGCCTGCAGCGTTCGCATCCGCTCGCCACCGGCTTGCAAGGCGCTAGGCAGACCTTTAATGGCTGATAGTAGCGCCTCCTCGTTGCTGGCGTCGGCGTCAGGGGCGCTCAAGCGCGTCGCGCAGCTGTCCGGCGGAAGATCCGACATCTCTCGCTCGAGTTCCGAGAGGTCAAAGCCCCACTTCCCGGCGTCGGACGACGGCGAATCTGGCGCGGTTGGCTGCGCTTGCGTCTTGGCTTCATGGTCATGCAAAGTTGATGTAGCGGGGAGCTCTGGGGGCGACGCGGGGGCGTCGTCTTCCCATTCGTCCCAGGCTTCGTCGTCAGCGGTGGTCATTGTCACGCGTGGCACTTTGCGTTATGGGCGACATAGGAACATCGCGATTAAGTACGAAATGAGACTGCCGTCGAACTGGTGGTCGGTCAACTTGTCGTGCCTACCGGTACATGTAGGAGGCATCGGAAGACTGAAGTCAACGACTTTACCTGCTCGCTCTTAGCTGATGGAGGGGGCCAAGCCCGAAAGCTTGACTACATTATGATGTTGAAGCTATGCGACTACGATCATCACCTTGGCCACGTTGGCAACGAAATCTTCCAATGCAACCCGTTGCTCAATGATGCACCGTTGAGTTCGCATGCAAGCAGTGATGCTGGCCCGCACCGCATTGTGTAGGATGGAGGCGTGAATGTTTGGCGCTCCACCCATCATACATCCGACCTGCGACGCGCGACACTCGATCGGAGCTCGAGGTTTATGTGACTGTGTACGTCGCACACGGCCGCCCCTGCTCCAATGCATTCTCAACTTTCATCTGCAGCGAGCAGGTCGGAAGAAGCCCCTCACCTCGCTGTGTACCGGAAGTCAAGAAGGCCCCGTCTCACCATCTGATACCCAAACTTCAGAAAGGATACTTTGGCGACTGACAAAATACCCCCTCGTCCCAGCACACCGCATTGTACTAACACCCGTTCATTTCCAGCAACATGATCTGGACGCCCGTGGCCATGGCCAGCGTGGCCCTGTCCAGCGTGGCGGCGGCTCTCATCGCCTACAAGTTGTTTCGGGACTGGGACTTCCGCGTGTCCAGCGTGCGATGCCTCTTCCTCACGTTCTTCGTCTACCTGTGGCTCTACACGCTCGGTCGTCTGGGCTACTACATCTGGGTCTTGACACTGGCCAAGACGCAGTTCGTCGACAGCGTCAACCCGACGCCTCTCACGCCCGGAGAGCTGGACAAGCTCGGCATCTACATCACGCTGGACATCGCAGCCTCCTCGCAGGCCAGGGTCACCGCGGTGCTGTGTTTCTGCGACGTCATGCACTTTGGCGCCGCCTTCTGGGTGCTCCCGCTCACGTACGAGCTGTCCAAGATCGCGGCCAAGTCAATGGACCGCGGCATCGCCAAGGAGAGGGCCAAGATCCGCTTCTACATGGTCTCGGGCCACTCGCTCCTCCTTATCTTCCTGGTTGCCGAGATCGTCTTGACGGTGGTGCACGGCGGCTACTCGTTGACCACGTACCGACTTGTGATGTGCATCTACATCATGCAGATTATCACGATCGCGTACATGGTGGCGCTGCTGTTCTTCCTTCGACGCAAAGGACGCGACGTTGAGCCGGTGGACGGCCACTTTGAAGCTTCTCCGGTGTATCTACGACTCAAGAGGATCATGATGGTGTACGCTGTCGTGGCTTTCCAGTTCGAGGTCACGTCGCTCTACGTGTACGCCACCGACGTCATCCGGGACCACGTGTTACTCTGCTACATCGGTGTCAGCCAAGTCATTTACAACGCCACGGGGTTAGCCTTGGCGCCCTTCACAGGCTGCAGCTTGCCGTGCGTGTTGCGCGCCACGCATTGGATTCTACCGCGTGACGTCGAGTCCGAGTTAATAATCGCGATAGAGAACAACAACTCGCCTGCATTGTCGTCCGTTAGCGGGGTGGAGTTGGCGCCATTGCAGAACCCGGTCTTCGTCGTGACGGACATTGAGTCCTCGAGCGCTCTTTGGGCCGTAGGGGACGGTCGGAGTGCACGACGACATCCTCCGGAAGACTTTGGCGACGTATCGCGGCTACGAGATCACGACAGCGGGCGACTCGTTCCAGTTAGCCTTCCACACTGTCCGTGAGGCGGCCATGTACTGCCTGGATGTGCAGATGCAGCTACTCGCCGCTTCATGGCCGAAGGAGATCCATGGCCTCGTACCGGTGACGCGGAAAATTCGATCAGGAACTCGCCTAATCTTTCGCGGACTTCGAGTACGAATGGGGATCCACGACGCCGACCCAGCGGATGGTTCCCTCGTTCACAATACGCACGCTGTTACTGGCAAAATGACGTATACGGGAGCTGCGATGGAGATCGCGAACGAGATCGGAGATTTAGGTGAAGGTGGACAGATCATTGTGACGGAACGTGCAGCCCAGTGGCTGCGCGCTAACGACTGGATGTTCACGCACCAGCCTTTCGTCGTGGATCCTCTTCGTGACCACGCCTCAAGCTGTACCAAGTTCTGCCGGAGCAACTCGCCAAGCGCCGGAAAGTTTTCGAAGCGCTGGACGCTGCTGCTGATAATTTCCCCGACATGTGCAGCACTGCATCGGAAGCGACGATGCGCTATGATAGCCCTCACGAGCAGGAGCAAGAGCGGTGCACGTCACTAACACCAAAGCTGGCGCCGTTCCAAAGACTTTTGTAGTATTTCCACAGCCTACAGTTATGAAAAGTATTTATCTGACACGCCTAACTCGAAATTTCAATTCGCCCGAGCTTGTTGCTTCGTGCACTTTGTCTAGGTTTTAGCTGCCCCTCGGAGGTAGCGTGTGATTAGGAAGCTGATAATGCATCCCAAATATGTGCCCAAATCGCCCCAAATGTCCCAAATAATGAATTGTCTCTGTAACATTTAGGTACATATTTGGGGCCAAGTATATGACTGCTTTCTCGTAAAACTATCCCAAATATGTACCAAAACGGAGTTGACTGATTATGGTAGAATATCATCAAATCTCCGACCGCACTTAAGATGATAGGTATACAAATCCCCAGTCAAGCACGGTCGGAGCATAACAGTATTACCCTACCCCTTCCCAAAGTGTTATGCATACACAGTCCAAGATAGATTAGTCGTCCCGTTTGCTCATTGGTCGGAGCCTTGGGATGGATGGCACGGAGCGAGCGTAGCGAGCCCCCGCCTGCGGTTTGACAGTCCGTGTGCGTAGCACGCGGCTGCAAACCCTCGACCCCGCAGTGCTCTACCTAGCAAGCGGAGGCGACGCGTGCGAGCCGCAGCGGGCTTAGGGTTCTGGCCCAGCGAGCGCAGCAAGCCTTTAGGGGTTTTAGGTTCGCGAGTAGCGCGTAGCTGGGTGATAGTTAAAGGTGACCCCCCTCCTATCCGCATGTTTTGTGTACGAGTCGGAGAAAGTCGAAGGGTCGGAGGTTTTTGGGTATGGAGTAATATTCACTCTGTTCCAACCGCTACTCTTTTTTGTAATCCCAAACCGCTCGTACTCGACGACTTTCACCCAATGAATGCCTTAATTTCGATGAATTTTGGCCAATCGGAAGCCCATCTAAACTAGGGCATTTTTCCAACCGTTCCAACCATATTTGGTTGGAATTTTGTCAGAATATTTTTAATGCCATACAAATGTCTATAGAAATGCATATCCCAAAAATATCTTTCAGTTTCCAACCCGAATGGTCGGTACATATTTTTTTGTTCAGAGTAACAAGAGCAGGCAGGCTAGCATGTCGATCGCATCGCTTGCTCCTGCCAACAGCAAGAAGGCCAGGACGACGGCGATCAACTCGTTCACGACGTTCCTGGCCGCGGAGAGCATGACACTCGAAGCCACCCACCAGCTCAAGGACGGGGATAAGACAGGTAAGGTATTGCGTATTATACTAGTCAAGTATGCATATTCGTTAGCCACATCAGCCGAAAAGGTAAGAGCGACCAATACGTGTCTAGCATACTATGGCAACGTCAAGAATTGGCTAGTAGATAAGTACCCACTGCAAGGAGCTTTAGTTAAATCTCAGCTCCAAAAAATTCTATCTGGGCTGGGTAAGTATTGTAGGAACCGAGAGGAGGTCGGCGACGAGAAGAAAGCACCCCCGTGCTCTAAACAAGACTTAGAAACTATGGTGTCTCTACTGTACTCAACGGCTGCGACGGAGATTGAATACCTCGACGCGGCCCTAGTCGTGATGATGTGGTACCTTTACGGTCGAAGCTCGGACGCGGAAACAGTCGAGAAGAGCCAGCTATCCATCTTGCCTGGGAAGTAATTAATTACGATGTTCTTAGCAGAATTATTTTAACACTGAGGGCATTTATGCTAGGTGGCGTCTTATTTCTTCGATTTAAGCGGGTTAAAACAGCTTTACTACAAGGCATCTCCTTATTCAAGGACCCAACAAATTTCTTGACATGTCCTCTGCAAGCTTTGGCTGTGGCGCTGGTTATGCAGAAGGCACCAAGCCAGCGCATGCTCCCTCAGTTCATCGCCAAAAAGCACAGATCAGATGATATTGATGATGTACAGGAGCTTGCACTGATTGAACTACTGGAAGTTGATGATGACCAGCCTTCTATGGAGGAATCTGAAGCACCTTCGACAAAGCGGGCAGTTCCTGGTGCACAAGCATACGTCAACAGGTTGCTGGTTAGAGTTAAAAAACTCGCCCATTTGTGAAGCATTCGTATGACGCCAGATCTTACCTCTCATTCGTTTCGACGTGGTGGGGCCATGCATGCCAACGACGGTACCTTGGCGGAAAACTGGATTATCGAGCGCGGGGGCTGGCAGCTGGACCGCGTCAATAAGGCCTTCGAGTACATGCTTGGTACAACCCAAGCCGACCAAAAGGTGTCCCGCGTCCTGAGTGGCTGGAAGCCCAAGGACGGCGCGCGGCTACCAACGCTAGCCGCTCTGGCCACGCCAGTCTTGGTCCGCGCTCGCAAGATGCAAAAGCTTCTCTTTTCCAGTACGATGGCTTTCGCTGATGCTACCTTGAACCTCGACGACGACGCCGCTGACGTCCTTACGGCTACCCTGTTCATGCATTACCCCGACATGTTAGTGCTCTGCCCAAGCAGCCCGCTCATCACGAAGATACGTGAACTCCTAGCACAACGAGCCATCGGTGAGTCCGAGCTGCTCGCGTGGAGTGTGACGATTAACCAGGCATTCGTGGCACCTCCTGCATCAGAGGCTTCGGCTAGCGCTGGTGAGGAGCAGTCGCCTGCGTTGATTGACCTCATCAAACGCCAGTCCGAGCAGATCGACGTCTTAATCCTGCAGAACAAACGACTCGACGAGCGCATATTAGCTGTTGAAGCACACTTACCAACACAGCCGCAACTCAATCAGCAAACACCGACGCCACGCTTCCTGCTCCCGAGCAACCACCGCCAATAGGAGCTACGACGACACGCCCGAAGAAGAAGGGAGCCCAGTCGTTGTCGGCAATCTGGTTCGAGTGGTTTACAGCGGAGCCTCGTGTGTATGGTCGCGTTCTGTAAAGAAGACATCGTTGTACGAGTACAGGAACATCGCAGGGTATCTCATGCTCTTCTTACCCGAAGGTTTCGCGCTTGACACTTCGTCGCCTGCATACAAAAGCGAGGTCCTGGAGCTAGGTGATAAAGCGCAGCAGAACGCACTCACCATCTTGAAATCGCACGGCTCCTCCGCGGTTGCAGCAAGTTCGGCGTTGAAGGCTCTTTGTCAGATGCAGAAGCTTGGTAAGCTCGGCGCTCATCGCCCAGTTCCATGAACGCGTTGACCAAGGTGTCATTGTCGATCCGACGCCACCTTCAGCACTTCCATCATTCATTCGACTGACGCCCGCGCAAAGTTGATCTGCTACTGTAACACATAGCAAAATTAACAAACTCAACAGTTAAAGCGACCCACCGCACACCAGGCTCGCTGATCAAGGGACAATACCACCGACATCACATGAATACATGAACAACATCATAATTTGGGTAAACCTCTTCGTGTATTTTCTTGCACTTGTTCTTTACATTATAAACAACACTGCACAAAACATAACGTTAGAATAGGACGTTCACAGTTATGACAGGGCATAGAGTGTTTACCTTGTGTCTTGCAGTCCTCGGCCGCCATCACCCTGCGCAAGACCAGCCAGCCGGCAGTGTCGCTGCAGCCGCACTCACTGGTCCTGCTGTTGCTGCTAATTCTGGCCTCGGCGGCCGTCACCCCGCGCGAGGCCAAGCCACTGTCGAAGTCGCCGCCCTCGCCCGCGTCGCCGCTCTGCTCCTGGTGCTGCTGACCTCAAGTGCCATCACCTCGCCCGAGGTCGAGCGCTCGCCCACGTTGCCGCCCTCGCCCTCGCCCGCGTCGTCGCCCTGCTACTGATGCTGCTGGCCTCGGCGGCCATCACCCCGCCCGAGGCCCAGCCACTGTCGCAGTCGCCGCCCTCGCCCTCGCCCGCGTCGCCCTGCTACTGATGCTGCTGGCCTCGAGCTCCATCACCCCGCCCGAGGCCGAGCACTTGTCCATCTCGCTGCCGACGCCCGTCTTGCTCTCGGTGCTGCTGGCCGGGGGCCCTCTCCACGCGCTCCGAAGTGAACGATATGAATGAACAGGATTTAGTTAGGATGTCATTAAAATGAAATAGATGTCATTAAAATGATTTGCTGTAGTACCGGTACAGGTTGGACACCTTGGTCGGACAGTTGGAATTTTGACGGTATGGTCTATAGTCTATGGGCGGGGGCGTGTCTGTGCGAGCGAGCGAACGCGAGCGCTGCAACCCGATATTTTTTTTTCTAGACACCGCGCCTGGCCGAGACGAGGAACTTAGCGTAAGGGACAAGGGGGTGGGGCAGGCCGCGCAGCGGCGCCCCCCGAGCGAAGCGAGAGAGGGGCGGGCCCCCCCGCAGACCCGTCGCTAAGTCCGCAGACGAGAGCCAACGCTTTCATACTGAAGGTTATTCTGTCCTAAATATGTACCAAAACGTTCCCATGGTCTTAAATCATTTGGGAAAAACTTTGGGATTTGGGGCGTTTTCGGGGTGCATTATCCAATACCTGTGATTATATGCTGTGGACCCTCGGACGGCATTGCCTGCCGTGTTTCCGCCATTTCGAGCATATTCAAGAGCAATGTGCCTCTGGTTCGGGCAACGTTTACGGACGCAAGCAGGCATCATGGTACTTTGTACAGTAAGACACTACGAATCCTCTCGTATACATTGTACGGGTTCTGGGCTCGTGACACTTGTTTTCATGGTTGACCGTGAGATTTCCTTAACGATCGGAATCCCCCCCCGACCCCCTCAAGATGAAATGGACCCAACAACTTCGTCTTCCTTGAAATGGGAGTCTTATACATACTGTGCATGTATACTTCAAGTAATAGGAAATTCCAAAAGCGACTCTCTTTGATGGCATTCCATTTTCAAAGGGGTACTTTACTCAATTTGAACTGATGCCTGGAGCCTCATGAGAGGTAGACGTATGAATTAACCGACAAGCGAAGCACAGCCTAGCACTCATAGCTCTATGTGATCTGAAGGGGGGCCAACTTGGTCCCTCTCACAGGATAGCGTAGCCTCGTACTCCTATTCATTATTAGTTCGAAGTACAAGTACATGTATTTAGTACGGCGTGTATGTGCAAGTACTGCTGCCAACTTGGATTGGCAAAGGTGTAGAACAGCGAGAGCAAAAGGAAAACATGACCAGAACTATCGCTCGTGGGTCTATTAGTCGTCGCTAGGAGCCAAGAACCGCCCACCGAAATTGAGTCCCCTTTGCCGAAATGACACCAAAAGTGAGGCGATTTGCCTTTTCCGCAGAATATCAAGACGACCACGGCGCGATGACGCGAAAGCCAGCATAGAAGATTTCTCACGTACAGGTGCTGGTTGCATCAAATTACTGGGATTGTCACCCAAACCTTGACAAAGGAGTAGGTGTACGCTCTAATGGAAAGGACTTTCAGATTAGACCCAAAGGAAGCAACATGAGCTGAGCCTCGAGGTCAACCCTCCAAGCCATTCCAGTTTTACTCTCTCACAGCAGAAACTCGCCCACGCTCGAAGACAAAGAGAAAAATGGGGTTCGACCTCCGTGTATTCATTGCAGGCATCGCCGTCGCTATGAGCATTTATGTAATTGCATCTGTTGGATACAAGGCCAGACCGGTTCAACCCAGCAGTTTAAGAGCCACGAACAGCGATTCCGGCAACAACATTACTGATGCTGCTGCAGTCGTCAACGGCAGCACCCACCACGAGACCGAAGACCGAGGGCTCTTTTCTTCCTTCAACCAGTTTCTCGGCAAAACCTCCGGCCTCAGTAACAAGCTCTCCGCCATGAAAACGAAACCAGAGATCGCCGCGGCTCTGAGCAACCCAGTTCTTAATAAACTGGGAGCAGCTATCGAGACAAACCCGAAACGTCTAACAAACCTAGCGAAGAACCCGCGCGTGCTCGATAAGTTGGCGAAGAAACCCCAAGTGGCAAACGTGGTGAAGGTGCTGGAGCGGAACCACGTATCGTTCACTGCTTAAACACGTGGTTTTTCTTCGGTCGCTGACGGCCAAATATCCCACAAAGGTAAGCTTCGTATTCCGAGATCGCCAACTTGTTCAAATTATGGAAGAAGCTGTGTTTGGATTTGAATAACCTCCTTCAAAACATTCGTGTTTTTTTATCTTTTTTATTCAGAGCAATCGTGTGAATCAATTCCTCGTCATACCATGCTGTTACTTCTACTGTTTACTGGTGTTTGCCACTTGCGTCGTTAATAGTTCCTGTCTACAGTAAGGATGTGGCGGGCCTCAACACCTAAAACACTGAAAAGGCACCATCAAGCTGCAATGGTTCGTCCACCTTTGCGCCCATTCCACTGCTCAGCATGCACCGACGGGCAGTGGTCATTACATTGTACAGACGCTGCTGAGATGCGTCGGATCTGGTTCGAATGCGAAGCACTTCCACGTTGTGCCGACAGTTAGGTCGCGTAAGCTTGACTGGTTCAAGTTTACCATGCCTGCTTGCGTGTATAAGCTTCGTTTGACGCGGAATCGATAGATCCTCACTACTTGCTCAGTGCTGCGTGGTTGGTTCAAATCGGCGGACTTTTAGTTAAATCTGTACCCTTCGTGGGCAGAGTTTGCGTGACATTTTGATAATTTCCCTAAACAAACGACGCCCGTGGCTCGCTTTCAACAACTTGCCCTCGTTTTTTAGGAATCTACAATAAATGTACTAGTATTGTGGAATCCTCGTGTTATGGGGCAATATTCCTTGCATTTTGTTGTTGTAGACACCTGTGGTGTTTCTCCTACTTTGATTTCAAGTCTTTGCCCACGAAATGATGTCGAGTACTTCGAAGTACCTAGTTGTAAGTTACCGAGCTACACGTTCCCCCATTTCACGTGCGGCCGCACGAGCATGTTGGGCCACAGCGACGAGGTCAACGACGATCTGGTCTGGAATCGCTGCTGGCAATTGCGCTTGCTGCGGCAGCCCGAGAACCCGTCTGGAGTCAAAGTTCACTACGTGGTTGGCCGGAACGACCCTCTCGGAAATGTTGAACGAGAGCTGACAGGCGTTCTGGCCTGGAGGGGGGTTGTGATCCGGGACGTCATAAAGCTCGTAGGACCAGCGATCCATTGCCAATGACATCTTCAGACAGAAGATGTACTGTATATCTTGGAGTCCGCGATACATTTGCACCTTGGGCCGGACTGAAGCCCACCGCTGGATGCGCATAATCTCCACGACCACCGTCGCTCGTCCCCGGGGCACTTGAGTTCCAGGGATTTGGAAGCCAGGGATTGTACGCAGCGGGACGAATGCGTAGTCTGGCGAGTACGTCATCTGGCCCCCATTTGGGGCGCAGACTCGATTGTCCACGATGTGAGCCATGAGCACCAACGGCATCCCAGAACGCGCCCAAAACGGAGGCTAGCGCGTCCTCATGTCCAATGGAAATAGGCAGCTCAACAATCGAGACTCGGCCGTCGTCCCACACCAACTGCCGAAGTCGAAGTCCACGAGGCAAATTGTTCAGCTGAGCAAGTCGATTCCACGTCTCCAGGGGTACGCGCTCCGCCACGAGAATCTCCGTGCCTTGATCCTCATCGTCGTCGCTGTCGTCGTCATGAACGGTCGGGGCAGCGGCGGCCAACGCTCCGTCGAGGTCGATGAGTGCGAATTCACGTAGTAGGCGATCCATGGCCCCTCGATGCCGAAAGAAAAGGTTTTTGATGCGGGAGCTGAATCCATCATATTGCCGCGTCGCAGTTTAAAGTGTGTTAGCAAGATTGGGGCATAGATCCTCCCCAAATCCTACATTTACCCCACGATCTTGGAATGTTTTGTGCGGAGCGTTCTGATAGTTTGGATATGAACGCATAAGGGGCAATGTTGCCTTTTCTTTTAGTTAAAGATCTGAATGACGTATTTCCTACTACTGGCAGTGGATGTTTTTCCCATTTTGTATCTCTCCTCCAGCCTTTGCTGTCCAATTCGTTAAACCTCTTCCGTTGGGTCACGCAGCTACGTGTTCCCCGCGCAAACGCGCCATCAAACGCGCACGTTTAGCTAGAGCGACCAGGTCAATGGCAATTTCGTCTGGAACGTCTGCTGGCAACAGCGCGCCCTGCGGTAAGCCGAGGTCACGCCTCGAGTCGAAGCGAACGAGATGCTGGTCGTTAACCGGCACGTCCGTCTCGTTAATGTCGAACGAGTGCTGCTCAGCACCATCAGGATACACTGGGTTGTTGTTGCCGACGTCGTAGAGCTCGTAAGGCCAGGAATCCATCGCCGGAGACGTCTTCAAACAGAAAATATACTCCACACCATCAAGTTGTCGATACATTTGCACCTTTGCGTGAGCCGACGGCCATTGCTCGTTGCGCATGATCTCCGCGATCACGGTCACCCCACCCGCTGGAAATTGAGTCTCCGGGATAATTCCTGGCACCGGGCAGAACGCGTAGTCTGGCGAGTGCGTCCGTCACCTGTCCTGGCCCTCTGAAGTTTGTTCGTCCAAGATTCTCGCCGTGATCTCCGCACGCCTTCGAAAATGAGTGTTGAACTTAGCTAATGGCGCTGCGGAAATGGGATGCTCGACAATTGAGACGCGCCCGTCATCCCAAACCAATTGACGAAGCCGAAGCCGCGAGGCAAGATGTTCCGTTCGGCGAATCGGTTCCACGTCTCCAACGATACGCACTCCGCCACGAGAATCTCCGTGTCTTGCTCCATCGTCGTCAGTGCCGTTGCTAGTGGCGCCCTGCCCAGTGTCGAGGTCGACGAGTCCAAATCCACGGAGTAATGGTCCGAACCCCTCGATCACCAAGTCAGGACAACCAAAACTTGCAAAACTCTTTGGTACACTTGGTTAAATAATTTATCGCAACACGTCTCAATGCAGGAACGTGTAAAACGTCTGACTCTCAGTCCTCAGGCGCGAGTCTTCCCTCTCGATCTGCACGATATGCCTTGGCGAGTAGAAGCTCTCGCATCTCAACTCCAGCGGCTTCGGCACGACTTGAAACACCTCCAGCATCGTGTTCAGCCGCGGGATCGAGTACTCGCACACGGGCTCTATCATGAACTTGATCGCCAGACGCTCCGAGTTCTCTGCAAGCCATTCCGCCACGCGCTTGGTGGCCAGAATCTGGCCTCCAGCTCCCAAGTCTCCGATCTCGTTCGCGATAACCTCGGAAGCCCCAGTGTACGTCAACTTGCCCGTCACCGCGTGGACGTCTTGGATGAGGGACCCCTCCGATCCGACGGCGTCATGAATCCCCATGCGCACGCGAAGCCCGCGGAAGATTGTCTTGGTACCGACTCGCACCTTTCGGGTAGCAGGTACGAGGCCGTGGAGCTCCTTGGGCCACTTGGCGTTCAGCAGTTGAATCTGAGTATCCAAACAGTACTCGACAGCCTCTTGGATCGTGTGGAACGCGAGCTGGAATGAATCTCCTGCGGTGGTGATCTCATAGCCACGATACGCCGGTAGAAGCCCTCTCATAATGTTGTCGTGGATATGAGTGGCTTGCTGCATCACTTTGCCGTCCCCCACGCTCCAGAGCGCACTCGAAGACTCGATGTCCGTGAACACGAAGACCGGATTGATATACGGCAGCTCCCAGCCACCAGGAACTACCACACATTCTCGACGCTGCGTGTAGTGCGCCTTGATATCGGCAGGAACACAGCAGCCCAAGCAGCGCACTACACACGGCTGACTGCAACCAGTGGCGACGGAGAGCACGAAACCTCGAAGGTAGTACAGGACGAAGCTCACTCCAGCATAGCCCGATATCTTCGTGGCTTCACCCGGTACTAAGTGCAAGATCAGCGACGAAAACTGGAATTGGAACGCGAATAATGAGTACACGAGCCTGTGCGAAAGCAAGAAACAGAGAGAAACACGTTAGTTTTGCTTAGAAATAAAGAGCTGGAACGATACTGGAAGGTTTTTACTTACATAATCCACTTGAGACGTCGGTAAAGGGGAGAAGCCACGGAATGTCCGTGCACACTTTCGAAGTTGCGTCCCTTATTTTTGAGCAGCACGACCATCGTCACCATGTATAAGAGCACGATGATCTGCAGCAGGTACGCGACCAGCAGCAGCGAGTACGCGTAGCTGGAATAGCCCGTGAAAACTATAGCAAGCACCACTTGGACTGTGAAATAGATGGCGATGCTGGACTGGCCGATCCACGAGTACAGTCGAATCTTGGCTCTCTCGTGCTTCTCTCCTCGATCCATGGTCAGTGCTACGAGCTTCGACAGTTCGTACACCAAGGACGCGATCCATACTGTGATGCCGAAGTGCGTCGTGTCACCAACGATGATCGCGGCCGTGACCCAGGCGTTCTGCTTCTGACCCATCTTGAGCACGGCGCTGGTGCCCATTCGATACAGCTCCGTCTCCACCATGGCCTGGCCCACCAAGTCTTCGTCATCGTTCTCTTTGGCGTCCCGCGTCACCACCGTAAGCCAAGTGAAGTACACTAGCCTGGACACCGTGCAGATGAAGTGGTAGGTGAAGAACACGGCGAAGAGCCATCGGACGCTGTTGGCCCGCACGTCCCAGTCCTTGTAGAGCTTGAACACGACCAGACCCGTGCCTATCGCTGACAACGTCAAGGCCGACACGCACAGCAGCGCCCAGATCATGTGCATGGGGAAGCTGGTTGACTTATGACGCTTGAAATCACAAAGGGAGCTCTTCCACGAACGGCGAAGGTCAAATGTTGGACACTATCGAATCGCGATGATTAAACACCAACTGGGACGAGGGCACAAAGCTTCAACGTGCTGCCGCCCGCCGGGCCACGCGCTCGCGGTTCTTTTCGGTTCTTCCAGCCGAATGAATGCAGGTATCCCCTTCTTGCGTCGACGCCGCATCGACGAATGGTTTCACAGTTCGTCTGCAGACTCGAGAGAGCGGTAAAACGGGAGCAGCGGCCCGTTGTGTCGTAGCGGCAAGCAAGAGCGAGTAGACCGTTTCGAGTTCCTTGCATGAGAGTCAGCAGCGCCAACCTAAGCTAAGCCAAGCTGCTGGGACTTCCGTGGGTCGTTTCGCCTCTCAACGCCTTCTAAGAACCGCGCTGAGATCAACTGGTATCCCTGGTTTTTGCGGGAGTCGTGGCTCGTCCCAAGCGCTGATCTGCTGTGATGGGGCCAACTCGTTTCTAGTTTGAGGGGCTTTTGCTCGATGCTCGCGGCGAAATCGTCCTGCGGAGAGGCGCAAACTTTTGGCACCAAAGTTTGCTGACACTGCCCTTGGCCCCGCACGCTCGCACACTGCATAGTAACGCTCGCAGTCCAGCCGTCCTTGCGGTCGTTGCAGTTGAATCGTTCAACTCACTCCGAGCTTTTGACGCCATCGCCGACCATGAATCAACACTTTTGAGACGGCCCGATCCCTTCCCAAGTGCCGAAGATTGATCGACCGAACGAACTCGAAATGCCCAACTGGCCGAAACCTGAAAATCTCCTGCCAGCCAATTCCTGGAACTGAGAGCAGACATATATCGACCGAGTAGCATATTTAGGGCCCAGGCCAAACAGTAACTGCTGCAGTGGGAGGTACTTGGTCGTCTTCGCCATCTGGCCTGTCGAGGCAGGCTGGTTGGGGTAGTTAGTGTCCGTTATAGGTTTTTGGGCTCAGTACAGTCGCCCCTTGAAGACAAGAATACAAGCGCAAGTGTAGAAACCACCGTAATACAGAGAACCGTTCGAGTTACAGCGTGACTGTCGAGTCCAGCTTGGCACGCTGCAAACCCATGGAGGGCCTGCCCACACTCGTCGTGCCTGATGACCCCGAGACCGGAGTCATCGAGCGGCCCAAGACCCCGCCGCCCATTCAGATCGATGAACAGCGCTTGCTGAGCACGACGGTGCATCTACTGGCCAAAAAGCTGCAGGCGCTGCCCAATGCTCCGGTGGCACCCGAGACATTCGAGACTCCGCAGGGTTCAGCTCGGGACAATCCGCAACCTCCAGGATCCAAGCAGGCCACTCCACGACAAGCAACAGCCCGAAATGACCCTCAGCCACCAGGGTCGAAGCAGGCCACGCCTCGGAATGACCCTCAACCTCCTGGATCAACGAAAGCGACACCCAGGCCACCGACTATCAATGAGGGCCAGCCGGAACAGTCGACCATCAGCGGAATGCCGCTTGATGCTGCAGTAGATGGCCCTGAATTAGCCCGGCCTCAATCGGCCCACGCTGCGTCATTGAGCAGTAAAGACTTCAAGGCCATGGCCAAGCTCGCTGCAGCGGCAGCCAAGCTTGATCGTCTCGCAGCAGGCAACAAATCCGTGTTCGACGCCAATATGAGCGACATCGCCGCCTTGGGTATTGGAATGGAGCTCTATTTTCTGTTGATCAAGTACCTGGGCTGGGCTTTCCTGACAATGGGGATCGTGTCACTTCCGGCCATCGTTGTGAACTACTACGGCGACGGTGTGACGGCCAAAATGGTGGATCCACTGCAGCTCGCATACGCTTCGCTCGGAAATCAAGGCGTGAACCCGGATATTGCGTCCGATCCGAAGTTGTGTCTGCCTCTCGGAGAAATCGACTGTACCGGGGTGACAGTCAACACGCCGTTCACGACGGACCCCCAAAAAGTGGCTTGGATCGTGACCTCCAGCGATGCGATCTACTCTTTCGTGTTCCTGATTGTGTATCTGCTCTTCCGTCGCCACGCGAAGCGAGCAATTGATGCTCACCAGAACGAGCATCTTACGCCCGCCAAGTATGCAATTTGCGTGCGGGGTTTGCCTCCAGACTCCACCGCTCGGGAGGTGCTGGAACACTTCAACTCGCGTTATGATCCGACTCAAGAGGAGAAGTACTTCCCGTTATGGCTCGGGTGCTGCTGGGCAAGACGGCCGCGTAAAGTCAAGAACTCCCTTAGCAAAGGTGCGGTCAATTGCAACGTCGTGACTAATCTCGACCATCTCTGGCAGCCAGATAAGCTCAGTCAGGTAAGGCCCACTACCTCGGCGCAAGCACGGCCGTCTACTTCGAGCCAAGCTCGGCCATCTACCTCGGGTCAAGCCCGACCATCTACGTCGGGCCAAGCAAGGCCGTCCACCACTGGATCCCCTGGTACTCCGCGAGTTGACGAGCAGAAAGTCGAGGAAGAACAGCGCGAACGTCGCGAGCAGCAGGAAATGTATCTGGGCACGTGGATTGCTGAAGTGAGCATTGCTCACCCGACGGGAGGGTTGCTACGAACATTCCTATCCATGGAGGTGTTAACCCGTAAAATCTCTGAAGCTCAAGCGCTCGTCAACATTCTCACGCAGGACAAGGAGCAGGCGGAGATCGCACTGCAGAATTGGACGCCACCTCCTGGCAAGCGGAACCCAAAGAAGCCCAAGTCCGACTTCAAACCAGCCGACGAACGCTTACTGCAGGCCACGACGAAGAAATTGGAACGGCTTCAGGCTGCTATGACCAAGAAGACAAGCAAACTCAAGGCTCTGAAGCAAGCAAACCGCCAGTGGCAAGAGCAGCAAAAGCAGCTAGCGGATGAAGCAGCAAAAGCTGCGGCCGCTACAGGTGACGCCGCCACTGCTACTACGACAGAACCTAACAAAGCGAAAGCCAAGCCAAAAGCCAAAGCGAAGAGCAACAAGACTCCTGACGCTAAGCCGTTCGACTTGAACGCATGTGAGTGCGCTTTCGTGGTGTTCAACAACTTGGAGTCACGTCGTCGCTGCTTACAGGACTACCGTCGTTCGAATCAATGGCTACCGAAGAAGTTCCAGCCCAAGGCACTTCGCTTCCGTGATGGCAAATTCCCACTCACAGTGCTCCCTGCCCCCGAACCGTCCAACATTTTGTGGGAGAACCTGGAAGTAACTTCTCGCTCGCGACGGATTCGCCGCAGTTTTACCAACTCCGTTACTTTCGTGCTGTTGCTGATCTCTGGTGCGATCATCTCTGCAGCCCAGTCAGCTCAGCAGACTTTCAAGGATAAAGCACCACCCGCGGGACTGTGTGAATCCACGTTACCGGAGATTTTCTACGCTAGTCCGGACTTCTTGACGGCGAAAACTACGTGGGATCTTGAGTGGAACCCAAACGCTACGTGCACTCCAGGGGATAGCGGCGAGGACCGCTATCACATCGCGTACTCGAACGGCATCATCAACCCCATTACGGTTCAAAACCCGACATCCCCGGTCAGTGAGTTGAATCGATGTGTGGATCCGTGCGTGTCGGAGAAGTCGAGTACAAAGTGCAATACGCTCGCGTGCTTTGACGGCGTGACTCGTGAAGAAACCGGTGCAGACTGCGAGACTTACACAGCCAGCCACGTCCTCTATTGCCTCTGTACAGCTCAACTACAGACAAGCATCTCCGAGCTCGGGCTACTCAGTGGGCCTCGAAAACTTTGGGAGACGTATATCCCCTGCCGTGGATTTTTGACAGATTTTATCGGCAAGAACGCGTTCATCGTGGTGGCGTCGGCTGTGGTTGTGATCGTGAACATCGTGCTCAAGACCGCACTACGTGCCTTCGCGTCCTTCGAGCGACACACGAGTGAGTCAGCTAAAGCTTCAGCCGTGGCTCTGAAAATGTTCGCAGCACAATTCTTGAACACTGCTATCATCGTGCTGGTAGTGAACGCGGCACTGTCGTTGAGTGCTGTGCCAGTCATCGGTGAGCTGCTCCGGGGAAAGTACAGCGACTTCCAGCGTGATTGGTACCCAACTGTGGGCATGGGCGTGACGATGACAATGCTGATCAATGCCATCATGCCGCAGGCCATTCTACTTCTGCAAGTGTGTGTCATCAGCCCCTTGAAGCGCTGCTTAGCACGACGAGGTGTGCGTACACAGGAGAAGATGAATCAGCTGTACGCTGGGCCAACGTTTGACCTGGCTGTACGGTACCCGATGATCCTCAACTCGGTCTTCGTGACTCTCGTGTTCTGTGGGGGCTCTCCCGTGCTGCTGTTCATCGCGGCATTGGCCTGCACCGCTACGTTCTGGATCGAGAAGTTGTCGCTGCTGTGGCTGTACAGCGTCAAGACTGCGTACGACGAAGCTCTGGGTGAAACTGTGCTGGGTTTGTTGCCTTGGGCTTTGGCGGCGCACCTCGGGTTCTCGTCCTGGATGTACGGCAACACGGACTTGTTGAAGGCACCGACGTTGAAGCTTGGCTGGGTGTTTGAGCTGCTTGGCTTGAGTACTGACGGTGCCACGAACACTGAGGAAATGTACAACAAGCTGGTCTTGCAGGCTGCGTCGATTGATCCTCTCGGACAACATGGCTTCATCGTCAAAGTTCTGCACGTGAACGTGATGCTGATGTTCATCATGTTCGTGCTGGTGCTAGTGGGAATCCTCCTATCTGCTGTCTGGGTGGGTGTGTTGCTTCCGTTGCTGCGCAACACACTCGGCAAAATCCTCGTGGCTTTTTGGCGTCGAATTCGTCCGATCTTCCGGTTCTGTCGGTGCCGGTGCTCGTGTTTCTGTCGGCGACGACGGAATGCCGTCAAACCGGCGCCTTTGCCTGGTGGTGAGCCGCCTTCTGCCCCTGTTCCGAATCCTGAGAAACCTCCGAGTGGAGGCCGATCGGCCAAGGTGGCGGCCGATATCGTTGTCACCGATATTCCGACAAGTGATCCGGCCGCCCAGCCGACAGCGGAAGCGCCAACACCGACAACACCGGCAGTAGTGGCGAATGGTAAAGAGGACGGAGATGCGGTTGGAGTGGCCGAACCTCTGGTGCAAAAGTCTTCGGTCGTTCCCCCAGTACCGATAGTGTGGGCCGCAGAGCAAGCAGCAGTAGCAGCAGCTCCGACCGAGCCTTCGAAGCCTAAAACTCCCCGTTCGGCTAGACCAGTGCCGACTGAAGTCATCTTGCCGGAGTTCACCGATTTCTTCCGCAAGTCCGTGGGCCCGAAGTTCCGTCCCGACGCCAAGCTTGGCTTCAAGCGCGACTCCAGCCGACCGTCCGAACTCGTTCGCCACTGGCAAGAGGAGACGATGAGCAACGGATTCCACCGCAAGGCTGGAGACCCCATGCGGACGTGGGAGGCAATCCAAGCCCCCGTCAAGACGTACGCGATTGAGGCGAACGCCAAGTACAGACTCGCCGTCGCTGAGCTCGTGGCTGCGTCGAAACGTGCTCTTACTATTGCTGAGACTCCGGAGACTCCTTCCAAACCCGAGATTGCTGTAGCTCCAAGCCCAACTCCAGCAGTCGATGCAGGACTAGACGTAGCAACTGCAGCACCTCCTGTTGCTGCGCCTGACGACTTGGCCAAAAAGGACGAAGCTGTGAAAGATGCCACAGCGGTGGAGGCACAGCCTGCTGAAACACTAGTCACTGTTGGTTAGGCACACACTAGGATCAGACTACTACCTGTGGATGCAAGAAATGTTTATTAGTTTGATAAGAGCTCCACCAACTCAAGTGCTCGCTGTGTCTCTGGGTTTCGTGGTCCCTGCTCGAGTTGATAGTTACTTGGCCTCAGCCATTGTGTAGAAGCCTTGAGCGTACTTCTTGCCGAACTCGGCAGCCGATGCCGGTGGGTGCTTCAGAGCCTTGCGTGGGCTCTCGTCCAGCTCCTAAAGAGCAGAGTGCAGGTAGTTAGCTTAGCGTTCATGATGCTGCTGCAGTGTACCCCACATGATCTCACCTCGAAGATGGCCTTGATGTCACCGTTCAGCTTCTCGTACAGCGCCTGAAGCTTCTCCGCCACCGCCGGGTCATACTCGAGTGAATCCGAGTGTTCGCGAGTGCCTTTCGTAGCATGCAGCCCCTTGCTGGCCTTGTTCAGCTCCGACTCGGACACCGCAGCACCTCTCTTGGCCTCCATTGCTCCTGATAGACTTGTTGCTTAACTTTGCTCTTTAGATATGCGCTGAAGCGACGCGTCCGATGGCACCAGCTTAACAACACACCAAGTTGGGAGCTGAAATCGAGGATCTGCTGCTTGTTGAGCATTTTCAGGTTTGGTATTTGTTAAGCCTGCTTGGGCGCGATCACGACCGATGGATCATTCATAAATATCGCCTTGCTGCTGCATTCTGATACCTCACACTTGTCCACGTCGATCTCCCACACTCAAGCCGCCTGCTTCGCTTCTCCTCCAGCTTCCGCCTCTACTGCTGCATCGGATTCCTTCTCTCCATCCCCTGTCTGGTCAGCATCTTCCGTCGCTTCAGCCTTCTCGTCGACCTCTTGGTCCGCCGGTTGTTCCGTTTCAGTTGCTTCAGCCGCTTCTTCCTCGCCAGCCTCTCCTGCTTCTCCAGCATCCTCCTGCTCAGCAGTCTCCTCCTTCTCTTCACTCTTCTCCTCTTCATCTTCTGCCAGCTCCTTCGGTACCGGCGGGGACGAGAACCTGGGGCTCTTGGGTGACTCCACTTCCTCCTCCGATCCAGAGTCGTAGAACGCGTCCAACTGGTCCGGGTCGGCCGTGAAGACCAGGTCCACTTCGTCCAGCGAGACGTTCTCCTTCTCGTCCTTCGCCAGCCTCGCTTCAGCCGCCGCAGAGTCTCCATGATGGGCCACAAGCGTCTGGTACGTCTTGAGGTCATTCATGAATGCGCTGGCCAGCTTCTGGCGTCTCATCTCCAGCATTTCGCGCTTGCGGCCTTCGGACTCCCTGGCGATTCTGGCCTCGAACTTCTCCAGTTCCTGCTGCTGCTTGGCCGCGAACTCGGCGTTCTGGCGAGCCGCGTTCTCCTCGCAGCGCTGCACCAGCAGAGTCTCCACTTCGTCCGCCTCTTCGGCCAGCTTGAGCACCAGAGATCGGACCCCCGCGAGCTGCTGACGCACCCTGGAGACCAGATGAAAGTTCTGGGCTAAGAACTGTTCACTGGCCGCTTGGGCCTGCAGGGTGGCCCGCGCGCGGGCCAAGGCCGCGTCGAGTTCCTGTCCACTATAGCATGAAAATGTCCACGTAAGTAAAAATTTAATATCTCGTTAACTACAAGGAGTTTTTCCCTGCAACTTGTGCGAATGGAAGCCTCGGTCACCTTTGCATAAGTTTTTGGTGGTTGGCCACCGCTTGGGCCTGTAGTTTCTGCTGCGCGCGAAGGAATTCCTGGCCTTCATTGCGGACAGAGGGATTTGAGGCTGTTGACGCGTCTGGAGCAGCGGGGGCGGCGTTTGCAGCCACTGTTTCGACAGCGGGGGTGCTGGACGTGGAGCTGAAGGGGGCCGCGCGGTTGCTGGCGGCGGAGAGCTCGCGGTCGAGCGCCGAGGACAGCTCGCGCGACTTGGCCACGACATACTGGAACCCGAGCATCGTATCAGGAAAATTAGGTTACGAAAAGGGGAAAATGGGTTTTAGGTTCTCAAATTTTGCATTAAGGTATCACGATCAGCTCACAGGGGCGGGGCCGCTTCATTGCAAGGATCGCAGCAAGCGTCGGCCGATAAGCTACGGATATCTGAACGGGTTGAAGTGTATGGTAGGATAACTCAAAACAGTGTGGTTTGCGGTCAACATCAGATTGGTAGACCGAAGCTGGCTTTGATAATATGGTAGTCAAGAACTATTGTGCTTTGCAGTTATTTTGCCGACCATTTTAGACGGTAAATATGGCAAAACCTGCTCCTAAATATGTGTGAAAGAAGATACACGACCTGCTAAAATTATGCATAAATCCACTTCCTCATATATATATAGACTTGGGAGGGCCTGTCAGCAGCCATGCATTGGCTCAGTACACCACCGTCCATGATCCCCAGCACATCCACCCTCTTATGCATAATTGCCGTGTGTGTAGGTGCTTGTGGATAAAAACCGACAGAATTGCAGCTGCACATACATGTATTATTATACAGTAATAATACTTCTTCTGCAATTGTCTTTCTGACCATGGTGTTGCCGAGCAGAGGTCGGCTTGACTGTCTAACCATAGAGGCTCGACCAATACAGTAGGTGTGAAGATACAACGCGTACGTTTCTATCGGACTCGCTTCGAAGGACTCCCAACATTGCCATGGCCAATGTTCGCGTCCATTACGAAGTCACGATCTTGCATCGCGATCGTTCCATTCAACGTTGACTTTCTTCAATGCAAAGACACGAAAAGCAGTAACACTGAGGACTTCAATCGCGGGCCGCGATTGATGTCCTCAGTGTTACTGCTTTTCGCGGCGGGGGCTCCCACCAAGACCACACCAGCATCGGATCATGGGCACCCACCCACCGAGTCTGCGCCGTTCCCAACATGGACGCAGATGGCCCCATACAGGTACCAAAATATCCATGCGGTGCTTGTGAGGAACAAGTTGCCGGCACCACACCGGGTTCTTTTTAGTCACCCTTGCAGCACTGGCAGAGGGCCAAGCACCCAGCTGGCTCCGATAACCCTGGCTGCTGAGCCGAAGGCTAATAGCGGAGACCAAATCCAGTTCAGCAGATGGACAAGACCCAAACCCGTTCATCTTGTCGGGGTTTTCGCGGGCTAACTCCCATCCACCGCATTGTTAAGAATCGACGCGGCCAGCAATAACGGGCAAGAACCTGCGCACGCTCGTGCGCGGGTACACGGAGTCCCGCCCACCGAGTCAAGTTCGCGGGGCCGGCGTCGCTTATTTATCTACAGTATCTAAGACGATGGTTATGGTATGGGCCACCATGGGCCTGTCCTCCGTGCTGATCTCCAACATCGCGACGATGCTTATCGCGATAAAGCTGTACCGCGACTGGGACTTCCGAGTGTCAAGCGTTCGATGGCTGTTCCTGACTTTTTTCGTCTACCTTTGGCTGTACACCCTTGGACGCGCGAGTTACTACCTTTGGGTGGTTATGCTACCGATCAAGGAGTTCGTCGACGGCAACAACCACGTCCCGTACACGAGCAAGCAGTTGAACCAGCTAGGAATTTACGCTACGACGGACCTCGCGGCTTCAAGACGACTTTTTCCCTCAATTATCCTCTGCTTCTGCGACGTCATGCACTTTGCGATGGCCTTTTGGGTTCTTCCCCTCATCTACGAGCTATCAAAAATCGCGGCCAAGTCGATGGACCGCGGGACAGCCAAGGAAAAAGCCAAGATTCGCATGTACATCTTCGTGGGCCACTCTCTCATCGTGTTCTTCTTGATCGCAGTGATCGTTTCGAGCGTCCTCAGTGGGGGGTATTCGAGGTACACGTATCGACTGGTGCTGTGCATATATGTTATGCAGATCGTGACTTTGGTCTACATGGGGGTGACGCTCTTCCTACTCAAGTGCAAGGGCCGTGACGTGGAGTCGATCAACGGCGCTTTCAAGGTGTCTCCAGTGTATCAGCGCTTGAAGGGGATCATGCTCGTGTACGCAGTATTCGCCGTTCAGTACGAGGTTACGTCGCTGTTCACATACGTGTACACTCCGCGGGACGAAGCAACGCTCAACTACATCGGATTGAGCCAAGTGGTCTATAACGCCACCGGCTTCGCACTCGCGCTGTGTACTGGCTGCAGTCTGCCGTGTACTTTACGTTTCTGCGGCTGCTGTATCTCCGACGAAATGCTCGTTCAGCTTGTGGTGGAGACCAACCGAGGAGAGCTGCCGTGCGGTGAAGAGCGAGAGGAATCCATCAGCCCTCCAGTGATGAATCCAGTGTTTGTCGTGACCGATATCGAGTCTTCCAGTGCGTTGTGGGGCATCGACGATGGCAAGGTTATGCAGCGGTCCATTCAAGTGCACGACGACGTACTGCGGTCCTTGTTGACACCATACCGAGGATACGAGATCACGACCGCAGGAGACTCGTTTCAGTTGGCTTTCCACACGATTCGAGAGGCCGTGTCGTACTGCTTGGACGTGCAGCTGCAGTTGCTCGCGGCCAAGTGGCCCAAAGAGCTTCACGGCCTTGTGCCTGCGACCAAGAAGCGCCGAGCAGGTCATCGAGTCATTTTCCGCGGATTGCGAGTTCGAATGGGGATTCACGACGCCATGGGCTCCGATGGACACCTTCACCACAGCCCACACGCTGTCACAGGCAAGACTGTGTACACTGGAGCCTCTGAGGTTATTGCTAGCGAAGTGAGCGACGTTGGAGCTGGCGGCCAGATCCTGATCACGCGACGAATCGCCGACTGGCTCATGACCAACAAGGACGCGCTGGCCATGAACTACTCGGTCGATTACGTGTGCGACTTCATGGTTCCGCAGGTGAACATGCGCGTGGCCGTGTATGAGGTGCAGCCCGAAGAACTTGCTCGGAGGAAGAAGATTTTCGCCAAGGACCAGAGGAGCCGCATCCCGCACGTCGCGACTCGGTCAGTCTCGGGGTCATCCAACATGGAGAGTGGGCTGGAGACAGCTCTGGAGACACCCATGGGCTCACCCACGTCGTGGTTCCACACGCCTCGCACTCCTCAGAGAGTGAGCGGGAGCGCAAATAGATATTACTATTAGGTAGACTTTTGTTGTTGTTTGTAGTCCAGTACATTGAGCCGTCACTGCGTCTAGTTTGATGTTTCCTATCTAATGCACAAAGAGTCTTCACTTCAATCCAAGCACACGCTCCCAGTCTTTCGCGTTTCCAGGGGCGAAGGATTATCTATGAAGTGGTGGGTTCTTCGCAGCACTTCTTCTACAGCCTACTACAGGTAGGATATGCTGGGTGAAAAATGATTCATAACTTCATTTTGCCCTACTTGGGGCTCTAATTGACGCGTTGCATGACACATTATCGGCTCCTTCGGGCCTCACTCTAATTTGTGGAACGTGACTTTCTTGCCTACCTAACCTGCTACCACACTAACTGCCATCCTAGATGTGCACGCCAGGCTTCCGCTTGAGCTCGTCCCGCAGACCCAGTGAGAAGCACCCGCGCTCCACCATTTGATGCGGAGGCACAAACGACGCAGACAGCGGCGTGACGACATCGTCTTCCTCGTCGTCGAAATCGTCAAAACCTCCGGGCACACGCTGCCGCAGCCCCACACGCCGCCGGTCACTGCTCGCGTGCTTGCTCCTAAATACGTTCTTGGCCTTGGAGTCGCCGCCTTCGCCCTCGAACTCCATCTTAAATATGTCGTCATCGTCGTCGTCCTCTGTGTTTGTCAGCCCGTCCGCATCATCGTCGTCAGTGTCTTCGCACTCCTCTGCAATACCGTCAGGACCTGAATATGGACGTGAAGATCTCCGAGTTCGGCCACCGTCGTTTCTGCTCATAGGAATAGCCAACCCCGCGCTCATGCCGTTATTATTGCTGTTGCGCTTCTCACTCTCGAGCGGCCAGCCTCCATTGCCGAGCATCACGGACGGCTCTTCCCAGGAGAGCAACTGCACCATCGCCTGCTTGTCCGTCGAGTTCTGAAAGTCGTGGCTGCTGCCACGCCGCCGATGCGACTCCGAGTCTCTCCTGTCCAACAGCTTGTCCGTTCGTGAGGGGATGGCCGTCGGAGACGTCGCAGAGGTACCTATCGGGATCTCGATGGGCGCCGACACGCGATCCACCACCATCATGTCGCTTCTCGTCGCGAGTTTCCGCGCCCGGAAGAGATGCGAGCGCAGTCCAAACACGTAGGACGAGGTCTTGTCATCCGAAGGGGACGTCCCTCTCCTGCTGCGAGACGAAGAACCGGACCTGCTGCTGCTGTGCCTAGCCGAAGTGGACGCCGACACCGACGCCGACACGGAGGAGCGTCCTCTGCTATTGTTGCCACTGACGGCGCGGCGCGTCGGTTCGTCCGTCGACGCTGACGGTGCGGCCACCGTGCGCCGCCGACTCGTAGTCGTCTCGGAGCGTCCATTAGCCTGTTGAGCCGCTGTCCGCCTCCCATCCCCGTTGGCCGAGACGTGCCGCCCTCTCGTTGACGGGGCCAGGTCCGGCGTGAAGATGTTGAGCGCGCGCAGGTAGTTGGCCCGCCAGTTCTTGTTCTTGTTGGTGCTGAGCGCCATCCGCTGGCTGCTATTGGCCATATTGGGCGCCGTCTTGTCCTGTCGGCGGCGCTGGCTCGAGTCCGTGCGCGTCGTCATACCCTGCGCGACGCACCGATGACTCTACTAAAAAGCTTAACGGCCTTAAAAATAGACGCGGCCCGGGCCGGCCTGCTGCTTCCTGGGCCTGGCCTGCTCCTGCGTTAATGCGACTGTGTCTGTGTTCGCCTGCCTGGGGCCGGGGCCTCGCGCGGCGTTGGCTAACTGGGCTGGCCACCTGGCGGCCGGCGTCTGTTGCGTCTCTTCCTGGGTCTCTTCGGCGCGCGGAGCTTCAGGTAATCGACTGGCCCGCGGCGGCTCTCTGCGCGCGGGATTTGCGAGCGCGCGCTGCGTTTCCGCGAGATCTTTGGGCGGGCGGTGGCGCAGGGAGCGACGTGCGGAGGGGCTTGCTGGCTAGCGCGCTTCAGGAGCTGATCGCCATCAATCCAATGCCGAAGTGAAAGTGAGACCTGTGCAGACGAACCTCAATTGGCCGGCCCAAGTGCAAGTTTCTATTGCGAAATTTCGCGAAATTTTATTGAAAGCCGACCCGGGACCACCCGATCCCATCCGACATTTTGGCGCTTCTCTCTCGGTGTGGTTGGCCCTTGCACTGGCGCCACCGCGCTGATCGACACTGACAAGGGCTCCCTCCCCTCCGCTGCTGCTCTCCGCTGGAGTGCTGATGTATGTATGTATGTACACGCGCTCGATTAGCTGTGCTGACTTCCAGAGAGCATTCAGCGCCATCGCTTCCGGCCTCTCATTGCTCTCGCTCTCTCCGTCTCGGTACAGACAACGACTTACAAAGCCCCTATATAAAAACAACGATAAATTCCCTCCCGTCAAATCTGTAAAACTGTCATAAAACACACGGTGTGTTGCATAAACTACACAAAATAGCATATAAAGTACACAACACCAGATGGTATACAAAGATGAAGTCATTTGATTGAATCTGATTGGCTGGTTTGCTCATGTTAAGCTTTGCTTGACTTCGTCTGCGGGGATTTTGTGTCTGCCGGCTTTGTAAGTCGTTGTCTGTACTGCCGACCAACCAACCAACCGACTCGGCGCGCATCGTGTGAGCGATCGCTCGACGGCGAACCGTGCACGGTGCAGCCAGGGAGTGGCGGCGGACATCGCCGCCCGTGTTAAATTGTACCGCGCCCGATCCTGCCCGATGGGACAGCGAGCTCCCACGAGACAGACACGCGCGCCAGGAAGATGGACCACCGGCCATGAGCGCTGGCGTCCATTGACGTACGTACGATGTACATGTAGCAGCAAGTTGTTTTACATGTTAGAGCACGCAGTTTTAGAGCGCTGTTGGCGCCTCCACTCGCGCCTCCAGAGGATTCCTCCCGGCCGGCATGATTAGCGAAAAAAAGGACGACATCGCCGCTGTGACCAAAAACATAATCTAGCGCCGTCATGTCAGTGTGCAGCACGAGGACACGCCGGCGTCTTTGCTCGCGAGGCCGCGATATAGCCGGCCGCGATGAGGAACTGGACCCCAACGCCTCAACTGCTTGGCCGGCGGACCGCGCGCGCGGTCCGGGAAGCGCATCACCGTCCGCGAGGCGAGCGGCTCGGCCCAGCAGTACGGCCAAGCCAGGCATTCGGAGTGGCGTCGGTCTCCCATCGGCATGCAGAGCGGAGCCCGCGTCTGTACTGTACCTCTTGGCCGCCAGCCAGTTCACACTTGGCTTTTGTATGGCGCTATTGTCAACTTCTATTGTCAAAATGTTTTCGCAAAAACAAGTTCAGCTTGGTTGATGGGCACGCTGCCTGGTCACAGGCGGCATGTATGCTGCAGGAAGCCAGTCTCCCTGGCTGAGTTGAGTCCGACGGCGCGTGTCAAGCGAAGGCTCCGCTGCACCGTTTGCCTAAACAAAATGGCCGGCCGCCAGCGGACCGACCCGCTGCCTTTCGCCAGTGCATCCCTTCGAGATCTTTCATCACTCGCGCCTCGCGCAAGGGGAAACTCGTCCACGTGCTCCAGTCTCTGCTCCGGGCTCCGATTTCTGCAAGTGGACTGCGGCACGTCACTGGCAAAAGACTAGGCGAAGTGAGCTTGGCGCCGGCAGCTTTCGGGCGTGAAGGCTTCATGTTGGCAGCATGATGTTCCTGGCCCCTGGACCGAGACCGCGCCGAGGGAACCGACGCCAAAACGGCAAGTGACGTGGTTCCGAAAGTGCTGGCGACAAAAATGCGCAGGGCTTGTCAATCCCCGGTGTTGTATTGCTCACTCGGCTTGTTGACGCTGGAGGACTGTACAACCTGTCTGTCGCGTAAGCATGAGTCCGCTTTGGCAATGCCGGTGTCCCCGGGCGACCATGCCGGTGTATGCCCCAGGCATTTTAGGAAGACAAATTCGCCCGCGGTACATTGCGATGAAATGCTTCGTTCCGAAAACGACTGGAGCTGCGCTCCTGACCGCTGACATCGCACGCACGCACCATAGGGAGCGGAACTTGAGCGACCATCCCGAGCAAGCGCGAGGAAGACCTTACCTGTCCTCAATCAGAATGCACCAAATCTACCCGCGGTTTACAAACAGAGCCCGCGTTGATCACTAGACTTGGAACATACAAGAAAGCTATTAACTAAGGTTCAATAGACTACCTTCTCTCTCTAAAATCTACCATCGGTTCATCATTACGTACATATACTGTATCTATCGAAGTCATGCAGTACAGTACAGTATCTAGGAATCTAGGAGTTCGAACACACGAGCCTCGAAAACAACTTTGTTCTAGTTCTAGTTAAGAAAATTAACAGTGTAAGGAGTCCCCTTCCTTTGTGAAAAAGGTAAACATGTACCATTTATAACATTCACCAAGCCTAACGTGATACCCATTTTGGAGTAGAAGGGGCCTCAGAGACTGTTGCTCTTTGAATACGTTATTTCGACGAGACTTGTCGTGGTTTTCTTTAAAGATGAAAATATGTTTTTAACACTTGAAAACGTATTATAGTCTGATTTCGCCTTAAGATTATAGTAGTGGCATGGTTCGGTACTGTAATAGTGGGAATTTCCGACTATCAGTGATACAAATACTAACATCCAATCCCGAACCGTTATTAGGGGGAGTCGAACCTGGCAAAAAACGTGCTGATTTTTAGGGCGATTTGATGTTGATTATTTCGGCGAAATCTTGTTGACTTTCAAAATCAACCACCTCCGGAGGTGGTTGATTTGAAAAATCATCATGATGATTTCGAACTTCAAGTGGTACCGCTTGCTGTTCCCTCCTCGACCTCTGATACAATTTCAGCTGTTTTTGAAGTCCCTCCTCAACTAGAAATTGTTGCGTATGTGTTTAGGCAAGTTTTCACACGAATCCTCTCCAAATAAACACGTTCACTATCACTTTAAACAAGTTTTAGATGTTAACTCGCGATGGTGGAGACGTTGTGAGCTGCTGGACAGTGTTACGTTGGAGTCGGCCATTGCTAGGTATAAAGCTGAATATAAGCAGATGTATATGCACTAAGCAAGCCTGCGCGTGCTGGCGAAAAAGGAAGTGATAATTCGCTGTTTTCACCATCTAGTTTAGTTTTGTTTTGTGGTGAGGTACATTACAGTCGTTTAGTTTTGTTAACAACTCAGCCAATGTCCGTCCAGCAGAAGCCTACACATCTTCTGCCAGCTTGCTAACTACTTGTGGGTGCTAGCACATGGCGCTTATCATGCGCGCCTTCAAGTTTGACCGGTCCGTGGCGTCTGCGTCGTCACTTGGGGCCGGGTGTGTGGTTAACCATTGATCGATGTCGCCTGGAAGGAAATCCACAATGGGTAACCAGAGAGAAGGCAGTACCCCAAGGTCTGCCTCGAGAATCTGCGTACTGGTTCTGGTGTGTCGCCATGGACACCACTGGTGTCCATGGCGATATTAGCCAGTGCAACACCATCTACATGCGAAAACTGAGAGTGAGTACCCTACTTGGATTTGTTGATTTTTGGGGCAGAACGTTGCTGATTATTCGGCCCCGTCTCTGATGATATTTTTGTCGCCACTTCGAAGGTTCGACTCCCCCTATTAGTGATACTAAAATAATCAGTCTGGTGTGAAAAACATATTTGCGGCCACTAATGCAAGTGCATCGGCATGCTTTTTTAATGGGCCGTGCTACTTGCACATTTAACCGTGTACGTAGCACGGCTAAGATACATTTGATATAGTGTCATCCTAAGGAGATGTCTTCATCATTGTACACGTATAGACATTAGTGGTCATGTATCAGATCCTAGGGTGTGATCCTCAGTTCCGCTGTTCGAGTCCGCTGGACTGGGCAATCCGTCAACTAAGAAGCATTCAGCGGATTTGTCTATCTACTTATCTGGATGAGGAAGGGTGAAGTTTTTCAACTAGCCACATTATAATTTTTGCCTGGGTAGCCACTCGTTGCATGCGAACTAGCTACTAGTGGCTAGTCGAGACGCACCAAGTAGCTAGGCATCAGTCAACCGTGGACTCAGGATAAATTGCCGACTAGCCACTCCCCCTAGTGGCTAGTTAAAACGCTAAAAGCGAATACTTGACATGCCAAAAGTGCGTAGTCACAAATCCAAACGTGCTATCAACATTAATTATCGAGTGGCCACATTTTCATTGGTGAACTATGTACTTTTGAATCAAACGTTTTGATGTTAAAGTGGGTGCTTGATGTTGAAGTGGGTAGGACACTCGCGCGTTGGCACTTGCCTGTGGACTTAGCGACGGCACTTCGAGGGGTCCGCCCCTCTCTCCCATTTGTTTTGCACCATTTGTCAATTCTGACCCCTACCCCTATTGGAACACGTCCGCTGCATCCATTTCCCTCAAAATAGCACTCTGAAATTAATTAAGTAAAACAAAAAACGTGCACGATGGGGTAGGCTGTATGCAATTACAGGACCGCTGGTTGCCGTCGTTATCGCTGTTGCCTTCTTGGCTGTAGCTGCGGTTTACTTGATGCAGTATTCCCTGTACTTCATAGTACCCTCGTGCGGAAGCTGCGTGCAAAGCTGTCTGCCGACCCGAACGGGTTGGTTACAGCATCCAGCGTCGTGAACCTGCTCAAGTTTTCCGGCACCTATCGCAGAACGCTGAAAAATATCAATGCACTGCTCCGTCACGTACTCACGTGTGTGTTCTACACGCGGCCGCAACCGAACGCACAGGATCTTGACAGCAAGCGCGCCAACATCACGCTGGACGAGTAAAAGCCGCCTCCCAGCACAAACAACAACAGGCCATCCGCACCGCGAGTTGTGCCCGAGAACTTGTTTCGAGTTGGCAATTTTAGCATCGTGAACATCTCGCGGCCGTATTTATGAAGGCTTGGTAAGTGCGTCTGTCAAACTCTATCCTAATACGAGTTCTAACACCGTATATGTATATTTTGTTGATGTTGTTGTTGTTGTTGTTGTTGTTATTGGTAGCTGGGCACTGTGAATAGGGTCCACGACCTCGTCGGCCCCTGCATTAATCCTCGCACCAACCAACTCTATCCGGGCAACTGGGTGGTCGCGAAGGTTGGGAGCTCCACAAACTTCGAGGACCGCGAGGGATCTGTCACCAACAAGTACAATATCTATGGAGAAATGCTATTCCAGATCTTTATGCTGGTTGCAAGTGACCAAGTCGGCGAAGTGGAGCCCGAGGTGTTGTCGCGCCTCGAGGCAAAAGGTTTCGACTTCCCCTTCATCGGGAATCAGGATCAGAGGAAGAACGAGCTGATCGCCCCCCCCCCCCCCCTGCGCGCGGCATGGCGAGGTGATTAAAGTTTTCAAAGATGTTTCCGTGGAGCACCCTCAAACGAAGTGCGGGAGCTCCGGCTGGTCAACAAGCTAAACTAGCTCTGGAGAAGGCTAAAAAAGCAGCTAAGGCTCGGGAAAAAATGGCCAAGGCTAGGGAAAAATCGGCCAAGCGAGATCGGGATCTGGCTCGAAAAGAGCTGCAGCACGCGGACCAAGCTGCAGGCGGCGGGTATAGCTCCAGTTGGGATACCGTTCCGGGGGTCAGCTAAGATACATGAAGCGGAGAACAGCTACGAGCCGAAATCCGATCAAGCGCGAGGAAGACCTTACCTCAATCAGAATGCACAAAATCTACCAGCGGTTCATCACTTGCGTACGGAATCTATCAAAATTATGTTGTATCTAGAAATCTAGGAATTCTTAATTTACATTATGCAAAACAAGAGTTCGAACAAATCAAATTTGTCGCGACCGAGCCTCGGAAACAACTTTTCTGGGCTAAAGTTAAGACAACTAACAGCCACCTCAGAGATTTGTGCTCTCTGAATACGTTATACGAGACTTGTCGCCATGGTCACTAGCTAATACCAACGTGATCGATATTTAGATTTTCTTTTATTAACAAAAAAATGAAACTATGTTTTTATCGATTTGTGTGACATCCTTGCGCGATTCTAATGTTTAAACCCATACTACAATATTTAAAAATACTGTGGTCCGATTTCGCGTTTAAAAGTGTACTAAGTAGTAGTGAAAGGGTTCGGTAGTAGTGGTAATATTTGTGGCCACTAATGCAAGTGCATCTACATGCTTTTTAATGCAACTTCTGCAATATCTTACTAGCACGATAATTCAAGGGTGTTCATTGCAGAAGGGAAATCAGGTTATCTATCAACCAACTTACGAGCTTACTTTCATCAGCACTAAAACTTGTGATTTACAATCACCTAGCTCCAGAGTTTATTTAGAACGATTCTGTGAGCTCAACTACTCACTACACAGTCTATACTTCTACTTTGTTCTTCTTCTTTTCCATCCCTCTCCCTCCTCTTGATATTCTAACTAAGTAATCGCTGGGGTGTTAATGGGGTATACTGGCCGTACCAAAAACGAGTTGTATAAATATCTGCGTTTGTCCGTCTTGTTCCGAGAGAGCAAGTGCTCGACCCATAATTTGGCTTAGCTCTGCAGTCTTCGAAGCCGCGAAGGTCGCATAGCCGCATGTTGATCGGCGTGGTCAGCACGCGCTGGCTCCTGTCGGAGCCCATGAAAGCCACTATTGCCACGAAACAATTTGTAAGACAGATGGATATCTACACCACAACCTACGGATTCATATCGGGATAGCTGAATGCAGATCACTACATACACTACCCTTTCGACAGACTAACATCGTTTTTTTTCGCACGTCGCCACAATACCCCCCCCCCCTCTCCCAACGGAAGTCGATCGCACCGTTCGTATTTGCGTGAAGCGTAAAAGCAATCAATAATAGAGCCGAGGACCCCCTAATTGAACTTCGGTGATACAGCCATACTTTTGTGAATATTAATATTATTACTGTCACCTGCCAGACCTGAGATTATAGTAGTATTAGTATCGTTATCTAAGATAATATCATTGATATGTTAATATTTTGTGTTACCGTACCTCACAACAGGATTACTTTGGGTCTCGTTTGAAAAAAAAGCACTCGTTTTCTTCAAAAATGTTTTCTTCTTGTTAATACCTAGCAGTTATACGCTTTTTTATATGCCCAAGGTCTTGGTAATGTACTGTAACCCTGTCCTTCATTTCCTACCAGATAGAGTATACATGTATTAATATTTATTAGGTATCTGACGAAACATGACCAAGTAAAGTCACTTACTATTGTACTATTAATAACACCAACTCACGAAACAGGAAACTCACCGAAGTACAAGTTCACCCATACCAACTCACGAAACAGGAAGCTCATTCAAAGTACTAGTTCAGCCAGCGACGGGATACATTTGCGCAATTATTGGCACAACCGTCGGGACGCTGTTACGCTGAACGCCCTCCTTGCGCAAGTCCTGGATGCTCCGCTCGACGACGCAAACATCCGGAGGCCTCAGTCGGGTGATCGTAACCAGCTCCAAAGCTCTGAACCAAGGTTTCCTGCAGAATATCCACTGGCGACGCCGCGGCGCCATTGACAGTGACCTCTCTGGTCTCGAGCCTCGAGGTTTAACAGAGATTCGATGGTGTGTGTAGGTGCTGGCGTAGGAAACGCTGGGCGCTGAGTTTCGGAGCCTAGAGACACCAGTGACCACAGATGGACGTTACCTCCGCCGCACCCGTGACTGGCGATCTTATTCATCTCTGGCCCCAAGAATTGGGGCGCGCGACTCGATGATTTATGTATTATGCTGTCCGCGCCGCTAAAAGCTCTCGATGCCACCACCCGATGGTGGGGGAGAGCGGTCTCCGCGGCGCCCCGAATCATTCCCTCGCCATGATTTCTTGGGCAGCCAGCAGGCTGGTGGCTCTCGCCCCAGCGCAGTCTGCTACAACAGCACGACCAATTACTGCTCCTGTGTCGAAATGACTGCAGCCATGACTCACCCCAAGTATACCGGCGGGCGGTCGCGCTGAACCTAAATCCTGCCGTTTTACACCAAATCCCCACCCGGTCGAAGAATTGGCCGGCATTAACTTACCGCACGAGCGAGGAGCGCCGCCGCCCCCGTGTCGTCCCTCCGCGCCGCGCCCGCCGCCCCGCCTGCCCGAGCCCAAGACCCCGAGGAAGCCTCCGACCAAGTTCCAGCGTCTGTCTCCGCGGCGTGGCCATGATATGGACGGCGCTCGCCGTCGTCTGCATGGCGCTGTCCAGTCTGTCGACCGGCATGACCATGGTGAGTCTGCGGCGAAGCTGGGACCTGCACGTGTCGAGCGTGCGGTGGCTATTCTTCTTGTTCTTCCTCTATATGTGGCTCTGGAGCAGCGCGCGCGTGCTGTATCTGCTCTGGGTGAGCTTCTATCCCATCGAGACCACGACGTCCGACTACTCGTCGTCCTCCTCCAACGAGAGCGAGGTCATCTACGACCGCTACAGCAGCATGGGCATCTACACGGTGCTGCAGCTCGAGGAGACCCACGACGCCTTCGCCACGGCGCTGCTGTGCTTCGGGGACGCCGCGCTCTTCGCTGTGGCGCTCTGGATGTTCCCGCTCACGTTCGAGCTGTCCAACATCGCGGCCAAGTCCATGGACCGCGGCGCCGAGAAGGAGCGGAAGCAGATCAGGTTCTACTGTTGGACGGTGCACGGCCTCGTCGTGGTGTACGCCGCGATCGAGACCACGCTGGCCATCGCCTACCGGGGCTACACGCAGTACACGCAGCGCTGCCTGCTCAGCGTCTACTTCGTGCAGTTCGTCAGCTTCGTGTACATGGTCTGGCTCATTGTCAGGCTTAAAGTTAGGGGCAGGAAGTACGAGAACGTCCAGGGCCAGTTCGTCACCTCGCCCGTGTACCAGAGACTCAAGCGGATCATGATCGTCTACGCGCTCTTCTCGCTGCAGTTCCAACTGGCCTCCGTGGTCATGTACGCCTCCACGGACGACGAGGACAAGCTGCTGGACTTCATCAGCGTCAGTCTGCTGGTCTACCACCTCTCAGGGCTGGCCCTCGCGGTCACCACCATGTGCAGTCAGGCGTGCGTGCTCAACATGTGCAGGTCGTGTCTGCCCGACGACATCGAAGCGCAGGTGCAGACAAGATTCATGCAGGGCGGCGATCTGCTATCGCCGAGGGACACACAGGTTCTCATGGAGTCAGCAGAGCCGCCGCTCGTGAACCCAGTGTTCGTGTTCACCGACATCGAGTCCTCCAGCGCCTTGTGGGCCATGGGTGACGGCCTGGTGATGCAGCGAGCGACCGAGATCCACGATAATATCCTCCGTGCTTCCTTGATGAAGTACCGAGGGTACGAGATCACGACGGCAGGTGACGCCTTCCAGCTCGCGTTCCACACGGTGCGTGAAGCCGTCGAGTACTGCTTAGACGTGCAGCTCCAGTTGCTGGTTGCGAACTGGCCGAAGGAGCTCCACGGTATGTTGCCAGCGACCCGGAAGCAGCGCGCGGGCCACCGCCTCATATTCGGCGGCCTTCGCGTGCGGATGGGCATCCACGACGCGGTAGAGGCGGACGGAGCCTTGATCCTGGACGTCCACGCCGTGACGGGCAAGATGATCTACACGGGCGCGTCCGAAGTGATCGCCAACGAGATCGGCGACTTGGGCGACGGCGGCCAGATCCTCGTGACCAAGCGCGTGGCCGACTGGCTGGTCATGTACGAAGATCTCGTGGCGATCGACTTCATCGTCGATAGGGTGGGCGAGTACGCGATCCCGCAGATCAAGGCCAAGCTCGAGGTGTACCAAGTGCTGCCGGAGGTGCTCAGCGGCCGCAAGAAGATGTTCTCGTCGACGCTCAAGAAGCGGCGCGCCACCACGGCGTCGTCGCTGTACTCGATCGCGTCGAGCAACCGCTCGCGCCTGTCCAGCAACGCCGGCCAGCTCCCGATGCCGCTGCCGCTGCCCGAGCAGCAGCGCCGACGACTGTCCCGACCGCAGTTGCTGCTCCCTCCGGACCGCGCGGGCGCACCGGTCGCCGGCGGCCTGAGCCGCTTCGGTCGCGTGCAGCGGTCGTTCCTGCGCATCGACCACGGCTCGTTCTACACCCGCGCCACGAGCATGTAGCTCCGAACTAACTTATTATACAGATCAAGATAATATACTAGCGCCCCAGTTTTTCCATACAACCGAGCGCGGCCTCGTCATCGCGTTGAAGGTCCAGGTACAGGTAAGGTGGCAGTGAAGGTGAAGTTGCACCGGCTCCTTCACCTTCATCTTGAGACCGTTTCAGCAACTCGCAAAGTCGAAAAATCGCGAATGGTTCCACTAAAACAGAAATTCGGGAACGCCGGCGAACTGCCGCTGTGTAAGCATTCCACAGGAATCCACGGGGTTGGTTGCTGCGTGTGCTTTTCCACGCTCGACTCAGCCCTCTGCAGTTGCCGGCTGCACTGCAGTCACGCTTCACCATCGGATGAGCTCCTTTGGCGCGTCAACAGCGCTATTGCAATAATCACGATACGATAACCAGTCGTCATTTTCTACCGCGATTGCTAAAGTGCAATCGTGCGTTCGGGCCGGAGCTCCCGGGTGTATCGGGTCTCCAGTCCAAATCCCCCCGCACGCCCGCAAGCGCGGCACAAGACTCCAGTTCAACCACAGCAACGGAGCCCGTCGCCTTCCATCTATCGCTTGACGCACAGGCCGCGCGCGCAGGAGAAACATAGTGGCCATGGCCTGGACGACGCTGGCCATCACGGCCATGGGGCTGTCGTGCGTGGCCACGGGCATCACGAGCTACAGCCTCCGCCGGTCCTGGGACCTGCAGATTTCCAGCGTGCGCTGGCTGTTCTGCGTCTTCTTCACGTGCTACTGCCTCTACGGCGCGGCCCGCGTGGCCTACATGGTCACGGTGAGCGCCAAGGCCAAGTGGGGCACGAGCGCCAACGAAGAGTTCTTGGCCGACCACTACACGACGCTGGGCATCTTCGCGCCGCTGCACTCGCGGGTGTCGGACGACCCGTTGGTCACCGTCTTCCTGGTCGTCGGAGACTCGGTGCACTTCTCCGTGGCCACGTGGATGTTCCCGCTAATTTATGAGCTCGGCTTGATTGCAAGGAAGACGATGGACCGAGGCGCCGAGAAGGAACAGGAGCAGATCCAGTGGTACCTGTGGTGCGTCTGGCCTATTATTGGAGCGTTCACCGTTGCCGAGACCGTCCTTGCAGTGGTTAAAGGCGGCTACACGACGTCCACGCAGGCCTTCCAGTTGGCCGTGTACTTCACCATGTTCGCGAGCTTCCTGTACATGCTTTTCGTGGTGCTGAGGCTTAAGTGGGTCGGCCGGAAGTATGAAAATGTTCAGGGACAGTTTGTCACGTCCCCGATTTACCAGCGCCTCTCGAGAATTCTGTACGTCACTGCAGACGGCTTTGCACTGGGTGCTTCTGGGTACTTGACTAACAACTTTGTGTTATTTATTCGTTGCAGAGCTATCTACGCGCTATTCACGCTCCAGTACCAGCTTGCGTCTGTCATTTCGTACTCCATGCCGGGCGACAGGGACGTTCTTCCCAACTACACGAGCATCAGCACGGTCCTCTACAACATTTCAGGGCTGGCCTTGGCCATTACAACCATGTGCAGCCAAATGTGCGTGCTGCAGATGTGTCGTTGGTGTTTACCCGATGACATCGAAGCTCAGGTTGAAGCGAGACTCATGCAGCCTGGAGAACTACTGTCACCGCGAGACACGCAGATCCTTGTCGAATCGGCCGAGCCGCCGTTAGTAAATCCTGTGTTTGTATTTACAGATATCCAGCAATCAAGCGCGCTGTGGGGTGTAGGCGACGGACTCATCATGCAGCGAGCCACAGAGATTCATGACAATATTCTGAGGTCCGCACTGATGAAGTACCGTGGATACGAAATCACGACTGCCGGTGACGCGTTCCAGCTAGCTTTCCACACGGTGCGCGAGGCAGTTGAGTACTGCATGGATGTTCAACTACAACTACTGGAAGCTCCATGGCCGAAAGAGCTTCACAGCTTGCTGCCAGCAACGAAGAAGCAGCGCTCCGGCCGACATTTAATTTTCTGCGGTCTGCGCGTACGAATGGGGATCCACGACGCAGTTGATGCAGATGGAACGCTGGTGCTGGATGTGCACGCAGTGACAGGAAAAATGACCTACACGGGCGCGTCGGAGGTGATTGCGAACGAGATCGGAGACCTGGGCGATGGCGGGCAGATCCTCGTCACGAAACGTGTGGCCGACTGGTTGGAGATGTACGCGGACTTGGTGGCGATCCCGTGCTCCGTGGATCGCATTGGCAACTACACCGTTCCTCAGATTAACTCTACCGTGGAGGTGTTCCAAGTCCTCCCAACGGTGCTGGCCAAGCGCAAGAAGAAGTTCACAACGACATTCGCGACGACACTCAAGCGGCGTCCGGGACACGGAAATCCTGCAACTGGCGCCAACTCATTCACGCGCAACGACGGCACTCCTCCCGGTATGAGCAGCGCGGCTGCCGAGCGTCGTCGCAACCTCTACGCGCAGCGCGAACGGCGTCGGCAGCTTGAGCAAGTAGCGCTGGGCCGTCCCGCATCTCACCAGACGCTCATGCGCTCGGAGAGCAGCCGTCCGAGCTTCGCGTTCGACACGCGACCAAGCTACGCGCGTACGACAAGCATGTAAATTAGTGGATGATTTATGAAATAGAGCTGCCAGCCAGCTTATAGAGGGCGGCGCCGTTCATCGTTCAATGCTCAGCTCGTGTGGTCTAATAACTCAACTCGCCAATGATTGTGCTAACGTCAGACTTCCCAAGTTGAAGTGCTTGATTCGCACACGTCGCAGATGTCGACGAACCAAAGTCTCGCAGTATGTTCACGAGCTCGCAGCAGCAGCAAAGCCTCCAGCTGCCCATAGCAACGCAGCACAATAAACCTCGTTGCCATGCAATTACCGCAGCGCACGATCTACTGCCAGCGCACGATCTAGAAGCATTGGCCAAGTCCCGACATGTCGGCCAACTTGAGCACAAATTCGCAATAAGGAAAGTCAACCGTTGGCCATTCCGTCACATTTGTATGCAACATTGGCTGGTCTGCGGAACCAGCTGTTTCCTCGGGAGCCAAAAAGCATAGAACGCGTGAGTGATCGCACTCACCGCCCAGTTTGCAATTCGACCTGGAGCGCGTGTGTGTCCGGCCGGAACAGTACTGTAGCGGGCAGCAAACTGAGCTCAAGCGGCCCACGCCCCACGATCGGGCCGCGCGAAGCAAGAAAAACCTTCTGACAGCTTCTTCACTTTACAACCTCCCCCAACGCCCGGCGGCGTCGGTTGGCCCGCTAGCGTCGGCCGGAACACTTCTACTCCTGGCCGGGCGGGGCCGAGCATCGAACAGCGCGGGCCGCCCCGCGACAATGGGATGGACGGAGCTGGCCATCGTCACCATGGGCTTGTCGTGCGTGGCCACGGGTGTGACAAGCTTCAGCCTGCGTCGGTCGTGGGACTTGCAGGTCTCGAGCGTGCGCTGGCTCTTCTTCATCTTCTTCCTCTGCTACTTCGTCTTCAGCCTCAGCCGGGTGGTCTACATGCTCGTCGGGGCCATCAATCCGCTGAGCTCCACGACGGAGATCGGCGAACAACTGCTGGCCAACCGATACAGCAAGCTCGGGGTCTTCTCGGTGCTGCACTTCAAGGTCTCACATAACGCTCTAATCACCCTGTTGCTGGTGTTGGGGGACTGCGCGCTCTTCGCTGTGGCCGTGTGGACGTTTCCTTTGACGTATGAGCTCTGGCTGATCGCTACGAGGTCGATGGACCGAGGGGCCGAGAAGGAGAAGGAGCAGATTCGATGGTATCTCTGGAGGGTCTGGATCATCATTGCTGCGTTCGTGGTCACGGAGACCGTGCTGGCTGCAGTGAGGAAGGGGTACACGACCTATACGCAGAGGTGTCTGCTGGCCGTGTACGTCACGCAGTTCTTGAGCTTCCTGTACATGGTGTTCAACATCGTGAGGCTCAAGTGTGGCGGCAGGAAGTACGAGAACGTGCAAGGACAATTCGTCACGTCCCCGATCTACCAGCGGCTGTCGAGGATCATGTACGGCTAGTTAGCAACTTGTTAAATCTGTGGTGTGGTCATTGTGCTGACATGTTCACGGTGTTGATCTGCAGGATCATTTACGCTGTTTTCACGCTGCAATTCCAACTTGCGTCCGTCGTGTTGTACGCCATGCCGAACCGCGAGTACAAGCTGATGGATTTTATCAGCGTCAGCGCGGTCGTCTACTGCGTCTCCGGGCTGGCTCTGGCGATTACGACCATGTGCAGCCAGACTTGTGTGCTCGAGTTCTGTCGCTGCTGTCTGCCGGACGATGTTGAAGCCCAAGTTGAAGCAAGACTTATGCAGCCCGGCGAACTGTTGTCTCCGAGAGATACTCAGGTGCTTGTCGAGTCTGCAGAGCCGCCTCTTGTGAACCCCGTGTTCGTGTTCACAGACATCCAGCAGTCCAGTGCGCTCTGGGGCGTGGGTGATGGGCTCATTATGCAGCGGGCGACGGAGATCCACGACAACATTCTGCGCTCTTTGTTGATGAAGTATCGAGGTTACGAGATCACGACTGCGGGCGATGCGTTCCAGTTAGCCTTCCACACAGTTCGAGAGGCCATCGAGTATTGTCTGGACGTGCAGATGCAATTGCTTGAAGCAAACTGGCCGAAGGAGCTACACGGACTGCTGCATGCAACCAAGAAACAGCGTTCCGGACATCATCTGATCTTCTGCGGTCTACGCGTGCGCATGGGAATCCACGACGCTGTCGACTCGGATGGCCCGCTGGTGCTGGACGTTCACGCGGTGACCGGCAAGATGATCTACACAGGTGCATCCGAAGTTATCGCCAATGAGATTGGCGACTTGGGCGATGGTGGCCAGATTTTGGTCACGAAACGCATCGCCGACTGGCTGTTCATGTACTCGGAGCTGGTGGCGATTCCGTGCTCGGTGGACCGTGTTGGGGAGTACACGGTCCCGCAGATCAACGCGACGGTGGAGGTATTTCAAGTGATTCCAACGGAGCTGGCCAAGCGCAAGAAGAAGTTCACGACGACGCTGAAGAAGCGTGTGACTGCGTTCCCGTTCGCGAGTACGACCGTGCTCAATGATGTCACACCGCCTGGGTTGAGTAGCGCAGCGGCCGAACGCCGACGGAACCTGTACGCTTGGCGTGAACGGCGCCGCCAATTGGAGCAGGGCGCCTTGACTCGGCATGTGTCGCAACGAACGCTACTTGGGATCGACCATGAGGTTGAAATTGAGAATAGAGTGAGCTACACCCGTAACAGCAGCATGTAAACTAGCCAGGTAAGGGTATAATATAAAAGTTATGAAGTTACTCGACTGCGTAAGCCATGAAGACATGGAAGACATCGTTGCCAACAAGCATTTTTTTTTATTGATCGGGTTGTTTACAAACCTGACCGAAAAGGAGTTACCATTGACCCCTACGAGACGAACACAAAGCGAGAGAAAGCAGAGTCGCGCTTCCCTAGGGCTATGAAAAATCCTCTATGAGTATGAATCTACATCTTCCTCTTGCAGGTTCTAACCGAGGGGGTGATTGAAGGCGTGGTCGGTGCCGGGGTCACTGCCGTGTCGGCCGATCCCTCTTCGGTAGAGCTGCTCGACGTGGTCAAGCCAGATCCCTCTTCGGTCGAGCCGCTTGATGTACTCAAGCCAGTGTCGGTCGATCCAGCGGTAGAAGTGTCCGACGAAGTACTGGTCGGCGCAGGCGTGACCTCAGTCTGAGTGAATCCTCCGTCGGAAGTACCAGAGGAAGTCGTCTCACCAGATCCACCAGTAGAAGCCTCGGTAGAGCCACCAGTCGAGGTTTCGGAGCTGTAAGTCTCGGTTGATCCCCCGGTTCCAGAGCTGGAAGTCTGAGCCGATCCTCCAGAGCTGTAAGTCTCAGTCTCAGTTGAACTGCCGGCAGATCCGCTTGAGCTCGAAGTTGTCGTTGGTGCGGGCGTCACCGCAGGCGATCCAGCTTCGGGCGTCGTAGGAGTTCCAGCGTCAGGGGTTGTCGGGGCTGGTGTTGCTACTCCAGCGTCAGGAGTAGTCGGGGCCGGAGTAGCCGCTCCAGCGTCAGGAGTAGCGGGGGCTTCAGCTTCCGGGGTGGTCGGTGCCGGTGTTATTTCCGTCTGAGCGGCTCCATCGATCGGTGCCGGTGTGACCGGAGCAGCAGCAGCAACAATATTAGGGGCCGTGACAGTGCCGGCCGCTTCATTGCCAGTGTTGTCACGCTCAGAGAATGTGTACACGGGGGTACCAGTCGTAGGAGTGGGGGCCGGCGTCGCTCCGGTCTTGGCAGCAGCAGGAGGACTTGTCGATTGCTGCTGAGACTGCGACGAGTCCGTCGTGTTCGTCGTGTTGGTCTGCGCTGGGGATCCGTCGCCGGTAGGCACGGTGATCTTCTGCGTTCCGTCCGAGGTGAAGACGCCGAAGTGCTTCTCGTACTCGGCGCCCGTGTAGCTCGTAGTGGTGTCGTACATCATGAACCAGTAGCTCTGCGGGACGTCCTTGGACCACTCCACGTAGTCGTTCAAGTATTGCTGCATGCCGTCGACCGACGGCGCGTTCTTGCCGTAGTTTTCACCCTGCGACGGCCACCCGGTCTCCGTCACGTGAATCTTCTTGGTATCATACTTGGCCGCCATTTGCTCCCACTGAGTCTGCAGCTTCTCCACGGCCGACTGCGGGCCATTGGTGAAGAACGGGTAAATGTTGACACCAAGGACGTCACAGGCAGCCGAAAGCGTGTCGGCTCCGTCAGCCGCGAGCCACTCATTGATACGCTGCACTGAGCCGACGGGGGTGTTGCCAACGCACGCCTTCACTCGAGTAATGTAGCCAACAAGCTGGTCAGCGGTAACAGTTCCGAAGTCTTTGTTCTTGAGGCACTCGTTGCCCACATACACAGCTTCGACGGCGCTCGGGTTGGCCCCGTAGCCGTCACAAACGGCCTGGATTTCAGCGTCGATAAGCGCCGGGTCCGTGAGCTGCACGCCGACGGCCACCTTGATGCCGGCCGCTGCGGCCGCGTTGATCGCGTTCACGCCGCTGAAGAGAGTCTGGAAGGTACGGATGCTCGAAAAGTACTGTCCGACTTGGGTCAAGTCCTTGCCGACAACATCGGCATTGACGGTAGGGTGGTGCCACGGAGCGTAGCAAATACCTGTTGAAAGGCGGCCAGCATCGGCGACGCCGATGGCCACTGCGGCCACCAAGGCGCACACGCGCATGGTCGGCGACCAGATCATTGTGTACTCCGCTTGGGTTTCGCAAATGCTCGCAAGCAGCTGTACGAAACGTCAACGCTTAACGATGGAGTGGACCGGGAAGTGGCGCAAGTTCCGCGCCGCCGTTTGTTCGGCCGTGGGGTCATGCCTACGAACACCAACGAGCCAGTACATTTCAAGGCGGACCATTGCTGCGTATGACACGGTGACTGCCGTTCCAGTATGGGGAATTGTATGAGATCATCGACATCGAACAGATCCCAAGCTGTACAGATGTCGCTCAACTCGGAGCAACAAGCTTCGATATGGCAAAATCAAGGCTTTGTGCACAAATTGTAAATCGCTACGATGCCCCAACATTCGAACGCAATCCTCTACTTTGACTGGAAGACAGCTTCAACGCGGAGGAGCTGTCGATTGCCGCAGAGGTATTAATACATGTACACAGCTGAGCGGTTGTGGTCTGGTGCTCGTGGATTCTTTGGCCATGGTCATACATGTACCGTGGTCCCAGCTGACGTTTACCACGTTGACCAAGACGAGAATCAATTGAACCGACAACACATGCAGACAAGAAGCTGTAGATCAAATGGCGCAAAGCTATTGCAGCAGGCGCACCGACAGTATGGATAGAATAAATGAACGTGGTATCCATACCGGTCAAACCATATTTTTTGAAGTGGATCTGTCGGTCCAATTTGTCCTGACCCCTGTTCAACTTTCGATGCAGCTGACTCAAAATGCGTCTTACTCAGTGGCCGCTAATTTTCTACAGCACTACACCATTTCCGGGTCGTTCTGCACAAATGCTCGATTCAAAACAATCACGTAGAAAAAGGGTGAGTATACGTGATCGTTTTGAATCGAGCATTTGTGCAGAACGACCCGGAAATGGTGTAGCATGCCCTCGAACGCATTGCTTAAACCCTTACACTCGGATGAAGTTCTCGACGACACCAGATATTTTACGAACAAGAACTGTATTTAGCATGAACGTCACGAAAATGGCGTTAAGTACATTTATCATAGTCTACTTTGAAGCAGCCTTGCAGCCCTTCACGACAGGAGCAGGAGCAGGAGTGACTGTGGGAGTCGCAGTGGTTGCGACGGGAGCAACCTCCGCTTGAGCCGATCCATCAGTGGATGGTGCGTTTGTGTAGGTCGGGGCATTGGTTACCACAACCGGAGCCGTCGTAGCGGCTTCGGTGACAACAGGAATCGTCGTCGCGGGAGTCTCAGTTATGACAGGAGCATCCGTAACAGGGGCATCCGTAATGATATCCGCGGCCACTGTTGCGGCGGGGGCATCGGTGGTTTGCTGGTAGATTGAACCCGATGACGAGGTCGAGTTGGTCTGCTGCACTGCAGTGGCGTCCCCGCCTGGGATCGTCACCTTCACTGTTCCGTCCGAAGTAAACACTCCAAAGTGCTTCTCGTACTCAGCGCCAGTATAGCTCGTGGTGGTGTCGTACATCATGAACCAGTACGACTGCCCCACGCCCTTGGACCAGGTGACGTAGTCGTCCAGATACTGCTGCATGTTCTCAGTCGAGGGCGCGTTGCTGCCGTAGTTCTCGCCACTCGACGGCCAGCCCGTCTCCGTCAGGTGAAGCTTGCTTGAGTCGTACTTGGCCGTCATTTGGCCCCACTGAGCCTCCAGCTTTTCGACGGCAGTCTGGTCGCTCTCGGTGAAGAAGGGATAGATATTGACGCCGATGACGTCCGACGCCCCGGCCAGCGTCGCTGCACCGTCGGCACTAAGCCACTCGTTGATCCGCTGCACCGACCCGACCGGCGTGCTGCCGACACAGGCCCTGACCTTGTTGATGTAGCCGACCAGCGTGACAGCACTGAACGACCCAAAGTTGCCGTTCTGGAGGTTCTCATTGCCCACGTAGACAGCTTCGACTGCATCCGGGTTGGAGCTGTAGCCGTCACACACGGCCTGGATCTCCGAGTCGATGGCCGACGAGTCCGACAGCTGCACGCCGACTGCAACCTTGAGGCCGGCCGCGGCCGCAGCTTCGATGACGTTGACGCCGCTGAATTGAGCCTGGAACGTGCGGATACTCGAAAAGTACTGCACGATCTCGGCCATATCCTGGCCGACGACAGAACTGTCGACGGAGCTGTGGTGCCACGGCGCGTAGCAGACGCCGGTAGAAAGAGCGCCGGCGTCGGCTCCGACAGCGAGTGCAGCCATTACAACGGCGACTCGAGTGCTCGAGGAGAAGACCATGGCTGGCTTGGCTTGTGTCTTGGTGGAGCAAATGAGAAGTGAGTGCCCGAATCAAAGGCCACACACGTTGTGGACATCGAGCAGAGAGCCACGCGCTGGACGAACAGCAAGGCGCAAGGAGTCGGAATGAATTCGGACGCGCCCCGAAGGTTCTGGTGAATGAGGTGGCGTTGCAGTTGACTCACGTCGCCAGCGCCACGCGGATTCCGCGAAGCTCGATCGAATGGCCATGTGTCCAAGCTGCTCGTTCGGTGCCTGCTCGATCCTGACTTTCACGACTAATAGTTCGCTCGTAGTGGCGTCCTGATATGTAGGCCAGATGGAGCCTGCAGGTGGACAAGTCGAGCACCCGCAGCGAGTGACTTCGCCGCACGCCTTTCGGGGAAGCATGGCCACCGACACTGCAAGAATACGCCGAGCCGTTTCGATGGCGAGCTGCTAAGTCGGTGATCGCTGGACATCGACGCTTTTAGAGTGGTGCTCATGCAAGCTCGGCGATCAATATGGGAGACGAGACAATTAGGGGGGAGGACTCTTGGCAACGGACTCCATCTAGGAAAGAGCGATCATCTGAAATAGATGGCTACGAAAGAAGTCGCCTCATCTGGAAGAGCGCATTTACGATTCAACGCAGCTTGTCTTTGGGTAAATGATGCTCCGTTGCCTAGTTGCCTTCCCTTCGTTTTGTCTACTTCAACATCATCGCCGAGTCGTTGATCATGAAAGGTCAACCACATAGGCCAGCTGCTTGCCGAACGAAGAAAGCTTTTACATGAACCAGGGACGTGTGCATACAGAAGTTATATCTGTACAAACGCTGTTTTTGATTTTTCGTTATGCACCTCCGCTACGCGCTCCTACATAGCACTAGCTGTACTGTGTGTTTCCATCTACGATGCCAGGCCGTTTTCATCAACGACCGGCAAGACGTCGAGACACTTACATGGCGCAGTCCTTGCCGGACGAGACCTGCGTGGGGGCAGCGGGAGTCACGGCGGGCACGTCCTGCACGGGAGTGTCCTGCACGGGAGTGTCCTGCACGGGAGTGTCCTGCACGGGAGTGTCCTGCACGGGAGTGTCCTGCACGGGCGTCTCGACGGCCGGGATCTCGTCGGTAGGCGTGGTCGGTGCCGGGGTGGCGTCGGCAACGGGCGTCTCCGGCACGCTCACATCGGGGTAGTCGGCCGTGGGGGTGGTCGGAGCCGGAGTCGATTCAGGGTAACGCACCTCCGGGACGTCCACAGCGTACTCGGGAGCGGGCGTGCCCTCGGTCTGCTGGGTGTTGTCACCGCCGTCGGTGGCAACCGGGGTGGCGGCAGGGGCCTCCGGGGCCGGCGTGCCGGCGGGGACCTCACCGGCAGGCTGGCTGCCCTGGGTCTGCGAGCCCTGAGTCTGGGAGCCCTGGGTCTGCGAACCCGAGTTCAGGCCGCCGGGGATCGAGACCTTGGGCGTGCCGTCCGAGTTGAAGACACCGAAAGCTTTCTCGTACTCGGCGCCCGAGTAGCTGGTGGTCGTGTCGTACATCATGAACCAGTACGACTGGCCCTTGTCGGCCGACCAGGTCTTGAAGTCGTCCAGGTACTGCTGCATGGTCTCGAGCGACGGGCTGTTGCCCATGTACTGCTCGCCGGCCGAGGGCCAGCCGGTCTCCGTCAGCTGGAGCTTGTCGGCGCTGTACTTGGACGTCACCTGCTCCCACTGGGCCTGAAGCTTGTCGACGGGCTTCAGCTCGCCCTGGGTGAAGAACGGGTAGATGTTGACGCCGCACTTGTCAGAGGCGCCGCACACCTTGTCGGCACCGCTGGCCGAGTTCCACTCGTTAATGCGCTGCACGGTGCCGACAGGCACGGCGTTGCCGGTGCACTCCTTGACCTTCTGGATGTAGCCCACAAGCTGGTCGGCGCTGACCGTGCCGAAGCCGTTGTTCTGCAGGTTCTCGTTGCCGACCCACACAGTCTCGACGGCGCTGGGGTTGCGCTTGTAGCCGTCGCACACGGCCTGGATCTCGGCGTCAACGCCGGACAGGTCGTTCATCTGCACACCGACAGCGACCTTGACGCCGGCCGAGGCGGCTACGTCGATGATGTTGAGGCCGCTCATGCGCGTCTCGAACGTGCGGAAGCTCGAGAAGTACTGCGAGATCTGCTTCATGTCGGACTTGAGGACGTCCTCCGTCACGGTGGTGTGGTGCCACGGGGCGTAGCAGACACCGACACCGGCCTCGGCCGTGCCGAGAGCAATGGCGGCCATCATGGCGAACACGGTCTTGTAGGTAGCACACACCATCTTAGCGTTGGGTAGGGAGGTGCTGGGGGGTAGTTCCTTGCTGGACGAGGAAAATCGGGGAATGAACTTGTGATCTGAAGCTCTGCAGCGCTGCCTGCTCTCCAGTTCTGAGGAGACAAGAGAGCAGACCACAATCGAGTCGGCAATGCGCTGTTCGAACAGCAACGCGCTGACTTCGGTGTAAGAGACACTCGAGCCCACGGGCAAGAGACCGTGGCCCGCTACACATGGTCGTCCATGCGGTACAAACGAAAGCATGGCAGAGATCGCCAGCGCGCGGACAAGAGCAGCACTCGGCCTCAAACCTCGAGCCGACAGCAGGCCGAGCGTGGCACATGACGGGGAACGACGCGGTGGCGACTTTCGCGCGCCGACGCTAACGTCTTCACCTGTCGACCCCACCGAGCTGGATACCGCTGGAAGCTCGGGTATTTCAACCACCTGTGGGCGCGCGCAAGGCTGATGCAGAGGCCGGCCGCCGCCGTCTCGTTTGAAGGACAAGCGGCAGATGTCGACTTACGACGCCGCGTTCTCGCCGGCACGCCACGCTGCGCCGGACTCGCAGAGGCGAGGCCGGGATCTGCGTGCGCGAATTCGGCGCTGACCGAGCCCGCTCAAATCGACGATGCGAGATTGGCAAAGCAAGATGAGAACATGAAAAAAAATCTATCGCTCAGTAGATATTAACGTGGAAGCGTAAATGCATTCGGTTTCTCTTCTCCACTCCATCCAAAGTCTCCTCTTCAAAATTCGGGATCCGCTCGACAAAACCACGGAATGACAGGCAAGGGGGACGTACGTACGTACGCTGGCCGGCATCCGGTTGCGTCCGATGACCGACAAGCGTCTCGAAATTCGGCGCTTACATGGCGCAGTTGGCAGTGGTCGACGTCGTCGTGGTCGTCGCCACGGTCACCGTGGGGCTGTCGGTGGCCGTGACGGTGCTGTCGTCCTCTTCCTCCGAGGCGTCCACCGACGTCGAAGTGGTCGGGGCGGGCGTGGCCGTCTCCGTCACCGTCGCCGTCTCCTCCGAAGCCGAAGCCTCCGTCACGGTCTGGTCCTGCTGCTGCGTCGAGTCATCGGTCGTCGTGGACGCTGAAGACTCCGTCACGGTCTGCTGTCGTCCGTGGTGGTCGACGCCGAGCTCTGCGTGGTCTGCTGCTGAGTGGCGTCGTCGCTGGTGGTGGACGAGGTGGTGGACGTCGTCGTCGTCGTGCCGGTGCTGGAGCTGCTGCCGCCCGGGATCGTCACGTGGGCCACCATGTCGTCGCCGAAGACACCGAAGTGGGTCTCGTAGTTGGCGCCCGTGTAGCTCGTGGTGGTGTCGTACATCATGAACCAGTAGCTGGACTGCACGCTCGAGGACCAGGTGGCCCAGTCGTCCAGGTACTGCTGCATGCCGTCGTAGGACGGCGAGTTGCCCTCGTAGTCATCGCCCTCGTACGGCCAGCCCGTCTCGGTCAGGTGCATGGTGCTCTCGTCGTAGCCGGCGGCCAGCATCTGCGCCCACTGGGCCTCGAGCTTGGTCACGGAGGAGTCGTCGCCCTCGGTGAAGAACGGGTAGATGTTGACACCGATGACGTCGCAGGCCGCGGCCAGCGTGGAGGCGCCGTCGGCGTTCAACCACTCGTTGATGCGCTGCACCGAGCCGACGGGCACGGCGTTGCTGGTGCACGCCTTGACCTGCGAGATGTAGCCGGCCAGCGTGTCGGCGCTGAAGGTGCCGTAGTCGCCGTTCACGAGGTCCTCGTTACCGACGTACACGGCCTCGATGGCGTCCGGGTACGACGAGTAGCCGTCGCACACGGCCTCGATCTCCGTGTCGATGGCCGACGAGTCCGTGAGCTGCACGCCCACGGCCACCTTGAGGCCGGCGTTGGCCGCTGTCTCGATCACGTTGATGCCGCTGTATTGCGCCTGGAACGAGCGGAAGGCCGAGAAGTACTGGGCGATCTGGGCCATGTCCGTGGCCAGCACGTCGCTAGTCACAGTGTCATGGTGCCAGGGCGCGTAGCAAACGCCGGGCAGCGTGGCCTCCGTGGCGCCCAGGGCGAGGGCGGCCAGCATGCCGACGACGGTCATGTAGGACGTGCAGACCATTGTCGACGAGGGTCTATAGGCAATTCGTTCGATGCGAGGGAGGAAGCGAATTGAGGAATGCGTCTCCGCTCGACTAGCGCAGCGGCCAGCCCAGCAGAGCGGCCCGCATGCATGCGCGGATGACAAAGAGACTCACGCAAAGGATGCAAAAGGATGGAGGGCGTGACACCTAGCATGGAGGGCGACTAGCGCTGTAGAAGACCAGGCCTAGCGAAAGATACGCGAGGAAGTGCCGCGCACATCGATGTGAGCGTCCGCGCCGCTCAAACGGCACGGGCGGCACCGCCACATGGTCTCGGCATCCGTCTGGCAATCGACAGGTCGGAAAAAGATCGGAAGTCAGCACGCTAGCCGGTTCGCCATCACTGCGCGAGCGGATCCGCTCCCAGCTGCTGGCGCGCGAGCCCACCGCTGTGAGCTCCGATGAGCGGACGGACGGATGCTCAAGACGCTGCTGCAACTGCAAGCAGGGCGGCACCAGGGACCGAAGTTCCACTGCTTCTGACAGGCAGCGCCTGTGAAGCGAGTGAGGACGAGTCCGTCGTGGCAGGTCCACCGTCGGCCAGCGCGGGCCACAAGTTGATGGGCCTTGGTCCCGTACACGACGGCACGATGCCCGCGGCGTACGACACTCGCGACAGCGAGCACCAGAGACGCTGCGCGCGTGGGTTCATTTTTCGCCCGATTTGCTTCAGGCGACGACGGCCGCGGCGGAAGTCACGTTGGCCGTCCGCGCGGATAGGCTCCATCTAAAAAGCCGTCACGTGCCAAGCAACGATGGTCCGATCATCGCGCTCCGATGTGAGCGGGTGGATATTGGCGACGCCGCGCTGCTGGTGACCGCTTTTCCTGACGATCGGGGTCCCGTGCTCTCTGCGAAGACGGCGCAATGTTGACCGCTTCTGGCTCTAGCGCCGAGCCTGCCGTTCGGTTGTCAACCGCGAAGATATAAGGCACCGAAACAGTGTCTCTACGTTCGACGACGACGGCTGTGCTGCAGCGAGCGCCTCGCTGCCAGCAAACTTTGCTGAGCAAAGAGAATATTTTCGCAGTGCTGGCCGCGCGCAAGAGCCGACAGACTGCATGCAAGAAGGGCCTGCCGTTCCGCACGTGCGCGACCACGTCACATCCTAGCCCTCGGCGACATTGGATAGAGGCATAACACTCACTGCAGGCGTTGAATTCCCGCTCCACCGTCGATCAGTGGCGCTGTGTTCGTGCGGTACACTTGTACAGTACTGGGCAGATACGTACATTGTATATTGAATCGCTTCACCAGTTACTGTTGGATTTTGGAGCTCCCACAGCGATGTGTGCGATTTATTCCAAAGGTACTTCCAAAACGACTCAAAGGGGGACTCAATTCGGTGAGCTTTATAGATCTAGCACTTGAAAGGAAGCGGTCGTAGACGAAGGCACATTGCAAACGAAGAGCTCGACGGCTTCGGTGCCGCTTCCCGCCTTTCTTGCTGTTCTACTTGCACCTGTGCGCCGCAAATAATGAAAACTACCGGTAGTATGGAGAATCACAGGCTGTACCAGCGATTTCGTGGCATCACGTTTAACCCACATAAAAAACAACACTCCGGTTTTCTTACGTTTTTACAAAAAATCGTTAGGTGACGCGCGAGGTGGTTAGAGCACCTTTGATGCGACAGCACAACAGCACCGTTAATGGCGCCCAAGGCGCCATTAACGGTGCGGATTTAAAATGGGAACGGTGGGGGACGATAAAGATAAATATCTTAGGGATTGGCATAGCCGGTGCTGATTGGATTCAACCTACGATATTCAAAGTGTTACGGTTCATCCGCATACGAATTAGCTAGAAACGAATGTCAGCGAAAGAATTATATTTCACTAATCGTGATAAAAGTTTTGACTAGCTCTGTAACTTTGCTTGATCGGTAGGGCTTACGTATTTATATTGGCGCCGCTTTACTTAAATTAAGTATGTAATTTATTAACAGCCTATGATAAAACTGCTCCTAAACTTGCATTCTTCTGTAGCATCGCCTACAGACCAACGGCCTCTTCCCGTTCGCGGTCAGCTCGCCGTCCGTTTGAGCTTAAATACTACTTGCCAATACCACCAATTACGGAAATTTGACAATATTTGTGATGAGTGGGGATGGTTTTACCCATTACCGGAGAAACACGCTTCCACCTGGGTATGTTCCTGTTTGTTTGGGGTCTGAGTGAGCTCGATGCTTATCAAGCCACATAATTATCTGAAAATAGCTTGCCAACATGAATTCACCTCAGAACCATAGTATTTTTGTGGGGGGTGGGAACGGGTCTTAACAGGGGTATAGTGGGGGAAATGGTCCCATTTCCCCCAATTAGGGAGGCCTGAATATCAGTGATAGTCTACTGTATCTGATACTAATACCTAAGGAACTAAGATCCAATCCCGAACCGTTGTTGGGGACGAAGTTCCCCCTTACATTGATACACTCACTTTTACTTAGCTTTTTCAAGGGTTCATACCCTCATTTACTTGCCTGATATCAGTTTAGAAGGAATGCTGACATTCTGAATGAGTCGCCCAGCATTTGTGACCCCAAAATCCTGTATTTATTGACAATTACAGACAATTCTGTCCTAAATGATACCTGACACACCTGATATATTGCTATATATGATACGAAGTCACTCCGCCGACTTAGTAAATCTGATTAGTGACTATGCATGCTAGCTCACTGTGAGTTAGTGTCTAGTATTTTGAACTAACACGTCAGTGGCGTTAGAGCACCTGCACCTGCATGGGGGCGACAACAACGACAGATTTATCAAACTGAATGCATGTATGCCTTCAGATTTACGATCCAATTCACAACATATATTTACTGTTAGAGACTAGGGATCACTCGCGGTGGTCTACCAGGTGCTTTATTTCTTGGACAGTGAGCTGGCCGAGGTGCATATGCGATACCCTACTGTCGGAGGCTAAGATTGGATCACTTTCAAAAGAGCAAAACCCTATGTTATTAACGGATTATACCGAATAATACCCGGACTACTATTTATTAGAGCCCCCGAAAAATTGAACAGCTTTAGTAAGGGTTTTTATTTGGGCAAGGGCTTCTATTTTATGAAATACAGAACGAACTAACCGATAAACGATATCACTGGCGTGCGAGGTGTTTGGCACGCTTATTTCAATACAGGCGGCAGTTAAATTCATCAATATATTAAACGGAGTGTATTTTGTTGCTGGTTTTATTTGAGTAGAACGGTCCAAAGTAATTGTTTCTCTCCTCTATAACTAAAAGCAACATTATTTTGCATTGTTTGCATTAGTCTGATTGTCGATCCCAATATCCGTAAAAACAATGATTAAAAGAAATACTAACTATCCAATCTTTGTGATTCTTGACTCTACAGTAAATCACAGGTGTATGGAATCTAATTTATGGGTTGATAATCGTAGGATAGCTGGTAGGTTGCCGAGGTAAACAACCTACCTGAGTCCGTTGAATTTGTTTTAGTCGCAGTTTTGCTCAATCCAGTAGCTTGAAGATAGTGAATAGAGTTAAGAAAACTACATCATTGTAATTGGGGAATATTGTTTAAGTACTTACTATCGTTGAGCAAAATCATTTTTTGTTGTTCTCAAGAGACTATCTTTATGAACGTCGCAAGTCTTGTCATACATTCTTAGTACAAGAGGTATTTCATTCGTAAGTTTTTGTTAGCTTTTTTCTATTTAGTAGCCCGGGTTTGTATTAAATTTATTTAACAATCCGAGCTTCTATTTGATCAAGGAATTCCAAGTTATTTTCTCTAAACTCCTATCTTGCCCCAAACCCGATAAAATTCTAATCACCGTTGGCATCTATATGCATCTCTGTGGGTACACTACTAGGAAATCATACCTATATATTAGCATTTAAAACTCAAGCAATCCCGCGGGCGACACGGCTTGCTCAAAATTAACTGGAAACTGGATCCACTCAACGTACAATTCTCGACCGTGAACCTCGCTCAGGCACCCAGCCCACTGGTCATACACAACGTCAATGGTGTTCCTGTCCACCTCAGTAATAGTGGTGCATACGCCGCCCTCGAGAACCCACTAAACGTTGTCTTGCGCGCCTTCGGCCTCTCGGTTTCGTGCGTTGGCTTCCGAGTCGGCGACAGTAATCGGAAAAGATTTTTTCCATGCCATTTTCAGAGGTTTTCCATACCAATAGGATTAATTGCATTCCACATGGATGAATTGCATACCACCCGGGTGAATTGCATACCACAAGTACTCCCGCAAAACGTTTGAGCTCTTCTAAGTTTTGAATTATCCTAAACGTTACTGAGGCTGTCGTTGCCAGCCAACAACTACAACAAAAATTGTGGTGTTTCCTGACAGGCGTATATACTGTCAGGAAACCGTACACGTGCTTAAGAAAGACTAGTATGACATCTTCAGTGTATCCACTAGTGTTGAATGGGTTTGGTCAGGAAACGGCACACGTGCTTAAGAAAGACTAATATAATATCTTCAGTGTATCCACTAGTTTTGAATGGGTTTGGTCAGGAAACGGCACACGTGCTTAGGAAAGACTAATATAATATCTTCAGTGTATCCACTAGTTTTGAATGGGTTCTGGCAAGAAAGCCTCTACCTGCGCATGAAACAGCTATACTCATTTATATCTGGCGACCAAAAGCCCATGTTTTTGGGACAAACTTCTAGCATGTGTGCACCATAATACACTTTGTCATTCTGCTATTTGCAATGAAATCCCAACTTCTACACCGAGAGCGCGACGAGTTCTACGTTGCCTACAAGCGCATGCGGACGTCCTACGAAAACGCAGCCGAGGTGATGAACGACCTCCACCGTGAAATTTCAGCTCAAGAAACAGAATTTCGAGAATTACGGCAAGCTCGATCTGCACAAGATGACCAAGATGACCAAGATAACCAAGATGACCAGGATGGCCAAGAAGACCAAGATGAACCTCGCCAGCCCCAACCCTACGGCACGACAATCGCGGACCTCTTCGGGGACACGAGCAGCGAGAGCAGCGAGGACTCGGACGTGCCGCAAATGGAGGATAGTTCTGCCACGGACCATGCTGAAGGAGACGAGTCGGACGTTGAAGAAGCGGAAGATGGCGGCGATGAAGAAGAGGCCAACAGCGACACCGACCGTGGCGACGGCAGTGATTTCATGTGGAGCGATGACGACACTACCGGCTATGCGTCCGAATCGGAAACAGGTGATCAAGATTACGAGATGCCTGACTGGCACACTTGGCTTGCACACCGTGTCGTCCTGCTGAGGATTTCTTCGAGGACGGTTCGAGCGACTTTCCTTTTGATTTGACCCACTTTAGTGACTAAATCGTACCTAGAGCGTAGGGGTTACAATTTCGTTTCAAGAATTGTTTTTATTTTTTTTCGCTTGATTTAAACGTTACATTCGCAAGTAACTAACTAAACCGGTAATAACAACCGTAATTTCTGACATGTATTCTAGAGTGGTTATGTAACTAACATATGAAACTCATGATTGCTGCATCGACATGAAACTATCTTCCCCTCTATCTACAGCGGCGGCTGGTTCGCGTCTGAGCGTCTCTCATTCTTCAATTTGCTCAGCAACCAGTAACACAGCAGCCCCCTCCTCACTTTTCATCTCTCTACAGCCGACTTCAAGCTTCTTGCGCTTTCTCTAACAGCGATAGTGTGGTCACGCTTCCATCTCACATCGCGCTAACTAGTGGCTTGACGGGGTCTTGGCTGGCCTTCCGATAAACATCAGGTGGGAAGGGAGGGGAGTTATGAACCGGAGCGCTGACGAGGTCTCCTCCAGCGAGAGTCACGACTTCAGCGGAGATATTGTTCAAACGAGATCCGCCCGAAACTCGCATTCGTACCGAAGAGCCCCCACTCCTGCCGATGTGGTGGTGGTCGACCAACACAGCACCGTTGCTCCTCGAATCAGCACGACAAAAGAAGGTGCGCGTATCATCATGCACAGCAAAACCTTCAAGTCAATAGCAGAAGCACTCCGCCACTTGCAGTCGCGCGAGAATACAGCATTTCGAGAGAGGTCTCTGTTTCGTCGCACTACGGTGTTGGTCTGTGCATCGCACGTTGATTGCAAAGCCCAGGCCAGAGTAACTAAGCGTGATGGAGACATCTTCACCCTGAGCACGAGTGGGTATCACACACAGCATCTTCTGCCGAGTTCACCAGACCATGGTGACTTGTCGGACCCTGATAGGCGCCGTTTAAGGTCCAGTAAATCCGGATCCGACTCTCCAAATGACAGCAACGATTTTGATGGTAGTGAATCCGAGTTCTATCCTGACGATGCTGACTTCGACGACGAGGATGATAAGGATAAGGATACGAATGATGTCGATTCAGACACGACAGCACAGCAGGAATTTGGGATATCCAACTCTAGTAGTGCTAAATGTGATAACAGCCACGCCAGTGTTGAATCTGCATCTGTGGGTAAAATGACGATAGCGATGTAGCAGACGACACCCACACTGCTTCAGCTGGCGTTAACCACGTGGACGAGGATGGATTCTGTGTTCTCGGTCCGTTCAAGACTCGCGAAAAAGCCCGTGTCGCAATTGATGTACTGGCGAACATTCGGTACAAACGCCTCAACAACAACAGAGACACGGTGTGGTACAAGTGCTCTTCTCACATGAATTGCTCTGCGACGGCCAAGATCAAAATTTTCGCTTCAAGCAAAACGTACACCGCCACATTGAATGGAATCCACAGTGACGTCGTTGCCCCCCTCGATGAGCAACGGACTGGCATCCACAAACCCCTTGACGACGAAGTGAACAACCTTTTACTTGGGGGGCAAGGACCTGCAAGGTGTTTGACCACCCTTGAAATGAAGTATCGAAATGACGAAGAAATGCTGCGCCTTCTACCGGATTTTGGACAACTCAAGAATCGATCGCAGCTCCTGCATTCTCGAGGCGACTTCGACATCACTTCGATGGCGGACATCTTGAAGTGGGCATCTCCAAAAATGTGTAAGACAAAGGAGGACTTTTTCAAAGGAATGGTTTACAGGGTTGGCATGGACCTCAGAACATTCACCAAGAAACCCTTCAACTACCGCAACGAATTACTGGTTCTTGACATCTTCACCGAACAAGTGAAAAAAAAGATGTTTCATTTGGTATTATCTTCACGTCGAGGAGGCTTTTTCGCAACGCTGCTCTTGCGGTTTTGGGACAACGTGAAGGAGTCTTGGCGGTGACTGATGGTACCTACAAGATCGACTTCAAAAACTGGACGCCGATATCATTCGGTACCTGTGGCATGCGTTACACGAAGAAGAAGGAGTACCAACACAAGTTTTACCCGATAGCCTTCCTGTTCGTGCGTGCAGAAACAACACTAGCTTATACAAAGCTATTCTCTGTTATCCAGAACCGCTCGAAGGATTTCTTTGGTTGAAACCTGACTGTCAAGTATGGGTCGATGGACCACTCGGCCGCAATTGCTGGTGCCTTTCGCGCAGTATGGTCTGACATCGAGCTGTTAAATTGTTGGCCTCACTTGGATCGCAAGTCCAGAGAGAAAAAAGGGCTACTGTCAGACACACAAGTCTACCACGATATTATCAAACCGCAGCTGGACCAACTCGAAAACGCTCGTTCTCGTGAGCAGTTCTTTGCTCTGTCTGAATTAGTCACTCAAAACTGGAGAGACCAACGCCAAAGGAGGTATGCCAAGTGGTTTGATGAGCAGTACCTCACGGACCCGTGGGACCTGTGGTTCATCACCGCCAGCAACGTCGCTGGAATAGTATCAAACCAGAATCCAATTGAAGCACACCACAGCGCTATCAAAAAGGTAGCAGCAGGCCATTTGCGAGCAGCGATATCGCATGTCTTGGCCGTCGCTTTGCCAAAGATAGTGATTCACTGCGGCCGCGATACAAATACCGAGTTCTTGTGGCCGTTTGCATCAGGTCCCGTTGATGAAAAAGTGTATCAAGCTGCCAAACGGCTCTGTGAACCTGGCAATCACTACCCATACCACGAGCGGATGTCTAAGCGTGAAATCGCCAACATCAACCACTACTACTTCAATGCAGACTATTACCTCATTCACGATGAAATCTGTACGGGCAAAAGGTCACACACACAAGGACATCACGTTACGCCAAGTCCCTGGAGGGAGTTCTAAAAAAAGATGAGGTCGTGAACAGCATCCAACTATCGTACCAGTCCCTACACGCTGTGGATATTCTATCGCGAACTCCTATTGAACACGACTGGGCTTCTCCCATGTTGGCAATTGAAGAGGTAATTCAATACCTTGCTGTTGCATGCTCTGTAGATGCATTACTAACGTTTGTGTGTGTGCATACGGTCTAACAGATTCTGGCCCTGCGAAGCAAATTTAAATGCGACTGTAAAGAGTTTTACCAAACGGGATGGCTGTGTGGGCACGTTATGGCGTGCTTAAAACTCGTTGATGGCTTGGTCTTTTCGCTGATGCTACGAGGCTTGCTGATGAGACGCCCATCCGGTCGACCAAGAAAGAAAAAACAGTGTCTTGAGCGTGAAAAGCCATCACCTGGCCGGTACAGTGTCGATGCTCTCATTTCCCGGCTCATTAAAACTCCTGCGAGCGTTATCAATTGGAGCGTGCTCAGCACATGGCCAACTAAAAACCGGGATGGCGAAATCGACGATCGAGACTTTGTGGGGGTAGTGGACCCTCCGTTTATGAAAGGCGGGGCTCGCTATTGGGACGTTTACTACGAGAAACGCAGTGAAACGGTGACCATGGCAGCCGAAAAGCTCGCCAACGCGATAATCTACGCACATCGGATGGAGCATCACATTGTTCCCCCCGGGAATTGAAAACAAGCAGGAAGTCGCTTAACTTCTGAGATTTCTTCATTGATTAGGACGAGGTTGCATGTAATGAGGCTAGATGTAGTGAGGGCTTCGGGCGCTGCGAACTAGGGACCTGCTACACATCAACGCGTCTAGGACACTTTCACTTGTATTTTGTATGGCAAGAATTAAATACTTTCATTTTCTTTTTGTATGGCATGCAATTAATCCGGTGGTATGGAAAACCTCTTGTTATTTTTGGCACGGAAAACCGCTTTTTTTGGCATGGAAAAAATCCGCCACCGACAGTAATCGTATACTTCTCCACACGCTTGCCATCAGGTCGAAGGTCACGGGTGTGCTCCGCAAGGGCAATGTAACGAAGATTCACGTCGCCCGTAATGTTGCACACCATCGCGTAGGCGTTCTTGTGGAACTGTTGCAGAGCTTGGCAGCTGAAGCTCCCAGTCTGGACAAGCCCCCAGCTCTTTGGGGTCACTGGCTTCGGCCACAGAGCCATGTCCAGCCGCGGCAGGATCTTGTTGGCGCAGTCAATTGAGCATCGCACGCGTCTCGAGAAGCGCGCGTGGGTCATGACCATCGTCCCCGCGGGGTTTCGCACGAGCGGCGCATACTCCACGTTCCAGCCGAACATGGTGCCCACAGCAGCCGTGCGCGGAAATTCCTTGGCGTACACGGCGTCGTTGTTCTTCACCAGCGTTTCAAACGCTTCCGTAGTGAGCGGGTGGAAGTGGAACGACGGCTCCCCATTGGGGAAGAGGACGCGCGACCCGCCCTCATCCTGCAGCAGCGGCACCTCCTTCGCCTTTACCTTAGTCTTCGTCCTTGGAGACCACAGCAGTCGTCGACATCATGTCTTTGCAGGGCACTTGCCTGAGCCCCTGGGTGTCATTGTACAGCACCGTCTGGAACTTGATGTGGTCAGCGATGGTCTCCTGCAGCACCAGGTTCTCTGGTGAGTGCCGCTCTCTCGACCATGATCAACTGAAGCGCCTCCTCGAATGACTCGGGCGTGACTCCGTCCGTGACCATGCGCGCCTTGAGCACTCGACGCTGCAGTTCCTTCTCGAGATGGCGCCGCTCCAGGACCATGTCTGCCACCTTCTGCTTCTTCTGCTGGCGCCAGCGCACCATTCTTCGGCGCTGCTGCTCGCATCGCCACTGCTCGCGCATGACGGCCTCCCACAGCGCCTTGGAGGCCGGGTCCTTGCCTGCGTTCTTGTTGGAGCGCTTCGTCATGGGGGCGATAGCGGTGGCGCCCCGACGCGGCTTGAGGCGGTCGAAGCGTCGGAGTCCATCGGTCTGAGTAGTCTGCGGTCCAGGCGAATAACTTGAAAGTGACGTGACTCCCGCGCGGGGTCCAGTGCTGCGAAACTCGCTCCCTGCGGACGTGAGCCCAAGAGCCAAGACTTTGCACATCACTCTGATACGTCAGAGTCTGACGTATCACGTAACATGGTGGTGGTCCAGGTGACCGGTGAGTGCACGGGGTACGGATACATCCACCGGATATCGGTACTACATATTGTGAGTACGGTACCAATCTGCCCTATGCTCCGGTACCATTATTGTGAATTCCGGCCAAATTTGGACTTTTGGGGCGGTTCTTCCAATCGACCTCCACCACAAAACGCCTATGAAACGACGACATACCTTATAATTCCGTATAAGTACGGATTCAGCACCTAAAATGAGACTGCCTCGAACAAAATGATACTAAGCCACCATTTAGAGTTATCAAGATAATCGCGCTTGAAAATTGGCTGCTATTTTTCGTATCTAAGTGAAGTTTCGAGAAAGGGCCCGATTTGTGATTTGAAAACCTGAACTGTCACTAAAGCGAACGCTCCCTCAACACCTCACTCTCAAAGAAGATCTACACCACCGCCGACATGGAAGCCCACCGCTCGACCTCCGAGCTGCCATCGCAGACCTCCAACGGCCCCGAGTCGTCGCCCGGCGGCACACAGGCTTCCGGCGCTCTCGCGCCACAGTCCGTTGGTGCCTCGGAGCCGCCCGCGTCCCCTCCCTGTCAACACCCCCTCCTCCCGAGCAACATACGCCGTACGCGCCTGAGCAGCACGCTTCGGCAGCTCCTGGGCAGCAGCTTGCGCGCACCTCCGATCCGCAGCAGGAGGAGAGTGCCTGCGAGCTGCACGAATCACCGGCGTGCACGCCTTCTCGAACCGATCGGCAGAGCAACCAGAAAAATCGACCCCGCGTGACCTCCCCGCACGTTGCGGCACATGCCGGCAGCGACGTATCGTCTGAGAGCGAGGAGCCTGCTGAAAGCAATGATGAAGATTGGAGCATGGCCGAGTCAGCTGAGGAGGATGGAGAGGTAACGGGGGACAGCGAGGGAATCGAAGACGGTGAGCAAGCCGAGGAGGATATAAGTATCAATTTGATCGATGTTGATGTTCACCAAAAGGTGACAGGCCTTATCAGAGCTGATAAGTGTGAGCGTCGCTGCCTTCAGGGAAAGGCTCAAGAGCTGCAGACTCTGGTCTGCTCGGTCTCGCAGATGACCAAGTCGGAGAGGATGACGTCCGTCTACTCCATGCTAGGTGTGCTTATGCAAACGGACACGGTAGAGCGTCGCCGTGGCAAGGGCGAAAGAGTGAGAAGTTCAACTACTACCTGCCGTTCGTGGGCGCAGTGTGCCGCCTGTCATTTGCCCGCTGCCTCGATCTGACACCCCTAACAATTCAGAGGTACAAGTCTCGAGTGCGCGACGGCAGCATTGCTGCTAAGACACATGGAAATGTGCTGAACAAGAACGCGTCTAGTGTCGACATTCCCTTTGATTCAAAGAATTTGCAGAAGAGGTGGGCGAGGTCGTCCCAGTCCGCGTTCGCATGCAAAAGACCGTTGCCGGCAAGACCAAGAAGTATTACAGCAGAGAAGACTACACGTTGCTTCCTGCCTACTTTACGTGGGACTCAGTGTACGACGAGATGGACGCGTACGTCGAACAGATTCGACTGCGAGTAAGTGAGCCGGCGCGGTCCACTATGCGGAAGCTTCTTGCTCAACATTGCCCCGAGATTCGCATTCGCTCGTCACGTTCGAACGTGTGTGACGTTTGCACGATCTATGAGTCGCGTATTCGCGGCGGGGCGATGGCTATCGAGACGGAAGAGATGGGCGTACACACTGCATCGGCACGCGAGATGCGGTAGGTTTGGTTGGGAGGGACATTGATATCATTTTGATATACTAATGACATTGGTATCATTTTGTTTACCTGCTGACATTTAGCAAGGAGTACAAGAAGGACAAAGCTCGCGTTGCAGGTCCAGAAGCTGAGCAAGACGTTGCCGTGATTGTGATGGACTTCTCCCAGACCCTGACCGTGCAGTCGGTCTCGTCGACCCCATCTCAATGGTACTTCTGCTCACTCATGGCCGTTTACGTTTTCGGCATCTTCTACGAAAATGAGCAGTTCCAGACAAACTACGTGTACGATGAGACTGTGAGCGGCAAGGGCAGCGACCAGATCAACGCAATGCTGCACCATTTCATCAAGACAGTTGTCGTCCCGAGTGGTAAGAAGAAACTGGTCGTGTATGCGGACAACTGCGGAGGCCAGAACAAAAACAATCTGGTAATCAAATTTTTGCTGGCCCAAGTGCACATGGGCGTGCTCGAACGTGTCGACTACAAGTTTTTCGTCAAAGGTCACACGAAGTATTCGTGTGACAGGGGCTTTGGGCACATCCGCAAGTTCCTTGTCCGCCAGGATTGCTGGACGCTAGACCACGTGGTAGATGCAGTGAAGAATTCCGCCACTTTGAACCGAACCGTCCACATTTCCCGTGATGAGGCGTTCTTTAAGGGTTACAAGGGCCTCGTGAAGGAGCTCTACAAAAACCTACCGGTGTGCAGCAGTACCAATGGTTTGCAATGGACGCCTCAAAGCCCGGGGTTGTCGAGTGCAGGAAGAGCCCGATAACCGATGCAGAAGAACAGAACCTACGCCGAAATGTTGACGGCGTTCTCACGGAAAGTGGCAAGGTAACCCGCATGTTCGAGCATTTCCTTGAGCTGCTACCGGCTCCTGCGGTCAACACGGAGAAGAAGTACACGATGCACAACGTCGTACGTCCCTACGTACCAGATGAGTTCCGTGGCGACCCTATCTACGCCGCACTTAGCAAAGAGCAAGGTCAATCTGCTAAAGCAGCCAACCAGTCACGCCGCCTACACCGAGCTGCAATGGCGCTTGCAGCGAAGAAGAACCAGGACCAGAGAGGAAGAGTCGTCGGAGGAGAAGACGACGAAGCCGCCGTGACAACGAAGAAGCCGCGGAAGTCTGGTCGAGCTTAGTTCAAAAGTGTAGCAGTGTACGTCATCTAGCCCAGCTGATCAATCAATATGATACTTATGTCCATGCTAATCCAAAATGATATCAATTGACAACTTGTGTCACTAATGTGAAACATCGCACGAAAGTGAAGTTTTAAGACTATTTCAATGCGAATTTGAAGAAACGAAGGGGATCATTGGATCCGCTGTACAATTTTACACCAGGGTAGCCAATAAAAAAGATCTCAATTTTGCTCTGGGACGGGAGATAATTTTTTCGCGGGGTCATATCTTTGGCGAATCTAACTGTTAGAAGTTGTGGAGGGCCTCAAAAGATAGCTAATGTAACAGGGTAGCACGCACAAGTGGCTACAGTCACTTGTAACTCTAACAGATACGACGTCTGTTAGAGGTTCGAAAGACTTTCTCGACCTTGGTGTAGACACACCAAAGGCTACATACATTTACGACCACCACGACGGGTGGTCCATAGAGACTTAGGATTCCTATTGGCTGAGAGCAGCATCTCTTAGCCAATGAGCGACATGCATAGCATTGGAATTCTGCCAACCAGCCGTTGGCAGATTCCTATCTTAGAATATTACATTTAGAGGAAGTCAGAAACATAAAACAAAAATAGCAGTTCTCATTTTAACCCAAAAACATTATTTGGATCGTTTATTTAGATTAATCTATACTCGGAGGCCCGAGTATAATTAACTCTAATTTAAACTAAGCTACGCTTCCTCACATACAAGCGCACACGTGTAAGCTAAAGTAGTGAGCCAAGTAGGCCCATTACACCTGGTAGCACTTTGTAGTCCGTCCAACGACCGACTACCTGAGTTCGTACGTCACCGCACGAACGCGGAGCTGAGAACCTTCCCATGGATACGGAGGTGTCCAGGGAAAGCTCCACTACGCCTGCAACTCACGTTGCACGCGCTGACTGTCCCCACCTGTCGGACCCAGAGTGGGAAGCTCTCCAACGACTGTCAACAGTCATTGATGAGGTGGCTGTAGCTACGATGCTGCGTACGCTAACGCCGACAGAGTAACATGGTGTTGCTCTGGGATTCATCATGAGGGAGCAGCGAGATGCTGCTTCGTCTACCACGGTGTCGTCGGGGACGACACCGCGCGCGCAATCGCTGAAGCTCAGCGTGAGCAATTACGTTGGAAGAGAGGGCGAGCCTCTCCTCCGTTGGCTTGTCGAACTCGACACTGCCATTGCGGCTCGACGCATCGTCGACCCGTTGTCGAAGGTCGCGTTCGCCATGTCATGTCTTGGCGGACGTGCAAGAAGTTGGGCGTATGGACGCCGACTCTCGGATCCTATGTGCTTTAGCATGTACGAGGGTTTCAAGGAAGAGCTCAGACAAGCGTTTGAGCCCCCGCAAAACGAGTTCCGGTCGAGGGCGGAGTTCCTCGACCTGCAGCAGGGCAAGCATGATGTCCATGCTTACGCTCAGAGAGCACGGTACTTGGTCATCGTGACCAATCCGATCGACGAGGCGACCAAGGTCGTCACGTTCATGAAGGGGCTGAGAGATGGGCCTGTGAAGACCTATCTCTTCCGTGAGTACCCGAGTACTCTCGAAGCTGCAATCACTCTTGCAATGCAGGAGGAGTTTAGCCTGCGGCAGGCTAAGCTGCATGCACATGCGCCGAGGCCACAGCCTCGCCCGATAGTGAGGACGGGAAGCCCAGAACCCATGGACCTCTCGAGCGCTGCAACTGCTGGACCCCAGCAGTCGCAGGGAAACAATGTGCGATGCTACCGTTGTGGTAGAGTCGGTCACTTTGCTCGGGAGTGCACGGCCCCCGTGCACCAGCAGGGTGGCTATCGCGGCGGTGCCGGGCACCGTCGCAACCAAACAAAAAACGCTGGACGCCAGTAGGCTCGGGGCGCCCTACTGGTAATGCAGTTCCGCGTGTCGACCTTGGACACGCGACACTGAGGACGGCAGCCCCCAGTGAGGTTCACCCTCACTGCAAGAACCAAGATGACAAGCCTGACCTTGTCATCCTGAATGTGAACACGATGAGAGCAAGCGGCTCTCTCCGTACTTTGGTAGATTCTGGCGTGTCGAAGAACTTTGTTCGACTGCGAAGTCTATCAAGGCTTGACTTCGAGGATTTAAAGATACCTCGAAGTATGTTGGAAGTACGACTGGCCACGGGTGCCGTCGTGAAGACCGAGAAGCGCATGGTACGCGTGCGCTTCACGTATAAAGATCAAGAGTTTGTCGAGACCTTTATCGTCCTGGATGTGGACGATAAGTTTGACATTGTATTGGGCATGCCGTGGCTTGCACGGCATGATCCGGTCATCGATTGGGAGAAGCGCACTCTCGTGCGCTTCGGTCGCGACAGCGGAACAGTGAGCGATGGCCCTGTTGCCGCTACGCACGCACCGACAGGTGCGCGCAACTCCCCACTCTAGACAGCGCCTAGTGCCGCTGTCCCGGAGCGCCCTGGGCGCGCGCGAGCACGCGCGCAAGAGCAGCTAGCGTCGGCGTTGCCGCCGACAGCTAATGAAGGAAATGTGTTGACCTCGGAGGTCGACACCCGCTTTTCAGCGAATCAAGAAGAGTCTTCGGCCTCAAGGGGCACGGATGACGCAGGCGAGTCACACGCCTCAGCCGTGGAGGCTGACGCGAATCTGATTGGATCAGGTCTGGCCAATAATAAGAGCCAAGGTGAAGTAACGCCGTCGACTCCGGGAGTCGATGGCTTGGGTGAATTTGATTCGTCGGTTCGGGGAGCCGACGCACCCTCCGTAATGGAGGGCACCACCAATAACATGCGTCAAGGTGAAGATGGCGTGTCGGCTCCGGGAGCCGACGCTGCAGGCGGTGCGGACGGTTGCAAACGTTCCGCACCGGAAAAACTTGCATGCTGTTGTGCAGCCGGGCTGCACGACGAAGCGCCGGGCGACCAGGCCGGGCTTGAAGTCGCTCGCCCGCGGGACGAACCCGCCGGCGGTACTGAAGAAGAACACCCGTCCACGGCTGGGCCTGGACGAGGTCAAGAACCAAGCGGAGCCGGGCTCCGCAAAACAAGAAGACGGCGCATGCGAAGATCGCTGCGCAAGTCTCGGCCTGGGGCCGAGACGCTAGAAGGAATGTCTGCCGGGCAGACGGAGGCTGAGAAGCCGGACGTCGAGACGTTGAACGTCTTGACGCGTACCTGTGCCGGGTTCCGGTTCAGGGAGATGACTCTCGCTAACCCTCCGACGCAAGCGTCGGATTTGACTTCGCTTCCAGTCATGAGCTGGAAGCGCTTCGCGCGTGACTTGCACGATGGACGCATCGAGCAAATATGCATTCTCTCGGACGCCGAGAGAACGAAGAGCGAGAATGAAGAACTGAGGCAGTTCTCCATGGAGACCACCACTGAGAGCGTGGACACTCTCAGTGCGAAGACGAAGAAGGAGCGCTTTGAAGAGCAGAGCTGGGACTCGTTGAAAACGAGTTTCTACTACGAGATCTTACGGGAGTACGCGGACGTACTTCCGGAAGAGATTCGTGCGGAGCTTCCGCAGGATAAGGGCGTCCAGCACGAGATTGATCTCGTGCCGGGGACGAGTACTGTGTCACGCGACAGTGGCCACTGCTGTGAGAGCAGGTCAAGGCGATCGACGACTTCTTTGAGAGTCGTCGCAAAGCTGGACAAGTGCGGGAATCGAAGTCCCTGCACAGTGCTCCGACGTTCTGTGTCAAGAAGCCACAAGGCGGCTGGCGCATCGTTCATGCGTACAACAAGCTGAACGATGCGACGATACCGGCGCAGACACCTATACCGCGAAAAGATGTAATCATCGATTCGATGGCCAGGAGCACTATCTACAGTGCTCTTGATCTGCGCGATGGGTTCTATCAGATCCTCATGCGTGAGAGCGATATCCCTCTCACGGCTGTGAGCACGCCGAGGGGCATGCGCTGGGAGTGGCTAGTGATGTCACAGGGTCTGAAGAACGCCCCTGCGACCTTCAACAGGTGCGTGACGCACTTGTTGCGCTCGGTGCGCGACTTCGCACCGAGCTACTTCGACGATGTGTTCGTCCACAGCCGGGCTGCGGACGGGATGAGCGATGTTGAGATGCACAAGGTGCATCTCCCGAAGCTGCTTGCTCTCATGCGCAAGCACAAGCTCTATGCGAACCTGAAGAAGTGCATCTTCGGGGCGAGCGAGATACCCGTGCTCGGGTGTCTCGTCGGGAAGAACGGTGTCCGCCCTGACCCTGAGAAGGTCAGAGTGATCAATGAGTGGCCGACGCCGTCGAACGTCAAGGAACTTCGGCAGTTCCTTGGCTTGGCCACGTACTTGTGCAAGTACGTGAAGGACTACGCGGGCATGATACGCCCGCTGTCACAGCTCCTGAAGAAGGACGCCGAGTGGGTTTGGACTGCTGAGTGTCAGCAGGCCTTCGATGCAGTCAAGCGGGGCTTGACTGAGGCGCCGATCTTGGCGGTGGCCGACAAAGATCGCCCATTCCACGTTGTGTGTGACGCATCCGACTTCGCAATCGGATGTGCGTTGATGCAGCACGGTCACGAGGGTCGTGATCGTGTCGTCTACTACCAATCGCGTCAGCTGAAGCCAGCTGAGCGCAACTACCCGGCACATGACAAGGAGTTCCTTGCCATGAAGTACGCACTCGCGAAGTTCCGAGTGTATCTACTCGGAAGCAAACCGTTCGTGGTCTATACGGACCACGCGTCGTTGCGGACGGCTGTGAAGTCGCCGCACATCTCGCAACGGATGGCGAGATGGCTCTCATTCTTCGCAGAGTATAACTTCCGGGTTGAGTACAAACCCGGAAGACTCAATGTGGTGGCCGACGCGCTCTCGCGTCGACCTGACTACGCCACGACTGATGCCGACGTCAATGCCATTGACGCCATGCGATCGAGCACCCCGACGTCGTCACTGCTGGACGACGTGAAGGTCGCGTACGCGCACGACGCGGACGCGAAGCTCTTGCTGGCCTACGGCTCAGCGCCTTCTGACCAAGCTCGTCAGAAGCTGCCGAAGCATCTTCGTGCTCGTGCACACCGTTACCAGGTGCACGACGGGTTATCACTCTACAGTGCAGTCGACGACAACGCGGACCGCGTTGGCGTGCCCAATGACCATGACCTGCGACTCAGGATCATGTATGAGTATCACGATGCACCGACTGCGGGGCATCCGGGCCGTGAGAAGACATACCTTCTTCTCACGCGACACTTCTACTGGGCCCACCAGTATAAATGGGTGCGCAAGTACGTATGTACGTCCGTGTTTGCGAGGTTTGTCAACGTGTGAAACCTGCGCCTTTCGCGCAGGCTCCCTTGCAGTCACTACCAACTCCACGGGAGTGTTGGCAGTCCATGTCTTTGGACTTCGTGTTCGGTCTTCCCTCGGACAGCCAGGGGAACACGGGCGTTGTGGTCTTTGTTGACCGCTTCAGCAAGATGGTACATCTTGCTGCAGTACCCGCTGAAGTGACTGCGAAACAGACGGCGCGTCTGTTCGTTGACATGGTGTTCAAACATCAAACACCATGGCATGCCGATCGACATTGTGTCGGATCGGGACCCGCGCTTCACTGCACACCTTTGGCAAGAAGTGTTTACACTTGTTGGGAGTCAACTTTCGATGTCAACTGCGGACCATCCGCAGACGGACGGACAGACCGAGCGCGTGAACCGCGTGCTCGTTGACGTGCTTAAGGGCTACGCTCACTCGTTCCAACACTGGAGCGAATGCCTGCCGATGGTGGAGTTCGCCATCAACAACTCGGTCCATGCCTCGACCGGGCATACACCGTTCTACGTGAATGCCATCAGGCACCCACGCCTCCCGAGTCTACTCGGGATGGTGGCTCCTTCCTTTAGTGGGGAAGGCTCTACGACTGCAACGCAGCAGCCGCAGAATGCCGCTGACACTTGCACAGTGTCAGCCGCGACTACGCGCAAGAAGAAGAAGAACGCGTCTGTGCAGGGCACAGACGCCGACAAGAGCAAGAAGAAGAAGAAGAAGAAGAACGGGTCTGTGCAGGGCACAGACACCGCGAAAACGAACGCAGAGGCCGGGCCTACTGCTAGAAACGAGCTGAACGAGTTCAGCTCGGACGGAATCAACTTCGTGCAGCGCAGACAAGCCGCCATTCGGTTTGTCCAAGACGCTATCGCAGCTTCTGTCGACCGACAGAAGCTGAATGCAGACAATGTTGGTAGGGGCAAGACTAATGAATTCAAGAAGGGTTCATTGGTTTTGTTAGCAACTCAAAACCTGCCTAAACATGCAGTTTCCGACTTCGGGGCGAGCAAGCTCGCTCCGCGCTTCATCGGGTCGTTCACGGTGTTGGCACGGCATGGCAACGCCTACACGCTAGATATTCCATCTAGCATGCGCCTCCATCCGACCTTTTATGTCGGGCGGCTGAAGCCATACCGGCAGCACGAGCCACCTAGCTCGGCTGGCCCGAAGCGGAAGCCCCAGCGGGAGCGAACCTCTGCTCCAGTGCGTGAACGCGCTGGGCCAGGCGTGCGACGCGACCTCCCACGTCGACAGAGACCGACGCGGTCTGCGAGGCCTGAGCGACTTGAGCCCTCAGGATCGCCACCTCCTGCTTCAGAGCGGCGAACTCCCGGCTCTGATGCTGTTCCACAGCAGCGACCCGCTCTTCGAGCGTCGGGCCAAGGTCAACCCCAGGTTGACCATACCCGGGGCGTGTTCCCACCACCGCCGCCTCCGATCCACGACGCCCGCGCCTCAACACGCTGGATTGTTAAGCGTATTGTGAACCATAGTATCCCGAAAACGAACCGGCAGCCGGTTCGTTATCGTATTCGTTGGAGAGGGTTTCCGCCCCACCAAGATACATGGGAGCCACGGGACGTCCTGCCGCAGGACGTTCCGGAAATGGTGAGGGCGTACGAAGCTCACCACGCACTGCCGACGCGAAGGTAGTGCGAGCGCTGTGGTCACCTACAGCGCCCGAGGTCCCACGATCGTCGCGTTCCTCACGTGCCAAGAACTTGGCACGGAGATCCTTGAGACTCTCAGGAACACGAATCGTCGTGTACCCGTTTAGGTCGCGGTCGCTCAAGCGCACCGCACCCGGAAGAAACAACGTGCACTGATGGCCTTCGGGCACAGCGCATGGAATACCAGCGTCCACAGAGGATCTGTGGAGCTGCTCCAGCCTCCCGCGCGTCGAGAATGTCTCGAAGCGCTCGCGGGCATGCTTAACCCGCTCACGGTAAGCAGCCGGCTTCTTGTTGAAGTTCTCAAGAAAAGCATTCCAACTTTGACAAAGTGCCTGCCACTCAGGCACTTTGCTGCGAGAAGAGGTCTTCTTGCTGGAGAAGTATCGGAGCTCGTGAAAGAGTCCGATATAGTAATCGCGCCTTTGATTCGTTAACGGATCAAAGTGCTGCTCCTCCGCCACAGCATCATCGTGGATCCCGCTGCATACGTACAGCGGAGTTTCATTTGGAGGCACAGTGTTGCCCACACGGTCTGCAATCTCTGACGCAGACGGCATCCACGGATCGCGCGCTGCCTGAGCAGCGCGCGGGGAGCTTAAAGCCCCAGCAGCAGAGCGCGGAGTATCGCTCTCGCCGCGCGAACGCTTCGAGCTCGAAGCGTTCGAGTCGTCCCCTTCACGAGGGCGTCTCGACCCGGCATGTGGGTCGAGACTGTCGCTGTCGATAGATTCCTTGCGCTTGCTAGAAGAGACTTCGCCCTCTTCCATCTCCACGTCGCCGTCCTCGTAGTCAACGGCGTCGTTGACTACAGAGGAACCTTCGAGGACAATCTCCGGCTGGGTTGTCCCCGACGCGTCCTTTGCAGCGAGCGCGTCGCGCTTTGCCTGCTGGCGCTCATGGTACTGAGCAACAGAGAGGTTACCCTCTGTTGCGGCGGCGGTCTTCTTCTGCGGCGAGCTCATTGCGGAATGAGCTCGAGTTTTCTTTCGCCCAACGTGAAGAATTGACGAATGGTCAATTTCCTGATTGACGTGCCGTGACTCGGCGCGTCTAACCTTGAGGGGGGGATGGTGTAACAGGGTTACACGCACAAGTGGCTACAGTCACTTGTAACTCTAACAGATACGACGTCTGTTAGAGGTTCGAAAGACTTTCTCGACCTTGGTGTAGACACACCAAAGGCTACATACATTTACGACCACCACGACGGGTGGTCCATAGAGACTTAGGATTCCTATTGGCTGAGAGCAGCATCTCTTAGCCAATGAGCGACATGCATAGCATTGGAATTCTGCCAACCAGCCGTTGGCAGATTCCTATCTTAGAATATTACATTTAGAGGAAGTCAGAAACATAAAACAAAAATAGCAGTTCTCATTTTAACCCAAAAACATTATTTGGATCGTTTATTTAGATTAATCTATACTCGGAGGCCCGAGTATAATTAACTCTAATTTAAACTAAGCTACGCTTCCTCACATACACGTGCACACGTGTAAGCTAAAGTAGTGAGCCAAAGTAGGCCCATTACAGCTAAGACGCCCCTCTTTCCAACGAGGTACCTAAATCTCAATTCGTACTTTGGTTGATTAGTATTTTTTGCTCGACGCGGTCTCAAATAGCCTAGCATAGTACCGGGGCGATTCGGGGGCGGTTGATTGAACCAATCGACCACTCCAATTTTGAGTAGAACCCACAATATCACGACAGTAGTACTATGTATCCTGGCGTGCGCGTCCAAATAAAGGGCAGTAATATTTATTTTACCGTAAGATATGGAGTGTCTAAATTTAGGGACGTCAGTGGGTGGCTCATCACAATTGGAAGAGGGGGGAAAGCAAGAAGCAAGTGGCGTTGGTGCTTGGGATGGCGGCGTCCAGCTCCAGGAGACTGCTACAGCATGGTATGAGTTCGCAGACAACCAGGCTCGGCCCGTCAGTACATCTTACCGTTAATAGGCGTCACACTAACACAATAGGCGTCACACTAACACATCGAGGTTGCTTCGTTCTTACTTTGGAATTTAGTACAGCACGCACATAATCGGCCAGATAGCAGTGCCCAGGCTCCAGCGGACGAGCATCATGTCCACAGCGCAGCGCGAAGGCTCCGCCTCAGCTGTAGAGCGAACAGGCTTCGTCTAGTGCTGCCAAAACCTCACGTTTGATGTTCACAAAGAGTGCATCGTAGAGATGGAGCTGCGGACATGGTGCTCAAGCTTGGAAAGAGAATGCGGACCAATTTGTGGAGAATCCTCGCGCACACTGCTCGAATCACGACGGGATCGATGAAGAGTAAAGCATCATGAAAGCGCCCGGAGGTTTGCGGAGCGACGTACCTGTTAGTGACCAGAAGCAAGCACGCACGAGACCTGCTCGTTCGGTGTCCGGTGGAAAACCGAGTGATACGGTACCAGATACATCGAAATGATGTACCGAACCGGAAGAAGCGATACCGGAGCTGGTGGGATTCCGGCTGGTGATGCTACACGCGGTCGATAAGCTGCGTGGAGAGGACGTGGATGTTGTTACACGATGATTGTTAATATGTAAAGGAAACAAACTTCAAGTTTTTTGTTGACGATGATGCGCTCATTTGGTACAACATTTCGTATCAAAATTTAGTTAGTGTACAGGATTCTATACCGGACGTGAGTTTAGCAACACCTTATTGTATCAAATTTCGCACTGGGAGCAGTATGTGGATGATATGTTGTACCAAATTTAAATTTGGTGCATCATGTTGTACCAATATACAGATTGTAGCTGTTAATAATGACAACGGACGAGTTAGATACTCGCATTGCTTTGGAAAAGAGCAAAGAGCTCAAGCCTTCGCAAGAGGACAACACGAGCTTCTTACCTGACCCAAGACACTGCATGCAGCTGCCACAGACAGGTCGAGGCCATGTACTAACCTTCCTGAGACTTCGTGAACGCACCCATTCCCAGTTCAATGCCGTCGATACTAAGGTTATGCGATCCTCTGTGGTGGAACAGCTTGCTCGTCACCTTCAGTTACCACTGATCGCACCGTCCGTACCAATCCAAAGATGACTATTTGAGCAACACTGGTAAATAATTAAAAACGTTACGTGTTAAAGCGACGATGAGGGACGATGAGGTTGAAGTGTTAGATGTTCAGGTGCTCGATGTTGAAGTGTTGCTTGCAGTGTCGAATGTTGAAGTGTTGGATGTTGCATTTTGCTGCATAACAAGCTCGCTATATGTACTAATACTTACGTAATGGCAAAATTCGGCTCCCGCGTTGCGCTGGGGTTAGATTTTACTCAGGGCGCACTATTGACTACTTAGGCTAGGTTAATGACGTACACGTACTCTTTCAAAGGCAGCTTGCATATGCATACACCAAGCCAGTCGTACCTTGCTATAAAGGCTTGCGGCTGTGAGCGTTAACTGTGTATAGCAAGCTGGAAGTCCAAGTTTTTTTTTCTTGAAGACTGTATTGTCACTTAGTTACTAGTAGCTTACTACTCCTGTCTACCACCAACTAACGACAAAGCAACCTGGCCCCGCTCGTGCTAGAAACGTCACGTGCAGGGTGGCCCTCCGATTGCGGAGAGTCCGATGAAAATCCAAAGCGCGACCTCAGAGAGGACAGGTGATCGATCTCGTCACCCACGAGGTTCGGCAGGCACAGGACACGGGCCCTGCACCTACCTGAATGCGGCCGTAGTAGCCGCTGTCCCACTGGGACTTGACTTGAGCGTAATCGCGTGGAAGTCCAAGTTAGTCGTTGCTTGCTGAATAGACTATACTTCCTTTAAGAACACGGTCAGATATAATTACCCCAGGTGCAGGTGCAGGTAGCATTTGCTCTAAAACATGAGTCAAATGTGGGCATGATATGACTTCTTATCGTTACTTTTGCTGCTTGCGGCACTGGTCATACATGAGGGTGGCTCTTGGCTCACCTGACACCGATATCTAAAAGTCATAACAAACGCTTGTTTCCGTTGACTGCAGGCAGGGTGGTGCACACTGCGGCTGATGGATTATCTTCGTAAAGTAGGTAAATGATCATGATGGTCAGTTTGCACGCGTTATATAGTGCTCCACTAACATGAATTAGACGGTCAAGTGTATAACGAGAAGCAACAATAACTACAATAAATAAGCATTCCCCAAAGCTTCATGTTACGAGTCTTATCGTGCCGATCTCCATTGTAAGGCAATTCGTACAACATACCCGCAAATCGTTACAACACCTACAGTATCTGCTGAATCTGGTACCAAACATGCTTTCTCTAAATTTAGACATTGGCATGATACAGAAAGCGGTGACTAGGCCAGACGTGCCATATCGTGGAGACAATAGCCAGGATGTATGCTCTGTAGCTGTGAAGAAAACGTGGAGAAATCTCTTTTTGCCCTGACATTTGGTATATTATTCTGACAACCTTGATAAATAAGGAAGTAAGACGTCGTTGCTCCCCAAAATCGCATGCTATTTCCTGAGCAAGTTAAAGTAGCAATGTGCAATTCTGACACCAACTTTTGGCCTTGCATGTTCACACAAACGCCAAATGTATAGCTAACACTAGCGTTTGTTAAATGTTTGTTACTGTATAGTGAATCTGGCGAACATGTATGTGGAGTGAGACTTGCAGTCGTTCATCTTGAAGCTCTTTTAAATCACTTACAGTGTGTTCGTGTTATTGTGAAAAGCACTTACGTGTTGGGGGGCACACTGCTGGTCTCGCTGTTTCAATGAGCTTTAAATGAACGTAATGTAAGAGCAAATGTGCATACCGGTGGTTGTTGAATGAAATGTGACTTGAGTTTTTCGCCATGAGTTACAATTTTACTGATATATTGGCTTGCTGAATGCTCGAGCACGATTTAGCCTGGTACTGTGGGGGGATATTTAACGATGTCCACCCGGAAATTTGTTGCAATCGATTCAGCGGCCAACGGTGGCAACGCCAAAGCCACTTATAATGATTCGGAAAGTGTTTATTTACTACTGTAGCATGGAAACCAGGACTAAGCAAAAGACTATACATTTATTTACGGTTGAAAGAGGTCGAAAGCTACGACGGCACTACCAGATGCGGCACGAGATCCCTTGCTGTTACGTCAAGCCTCTTTCCTGTCTTCATTTATGGCGGCGACGGATGACTCGGACGTGCAAGTTATAGTTGATCAGCATGTGTGCAACGTCGGGAACACGCGCGCTGTCTACCAGTGCTCGCTGCGCTTGCTCGTGGCATGGTCCCCGTGCTGCCTATACCGTTTTCCATATTAAACTCCAAGCCCGGTCATATAAATAAAATCTGATGCAAACCCGGCACTTCGTGCATATATTTTTGAAACCAATTTGGTAAAAGTATGAATGTGTATAGGATACTTGGGGGCGGTGCTGAGAAGCTAAGATACAACCTTTTCCGAAGCAATGCCCCTCTAGCAACCGGGGCGAAAATTCGCCGTGAGGATGCTGCTATACTAGTCTAGGAGTATACTATCAACGTCAGCGTGACCGTTGTTAGAGCTGCATCAGTTTCGTTGACTACGTTTGTCGAAGTACTACCACCCGCAATCTCACTGCAACACGTTCGCACGGGGCATCGGTAGTAACCGTTGTATTCGACACGTACCACGCGCTTTCAAAGAGGATATACTGGCTTGGTCCGTTGCTTCTTGAACAGCGGGCCCACCGCTTGCTCAGTTTCTTAACTTATCATTCGAACGATCAACAGCCGCTCTGCTACTCAACAGCAATTCCACGAGACAGCGACGAGCACTCAAGCAACATTGACGTGCCCGAACGGCTTTTCGGCCGTACATACCTCCCGCGTCTCCAGCAGCACGACCACCCGCGTCTTGGCGGCCCAGTGCCGCCCCAACGCACGCCCCACTGTCGGGATCTTCTAGCTCGACCGCTGCGCTGGAGTCCACTGACATCCGCAACAACAGTGGCTCGGCTTAAGACTTGAATCGGAAGTTGGGAATTCGCTGCGCTGTGCTCATCGTGCCTGCCCGCTGTCACCGAGTCTCAGCACTTTGGCGACCATTACCTTTAAAAAAAATGTCCACAACCGCCCACACCTACTCGTCTGCCACGCCCAAAAAGGTGGACCTCGGGGGATTGAGGCTCGCTCCTCCTTCTAGCAGAATGGTAACAACGTCGTCATGACCGTTCATCGACGCAATCGTGAGTGGAGTTACACCATCATTCTTGACTACGTTTGTCGATGCACCAAAGTCCAGTAGTAACTTTGCCACGGTAGCATGACCGCATGCAGCGGCAACGAATAACGGAGTGTCCCCATCAGCGTCTTTCACCTCGATACCAGCGTTGTGATCTAAGAGTAAACGTGTAATTTCAAGGTGGCCATACTCGCTTGAAAGTAGCAAGGCTGTCGACCCATGTGAGTCAGACTTGTCGATATCAGCTCCTTTCGGCAGAAGTATCCGTACCACGCCAATATGTCCTTTGATCGACGCGTTCATTAGTACTGTTCGTCCCATCGTGTTTGTCGAGCATAGTGATGCACCGCTAGTCAAGAGCACGTGCACCACAGAGGCGTGGCCTTTTAGCGCCGCCAACATCAGTGGGGTATTCCCCTGTGCATCCTTCATATCAATCTCTGCACCACCAGCAATGAGAGTCCGTGCGGCATTCACGTGCCCGAACTCACACGCAAGAGCAAGAGCTGCAGTCCCGTCAGGCCGTTGCTTATTAATGCTAGCTCCATTCCTCAACAATAGCGATATCATATCTGTTTGCCCCTCAGACGAAGCCTGCATCAGCGCCGTCCATCCTTTGTTGTCTGCAGCATCGATTGGGACACCACGATCCAACAGTAACTGCACCACTGTACCATGGTTCCCCCTTGTGGCCCAGATCATAGGCGTATTACCGACTTGATTCTCTAAACCAGGGTCCGCTCCAGCACTGAGTAATACCTTAACAGCGTCCGCATGCCCGTACGCACACGCAATTCCCAGCGCCGAAAAGCCATTCGGACGCTGCATATTGACGCTGGCGCCGTTCTTCAAGAGTAACGATATCACCTCCGTGTGTCCTTCAGACGAAGCTTGCATTAGCGCCGTCCAGTCTTCGTAGTTTGCTGCGTCAATCTCTGCATGGTTGTCCAACAACAGTTGCACCAATTCGATGTGGTTCCCTCTGGCTGCCCAGATCAGCGGCGTGTTTCCATCTTGATTCGGCAAGTCGACATTCGCGCAACCAGCTAGAAGTGCACGCGCTGCATCCACATATCCAAACTCACAGGCAATAGCAAGCGCCGTAAACCCGTTCGGGCGTTGGATATCAACGCTGGCTCCGTTCTGCACGAGTAGCGATATTAAGTCAGTATCTCCCTCTGACGAAGCCTGCATGAGCGCCGTCCATCCCTCGTTATCCGCCGCATCGATAAGTGCAGCTCTAGTCAATAGCAACTGCACCACGGCGCTATGGTTTCCCCTGGCTGCCCAAATGAGTGGCGTGTCCCCGACTCGATTCTGTGTGTCAGGGTCCGCTCCAGCACCAAGTAACACACGAGCAGTATCCACATGCCCGAACGCACACGCGGTTGTGAGCGCGGAGAAACCATTCGGACGCTGCAAGTTCACAGCGGCGCCGTTCTTCAAAAGCAATAATGCCACCTCAGTGTGTCCTTCGGACGAAGCCTGCATCAACGCTGTCCAGCCTTCGTTGTTAGCCACGTCGATGGGGGTACCCTTACTTAAGAGAAACTCTACCACCACCGTGTGGCCGTTCCGGGCTGCTTCTATCAGTGACGTGTTACCGTACTGATTCTTCAGGTCAATGTTTGAGCCCTTCGTAAACAGTAGATGGACGAGGTTGGCGTAACCATAGCGACACGCAATCGATAGTGCAGTTTCCCTCTCTGCGTTCACGGCATTGACGTTAGCTCTCTCATCCAAAAGAAGCTTGGTCAACTCGACGTTTCCGTCTTGAACTGCACTCATGAGCGGAGTCCATCCTCTGTCATCAGGCATGTCGATATCATCGCCATATTCCAGCAACTGCTTGACCTCGTCCACTTTGCCTTGCTCGCATGCAATTCGTAGCGCGGTATCGCCGCTGCGCTGTTTCCGGTCAATTGTAGCATTCATGGTAACACTATCCTGTGCATCTGCAGCTACCAGGGACGTAGGCTCGGTGTACACTTCATTGACAACAGGGTCGGCACGCTCGCGCTCGAAGATCAGCTGGGTAAACTCCATATAGCCACTCATGTATGCCACGGTCAACGCTGGCCAGTTCTGAAAATCTCCACACAAGTTGATATCGACCCCGTTATCGAGAAGTATCCGAACAACCGCCAGCCGTTTGTACCACACAGCAGAGTGCAAGGCCGTGCCACCACTCGGCAATCGCGCGTTAACGTTGGCGCCTCTTGTCAGTAGGAACTGGACAATGTCAGCGAATCCTAGTTGTGCCGCTGTGATTAACGGGGTGTACCCGTCGTCGTCTGCTACGTCAAGATCAGCTCCATAGTTCGAAAGTTTCACCACAACATCCAGCTGGTTGTGTTCGCAGGCGATATCAAGAGCGGTTGACCCATTCGGGCCTCGCTTGTCCACACTGGCAGAATGCTTCAGCAGCCGACTAACCACTTTAACATTTCCTCTCTCGGCCGCTCTCATCAGCGCAGTCCAGCCACGGCTATTTGAAGAATCTACAGATGCGCCACCATTCAGCAACATTTGCACCACGTCAGGATGGTCATTCCACGCTGCCCACATCAACGGCATATTGACATTGCGATCCCGCAAGTCGATGTCCGCTCCCCCTGCTAGAAGGCGAAGAACAGCATCCACGTGCCCAAACTCACACGCAGTGGCAAGAGCTGTGAACCCGTTCATACGCTGCTGGTCCACACTAGCCCCTCTCTTCAGTAGAAAAGAAATTATCTCCGAGTGCCCTCTCCAAGAAGCCTGCATGAGCGCCGTCCACCCTTCATTGTCTGCCAGGTCAATCGAAGCGCCTCTATCCACTAACAACTTCACCACGGCGCCATGGTTCTCTCTAGTGGCCCAGATCAACGGCGTATTACCCATTTGATTCTGCAAGTCCAAGTCCGCTCCAGCATCAAGTAATACACGCGCAGTATCCACATGCCCGAGCGCGCACGCTATCGCCAGGGCCGACAACCCGCTCGGGCCGCGCTTGTCAACACTCGCTCCTTTCTTCAAGAGTAACGATGTCACAGCAGTGAGACCTTCAGACGAAGCCTGCATCAGCGCTGTCCAGCCTTCGTTGCTCACAGCATCCACCGTTGCGTCATTGTCCAGTAGCAGCTGCACCAGTTCGACGTGATCTCCCCTGGCCGCCCAGATCAGTGGCGTATTCCCCTCCTGGTTGGGTAAATCTACCTTGGCACCGCCAGCTATGAGAGCTCTTGCAGTACCCACGTGGCCGAACTCGCAGGCAGTAGCAAGCGCCGTGAACCCGTCGGGTCGCTGGATATCAACGCTGGCTCCGCTCCTCAATAGCAACTCTATCAAGTCGATGTACCCTTTCCACGAGGCCTGCATCAGCGCCGTCCAACCATTGCAGTTGGCCACATCGACGGCCGCCCCTCTAAGCAGCAGCGTCCCCACCACAGCAGTGCGGCCACCGCGGGCCGCAGCCACAAGCGGCGCATCTCCGCATTCGTCCAGCGTGTTGACAGCTGCATTGCCCGCCAAGAGCCGAAGCGTAGCGTCCGAGTCTCCGCGCGCGCAGGCCTTCGTCAGCGTGGCCGCCTGCGTCTTGGAGCCGTCGGCCGCGGCTTCTTCTGCCGCTTCGACTTGCACCCCGCTGTCGGGCTCCGCTCGCTCCACGGCGGCCTCCTCGACTCCGTCGACGGACATACCACTGCAACTGCATCGGGATGATTTAGGCAAGCAAAGTGAAGGAAAAAGTGCCGTCTTTGGATTTGAGTCAGAATTTGGGTACGAAAAGCAGCTTTGTTAACCAATTTCAATCACTTCAAGTAATGCGATCATGGAAAAGATGATCACAATGAACTTTGGTAAAACAAACATAATGCTCGATCTCATGCCTTGGTGATAGCATGAGCATACCTGATCGCGGCTCCCTACATCAAAGTGCACTCTGGCTTCGGTTTGGCCACCGTAACTCGAGCATCGTCCTGGGCTGGATGCGAAGAGTCGATCGCTAGCCTGTCCGGCTCGTCAAACCCCTCCTTCTCTTCTTCGCTCATACTTGCTGCGTCGTCATCGGCAGCAGCGCGTGCATCCAAACCACCCTCTCCGTTGGGTGCAGCAACCGTCGGTGCACTGGTCTCGCCCTCAACAACAACGCTGGCACTTGGTTCACCGTCAGTCTGCAATAAAGCATAACAATAGTTAGAACCTCTCGCGAAGGATTCGCACGCAGCGATAGACCGACGCACCTTCACAGACGCCTTCAGCCGGTTCCATAGGCTGGCATGAGCCACGTTTAGTATCTCGTCCAGCCTCTCGATCGGGAACTTCTGCGCTGGGAAATGTTCACGGTGTAGCTTATACGCCGTCTCCAGGACCTGCTGGTCCTTCTCCTCCAATGATCTCTGCAATTGGCGAAGCTTCACGATTCGGCCAGCATCCACCTCGTCGAATGGCACGACGGCGCAGGATTTCCCACACCGGTCTTCGTGTTCCTTCAGCTGCAGTAGTAACAGCGGGTCGAGCTTGTCCCGTGTATACTCCTGACCGGAAAACGATGCGAGGAAATACTCTGTCGATGCATCGAGTAGCTGCGTCTTCAGCGAGCAGGAAGCCTTCGCCGTATCCTCTCCAAACTCGTCCACAGATTCTTGACGTTTCGTAGTGGCTGCCTGCAGATAGATAGAGCAATGTTCATTAGTCCAGCCGCTCTACAGCGATCGATTCATATGAACGGCATTTGCGTACCTTGGCCAAGTCTTTTTGCTCATCTCGAACCGCACTGAGCGCTGAAGAAGGCTGTTCCACAACGCAACGAGATATTTCGCCACCATTGCCCTTTGCTCGTTACTTCTGGCAACCTTGCTTAACTCGACAACTTCTTCGTCAATCGATGTTATCTTCGTGTCCGAGGAAGCATTACGGGCGTGCGTGTTCCACAGATCCGAGCACTCGTCAGGGTTTTGGCTGGCCTCACACAACCGAAAGTAATCGCTGGCGGTCCACCTGAAGCCCTTTTGCTCTGAGCCTCGCCTCCCTTGCATCTGCCTCACACTTTTCCGCAGCATTAGCGAAATCTTCCCGGCGCTGGCCAAGCTCCTTGTGCTTCATCTCAAGTTCATGTGCAGCTTCGCCACAATGCTGCTTCAACTGCTCGAATATGCATGCACGTTCTTGGGTCTCTGCAGTAAGGGTCGATAACGCCGACTCGATGGAGTCAACAGCAGCTTCCCACGCCTTAAAAGGGTCCTCGATGGTCTGAGTCTGGACCAGTTTCGCCTTAGTCGCTAACTCCAAACGGCCTGTGTCAACGGTCTACAATAGCGAAACGAAGCAAGTGTTTTAGCTCATCAATTCCAGCATTCGTCCAGAAAAGCACTCACCAATGCTGATTCAGTAACGGCGGCGAGTTCTGCATTTCGGGCATACTGCTCGATCACCCAGGAAGCAAAGGCACCAAATTCATGGTACGAGGAGCCGGCTCCTGCGTTTTCCCCGGTAGGAGGAGGCACCATTCCTTCGATCTCAGATAGAGCGTTTGGCTTGAACAGTCTGACCACCGACTCTCGAAGCCATACTTGCCATTGCGAGGCCCACGTAAAGCGCCTTAACGTCGCGTGCCGGACCACTCGCAAGTAAACAAATCGGCGAATCTCTCTTTTTCCCTTTCCACTGCTTCCCACTCAGTAGTGGTCGGTTCAGCCCCCGACTTCGTCGACGTGCTTCCTATCGACGACGCGTTACCCTCTTGTGATAGATGCGTGGGCGCGGCTTCACTATCTGCAACAGCAACGGGCTCGCCAGCAATTTGTACTGGGTCGTTGTCCCTTTTAGTGCGCTTTGCAGCTACACCACCAGTAGTTCCTCCATTAAATTGCCTCTTGACGCCAACAACCTGCCGCAGAAGTCCATTTTCCCTGCATGTAGCTTCGTCACCATTCTGCTCGTCGCACTCGCTCTGACCACTGGTGGCCTGCTGTTCATTTCCTGTATCGCGATCGGCTTGCTCACTTTCGCCCGTCGATGTGTGTCTCTTCAGACTCCGATTCCTCAATAGGTCTACAGCTTCAGAGCGTCCGCTTTGCTCCGCGAGGTTCACAGCCGTCTCACCGCTGGGCAATTGATGGTCAACGCATGCACCAGCCTCCAGCAAAAATTCAATCACCTCCAGATTGCCTTGCGTCGCTGCATACAGCAACGCCGTCCACCCATCATGCCCAGCAGCGTCAACCGCTGCGTCATGTTGCAGCAAGGTACGAGCCACGGCGAGATGTCCATATTGGCAAGCGACGGAAAGCGCTGTCGACCCGTTGGTATTCTGGTAATTCACTGCCGCCCCAGACTCAACGAGGAACTTGATAATCTCAACATCGCCATATTTGGCAGCTAACATCAAACTCGTCCACCCAATGTCATTACAGGCATCGGCATGAGCACCGCATTTGACCAAAGCACGAGCTGCTGCGTATTGGCAAGCGACGTAAAGAGCTGTCGACCCGTAGGGAAGCTGGTAGTTCACAGCCGCTCCAGACCCAACGAGACACTTAATTATCTCAACGTTACCGCCCTGCGCAGCAAAGAGCAGACTCGTCCACCCATCTCTGTTAGTGGCGTCGACACATGCACCGCGCTCGACCGAAGCACGAACTGCTGCGTGATACCCGCGATGACAGGCGACGTGAAGAGCTGTCGACCCGCAGAGAAGCTGGCGGTTTACTGACGCCCCAGACTAGATCAGGAACTCGATAGCCTCGGCGTTGCCATATTGGGCAGCAAAGAGCAAGCTCCACTCGTCTTTGGAAGTAGCATCAACTGGCACCATTCGTTCAGCAACTCCATCGGCCTGCGCCAGGCGACTAGCGCGAAAAGACTCTTGAGATCATTGTGGGCGAATCGATAAGACACAGCTCTGTAGTCAGGTTCCATCCACTCGTAGCCGGGAACGGAAAAGAACAGTCCGACGAAGTTTACGGATTCGGCAAACAACAGGAGGCGAGCGTGGAGGTTTTAATGCCAAATAACATTGGAGTCTTTCACATCGATACATGCCATTGTAATTGATGGGTGAGTGCAAGTTGAAGGTGCTGAGTGCATCGACCCATGTGTATCAGACCACACCTTCAACGAGCCCTGGGGAGAGCCGGGCTCCTGGGCTCTTGGGTGAACCCAAAAAGTCGCGAGCTCGGGCTCCTGGGCTCTTGAGTTCAATAGGTTAAGTGAAAGGAGCCCTCCAGAACTGTGAGCCCTCGTTAAGGCCCCCCCTCACCTGTGTTAAATATCTCGCTGATGATTGGCCGTCATTGAAGTATCTCCAGGTTCTAACCTGAAAAGGCATAGGAAAGACGGCTTCTCCTTGAGGGGAAGGAAGGACGATCGGCGACGCTGGGGTGGCCTCGGAGCGGCTGTCCACATATGAGCGGCGCGAGATCTTCTAGTGTGGCGATCTTTGAGCTCGATCTTCTAGCGTGGGCATCGATCACGCGAAGTTTGCTCGCCTTAAGTCTAGGTAAAATTGGCCAATCAGATATTACTATGAAGAGCCCGTCATAGATTTGAAGCTAAATTTGGGGAGCCCTGGGCTCCTTGATCTCGTACTTACCATGAGGGAGCCCGTTTTGTGCGACTTTTGGCTCTCGTATTAGGGGGAGCCCACTTTTGAAGTTGACGGGCTCGGACTCTGTATCAGACTGTTGGTACACGCTCCCTATTGTAACAAAACCTGCACCACATCCATGTATCCTTTTGATGAAGCATTCATCAGCGCTGATGAAATTCTACTTGTCCACTTAGCCTACCCGAATTCCAATACTTAATCTCTTCTCCCCAGGTCGAAAGCATACCAGTAGCATGGGTACAATCCTACTAGTAGGCGCGTAAAGATTAGTTTTAATATGAAAGTTTGTATAGTGCGACATATGTCCATCATAGACAGTACAAAGTGCAGGCGGAGACGTGACTTGCGCTGTGTAGACTTGGATGATAGCTTCTAACTGCGAGTAGCAGCGAACTCAGCAAAACTAAAGCGCTAGAGGTTTAGAAGTGTAGTCAGGCAGTTATAATGCATGAGATGTACGCTCGATTCGTATTCCGAGCTCCTGCGGAGGCTGACAGGAGCATGAATAGACGGTTCAAAAAGTAAAACTGGGTAGCCCAGACAAATACTTTGAGGTATTGCCACCGGCATCATTGTTCTGCTTGAAATATTTCGTATCCTTCTTGTACGTCATTTCCTCTCTCTAACTAGCTAAACATGATGGCTAGATTCTTCTGTGCACATTAGTTACTGGCGAGCAAAGTAAGCCTACCAAAAGCAGTAATTTCAAGCCAAATGAAGAGGTTTCTCGACAATTGGGGGCAATGAACACTATTCACGGCCACTAGAGTGTACCCCTTCCTTATTACTCGCTATTCGTTGCCATCCCGGGCATTAAGGACGCGTTTTCAGGACCTAAAAGGCAAAATTTCTCAAATCGTGGTGTGCCTAGATTTGTCGAAAGCCCAATTTTCTACTTGGGGTTTTACCATCTTACCTTGGTCAAATTCGATGCGGAAATAAATGCCAAACTCGCTGTTATCTCCTCTTTCGTATGAATGTCGGTAGGACGTTTGAACAGCGTTCACTCGAGCAACATTTAGTTTTAAAGTTGAGGCTACCGGTAGGCGCGCCATCATACTTATCCTACCGATGGGGAGTAATGATTAAGGGTTTAAGTATAGAGGTGCGTTCGATATGGCCACCATTTTCATCCTTTATACCGATGTTTGAGTATGTACATGAGCCACTAACGTTACGCGAGCCTCGCTCTCGGGTTCCTCCTGCTCAACGGCGTCAGCACTGTGGCTTGGCATCAGCGCCCGGAGAATGAGATACGAAGATTTTCAGGTTGAAGTTGTTGGTACAGTAATCTGCCCGAGTAAGGAACGCCTGATATATATAAAGACGCAGAATATATAAATGGATGTTAAGTTGAGTATACTTTTCCAATGTACTGATTTAGTTATTTCAAAATGAACTGAAGAGCAGCTTTACCTACGAGTCCGGAATGATTCCAACAGTGGCGTATGGTCGAAGCACTAACCTTTGACCAGGCATCCTCGCACCACAACAGCGCTGTCAACTGGTCGACCTCGTAGGGATTATCTAGCCCTTCACCAAGCCGGTCTAGAGCCTGCATCATCTTGCGGGATAGAATGTGTCGCTTAATACAATGAATGATTCCTTGGTCCTTCTCCAGCGGCCGCCCCAGCAGGACTGCACTTGACTTGATTATGCGGCATATCGTTGTCTTGCCTGGGGCGGCCGGGAGGCTGAACTCCGTCATAGCCCACTCAGCCACGCCCCTGTAGGAGAGAGCAGGTGTGCGGGCTGCCTTGTCGAGGATGCCCACTTTCTCAGACCAAGTGAGGCGGAGACGCTTGGACGGTGTGGACTTCATGGGTGGAGTGGGGGAGGAGGTGGGCTTGTGGGGCGAGGTGCAAAAGCAAAAGTGCGAGTGGTACATGTAGTTTGAAGTCTAGTAAGATCGCTAAATGCGCGCCATTTTTCAAACGGGGGTGGAGAGCTGATGATTGGCTCTGGATTTTTCACCTTAGTACCTCAGTACCTTGCACATCCCCCTATCGCCACATCGACTGGAAAATAATATTAAATATGTGAGGCTATTAGTTGTACACCCATTCCTTATTCGGGCAGAATTCTGTACAGTGTACCAGAATCATTGTAAACAAGCGCGCTCGTATACAGCACTGTAGCTATGTGCCAATGTGGAACCGCGTTGCCTTCAACAGTGTTCTCCATCATGTTCCAGAGAATGAAACACGGCTGCATGAGTACACGGAGCTTGTGCCTCCGTTTGTCATCGAATACCTCGCGAACGTATGCTGGGTTAGCCAGGTGTCAACAGGTCGTCACTCGACGGCATCCGCAAACTGCGCCGCTCTTCCGATGGATCGACAAGGCGGTGCTGGCTCGCCTTGCTAGGTAAAGCCGAGTATCGTTGGCGTCAAAAAGGTGATATTGATGCTTCCTTCCCCCACTTAATCTTAACAGGCTACAGGTTTACAGACACGCGTCTGTATCGATATGCGTGCTTCGTCCTGAACATACAATCCAATCGCTCGCCGTTTATGCCACGGCCTCGGTCTCGACAGGGGCCGAGTGCGTGACCTTGACGATGTAGGGCGTGGACTTGTGCGCGTGGTAAGCGGGCTTGCCCTTGAGTCCGAAGCTCTCGAAGAGGCGCTTGTCCTTCTCGAAGGCCGGGTTGGCCGTCGTCAGCAGCGTGTCGCCGTTGAAGATGGAGTTGGCGCCGGCCATGAACATCATCCCCTGCTCGGCGTCCGTGAAGGACATGCGGCCGGCGCTGAGGCGCACCATGGTCTTGGGCATGAGGATGCGCGCCGTGGCGATCATGCGGGCCATGTCAGAGGCCGTCACGGGCGCGATGTCCTCGTCGAAGAGCGGCGTGCCCTCCACAGACACGAGCGCGTTGACCGGAACGGACTCCGGGTGCTCGTCCATGGTGGCGAGCGTGTGCAGCAGGCCGACGCGGTCGATCTTGTCCTCGCCGAGGCCCAGGATGCCGCCGCAGCAGACGGAGATGCCGGCCTTGCGCACGTTCTCGATGGTCTTGAGGCGGTCGTCGTACGTGCGCGTGGTGATGACCTTGGCGTAGTGCTCGCGGCTCGTGTCGAGGTTGTGGTTGTAGGCCGAGAGCCCGGCCTCCTTGAGCTGCACGGCCTGCTCCTCCGTGAGCATGCCCAGCGTGCAGCAGACCTCGAGGTCCATGGCCTTGACCTGGCGCACCATGTCCAGGATGTGGCGGAACGCGTTCTTCTTGCCCACCTCGCGCCAGGCCGAGCCCATGCAGAAGCGCGTGCTGCCCGCGGCCTTGGCGCGGCGCGCCATCTCCACGACCTCCTGCACCTTCTTGGTGGGCTCGGGCTTGACGAACGTCTTGTGGCGCGACGACTGCGAGCAGTACTTGCAGTCCTCCGTGCAGCCGCCCGTCTTGATGGACAGCAGCGTGCACTGCTGCACCTCCGTCGGGTCGAAGTGCATGCGGTGCACCGTGGCCGCCTTGTACACGAGCTCCAGCAGCGGCTGGTCGAAGATGGCCTGCACCTCCTCCTTGGTCCAGTCGTGGCGCACCTCGGCCGACAGACCGGGCACCGTCAGCGCCACGGACGACGACTGGAAGCGCGCGCCAGCGGCAGCAGCAGCGCTAGAGCGGGCGGAGAGGGCGGCGAGCTTGCGGACGAACATCGTGCGGTGTAGCTGGAGCTGGAGCTGGTGCTGGGCTGGGGGTCCTGGCGGCGAGTTCGATTGTGAAACACCAGAATCGCAATGCGGGCAAAGCTGAAGTAACGCTATGAAGTCGCGGCTCTTCACGATTCACCATAAAGCAGTGGATTTTTCATGCTTTCAAACTATCGTTTGTATAATGTCAGTCGAATGCACTGGTTTATGGCATTTTGTTTGACACGCATTAAGTCGCGATATGAAGTAACGTGAAGCATCGTCAGGTGCAACACCGGATGCATCCAAACACCAAGCGGAGACCGCATTCCCAAGCTGGCGGCGAAACCTATAAGTGTTGCAATGCATTGCTAGCATTTTTAGCCTTCCTCGCTGAGGACGGAGCTGGCGGACTGCGAGAGCTCTCCATGCGGCCGAGTGCTCCACCGAAGATCGCGCTGCGTGGCCCTTCTCGCGCGCCCAGCGGCGAGTATTCACGGCGAGTGTGTTCTTCTACGTTCGCCCATGACGTCAGCGGCGTGGCCAAGCTTGCAAATCGCTGACGCTCCCGCGAGCGCGGAGCTGGCCAGATCGACGTCTTCATGCGGCGAAGGCGGCAGCGACCGACCGACACTTTGCAATTGGTGGTGCAGCGCCCCCTGCATTATGGCGAGGTGAGGTCGGCACACGTTCTGCATTGTATGCTGCTGCTTTGGTGGCCGACCGCCGGAAGATCGTCTGGGCAAGGGAAGCGGGAGCGCGGGCGGGAGCGGCGGCCCCAACTTCAAGGCGGCACGCCGGCAGCCGTCCAACGCCGCCCAACCTGGCCAGCGAGAAGGCGTCAAGCGCGACGGCGGCCGGGTGAATGTTTGGTGACCGTGAGCTGCCTCTGATCTGCTGTGAAGGTGGCGGCAACGGGGGGGGGCGCCCACGCTTTTGATGGATCCCGGTGGTGCGTGGGGGTGAGACGGTATCCGCCACTTTCCTCGGCCTCAGTCGCCGGCGCTGCTGTTGCCAAACCTGCGGCGGGGATAACACAATGACGAAGCTCTCGTCAGTATTAATAGCCCGTGGCTTTGATGCAGCTCGATTGTTCCAAGCCGCTGGGCGATAGAGATACTATACAGTACGCAGAATGGCAAGCACTAGGACGTACTACGAGCACATGATCACGAACAGCCTCAACGGCGCGACCTGGCCAATGAAGGCGAGATCGAGCAGACATATTGGGTGCATTATAACAATTTGTCAGGTTATAAAACCTGGTGATTCTGTAAGAGCAACGCGGCACTGAGGCCGCTGTCAGCAGCGTCTCCGAGAGTTGCAGCTCAAGCCACTGCTTACGCACCAAGCACGTCTTAGAATTGCTGCTTGTCTTTCGCGATATTTCTCCTGTAAGAAGGTTGTTAATACTGCAGCAGCGAACTCGGGTGCACCTGAACCCTCCTTCCTACCTTGGCACGAGGTTCACGTCTTCTCCACGATATCATGCAACTCGGCCGAACTCGATGGCTAGTAGCCATTGGCTACACATTCGGCTAGCCAGATCCATAAACTCCGCGGGGATCTTCTCACTTCCCATCTCTCTGCGCTGATGTCAAGCCACAGCGCGGACGCCGTCGACCAGGAAGAACCCGAGGGCGAGGCTCGCGTAGCGTTAGTGGCGCCAGCAGCATGTGCTACACACGTGGACTCATGTACACAAGAGCCCAATGTCTCCACAATCTCGAAAGCCTCTACCCATAATGCTAAGGATCTTTTAGCTAAAGATGAAGATGAAGTTCGCTGTGCCCTGCTCGAAGCGGTCCAAAGCGGCGACGTGGCCGTCGCCCAACTGCTTCTGGACAAAGGCGCACCCATTGACTTCGCAGACGACGGAGGTTGGACAGCGCTGATGCAGGCCTCGTGGAAAGGATATGCGGCTGTGGTTTCATGGCTCTTGCAGAGCGGAGCAAGCGTCGACAAGCGGCGGGCCGATGGGTTCTCGGCTCTTGCAACCGCCTGCGAGCTCGACACGTGGACGCTGTCCGCGCTCTTCTTGGAGCTGGTGCGGCGGTCAACCAGCAGAACAATGCGGGTAACACGCCGCTCGTCTGGGCGGCTCAGGGAGATCATTGCGGCGTGCTGCAACTGCTGCTGGACAGCGGGGCGTCGATCGATTCGGCGAACAACAAGGGCTGGACGGCACTCATGCAGGCCTCGTGGAAAGGAAACGCGGATGCGATCTCGTTGCTGCTGGAGAACAGAGCTAGCGTCAATAAACAGCGGCCGAGGGGTTTCTCCGCTCTTGCTACAGCGTGCGAGTTCGGTCATGTGGATGCAGCGCGAGCTCTCGTTGCTGGTGGTGCGGACATCGACCAGCGGGATGAAGCTGGGGATCCACCTCTGGCTCAAGCGGCTCGAAAGGGCCACAGCGCTGTGGTGGAACTCCTTTTGGATAAAGGCGCCTCGGTCGACTTGGCGAACGATGAAGGCTGGACGGCGCTGATGCTGGCCTCGTGGAAAGGGTACACGGACGTGTTTGCAGTGTTGCTGGAGAACGGCGCAAGCGTTGACAAGCAGCGGGCGACTGGTTTATCAGCTCTTGCATCTGCTAGTGAGTTCGGACACGTGGATGCTGCTCGCGTTCTTCTTGCGGGTGGAGCGAAGCGTGGACTTACCGGACGAGAGCCAAAGTGCTCCGTTGATGTGGGCGGCTTGGAATGGCCATGCGAACGTGGTTGACTTGCTGTTGGAGAGGGGTGCGGACGTGGATTCGTCAAACAACGTTGGCTGGACTGCGTTGATGAGAGCTGCTGAGAGAGGACACGCGAAGGTGATCACTCGACTACTGAAGCATTCTGCCAGTATCGACAAACCAGGCCCGAATGGTTCAACCGCGCTCAACATTGCCTGTGAACACAACCAGCTTGGAATTGTGGTGAAACTTGTGAACCACGGAGCCGATCTTGATGCGGCTGATGACGACGGGTATACTCCGCTGATCACTGCCGCGCACCTTGGATTCGCTGACATTGTTCAGTTTTTAGTGACAACAGGAGCCAACGTCAACGCACGACTGCCGAGCGGAGGCACAGCCTTACACACTGCCGTGTGGTACAAGCGGTTGGCGGTTGTTCGGATCCTTCTCGATAACGGAGCAGATATCAATTTGTGCGGAGACTTCCAGCATTGGCCAGCGTTGACGATAGCGTACATGAGTGGGTACACGGAGTTTTCACAGCTGATCCTCGAGCGTGAACGCGTCCAGGGTGCTGTCAATGAAGGTGGGCCACCTGCAACTAGAGAAATACAAAGATCCGACTCAACTTCGTCGGCGATCGACCGAAAGCTCCGTAGTGGCGACACCGCACTGCTGATTGCATGTGAGCAAGGCAAAGTGGAGGTGGCTAAACGCTTGTTGGAGTATCGTGATGACATCGACGTGCCTGATGGCAACGGCTGGACCCCGCTCATGTGTGCTGTTCAAAGTGGCAACATTGATCTAATCCAAATTCTTTTGGACGGAAGAGCGAACATTAATGCGATAAACGAAGAGGGGTCAACAGCGCTATCGATCGCCTGTCAACATGGCCACACCGACTCTGTACAGCTCCTACTCTCACAAGGCGCCAACTTTGATCTACGGAATCAACACGGTAATTCCCCGCCAATGGAAGCGGCTGAAAACGGCCATGCCGCTGTACTACGGCTGCTTCTGGAGAGGGGTTTACCTATTGATGCCACGAACAACGAAGGGTGGACAGCGCTAATGCAGGCTTCGTGGGGAGGATACACCGACGTGATATCGCTGCTCTTGCAGAACGGAGCGAGCGTCGACGCGCAGCGTTCAAATGGGTTTTCAGCACTTGCAACCGCGTGCGAGTTCGGAAACGTGGATGCTGCTCGTCTGTTGATTGACGCAGGAGCAGCCATTGATGTGCAAGATGAAAATGGTCATACGCCGCTCATTTGGGCCACCAGAGGAAACCATACTGCCGCGGTGCAGTTGTTGTTGGACAGCGGTGCATCGGTCGATATGGCGAACGAGGATGGTTGGACGGCGCTCATGCAGGCATCGTGGAAAGGCCACTCGAACGTGGTTTCGTTGCTCTTGGAAAACGGAGCAAGCGTCGATGTGCAACGTTCCAATGGTTTTTCAGCGCTTGCAACCGCGTGCGAGTTTGGACACGTGGATGCTGCTCGCGTTCTTGTAGCGGGGGGCGCGAACATTGATTTGCCGGATGAGAATGGTAATACGCCACTGGCGTGGGCAGCTTGGAATGGCGACGCTTCTGTGGTGGAATTGCTCTTGAACAGTGGGCAGCCTACATGTAAAATGTTGACCGCCCCGAGTAAAGCTACAGTGCCTACAGTAATTAATTAGTCTGGCCCAGACTAAATCTGAATAGCAGAGTTTTGTTTTCTAACAATTTGGATATGCTGGAGGAAAGTGACGGTCCGCTGTCGGAGAGCAATACAATTCAGACAATTATGAACATTCTAAAACCAGCAAACCTACTTTTCTTTTTAAAAAAATAAAAAATTACGGTGCTCTTGTGTATATATTTTGCTCATGATCACCGTAAATATCGTACAGAATCGGGGGTCTGTACATGTAGATAAGCACGTAACTTAATAGATCCCGGAAGGTGAACAAGGGGTCTAACTCAGCACACGAATTAGTCTGGCCCAGACTAATTACTGTAGGCACTAGCTAAAAGCTACCAGTAAAAGCTGAGTTAAGACAATAGGCCAACGTGTCAACAATGATGACGATGATATCGCTTTTAGGCAGAGGATACCAGCAATGATGGCCTCCATCATTGCTGGCATCATTGATGGCGCCCGGTAGCAAACTTTGCTACACCTGTTACCCCAAATGATGGGCTGTATCATGTAAAAGCAGCATAGCTCGAGTCGAGCTGCTCGACTAAGGAGTAGTGCATCCTACGCAGAGGTATTCCGCCAGCCGTTTGGATAGAAGGCACACCTCTTTCAAAAGTCCTTAGGTACGGACAAATGTGTTTGTCGGTTTTCCAAAGTTTTAAAATCGGAGTAATGACCATGCGTGGCCGTGCATAACGTGCTTCCTCAGCACACGAGGCTTAGAGCACCGATACACCAATATCAGCCCATGTCGTGCTAGCACGAGGAAACTCAGGGTTTGCTAGTGAATGTCGTTCGCGTGAGAGAATAAAACCTAGAGTTTGTTACGGCGATTAAAAAAAATACTAGAGTGTAGTATCGATTGCGGTTCACCCCTGCAATCAATTAAATAAAAAGTGATTGCGAAGCTGCACTCGTAATTCATCCTTTAGATCCTGAAGCATTTTTTTTTATCGGCTCAAAGTGTTCGCAACGTTTTCGTGCGTTACCCGGGTTCCTGAGCTGTTCGCGCCGTTCCTGAGCTGTTCGTGGTGCATGCTGCAATGTCACGTGAATGTCACGTGTTGTTGCCTCTCTTTCCCTTCGCTATTTCGGACCTTTATCGCATTTACTTCACTTTTCAAGTTGCTCCCGAGCACTTCCACAAAACCTTTGAGTGGCAATCATGCGTGATTCCTGCTTGGTGCTGCTGGCCATTGTACTCGCTACATGTGCTGAAGCTACCTCGACCAAGTGGTCACTTTTGCCTCATTCGCTCCGTTCAATGGACGCACAAGACATCGCGTCCACGAGGCTGTTGCGAGGCTACGAGGCCGCGGACAGTGTGAAGGAGAGCAGCGAAGATCGAGCGACTGGTATTAAGCTCCTTGACGACTTCTTTGAGAATCAACAGTTGAAGATGTGGGCGAAGAAGGGGGTCTCAGCTGCCAACGCTTTGAGCCTGACGAAGCTTGACGACGCAGGAAACGACATTTTCGCCAGCCCCTCGTGGAGGGACGTTGGGTTCGCTACGTGAAGATGCTCGGAGAAGATCCGGAGGTGAAGATGGCTTCGGCGTTGACCACAAAGTTCGGTGGTAGCGCTGGTCTGGTCAACAAACTGACAGCGGCAAAGGCGGAGCCAACAGCAGCAGCTTTTGCCACGAAACTGGAGAGCGCAATGATTCGTGGTTGGCTAAACCGTCGGCACAAACCCAACGAGGTGTTCACGTTCCTGCAACTGGAGAAAAGCGGCGCCAAGGCTTTCGAGACCCCTCAGTTTGCCACTTGGCTCAACTATCTCAACGCTTTCAATGAAAAGTACCCTAAGAAGAAAACGACCATGCTGCAAGTAATGAAGGCGAAGTATGCTAGCGACGAAGGGGCTCTTGCTCTGGCAAAGATGGTGGCGTCGGTGGACGACGCTGGTACACCGTGGAGCAAAGTCCTCAAAGAAGAGTTGGTGACGGGTTGGATGGACCAGCCAAATCACCCCGAAAACATCTTCAAGATGCTGAAGCTCGATGAAGCAGGGGACGGCCTCCTCAGCAGCCCGGCCTTGGCTACTTGGGTCCAATACCTGAAAGCGTTCAACAAGGAATACCCCCGTGCTCAGACGACCATGATCCAGACGTTCACGAAGAGCTACGGCGACGAAAAACTAGCGACGATGATCCAGGCGGCGAAGAAGACCCCGACGACGGAGAAACTTGCTGCAAATTTGCAAACGGCGCAGTTTAAACAATGGATGGCTCAAGGCAAAACGCCGGACGACGTCTACAAAACTGTGTTGAAACTGGAATCGACCAGTAGTCCGAATGCTGACATTTGGCGCGCATTCTACAAGGCGTACGACGAGGCATTTCCAGGGAAACTGTTTTCGTTCAAACCATAGTGTGGCATGCTTTTTTTCAGAAATATACTTTCTTCTAAAGGAAAATGACGAGTGAAAAGTGAAAGTAACAAACGTACTTGCTTTTTTCTTTTTTTTGTGATCATCAAGTTGATTGACTTGATTGACGGGAAGGGGAGAAAACAAGAAGCGAAACAAAGTTTCTTTCATTATCAAAGATTGCATTGGGATGCCAAAGGACCTGGCGAAGAAGGTGTTGAGCGTGGACGGCGGCTTGATTAGGGCGGTTAAGGCCGCCACACTCCGTGATGTGAATGCGTTCAACGCGTCGATTCGCACGAGCTCGAAGGCCGCTGCGGGCACAGACGCTCTGTACAAGGCGGATAAGGGCGTGGATGCGATGTGGCACCCTCGAGATGAATGCAGTAGCGAGTCCGAGCGTCCATGTAAAAGGCAAAAGGTGTGGGTCCAGTTGATGGACGAGAGGACCCACGACGTATTCGCCGATACCAGTCTGCAGTTGGTGACTTTGCGAGAAGACGACGGTATCATCGTCGAAGTCGCCGAAGCGGCCCAGGCATTGTACGATGAGGAGCAACCAGTAGGGAAGAATTGCCTCGGCCACGTGCTACCGTCGCAGCTGACGGTGTACTAATTTAATCGCGAGTGATAGAGCGCAAACATACAAACGCATTTACAAACAGCACTTATAGTGAGTTAGTGTATTGTGAAATTCACTAACATGTTTGCGGAGTACACTAGCTTCGAAAGTCTCTAAAATCCGATGACATCTTCCGGGTATCTCACAAAGTTCCAAAGACGTCGCCTCCTGGGTGGGCAGGACTCACGTACACAGTCTATTTTCGGTGAAATCTTGGCGTTTGTTTTGGCAGCCCATCACCCCTCAATGTGACGACCTTCCCGCAGGACGGATGTCATCCGCGGGAAATGGCTTTGCTCCGCTGCGCTCCGCAAAGGCAGTCGCTGCGCTCCTGCGATAAAAAGATTCTCTCACCTGGCGAGAACAGTGCTCGGCTCGCTGGAATGCTCGTCGCTGGGCCCGCCTCCGCAAATACCGCGCGGCATCGCTACGCGGACACCCCGCGCGGGTTTGCTGCGGCTACGCTCCTCGCAACCGCGAGCCTCCGTTGCTCTCTTCTATATCACATTCACACACCCCTCGACCCCCATAAAAAAAACTGTGTCCGTAAGCACTCCCCTCCTAGGTGAGCATGCTGTGTATCTCAGATATAGTGGAGGAACACTGTACTACATATATAAGCAATAAGTAACAGGTGATTTAGAGGAGACGCCATATCGACAACGTAGATGACGGTTTCCTGCGCCGCAGCACTTGACAAGACAAGAGTCTTGTCTTGTCCGATTCACTTCGCAATTTCCCAGCAATACCACAAGACCGCTCAAAATCACACCCCGAAGCCATGAAGTTTGCCGTTGCAGCCGTTCTCGCCTCGCTCCTAATCGCCGGAATCTCCGCTGACGAAACTTGGGCCTGCGCCAATGTCCCCTACATTAAGTGCGACCATGACAACACAGAAGTCTGCGCAAGCAACGGCGTCACCTACAAGAATTCATGCGAGTTCAGCAAGGCCAACTGCGACAACAAGGGCATGAGAGTGCTGCACCAGGGCATGTGCAATAGGAGCGAGGGTGGCCGGCGATTGAGAGACGTCGAGGCTTAACCTGTAAGGTTGGGACCGTAGCCGACTTGATGGGCTCAAAAGCCAAGCTGGGAGAGGTTCTGTCCGTCCGGGACTCTTTTGTATTCATGTGCCGTACGCATAAGGCTAGAAATAACCTTGCGATATAAATACTACTAGTTGTACTGCAATAGTACTACTAGTATTTGTTGTACTTAAGTAATTGACCGTCGTTTACGTGGCCTAACACAATGCAGATCGTGCTGGTTCTTATTCGAGATATTTGCATGATCTATAATCAAGACAGGAAAGGAAAAGACTGTGGGGGCAATTCATTTCTTCTCCTGTTTTTATCCGGCCGATGGCCACGTTAACGTAGCGAAGATTTTGTAACATGCGGTGTTAAAGTGGGCATGAATGCGCTTAATGGGGCTACCGTTCTTCGTGTCGCGTATTTGGGAAGCTACCATCAAGTGTCAAGGATCCCGGTTGAGTATGGCGCGTCTAGCACTTTGTATGCCAATGTGGCGAAAGATGCGGGTAAGCTGGTACAGTATCCAGAAAAGTATATTAATACTACGCAGTAGATCCAACACAACCCTGAGCACGTGCAGCAAGAATGCCTTAGCACGGAAAATACCCTGCGGTCTACTTCTAAGAATACTGGCATATCTACATTCGATGGATGTACATCACGTTGGATGAACAGCTGCATTCGCGCGACTACATTTAATCGCTGGAGTGTTCTTTTCGCAAAGAGACAGCTGCTACATATTTGAACTGGATGCACTTGATCTCTATACGTGCACGCTTATTATTGCTTCCTACAAGCATCGATGATATTAAAGCACAATATTACTTAAAAGCTGGTTTGGTATAGTGCGCAGACGGTCTTTGATATTCGCAGCTGTTATGGGTCTTGAGATAATTGCACCCAGTTTACGACTTGATCTTTCGTTAGATATTAATATATTCACTGGAAGTGGGCCTGCCCACTGGGTACTGCCCAGTACGCACTATCTCAATCAACCATACTCATATTATTATAGGAACTCGGATAGTAGCAGATCTAACTGCAACTGACTAACGGCTTCCCCACCCCGGCGAGATGGGTTCTGCAGCTCTCACGTTGAGGGTTCAGACAGAGTTTGGGATTTACCCTTTGAGGAGCAAGTCCTCACGGTAGAATACCAAAGAGAACTAAGCAGACTATATTATTATACGTTGGTGGCTTTGGGCGTACCAGTGCCCACTTATTGTGTGTTTGTGTGTGCGTCCTTCTTTTAGTTTTGACGTAGAGTATTACTCTACGAACGCGCAACGATGTACCCACCGAGTTAATACTTGCAAAATACCCGCCTGTACCTGACAATACCCAACCGAGTAGCATAGTATAGTAGCACCTGTATGCGTCTAATACATAAGGCAAATACCTGATCCAGCTGTATCCGAATCCTGCCCCAGCTGTATTCAAATAAATACCCGACCGAGTATTCAGATATCTTGGTTACCATGTGCTCGTAATGTGAATACTGTACGTTGTTATAATACTTGTTAGTATTCAAACATACCAAATTCTGGTAGCTTGAGCACTTGCTCCACAGTTTGCTATCATCATGCTTGAGCACACAAAGAATGTGACGCTGCGTCAATGACTTGCCGGATCAACCTAATATCAACCGGATATGGCACTGATTGAAGCAACATTGAAATGTTGGCGTTGCGTAACATTGAGCGCAACAATGGTGCCTCTGCCTAACATTGCACAATGTTACGGTATCTCTCGTAGCAGAATATTTGGTTTACCAATGTGACAATAGTGGACACGCGTCGCCGACAGCTCGACAGCTCGACAGCTCGACAGCTCGACAGCTCGACAGCGAAGCACGCTGTATCACTCGGGGCGTGCGCCAACAGCTTCCGCCGCTAACGCGGCAAGCGCGTCATGGTGTACGCGCCGAGTCGGCGCCGCCGACACATGCAGCAGGAGAATGGGCTCTACGGGATCTACGCGCAGCTCTACCTGGGCGCCACGTGTTGTATATTCCTAGTTGGCAGGACACTCTCGCGTTGGCTTTCGCCTGCGGACTTAGCGACGGCACTTCGGGGGGGGGGCGCCCCTCTCTCGCTTCGCTCGGGGGGCGCCGCTGTGCGGCCTGCCCCACCCCCTCGTGCCTTACGCTAAGTCCTCGGCTCGGCCAGGCGCGGTGTCTAGGAAAAAAAATATCGGGTTGCAGCGCTCGCCTTCGCTCGCTCGCGCAGACCCGCCCCCGCCTGATCGGCGGGTGTTGACGATCGGTGAACGCGCTCAGCGAGGCTCGCGCTCGCGTTCGCTCGCCCTCCCCCTTTTACCTAACTGCGCTGTTGGCTAGAGGCGCATTAAAAGCGCTTAGGTCTGCTTAGAAGGTAGCGCATTCGATTGCATGCAACACGCATCGCACCTGACGCAACGCAACGCACTGGGAAGGCGTTTGCTCTCGCATACGTAGTACACAAATGCATATAAGCACCGCAGTAGGACATGCACACATTAGAATAAGGTTGAGCGGGTGACCGCTGCAGACGGTCGCACGACGCGGAGGCGGAGCGAGCGCGCGGGCGTTTGCTTCCTACCCGGTAGATTCTGAAATGAGAGCTGTTGTGAGCCAGTCGCTCCAACATGAAATTTCACGTCTGGAAAATTTACATTGCGTCAATGTTAGCGATCATGCAACATTGGACCCCATCAATGTTATTGATCCCACACATTGAGGCTGATTTTCAATGTTGCTTTAATGACTCTCACCGGGTATTCACAATGACGCTAATAAAATGGCCTCAATCTAGCTAACGATTGGCCAAAAATAATAGATATACGTAATCATGTCGTACTTAATGAGATCTTAATATATCATTTTGAATATTAGTATTGTTATTAATATTACTTTTCCAAAGGCTTCAAATATCATATATTATTTTATATATCAAAACCATAAGTGTCGATATTATATCAATACCATATTGCCCATTTTTGAGTTAACATTAGCCCCTGTGTACATGTATGGATGCTTACAACAGTCTGGCGTATTTGGGGACCCGGATCGCCTGTACGAAGACAAAATCGCTATCAAATCCTGCCGTTGAACATACAATGCCGAGGAAGACAGTCAGGCTGTATTTTGCTAGAAACTCCGCACCTCATCGTGTCCCAAAACGAAGCACCATGAAGTTTGCCGCTGCTCTCATCGCCGCTGCCATGATCGTCAGCTTCTCCGCTCAATCGTCGGGCAGCACGTGTATCCTGGACTGCCCGTCCACGTACGGGCCTGTTTGTGGGGATAATGGCGTGACGTACCCGAACGAATGTGCGCTGGATAACGGCAACTGCCTCCTCACCAACGGCGACTACATCTTCACCAAGTCCCAAGGATCGTGCTCGAAGTGAGCACCCACTGGTTGAAGCTCAAAGCCAGCGCTCATCCGCACTGATAAGCGAGACCAATACATCAGCTCGGTTGTTTCAGCCCACTGCGATGTTGTATTTTACACCAATACTTGCCCTTCTAAGACTGGCAATACCTTCTAAGAATGGCCTAGAGCTACTGTACTAATGAGTAGGCCCTCAGAAATTAGACACGAAATCAATATTCTACATTTCGGTACTCATTTATGTTTTGTTTTCGAGTATTTATTGATTGATCCGGGTTTAGCTATTTTCGGATAAAGTGTTTCCGACGACGGATAAAATCCGTCCAACCAAATTATCCCAAGATAAAATCTCGCCGTCGGAAAGCTTCCGACGACGACGAGGACACCACCACCAGAACCCCTTCAAGATGGACACGTAGAGTTGAATCGGTGCTTGCCGACGGCGGCCAAACTGTCGGAATAATACCACGGTACAGTACATACAGTATAAGCTCGCCCTGCAGTGAAGCTGTTCCGACGACGAGCTCCGAAGGCGCGGCACAACACCACCAGAAGTTCTGGTTCTGGCAGAACCCCTTCAACATGAACACGCACAGCTCCCATCGAGTGGATCTTAGCCGACGACGCTGAACCGTCGGAAAAATGCCACAGTAAGCTCGCCGTGCACGGGGGTTGTATCCACCGCGACGGCACCAGTGCACCGCTGTCCAATGCTCATTTCCGAATCCGCCTCCTTCCAGACGCACCTCGACACCAACTTCACAATGGCTGGTGCCGCGACCGACTCGCCTTCCAACAAGCGTCCGCTCAGTATCGAGACCGACAAGAAGAATGACGCCGCCCGCATCCCGGTGACGCTGCTGTCGGGTTTCCTGGGCAGCGGCAAGACGACGCTCCTGCAGCACATTCTCAAGAACAAGGACCACGCGCTGCGCGTGGCGGTGATCGTCAACGACATGGGCGAGCTCAACATCGACGCGGACCTCGTGGCGTCCGCCGGCGTGCTCCAGCGCGAGGAGCAGCTCGTGCGTCTCGAGAACGGCTGCATCTGCTGCACGCTGCGTGTGGACCTGCTCGAGCAGATCGCGCGCATCGCCCAGCAGGGTGAGGTCGACTACATCGTGATCGAGAGCTCGGGTATCAGTGAGCCCATGCAGGTGGCCGAGACCTTTGTGTTTGAGCTGCCTGAGGGCGCCGAGGAGGCGTACGCTGCGATGAAGGAGGATGCCGCTACGTCTCCGAGCAGCTCGAAGCGCTCCCGCACCGAGTCTGAGGTTTCTTCGGCCGACGAGGCCAGCGCCACCGCTGGAATTCGCTCCGTTCAGCTGGACGAGCTGCTGGTGCGTGGCGACGAGAAGCTGCCGCTGCTGCGCGACATTGCGCTGCTGGACACGTGCGTGACGGTCGTTGACGCGGCCACCTTCTTCCACGTGTTTGACGACCCGCGCATGCTCGCGGACGTGGAGGAGAACCGCAGCCAGCTCCCCGAGGGCGACACGCGCACCATCACCGACCTTCTGATCGACCAGATCGAGTTCGCTGACATTATCCTGCTCAACAAGACGGACCTCGTGCCCACCAAGGACGTCGAGGCTATCGAGAAGGTGCTGCGCCGTCTCAACTCGTACGCCAAGATCGAGCGCACCGTCAAGGGCCGAGTGGACCCCAAGATGATCCTCGGCACCGAGCTCTTCTCCTTCGAGCGCGCGTCCAAGCAGACGGGCTGGCTCGAGTCGCTCACGGTGCCGCACACGCCCGAGACCGTCGAGTACGGCATCGGGTCGTTCCTGTACAAGGCTTCGCGCCCGTTCCACCCCGCGCGTCTGACGGGCATCATCCAGGACGAGTTCGTGATTGTCGAGGCGCCGACGCTGCCCCCATTCCCGTCCGACGACGACGATGGACATGATCACGATCACGAAGAGGAGCAAGAATACGAGCAGGAGGAGGAGTCTGCTGAAGGAGACCAGGAGATGGAGGAGGAAGAAGATGGTGAGCCCCTGGGTGAGCAGGAGATCGCCAAGCGACTCGAGAGCAAGCAGAACGGCCTCTTCAAGAACCTTCTGCGCAGCAAGGGCGTCTTCTGGCTCGGCACTCGGCCCTACAACTACGCCACGTGGTCCCAGGCGGGTCTGTACTGCACGCTGGCCAACGGCGGCATGTGGATCGCCGCTCTGCCCGAGGAGGAGCGGACGCGCACGATGAAGGAGCTGCCCAACTACAAGGAGCTGATGGCGCGGGAGCACGGCGACCGTGGCCAGGAGCTCGTCTTCATCGGTCGGTTCTCCCAGGAGGACAATGAGATCGCCAATATCCGCGCGGCACTCGACTCGTGTCTGCTCACGGACGAGGAGATGAAGCAGTACAAGGCTGGCGACGTCGAGGAGTGGGAAGACCCCTTTGAGCCCTGGGAGTACTACACCTTCGAGGACTAAAGCGTTAGTGTTAGGCTCAAAAGTAATGTACCGCGTAGAATGTTATTGATGATATCGGTTTGATCGATTCCGTTTGATCCTCTCAAGTGATGTTGGCTAGCTTGCAAGGGAGCATTGATGTTACAGTGTAAAGTTGCTATTGGAGTATGGAGCGGCTGTCTGTCGGCTTAGTAGAGCAGGATGGATTGACGGCCTCGATGCGGAAGTGGTGCAAATGTTGCGTAGATGTAGAAGATGCGATACAAAGGTGGTTAATTCACAAGGCTATATGCACATATATTTCTGGTGAATGGAGCGATTGGACACTTGCAACGTCCGCGAAGTGAATCCTCTTCCTTTTACGTGATCTCACGCAGCGTTATCCCAAGATTTTCATCACTTGTACATGTGACGCAAGCTGGAATTGTAGCCACCTTCGTAGGCGTCCGCCGTACCCAAGAAAGTGTACTGCTCGTAGGTTGGCGGTGTCAAATTGAGCGGCGGCATCTTCTCCAGACAAGACTTTTCCAGTCGCTTCAAGTCTCCTGCATTATTGATGAATGACTCGAAGATCTCCATGCCGCACGTTTTACTCGAGTAGTCATTGTCAACGAGGAATGTCCAGACAACCGATCCGTGCACGGTGTAGTTAAACGTGACCAATTCCTTGTTGTCCCCTTCAAGCGCATCCAACAGATACTCGGCGTATTTGTGGGGCGTCTTGGCGTCCATTTTACTGCTCAATAGTAGCACGCTGGCGTGACTGGGAATTGCGACGGTCTTGTTCCAGTATTGGTCGTGCTCGTACATGATCGCGTTTGCGTCGTAGTTTCCGACGCCCAAATCATTGCACCACTGGGACTTCTCCTTCGAGAAGGCATAATACACCGAAGCTTGCTTGTACACGGATCCATCCGACAGCTTCGTGCTGGCAACGCGTGCGTTCATCTCATCAACCGACGGTCCTGGAATCTCCCACATCTCGGAGAAGCAATGACGTAGAACAGCAGATTCGAGTAGTACGGGTCGCTCTGGCCCATGTAGTTGCGGTCATCGTTCAACACGTCGAAGAAGTTGTTGATGACATCGATATCCTCAGACGCACAGCGACTCAGTCGGTAAACAAGCGGCGGAATCAGAGATCGCTGCTTCGGACTTGTCAATATATACCCCAGAGCCTCCCGTAGCTTGAAAGACGGCTCTAAGTTGCTCCATTCGCTAGTTTTACTGTTCACCAGCGCAGCACATGTGACGTTTGGGTTTTTGTCGAATTGATCCAGGACGTTTCCAAGCGTGGTGGGCAAATTGTGCCTCGAAAAATGGGAGCTACAGACTCGATCCTGGTAAAAAAAAAAGCCCAAGAAGCAGAGGTCGGAAAACAATATTGCAATACAGTAAATAATTGGGGTTTCCAATAAAAATCTTTATTATTGGACGCCCCCGGTTCCAATACAATATCATATTGACCCAATTATTGACAATAAATATGATAAAAGTCCTCTGGCATAGGATTTTGACTGATGATGTTAAATTCTAGTTGCTAGAGGCGTGAAACACTTACTTAAATGCCACATTCGAGTAGCGGCTACATATAGTTTTTTTTCCTTGAAGACTGTATTGTCACTTAGCTACCAGTAGCTTACTACTCCTGTCTACCACCAACTAACGACAAAGCAACCTGGCCCCGCTTGTGCTAGAAACGTCACGTGCAGGGTGGCCCTCCGATTGCGGAGAGTCCGATGAAAATCTAAAGCACGACCTCAGAGAGGACAGGTGATCGATCTCGCCACCCACGAGGTTCGGCAGGCACAGGGCACGGGCCCTGCACCTACCTGAATGCGGCCGTAGTAGCCGCTGTCCCCTACATATAGTATTTGCCTGACCTATAAAAGTCCGGTATACTATTGGTGAGCTCGCCGATAGAAGCAGGTTTGAGCAAACTAACAGGACACCGGCCTCTATCATAGTACTGCAAACATGCAACTTGTTACTACGCGTAAATTGAACCTCAGGTTCACAGTGAAGCCTTCACTGTTAAAGCTTGAAATCAAAACAAAGTATGATACTAAATTGTTTGTTTCGAGCGCTGATGATGTTGTCCTCGGCATGGATGAAGAAGGTGAGGACTCCCCACCTTCTCCCCCCTCTAAATCGATAACATAGGATGTTCTATGCTCCAATACAATATAAATTACGGCAATATTTATTATTGTTTGTCAAAGAATTGTAATATTTATTAGGGCTTGACAATGATCTCAATACAATATGATACGGTATTGGCGGACCTCTGCCAAGAAGTGCTCCCCCCCCCACCTCACCGAAAGCGGTCTCATCCGTTGAAAAGTATGCGAACTCGTCCTCCGATACTCCTGACACGTAGGAAATGCCGTCCATCACGTACCCGACAACCTCGGGAGGGTCCAGATGCATGAGGCGCTCAACCAACGCCGTGCCGTAGCTCACCCCGAACACGATTGTGGTCGCGCCATTCGTGTACTTGGAGATGAGAGTCGCCAGATCAGTAGCGGCGCTTGTGATGGAGAAGCCAGCGAAGTTAGAGTACTTGAACGACAGCGACTGGGCACAAGCAGCTACTTCGGTAGCATCGATTTCACTGCCTTGTGGGGAACCGGGTGTTTGTACTTGTGCAGTGTCCCGTTGAGCTTTGCGTGCAGAGAAACCATCACGAACTCCACTAAAATGTTGCATTAAACGACGAACAAGGTAAGTTTAGTGCCAAAGTCCCCCAAGAAACAGCGTGGAATGATACTAACCGTCGGGTGAAGGTTGCCCCGTCCCACCTGGCACCAGCCAGACGTTAGTAGCTTTAGCGGCGTTGACGCCGACCGCCGGTAGACGCTTCACGAAGATGTCGATCATCGGGTCGGAAGTGCTGCAAATACCAGGGTAGCACAATGGCGCGGTGTAGATAGCGCACTCCGCCTTCTGGCCGCGAGAAGTCCCGCCGTCCGAGAAGGTGAAGTCGGTGCATGAGTACCATACCTGTTACACAACGATTCGGTTGGCGCCGTGCTGGCTACTGCGGAGGCTTGGGTAAACGCTATTGCCAACACGATGGCATGGCGAAATTTCATGAGGGAAGCGAGCCGCTGAGTGCGTTGTTGTACGAAGCTGGTGGAATCGGAAATGAAAGCATGGCGTCGTTTACTGCTGCCGGCCAAAGCGCGAGATCGTTCTGTTGATTTGACAGGAAGAGAGACATTGCATGGCATTGAATGTATCCTGAAAACCCATTCGAGCTGTGCGAGTTTCCTTTATTGCAAGCTTGACGCTTTGATTTACTCCTACGCTGTGGGCGTTGTGATCAGGAAAAACACTCACATAGGTACCAAATGCTATATGGGCATACTGGGCCATAGTTGTCATTTTCGAACAGACAACCGGCATGCCGCCAGCTTTCCACTGTTTTTTTGTTGATGAAAATCGAGACACTCTAGACCGAAAATCCTACTATATATTGGGACTTTCAGGAGTATCATCAAGGAAAAACGGAGTAAACCGCGATGGCGAAAGAAGCCAGAGTAGGCATAACGTAAATTCGATGACCAAACCGAATTGCTGTGATCAATAGCGAATGCGACGTGCTCCACAGATGCAAGCCTCCTCTTCTATTACGTGTGTTCGGTCTTAGTTTCACCTTCTGTACTGTGCTACGGGGTCCAGCCAGTGTTGGACCCGAGGTTGAATTTGCCGAATCTCGCTGCTTGTACTGTAGCCATGAGATCGCAGAAGAAATCGCAGCCAAGTCCATTAGGGGGTTTCAATGTAACCATTAAACTTGAACGACGTTATGTTGGGTCCAAAAGATACGTCTAGGCGTCTTACTGCACGCGATTAAAAGTTGCGTCATGTTCATAATTTTTGGTGTTGAGGTATCGGCTAGCTCGGCACGTCAAGCGCTGGACGCGCCGTTTTCGATCAGGATTCTGGCCACATCTTGGTGCCCTGCCAAATACGCGACACTGAGAGCATTGTGCCCACTGGGAGCTTGTTTGTCAACGCTAGCACCAGCTTGCAGCAGAGCCTTCACTACGTCAGCGTGGCCTTTGAACGCAGCAATCATCAGTGGCGTCTGGCCTGCTCCATCGGCCAAATCCACGGATGCCCCCTTCTCCAGCAGCAACTGTACCAATTCAACGCACCCTGCTGACGCTGCCCATAACATTGGGGTAATGCCGGCTCCATTCGGTAAGTCTACGGCTGCACCCCCGTCGAAAAGGACCCGTGCAGCTTCCACATACCCACTCTCACATGCAACGCTCAACGCAGTTGAACCACCGGAAATCTGCTTGTCGACGTCTGCGCCCCTCTCCATCAACAACGCTATCACGCCGATCTGGTTGTAATGAGCGGCTCGGATCAAGGGGCTAACGCCGCTGCAGTCCAGATTTTCTGGCCCCGCGCCACTGTCGAGAAGTACTTGAACAACATCCCGTGCCCCAACTGGCATGCCGCTGCCAACGCTGCAACGCCTTGTGGGCCTTCCACTGCTGCTCCCTTTTCCAGAAGCAGCTCTACGATAGGAACGAAGTTATTTTGCGCCGCATACGCAAGCGCAGAACATCCTTCGTTGTTCTCCGAATCGCTGAGCGCCCCAGAGTCTAAGAGCAATTGGGTCACCTCAATACGACCGTGCTGAGCCGCGAGCATCAATGGAGTGCAGCCCGCTTCACTTGCCAAGTTCACCGATGCGCCGAACTTAATAAGCAGTCGTGCGACTTCGACGTTTCCATTGTGGCAAACTGCAAACAGAATCATCTCTCCGTCACCAATTTCTCTGTTAGCCTTAGCTCCGTTTTCCAATAGCCTTTCACCACGTCAATATGGCCAAGTCCTGCAGCATAAACCAGCGGAGTGAGACCACCGTCGTCGACGCAGTCGACTGACGCACCTCGGTCAAGAAGCAGCTGGACAACAGCCGCGTGGCCACTTTGGGCTGCCACGGACAATGGTGTCCTGCCGTGCTCATTCTTAAACTCAACATCCGCTCCACTCTCAACCAGCAACTGGGCGATCTCCACGTGTCCAGCTTCGCACGCTACGACCAGTGCAGTCGTCTGGACCGGAAGTATCCGGTCAACATCCACCTCTTGTTCAAGGAGCGCCTTCACAACATCGATATGGCCGTTTATGACGGCTCCACCCAATGCAGTGACGCCCTCGTTGTTAGTTCGATCTGGTAAGGCTCCATTCGCTAGAAGTAACTGGAGAACAGCCGCGTGGCCACCCACGGCCGCATGCATGAGCGGTGTCTCGCCCTCTTCGTCCGTCGTCTCGACTGATGCACCGGCATTAAGGAGGAGTTGAACGACATCGCTGTGCCCCGACCCACACGCAACCCCCAGTGCTGACACTCCATTCGCTACTTGCTTGTCAACGCGCGCCCCTTTCTTCAACAGGAGCTCCACAACATCGGCACGGCCTTTCAACGCTGCCAACATCATGGCTATCAACCCCGTGTCGATAGTATACTCAATGGATGCCCCCTTTTCCAGAAGAAGCTCGACAACTTCCGTGTGACCAGCGTCAGCCGCTAATATCATCGGTGTAGCTCCCTCGTCGCTGGCTAAGTCGACTGTAGCGTGCTCGTCAATGAGCAGCTTTGCGCTCTGCAAGTGTCCGTAGCGACAAGCGGTTCCCAGCGCAGTGTCCCCATCCGCGCACGTGGCGTCTACGTCTTCCACTGTCGCGAGCAACAGCTTCACTACGTCGATGTGGTTGTGCTCGATTGCGCCGACCAGCGCCGGGTAGCCGTCGTTGTCTATCCGGTCAATGTAAGCCCCGAGATCAACCAGCACCGTTACGATAGCCGCATGACCACACCTAGCGGAGCGGACTGTAACCTTCGTGGTCTTCAACGTCGATCTCAGCCCCAGAGGCGGCAAGTACTCGAGCCATCTCAGCGTGGCCCAGCTCGCACGCCAATCCTAATGCGGTTTCCCCGGTCGGCAACTGCTTGCGGACGTTCGCTCCTGTCTTTAGCAGCACTTACGACATCGAGGTGGTTCTGCGCTAGAGCTTCAACGGTCTTGGTACATGCCAGCCAGCCTTGAAAGCTTGTATTAAATTTCCGGTACTTTCATATCCCCTCGTTCTACCTCAGAACCGTCCGAAGGGGTAGTTCCGAATAGCGCGACGTCGCAGGTAGTAGAAGTAGAGTCCCCCTACCAGCGCGCCGCTGAGGTGGGCCACATGGCCGATGCCGTCCTGCTTGTCCGTCGCGAACGAGTACGCGTCCTTGAAGATAAAGAGCGATCCGCCCAGCCACGCGGGCATGGGCACAATGCCAAAGAGCAGCAGCGTCCCGTGACGCTGCACTGGATTGACGCCAACTGGAACCTGCGATCCGTCATCATAGGATTCATACGCGCGGAATACCCCCATACTGGTGTTCGGCTAGCTGACCACCTCCTTGACGTTGTGAAATCCATGGATGGAACGCTTCTACACACTATCTGGGCGATCACTACCGACAATGCTACGAACAATGCAAGCATGGTGCGGTCGATCAAGGCAAAGCTGCCTCATGAAGTTGAAGCGCACGCTGAAGCGACGATGCCGTCGTCAGCTGCTGCCATGACGGCTGAATCAAGCGCAATGCTTTCCGAGCCACACGATGTCTTTCAAGTGCGATGTCTCGCACATGTATTGCAGTTGGCTGTGAAAGAAGGCCTAAAGGTGTGCTCCATCATAGACACGAGTATTGGCCATATTCGAGATGTACTGAAGAAGCTGACGGAATCGATTGCGCTGAACGAAGAGCTGAAAAGGGCGTGCAAGGTGTTGAAGGTAACCTTTCGTCAGCCTGAACTCGACTGCGTTACTCGTTGGAATAGCACCTGGGAAATGGTGCTGTCAGCCATCCACCTGCGCAAGCCGATTGAGGAACTGCTCCACCGCATCCGTGAAGGTCACGAAGGTTACACGGACTACGCCATCAAAGCCGACGACCGGCTTGCTTATTCTCTCGGAGACGAAGCCTGGGCAATGCTGACCGAGTTCTGCAGTTTCCTCACACCCGTAAAGGCCGCAACTACCATGATGTCTGGAAAAAACTATCCAACCTTTGGCATGGCTGTGGTCGTCTTTACGCTCATCTCCAATCACGCTGCCAAGGTGGCGCTCCATGCTAACTCCAGCTTCACTGCAGACTTCGCGACGGTATTCAAGTCGAAACTAGGCGAGTACACGGCGCATGTAAAGAGTCGCGAAGCTCAGATAGCCGCTGTTTTGGATCCACGGGCAAAGTCACTTCTCCCAAGCATAGTTGACGACATGGGTACCATCCGGCAGTACGTCTTGGACGAGTATGGCTCATCCTACAAAGCCCGATTCGAGCGCCAGCAACAAGAGGCAAGCAGCCCTCGTCTCAGCCAGCAGGAAGAACGCGACGCTGCACTTGGAGAGGCGTTATTCCAGCTGATCGACGACACGTTCGGGTCTGACGAGCCTGCCAGCTTCGAAGGAGAATCATTCGCGTCAGAGCTGGACCGTTGGATGGCTCATCGCGACAAAACAATGAGCTCCAAGACGAGCAGCCACGAAGTTTGCGCGTGGATGAGAAGCTTGGACCAGTTCCAAGAATTCAGCTCATGGCGCGTGACTTTCTTGCTGTCATGGCGACTTCAGTTCCTAGCGAGCAGGCTTTTTCAGCAGCTGGTACAACAGTGAGCAAACGACGCGCACGCCTCGGTGACGACGCCGTCACAGCCATCTCTGAGCTGCAATCGTTTCTGGATTTCAACGAAGCAACTCTCAAACTTGAAGCCGACGGGACCAGCGAATAGTCATTACCCACGCATCACCTCCATAGGGACCCATATCAAACCAAATACACGCTATTGATTCATCATCCCTCCAGTGCAATTCATTTCGACGACTCTGCTGTAGGCGAGGTTCGGTTCGAAGCCGTCTAGACTCAATAATTCTATCGTGAAGCCTTCGTTATCCATAGTTCTGCGCTGCAGAATCCTCCCGAAATCCACGGCTACCACATGCGAGAACAAGATGACTGTCGACCAGTTCGACCTCGTTCCTCTCGCGCCGACCGTGCTACTGGCCAGAGCTCGTGTGGTCCTCGAGTTCAACTTGAGCTCTCCAAGTCCGGGCCATCCTCCAATCGACTACATAATATGTAGCACATATCCAACAGATCCAGTCCATTCCAGCTGCCCACAAAGTCGGCCCTATTCATGATCACGGGCGGGTTGTCGACGGCGGAGCTGCCAGCGTCCGCGAACGCCCGCATCGAGTACACCGACATGGCGCTCGTGAACCACATGAACAAGCAGCACCCGTTCCACGCGCCTCGAACTCGTACGAGTCTGTACTCCAACTGGAAGCATAGTTTTGGTCACAACTTCCAGTCTGCCCTTCAAGTAAAACGCCGATGTCGCCCACGAGTTTTAGACGGCCGCCAACAACGTCACGAAGCTCGAGCAAAGCCCACATTTCTGCACCGAAGGAGACGGCCACCCCACGCACTAAGTCACCGACGTGCTGTGCGCACCCCCAAGTTCGTCGCCGTCGGAAGGGTTGAAATCTTCACGCAGCAGAGTCCTCTGCCCTTCTAGAACAGGGGCACTTGCGTCTTAATCACTTGCGTCTTAATCAAGTGTAAGCTTGTACATCAATAGCTCCACATAGGCTAAGCCTTTGTCGTGAACTGCAACTGCATCTAGTCCTGCGCTTCCACAACTTATGGGCTCTTCGTTCCCTCGTGTATGTTCTCGAAGTACGAGAACTCCAAGTACTCGTGAGAACCGCATAGTCGCCAGATTCAGGGGCTACTGGTTCACCAAAAGTGCGCCGTAATGGACTTCTGTTTCTTCCGCACCATCTCGAGGATGAAGAGACCGGACGTCGTGCGCAGGTGAATACCACCAGGGCACCTGGTCTCGCGATGACCAGGGCTCTGCCGGGGTTACCATGGGTATGGACCGCTACCAGGAGTCCTCGGTTGGTCGAACCCAAACGCCATCGGCGCCTGCTTCATCATACCATACTGCACCTAGCGCAGGAACGCCACCACAGGGCTCGCATTCACCTCCTCTTGAATCGACCGTGCCGGTCTCCATCTTCGAACCAGCCTCTTCACGGCACAGCACGACCGAAGCCTCCACGAAGCTCAGTGAGTTGATGGACGCGTAATGCTTCTTCGCCGTCAGCTCAAACGACAAGAGGTCACAGACTCTCACCGAGGCCTCGGCAGCAAGCTTCAGCCATGACTTCGCCTTCAGGATCTCCACATCCTCCTGGCGCTTGGTCACGAAATCGTCCGTCGGCTTGTCGATCAAAAACATCGGCTCAAAGTCATTGAACGATCCGCGGATCAGGAACTCGCTGTGCAGCTCCACCAGCGGCAACAGCACCTCCTCCAGTTGCTCGCCCACCGTCTTGCGCGAAATGAGGACCACCGTGCACGTTCTTGCCGCTGGCGATGATGGGGAGACTGCCGACGTTTGACATGCTCACGAATCGTGAGCATCGTGAGTCACGATGTCGTCGTCAGGCAGGAACGTCGCGGACGCCTTGTGCAATGCCAGCAGCTTGTACGTGTTTCAGGTGCACCAGGTGCACCAGGCCCAGCAGGTTGGCCTTCACCTCCTTCGTGAACACCGACCGGATCTGCGGACGCCACGGCACGATCGTCACGAAGTCGGCGGGGGCACCCTCCTCGTCCTTGCTGGCCCTCAGCGTGGATCGAGCATGGCAGCTCAGGGTAGTACTGGAACGTCATCTACAGCGCCACGACGCCAGTCTTCCGCCAGGCGAACCTCGTTCACCACAACGGCAATCGACGCCTCCTTCTTCGTGATCTCAATTACGGGGCCCGAGATGTCGATGGGGCTGTCGAACACGCGAACACCGGCGACATCGATCACGTACTTATGGCCGCCGGAGGGAGAAGACGCACCGGGATCACAAGCCGCATCTTCTTCTCCACGACGTGAGTTGACAGGATAAGCGCCTCCAGCCAGTCCTTGTCGCGCACGGACGCGGCGAGCGCCGCAATCTACTCGTCAGCAGACAGAACGGTGTCCTCCTCAGTGGAGATCGACACCTCCACACTGCCTTCGCTCTTCGTGACCTCAGCACCGGCGATGTCCACAATCGGCTTGGCAGCAGCAACCGGTGCGGCAGCAATCGCACCGCTCTCCTTCACGACGTTGATGAAGCCAGTATTGATGCCTCCCTGAATATCCACCTCGGGCTCGTCCACCTCCGTGCCGTAGCGGACAGCCACGGGGTCCTGCAGGATGAACACGCGCTGCTCGTCGGACTCCCGACACCGAATCCAATTCCTCCGAGTACCACAGAGAGTCCCATCTTGAACCTTGTCCTGGATTCCGTGTCGATCGCAGGCACGAAGTTCACCGGCTTGCCACCCATGCGGCACAGCTCCAGGAAGAAGTCGCAGTCCGGCACCGACATCAGCGTCGACACCGTCGCAGGGTACTTCGCAATGAATGCGCTCAGCGTTTCGCGCGGGTTTGACTTGAGCTCCGACTGGTCAAACAGTGCGCCAGCGCTCTCGTGACGGAAACGCTCCTCCGTGCGCGTGATGAACTTGCTCACGCGCGAGACGTACGTGTCGTTCCACCCAGCGCTGCGGCTTGACTTCCACCTCCACGTAGGTCAAGTCGACCAGTCGCGTCAACACGTCTCCGTACGACATCTCCTCCAGCTCCGTCGGGACAACCTCGCCGGTCTCGACGTTGCGCTTACAGCCGAAGTAAGGCTTCTGGTAGTCCGCGTTCAGGTGCGCGATGATGTCCTGCTTGTTCAGGCGGAGCGCCAGCTCCACCTGTTCGCGCGGGATCGAGAAGTACTTGTCGTTGAACTCCTTCCACAGCAGCGCGCAGCGGTTGGCCACCACGTGGATCGGTTCGCCCAGCTCCGATGTCACCGTGACAACGTCGCCCACGACGCCCGTGTAGCTCGTCTCCCACTCCAGCCCCGACTCGATACCAGGAGTGTCCACCAGCAGCTTCTTCACTGCCGGCGCGGTCGCAGCCTCCTTCGCGACCATCACGCGAGAGCCCATCAGGATACCATCCGCAGGCTTCTTGTGCAGGTGGCCGCGCGCCAGACTCCACTCGCCCGTGAGGTACTGCTTCGAGTCCTCCCAGTTGCCGAAGCCAGAGCCCACCAGCAGCAGCACGTTCGACACGCGACGGATGGCGGCGTACGTCTCCTCCATCGGCTGGTGGAAGGCGCTGGTATCCCAACACAGGAGCGTGCGCTTGAGATGATGTCGCAGATGGAGGCCGTTGACATCAAGGTGGTGTGCTTCAAGACCGGTTCGGTGGACGGTATCCACGCGGTGCTGAAGATTGCCGCGGTGATGCCGTCGATGACCGTGATGCTGCCGTGGACTGGCGGCCGCGCTGGTGGCCACCACAGCTTCGAGGACTGTGGCGCATACGAAGAACCATGGGGAACTGGAAGCCTCACTGCTTCGCGTTCAGGTACAGCATGTTGATCGCGATGCCAAGACCAAGCTTTATCTTCGACACCAGCTCGTTCACCGCGTCCTCGAAGATGTTCGGGCGCGACAGGCCACCCGCCGCAAGCTCGCCGTGGAAACCCGCGTTCTGGATTGCTGCAACGAGGTCAATACATTCCAGGCTCGTCGTGGGCTTCATACCCGCGACCATGATGGGGGGCTTGTTCAGCGCGTGCGTGAACCTGTTGCAGAGCCCGCCCGACGCAGTCACATGCGGGCCGAACTTCTTCGCCCACATCAGGCTGTCCTTGATGGCGCACTTGACACGCTCAACGTCCTGGACCTGCTTCGGCTTGGCCTCAGTCAGCAGCTGTGTGTGTGGAAAGGAGCCAACAGCGGCAAGTACGACAGCGAACCCGTGAGTGCAGGATGCGCATCTGGTTGGCGTCGGTCTTCGCGAATAGGGCCTCCAGCGCCTGCTTCAGCAGCGTCAGCGTAGCCGCGAAGCCGGTCATGTGCATCATGGTGCGACGCTTGGCCGCCTCGATGACCTTGAGCACGTGTTCCATCTTGCGAACGCTCTCGACCAGCATCGGGCCGGCATCCGCGACCTTCTTTCAGCTGCGCGCAAATGAGTCCGAGGGAGGCCGGTCGCGAGCCCTCGCGCTCGCTGTGGCGCCAGGCGCTGCTCTTGCTCTCCAGTCCCGCGATCCTCAAGAAGAACGCTCGCGGGGAAGCGCTCGGGTGAAGTCGTAGGGCCAACAGGGCGAGCGAAAACCTGCAGGAGCCGCAGGCGTGCGCAGGTAGTGTCAGCTGCAGTCCGAGTCGACCCCTTGGGATGGAGTATCAAACGTGTATGAGGATAAAGAGAGCACATATCTTATTGGTTCTTAATCGCTTGTTTTAAGCCAATTAGATGCTTCTGAGGACCTTTCTATATGAATCCACCTCTATTTATGATCTGGACTATAAGCTATTACAAAAGGTTTTACCTTTGTAATCACATATCGACGAGCGGATCCAATCGACTCGGAGTCGGCGTCGATCGGAATCAGGCGATTCACTGTCGGATCGGGTCAAATTAGTCAGACGAGGCATCCCGTTGATCCGATTGGGTCGATTTAACACGCCTATACCTTAGAGCGTGTTCGCCAGGTAGCTGGAGATGGAGATGGCCTCTCATCAACTCTATTTCTTGTCTTTTGATTGGTCAAAATAGTTTAGTTCACAACGTGACAACTGGAGAATTACGTCGTCTCCTTCTCCAGCTCCCAGAGGTGGAGAAGGAGAAAGTAGCTGGAGATTGAGGCAGTTCAGCCGCACAGACAATGGACGAAGAGGAAGCTGCACTGGTTGAGAATCCGACGATGCGCCACGAGGCCCTAAGGAACAGATTCGTACCGTGACCTCACTGCACTTTGAGCCCATGCTACAGTCAGCCGCGTATGCAAGTTGGTTTGAAGGCAATCTTCGCTGCACCAAGCCGACTTTCCTACGGATTGCTGGTTTACTACGAGATCAAGGTGTTCTATTTGCTGCTGCCAAAGTACGGCAGCATAGCTTTGAGAAGAAAGTTGCAGCCGCGCTTTACTTTTTAGGCTCAACTGGTGGGTACCGAGAGGTCGGTGGTGCATTGGGTATGTCACGGAGCTACGTAATGGAGATTACGACCGAGGTGGTGCGCGTCTTATGAGCAATGGCGGCGGCTGTCATTTCGTTTCCACGGAGGAGAGAGGACTGGGATGCGATCGAGTCAGGTTTCGCTGCGCGTCATGGCTATCCTGGTGTGGTGGTCGCCACTGGCTGACGGAAACGGAGGCGCAGCTCTCGGAGCGTCATCGGCAGTTGCCACAAGTCCGGTGTCTCGGGCAAAGTAAGGAGAAGGAGAGCGAGTCGTTGCAGTTGCACTGTGATTGGCTAATTTTACCTACATGCGCTCTGTTGTAGCGAACAAGCTGGAGATGGAGATGCACCAACTCCCTGCAGATATCCATCTCCAGCTGCGTCGCTCTTAGGTACCCATTCACGGCTTCAATGATTGTGAGCGGACCCCATCCGATGATGTTCATTCAGTACAGCTGCTAAATTGCCAGCCAATCGATGACCTGGCTACGTACATGTATTGGGTTATCTAAACTCACCATCGACACGGGAAAAGGCTCTCCAACGTGATAGTTTTCAAACCTGATGACCGCTCTAAGAAACCTCGAGCCGTTTGAAAACACGATCAATCCAATAGTAAAGCAACGCATTAGCCAGCCTTTTTCGGAGTCCGTTGGTTGTGTGTGAGGTTCTAAAAGAAATGCACCCCACCAACCATAGTACTGTACTGTACCCCCACCATCCCTAGAGCATAAGCTTCTTGCTGCCGGCCTAACATAAGAAGTGTTGTATGCGTTGTCTGCTGAGATACCATATCAGCTATCCAGCCAAACAGCCGGATACAGCTGTTGCAGGTGCCTCTCATTTACTTATTACTTCGAAGTAATACATAAGTATATTTTATGTATTTAGTTATAATGGGGGTGGTACAAAATGGGAATGATCAATCACTCCATACAAACTTCTTCATAAAGACTTCGCCCGTCTCCAAAATGGCTCCTTTTTTGGCAACCCCATTATAACTAAGCCCCCACAATCACTAAATAAATACGGTAGATGACACCCAGATCTTGCCCCGTTTTTGTTGCACTTCGATAGCGCTCTAATGTGTAGAGTCTGCGGAATACCGTAAGCTACAAGCCAAAAACTTAACTACCCCCCCAACCCCCCTCCCGTTCAGATTTACATTTAAAATGGCTAGTGCTGTATTCTTTTTGCGTTACAGCATCAGGAAATACTACAACAGGTTGCACTTATTGGGTTCGTCAGCCATACAGAAGAATGCTCACTGAGTACTCTTCTGTATAGCATTGCTCAGGGCAGATCTTCCCAGTGAAGCTCCCGACCCCATCCGATGATGTACAGCTGTTAGCTTGCTAGGTTGCTGGCTCCCGTTTACAAGCAAGCCCAGCTGCAGTTCCTCCATTCACTTTCAATTTTGCCTCTCCGGCCAGTCGATCACCCAAGCGCAGCCATGGAGCTGTACGGCTTTGTTCTGCTAGCGGCCGCAGTGCTGGTGGCGAGTGCTGATCTCTGCGCAGCGTCCAAGGAATCGCACTTGACCGCAGCTGACGCGCTGACTCACGCGTTACAAAACGAGACCCCGACCAAAAGGTTTCTAAGAGTTTCTACTACCAACAAAGACGACTACGGGGAACAGAGGGGAATTTCTGTGGAGAAGATTTCGAACGTGTTAAAGTCAAGCAAGACCAAGGAGTTGGAGGCACTGCTGAAGGCCGACGACACTATCACCAATGCCTTCAAGAAGCTAAAACTAAGCACCATGCCTGTCGCCCAGAATAACTTTGTCAAGACGGAAATGGTGGTCAAGCTTTTCTCAAGCCGCAACTTCAAGGTTTGGGCCAAGCATGCCGCCCAGATAAACAAGCAGGACCCGGAAGGTGCTATGGTCAACGCGCTTAGAAAAGAGTTTGACGACAAAACGCTGGCGAATATGATCTTGGTGGGCAAGCTTTCATGGAAATCGAAGAGTACCGCTAAGAAGATGGAGAAAGCGCTGTTTAATGCGTGGTACTCGGAAGGAAAACGGCCGGATGGAGTGCTTGCGGACATACTGATGGTGAAATTTCACGACATTCGGAGGAGCCCGCGAGCGATGGCTATTTGGGCGGATTACACCGACTACTTCAAAAAGCGAGTACTTGACTATGGTAGGGGTAAATAGCTCAACACCATGAATGGTGTCGTCACTACACGCTCTGCGGACGGAAACATGCCGCCAACAAGAAGAGAATACTACCGGTAAACAATAACCAACCGCATTTTCCTTCTTGTTCACAGGTCGAAGACCTGTGCTAGGCCCCGGCAAAAAACTTGTAACTTTCCAAAACCGGGTGCCAAACCGGGTGCCAAACCGGGTCTCTCTTTCTTAATTGTAATGTTTAAGCTAATATCTGGTACCCGTCGATAAATGCTAAGATTTATGCACATTATTTACCAAAGGTTGATACTAATCGTTCATTCTTGACCAAAACCTTCAAACACTTACGGACGCTCCAGTACACTTTGAGAGCGTCATGGCCTCGCTGAAGGCGTATCAATTTGCGCCATAATCGACCAAGCTTAGCTGAAGATGACCAATATGCCTCGTCTAGCTGCAGGCTGCATTTTTTACATGTCAATTTGCTCAATACTCAATCGCTTAGCCGAAGATGCCCAACTTCGTGTCTGTCGCCAAACCAATCAGCTCAACTCGACGGTGACACGAGCATCGCTCGTTTGAATAAGACTTTTTCCCTGCGTTGAAGCACCCACTTCCAAGGAATTGGCCCATTAGCGTATATCTCATTCCGCAATTTATCCCCCAAGCCCTCAAGTTAAAAGTTTGTTTGGTTGTTTTGTTTTTGAATTGAGGATTGTTATTGTCACTTAGCTAACATCCTCAAGTTAAATGGTCAAGATCAGCGCACCATGCGTCTCTCCTTCGTTCCGCTACTGTAGCTCTCTCGTCTGATCGTTAGCACACAACATAGTACAAAAATGAGCACAGTATACCTTACCTGCAAAATGAATGAAATAGCTCTCTCGTTGCTGGCGCCAACGCAGCCATTGGACGCTGACCAGGGTGTTATGTCACCGATGGCCTCATCAGACCAGGCAACCTCAATTGGTGACTTTCGGTTCCTGAGAACCCACCACGACAAAGAAGAGCGGGGCTTAGCCTCACAAAGGTTTGGCTGAAACATCATTTCCGTATCGATACACTTCAATGTGCGCAACTATTTGTTCAAGTACGCATTCTCGGGCAGATGCTGCGGCTGCGAAGCAGGCGCAGTAGATGTCCACGTTAGAATCAACTAGAGAGTTGGGCTGGTAGTGCTTTTAAGGATTAAAAACAAAACAACTTTGGGGTTTACTCAATTATTATCCGTTTTCATCGTCCATGAAACTATTCGTCGACCTGTGTACCCTCCCGGAGCAACGCTCCGGGTTGCCTATCCATGTTTTAAGACCGGTGCCAGCGTGTAGTTGTATTTTGGGTGGAAATATAAAATGACTTTTACTCAGCTTTTGCCCCCACCGGTGGCAGTGCTCTAATGCAGTTAAGTAGTACTTTACTTCATAACATACATGTAGATTCATATTGTAACATTACCGACAACCAAGCATGCACTCTCCCTTCATCTACCACATATCATGGTCGACCGCCTTGCCTGTCCGTACGAGCCAGTCGACGCAATAGAGGTCGTGCCGCTTTGCGATGCGCAGCAAGCGTGCCGACGGGATCGGCTCCGGGTAGTGCTCGAAGAGCCACTCCAGGATTTCCAAGTGGCCCTCGGCCACCGCCTTGATCGAAACATCGGCTGTACATGTAGCAAGCCCCTCGCGGTGGAGGAAATCCAGGATATCGAAGTGGCCGCCGAACGTGGCCGCCTCCATGGCGCGATTGTTGCATCCCGTACCGTAGTTTGAGTGCAGCCACTGCAAGATGTCGAGTCGGCCTGCGCCTGCTGCATTGTTCATTGCAAACAGGCTGCAGCCTTCGTTGCGGTGCATGTGGAGCCACTTGATCATGTCGAACTTGCCTTGTCGGGCTGCTCGGTCCATCGCGTCGGTCGTACAGCCTTCGTCCCGGTTGTGGTGCAACCACTGGACAACGTCCATGTGGCCGAACGCGGCAGCGTTGTTCATCGCCGCGGTGGTGCAGCCCTCACTCCTGTTTTCGTGCAGCCATTGCACCATGTGGAGATGGCCGTTCAACGCAGCGTCATCCATGGCAGCAGTCGTGCAGCCCTCGGTGCGGTGCTCGTGCAGCCACTTGACCGTCTCCAGGTGTCCATTGGCCGCAGCTTGGTCCATGGCAGCAGTGGTGCAGCCCTCGGGTCGGTGCTGGTGAAGCCACTGCACGATCTCGAGGTGTCCGTTCATGGCCGAATTGTCCATGGCCTTGATCGTGCAGCCTTCGGTGCGGTTCGCGTGGAGCCACTTCACAACGTCGAAGAACCCTCTCCGCGCCGCGCCGTTCATGGCAATCGTGGTGCACCCTTCCGTCCGATTGGCGTGCAACCACTGCACCACCTCCAAGTGTCCATTCACCGCCGCCTGGTCCATCGCCGCGCGCTCGCACCCTTCGCTGCGGCTCGCGTGCAGCCACTTGACCGTCTCCAGGTGGCCGTTCGTCGCTGCCATCGTCATCGCGCTCGTCGTGCAGCGCGAGTCGTTCTCGTGTAGCCACTGGACCACCTCGAGGTGTCCGTTCGCGGCCGCTTGGTCCATGCGGATGGACGGACACTCCTTGTGGAAGCAGTGCTCCGTCAGCCACTTGAGCGTTTCCAGGTGTCCGTTCTCGGCCGCGTTGGCCACTGCGTTGACCGTGCACTCCTCGGCCGCACCGACGCTGTGCAGCCACCGAATTATGGCCAGGTCTCCGTTGCGCGCGGCCTCGTCAATCAAGAACTGGTGTTCCGGCGGTGTGGTGCGTCTATGCAGCCACTGCGCCACGTCGAGGTGGCCGCCGCGCACGGCGACCAGCATCTCCCTGGCGCCCCAGAACACGTCCAGCGCCTCCTTCTGCTCGTGCAGCCACTGCAGCACCTCCACATGGCCGTTGCGGGCCGCAGCCTCCACGGCCTTGGTCACGCGCGCGCGGGGGAACAGCTCGGCCAGCAGGCGCAGCACGGAGACGTGGCCGTTGGCCGCGGCCGCCGCCATGGCCGTCGTGGCCAGCGCCTGGCGCTGCAGCTTGTCCATGCGGCGCAGGTTCTGCGCGTCCCGGGCGGCGATGCGCGCCACCAGGTGCTCGTGGCCGGCGCCGCTCGCGCGGGCCAGCGTCCAGAGCTGCGAGCAGTCCAGCAGAGCGTCCAGCTCGCGCGTCACGTGGTCCAGCGCCTCGACGCGCGGCCACTGGCGGCAGACGAAGGCCACGGACGCGAGCAGCGACGGCGACGCGGGGGGGGGGCGGCGGGCAGCGCGGGGCATCGATGGCGAGATGGGCTTGGGCGTCGTCGTCGTGGCCGGTAGCGCGCAGATTGAAGACTGCTGGCCGGCATCCTGAAGAGATGCAACGACCAACAGCTGGCGTCGACCAAGCAGAAAAAATGAGTGAGCAATCGAAGGTGAGCCCCGGCTTCCCCGCGGAACATATCCGATTAGACAGGGTTACGTGTGTGATTGGCTGGATTGTTTAGAGGAATTAACCGAAAGTGTCTTGCACACGAATTCTTGTGGCGACGCTTGGCGGACGCATCTCGCTGGAAGGACGCGATGGTTGACTCGACCGTTCTGGTGCGTTCACGTCGAGAAGTTCACGGGCCCCGTCGACCTCCAACAGCTTTGCTAGCAATGCTGGCTATTATATCGTTGCTCGGCTGGTGTTGGCGAGGCCGAAACCGCGGAGCCTAGAACCGCAAACGGTCAGACAGAGAGGTTCTGAGTCGAGATTCGCTAATAGAGCACCGCCCTCTGGCCTCTAACGGTGTTTAACAGAGCGTTTCGCTTAGGCATTATAGTCGCTGGCAGCGACTCGCAGCCATGGCCGAACAAGCAGCACTTAGAATTGCTCCCGGGCGGCAGGACCAGGTTGTTTGGTGCGCATGGTTGCCAGCCACGTGCCAGTAGAGCGCTTAACCAGTTCAGAACGAAACGAAAATCTGATAAAAATCTGAGAAAATCTGATATCTTTTCGTCCTCTCGATTGCGTCTCGTTGTCTGAGGACGACAACTTTCGTAAGAGCTTGTTGTGACGAAACGGAATCAGAGGCGGAGCCAGTGTGAAATCTATAGTCTAGCCATAACGATGGACTCCAACAGCGACAGCGACAGCGACGATGATGTACTCGCTTACCGCCAGGCGGCGAAGGAGATGCTGGACACATCACGCGTGAAGAGACTACATGGAGACTGGGAGGCGGCATCCAGGCTGCGCCACAGCGCGTTGCTATTGCTATCGGAGGCTTCGCCACGATACTCTATACCCCGTGTCCGATTCGACATCAACCACGTCACGGATGACACCTGCCTGCTGTTCTACCACCCAACGCCATCTACGCCGTTTACAAGCTTCATTTCAGCTGCCGGACGTCATTCGCACGGGCGCGAGCTCTCGTACGTGTTGTAGCGGTCTCTAAGGACTCTGCATCACCCTACACAGACTTTGCTACCCAACGCGATGGATGGAGATGTCAGGTATTTACGGCCGGTGGTCCAGCGCTCTAAGTAGTATTTTCTACTTTGTGATCGATTTTATATATTAGCGAGAGATGCAGCAGGTTGCTCAAGGGGAATTTAGATTATGTGAGCTCTAAATTGCATGAGTTTAGCCAAGCTATCTACGATCAAGGCGCTGAGTTGGACCGTATTTGGGGGTTCGTGGACGGAACCGTTAGGGGCATTTGCAGGCCAGGAGGGGCTCGGGAGCAGCAAAGTGTGTACAGTGGTCACAAACGCAAGCATGCGCTCAAGTTCCAGACCGTCGTTACTCCAGACGGCATGATCTTCCACCTACACGGGCCGGCTGAAGGCCGAAGACACGACATCCTACTGCTGCGAGAGTCCGGACTGGAGGAACGAGTCCGCCGCGACGGGAGATTTCAAGGCTACTTTGTCTACGGGGACCAAGCGTACGGCCGTACCGATGTGTTTGTATCTCCTTTTAAAGGATCAAGTTTAACACCCGCTCAAGCTGCAATAAACGCCTCCATGTCGAAGGTCAGGACGTCCGTGGAATGGCCGTACGGCCAGGTTGTCAACTACTGGGCTGGTGTCGACTACAAGAGAAAAATGTGCTTGGGAGAAGTTCCTGTAGCAAAGCTGTACAAAACTGCAGTGGTTCTGACCAATCGTATCACTATTCTTAGTGGAGGGAACAATAACAGCAGATATTTTGGTGTGGAGCCTCCGTCGCTAGAAAGCTACTTCTCCGTTTATCATTACAATATACATGCATTTTAGATTCACTTGTTACTAATAGCTGAAGCTAACAGTTTTAAAATGGACTCGGTCTGAGCAGCTTGCTGCTGGATCTGCTCGCGTAGCAGCTCTTGCTGACGTTTTTGCTGCTCGAGTTCTTCTCGACGAAGTTACAGCTCTTCTCGGTGAAGTTCGACCTTTTCCGCTTCCAGTTTCCTACGCTCGATAGCTTCTTCAGGCTCCTGGTCAAGCAACGTGGAGAGACGACGGCGCTTAGGATGGCCTGAATCTTTGGTACCAGCGGCAAGCCTCTCGGAAACCCTGTTCATACAATTACATAAAAGCATTCAAAATTAGACGAAATACATTGCAGTCAACACACCATTACGAGACTACCTTTTTTCTGCTGCCTGCATGAGGAGTTGACCTGCAGTCTCCAGCTCCTGCGTTTAGAGGTCGATTTTGTCATTTTTCCTGCTGTTCAGCCACGGCTGCGTTCTTGAGCTGCTGAAGTTGCTCAAGGATGTCATCGTTCTCTGTGTGCACCTCGCTGGTGCCGCTAGCGGCTTCGTTTCGCGCCTTCCGCACTACATACTTCCGTAAGAGAAGACGGGTGCGGTCCCTGCACGCTCGAAAGCTAAAGGCTTCTGACAGAGTAGCGTTTAGTCGGTTAGCCACTCCCTTCCACACACCTGTTACTGTTTTACGGTCAGCAGCAAATGGAAGCGTGGCGAGGACTTCAGATAACAGAGCCTTGTCGCTGGTGGCGTTGAAGCGGGAGCGCTGCTCCGGCTCGTCAACTTCCTCAAAGCTCTTTTCCTCGGAGCTATCCTCAACATCGTCGGGCGCAGCATCCTGTTGCTGCGACTCAGGGCCTTGCACTGGTGACAGGGGAGGGTCGTATTGGCCAAGCTGAAGCGACGCAGTGGAGCCCAAGGTGAGTATCTCGCCGGAGCTGTCGCTCTCCATTGTCTCTGGTATGGCTGGCAAGGAGGGAGTTCTGAAGTGATTTGATTCGTTGCGTTGTGATTAGCTTAAGCGCCCTTTTGGAATTTCGGTACGAAATATTGGGACGAAGTTTTTTTTCGTCCTGAAAGGCGTTTTGGTCCTGTAGCTTAAACGCTCTATTGTCGACCGCGGTCGCGCACGCAATCGGTGTCGGTCCATGTTGAAGCCACTTGATTGATAAACCGCCCTCGCTTTAACACACCCTACACACCAGATTCACACTAATGTAGCGTCAACCACACCACCACACTTCTCTTTTTTGGGGGGAGTCCACGCAGTTTCTGTAGCCATCGCTTTTATTGCTTTTCGGACCAAATTCAAACCGCCCCGCGTCTTTCCAATCAAAAACACACCCAGGCCCAATTGCATCGCGCACCTCCAGCAGCACCTCGGGACGCCATGAGCGAGGGACGCCTGCAGCACTTGCTGCAGCCCATCCGGTGCGTCTCCTGCTCCACCCCCCCCCCCCTCTTCTACCCCTCCCTCTAACCTCGACGCCTCCCCCTCCTCCTATGCAGGGACCTGAGCAAGAACTGGAACATCGACCTGGCCTCGGAGCTCGAGGAGTACATGGACAAGCTCGAGCACCTGAGCATCGCGTTCGACCCGGAGGACGGCGCCAGCATCGCGCGCGAAGGCGACGGCCCCGGCGTCATGAACTTCGCCGAGGCGGCGCTGCTGATCCAGGGCACGAGCGTCATCTACAGCCGCAAGGTCGAGTACCTGCACGCGCTCGTGTACCAGACGCTGGCGCATCTGTCCAAGCAGCAGGACGACAAGCAGAGCCACAAGCAGCAGAGCGACGAGAACGGGGAGCCAATGGAGGACGGGGACGACGACGGAGATGCCGGCGCCAGCGTCTTCAAGAACCCGCTGCCGCTCTATGACGAGCTGGAGGAGGCCAAGCCGACTCATATTACTCTTAAGAAGGTTAAACAGGAGGACGAGGAGACGGAGAGTGACAGACGCAGGAAGAGGAAGGAGGCCAATGCGCTCAACCGGAGCAAGAACAACATCCAGGCGTCTATTGCGCTCATGGGATCGCTCGTGCCCGATGAACGCGACCACGGAGAGACGTTCAAGCTGCTGTCGTGCAATTTACACGCGAGTGGAGTTTTGTTGTTGGATGAGGCGAGTAAGAAGTATCTCGGAGCGAAGCAGAGGGCGGCGGGGGACCAGTCGCTAGTGTTTGGAGAGACGCCTGGAAGACAGGGAGGTATGTGGGTCGCTGGGGATGGAGAAAACCCGTCCATGGCGCTGAACTTTGACGATATGGATGCGGACGAGGATGAGGACACGAACGACAACGCGTTTGATAAGCAGCCGGATTATGAGTTTGATGGCGGAGAGCCTATGCAGGACGATCCGATGGATGACGCTGCGAATGGCGAGCAGCAGGAAGAGACTCCTGCTGAAGAACCGCCTCGTTCTGCTACGCGTTCGACGACGGCGTTACCAGCAGGTGAAAAGGATCCGTGGGCACCGCTGGATGCGTATGATGCCAGTACGTCGGTGGCTCGGCCATTCAAGAAGGGGCGGTCGTATCCGCGCGTGCCGGCGTACAAGAAAAAGAAGGCAGGCCAGGCTGCTCTCAGCAACAAGGAGGGTGCCGTGGGGATTGATGATGACGCCGAGCAGGACGGTCTCTCCGACCCTGCGTTCCAGGACCGCTTCTTCATGGGCTCGAATGGACCGCAGTGGGCATCGTGGGTCTGGACGGAGACAGGAAGCGAAAACCCGCTCGAGAAAACCTGCAAGCGCGCGTTCTGTAGGGCGTCGCTGCTTGTCAAGACTTGCGATGCACTCTGGCAACGTGAAGCTAAATGGCGTAGCATCATGCGTCGCTGTGAAGCTCGTGAGAAGCAGAGTGCCCAAGCAATGTTGCTGCGTGAACAGGCCATGGAGGAGGAGGAAGCGGATGGAAACGACCAGATGCAGGCACTGACACTATCTACTGCCACGGCAAGGCTTGACATGGCGTTCCGGAATGATGCTAACGGCAATAACGATGAGGACGACGATAACAATGACGACAATGACTACGACGATGGCTTTGATGGTGGCGACTGGGATCAAGTCAACGACATGGACGACCCCATGGGCTCGTACGAGGCGGCTGCCTCAGCTGTGGGCAGTGACGGTGGGCCGCTTACTTACGAAGAGATCTGCAGGCAGCACTTGGCTTCCTTCATGTCTGGTACCGAGAAGTACGTGCGCGAGACGGACCTGAGCAAGCAGGTCAGCGACTGGCAGGAGAAGCTGACCCCTCTGCTCAAGCAGCAAGATGCCCACCCGCCGTTCGATATCCACCTCTACGGTCGTGAGATCATCGAGCGTCTTGCGGAGGAGAAGAAGAACAGCAGCCTCGATAAGCGCAGCAAATCCACGAAGCGGGACAAGAACAAGCGCGCTAGAGTGGAGCCTGTTTCGGACGATGAAGAGAAGAAGAAGGAAGCAGTGCCGTTTGAGACGCTGGTGGTGGGCAAGAGTCAATTCGAAGTCTGTCGGCTTTTCCTAGCCTCGCTGCAGCTCGCTAACACCGGCAATGTGGCGCTTTCTCACGCACATACTACAGCAGACCACGGACGCGTGCCATTCAAGATGGAGTTACTTAGTACCGCCAACGCCTACGAAACATTGCAAGCTTGATCTGAACAAATCATCGCAAATATATAGAGCATCCTAGCAATACTTCCAAAAGGTAGCTTTCTTGTTGGTCATGGCAGCAGCGCTATTCTGCCTGTCATAAATACCTTGCTCTCCCTCTCTTTCTAACTCAAGCTGTCAGCGGCTCGAAGGCACCTTCAGTGAGACGGAAGTGATCTCGCAAAATTGGCAGCGCGTCATCCCATTCATCTTCCTTGATAAGCATGAAGTCCTTCATGAATTTACAGTTAACGAAGCAATCACGCATAGAAATAACAGCAGCGGAAGATATTCACTTACCGTGGCGTAGGTGCTGAGGTAAAACACCGTGGTGCCAGCGTTGACGAGCACGCGCGTCTGACCAGCTACAATGCCCGTCTCCGCAAAGCCCAGCTTGGTGTTGCCGATCTGCACAGGCCTCCAGAAATCCGGCGACACGAGCACTCCTTGGTCTCCCTGCTCCATGAGCGCCCTCGCCTCGTCCAGGAAGTTCTCATCACTCGTGACTACTGAAATGTCGTCCCCCGTCTCAGAGTAACTCAAGAACCGCTCTTCCTCCAGCTGCGTCGGCTTGAACAGCAACTCCACCAACGAGTACAAATGCCTCCTCACAAACGTGCGGTTCAATTGGACAAGATGCAGTTTCACGTCCGGCACACTGAGCGGGTGTTGGTGCACCTCCACCGGGTCTTCCTTCTGCTCTGCGTCTTGCTCCGGTAACTCCCCACTCCCCGCAACTCTCAGCTCCTCCCCACTCTCCATCTCAATAGAGCAGAAGCTCTGCAGACACCCGATAGCCGCATCCAAGTCCTCCACCTTCACCAGCACTGCAACAACGACAGCAACAAGAACAACAACAAATAATAACAACCAAATCATAACCACCTACAAAATTATAGCACGATCTTATATACATGTATTCCAGACTCACCATAGTCAGACTGGTACGTCGAGATCTGGAACACACTGATGCCGTGCTTGGCCAGCTCCGTCGTGAGCTGCGTGAGCACCGCCAATTGGCTGAGGAAGGCGCCGGTGCCGGCCGACGCCACCTGCAGCGCCTTCCAGCGCAGCGGCTCGAACTCGAGCGCCCCCTGCGGGAACTTGGCCAGCAGCTGCTCCTCGAACACGAGCGACACCTCGTGCTGCGTCTCCACGTAGCTCAGGAACCGCAGGCGCTCGTGACTATGCTCGTGACTGTGGTCGTGGCTGAGTCGGCGGAGCCCCAGCGACGGCGGGTAGAAGAGCAGCTCCAGCAGCGGCGGCACCAGCGCGGACGCCGAGCGCGGCGCGTTATCAGCCCAAGTTGAAGTTGGCGCGGTGGCGTCACGCGTGACGCACTTGTCCGCGCTGGTGACCACGAGCGTCGTCGAGAGGCAGACGAGCTGCACGTCCGAGCAGGTTGTTGCGGTAGTCGCCATCTTTTCTTGGATCTGAATGCGGTACAAAGGTATCAGATAACCACCCTTCTCTGAATTACTGACGGAATTAGACCAAAAAGATCCGATATATTTGAAAACTGTGCACTGATTAAAGTTCTCTACCACCTATCCTCACTGTGAAATATACAGTCGGATTCGTCTCGATCTTGACCACAAAGCACCACCCCGTCTACGAAATAGCGACCTCGTGTGTGCATTCCCACCCGTATTACCAGTCGTTCTGTCCCCTACTCCTCATCTGTCAGCATCTTGATTTACGAAGGTGCTCACCAGCGGCTGGCGCCAAATCTTCGACCGACCACCACAAAAGCCCGAACTGCCGGACCCAAGCCAAGCCAAGCCAAGCCCAAGCCCATGATGGACCTGGTGGACCGCCTGCTCGACTACGTGGCGACCGTGCCCGCCAGCGAGAGCGTGGACGAGGTCAAGGACCAGCTCAGCGCCTACACGCACCGCGACCTGCGCGCCGCCTGCATGCACCTGGACCTGCAGGTGCCGCGCCGGCTCAACAAGAAGGGCGGCTTCATCGCCACGCTCGTTAACTACTGGAAGGGCGAGGCGCTGCTCTCCAGCACAAAATTGTCGTCGCCCTCGACCCCAGACCCTTCCAGCGCTAAAACGCCGTCTAAATCGCCCGCTGCCAAGGCAAAACCCACCTCCAACACCAATGACAACGCCGTGGACGACGAGGTGCTGGAGCTGGCCAGCTTCGTGCAGCAGTTCCCGGCCGACGGCACCGCCGAGGAGCTGCGCGACCAGCTGAACGGCTGCAAGTCGCGCACGCTGCGCTCCACGTGCGTGCTGCTGGAGCTGCAGCCGCACCGAACAGCCACGAAAGCCAACTTTGTCACTCTCCTGGTCAACCACTGGCAGGGCGCGGGGGCGACAGCCCCGAAGCCCAAGAAGAAGAAGGTGAAGGAGACGTTAGTGACCCCCAAGGCGCCCGCACGGGTGACGGAGCCCAAAGCAACGCCCAAGCCCAAGCAGAAGAGGACGGTTAAGAGGGATGAAGAGGAGAAGGTGAAGCCCAAGAGAACTAGGGCAGAGGAGGTTGTGGAGGGGAAGGAGAAGGCTCCGAAGAAGCAGAAGGAGACGCCCACAGTGCAGGTGCAACGCCGCAGTGCAGAGAGGGTTGAGGACGAGGAAGAGCAGGCTAGAAATGTGATGGCGTCGTCGCTGGAGAAGGCCAAGGTGGTCCAGGAGTGGGCCTCGGCCATTGAGATCCTGTCCCGTGTGGACGGCAGCGACGCGAGCATCTCGTCCATCCGAGTGCTAATCGACGGGGTCATGGACAGCGCCTTGAACGAGCTGTGAGGAGGTTGTTTTGCTACCGTTACGACAGATGTCGTCGCCGATTTTTTTTTCGATTGAGGTTTTCGAGTTTCCCGAGACTGTTTTTCCAACAACAAAGCTCATGGGTTTCATTTGGATTGAGTAGCATTACCGTCGTCAAGACTGCATGCAAACCTTCGGGCTAGTTAAGCCCGGCAATGCGGTACTTGCCGTAATCTTCCGCAATTTCCTCCACACGAGGATATTTCTTCACGATACGGCGCTTGACGCCCATTACTTTCTTGATAACATCATCCGGGGTTTTCTTCTGACTAATCCACGCATTGAACTGCACAGCTTCCAGCTTCTTCGCGGCACTCTTGGAGCTCCGAGTATGCTTCCCCAGTAGAATCATCGTCGCGACGTTTTTCTCTCCAAAAACATTCGTGAGAGCGGTTAACATGGTGCCTTGCGGGCTCTGCGGATTCGTCTTGGCGGCATGATTGGACCAGGCCTTGAAGTTTGGACTCGAGAAAAACTTCACCACCATATTCGTCTCGATGAAGTCGTCCTTGCCAATGGGCATAGTGCTAAGCTTCACCGTCTTGAAGGCTTTACCGAGAGATTCGTCGGCTTTGAGCAGTGCTTGGAGCTCCTTGGTCTTGGTCTTGCTGGACTTGAGCGCGCTCGAAATCTTCTCAAGGCCGGGAATCTTCGCAGAAATGCCCCTCTCTTCGTCCTCTTCCTCATCGGTAGTAGCAACTCGCAGATATCTCGTGGTGAGAATGCCATTCTCAAGCTTCTGAGCCAGAGGGCCAGGTGCCATTAACTGCGAATCCTTGGACGCTGCAAGGGGATTCGCGCTCCATAGGTGCAGAGCAGTAAGCAGAAGGACAATGTGGTAAAAACCCATGACAGGGCTTGGGAGGTGTTCGATTGGCTTGAGGGGAAAACTGGAACTGAGTTGCGAATGGCTCCCAGCTCGAACGGGAAGACTAAAGATTACTACTTGAAGCTTGCCAGTTTACGCTGTGCAACAGTAGTAATATACACAACTGTTCTTACAGTACAGCTTCAAGGACTACTCTAGTTTACGCTGGAAATTGGCAGCTCGAGGAATTTAATACGGTACATCATTGTATGTACCGTATTATATTCCTCGATTGACGGATACGTTTTGGAGCTTGTGCAGCGCGAACCATGGATCGGCAGCTTCGAACACACATTCTTCAAACAATCTGCGCGCCCTAATAAGTACAGTAACATTGACGATTACCTAAAAGATTCGAGTAGCTTTTGAAGCTGAGCAGATAAATTGGCGAGATCCCAAAGACAACGATGGTATCTACAGTAGTAAGAAGAAGAAGAAACTGAAGTGGAGTGTCCTCTTGGTGCTGCTCACGCAGAGATGGAAGCAACGACAACACTCAGCTGGGCGGCAAAAGCCACCTTGTTGGTCGTGTGTATATTCTCAACTGAGGCCTAGATTCTTCTCTTTCACCTTTTGTCTTACTCCAACTGCAAGTAGTATAGTGGGGATCAGTATAATCCGCAACAGCCCCACCTACGGATTCCCATCAACTTGCATCTCCAAATCTTGCCCTTGGCAATAATCCCATTGCAGCTCTGTGTTTTTCAAATGCCGGACGTGCCAATGGCTTTGTAAAAGCATCGGCCACGTTATCAACTCCTGGCACCCGAAGCACGTCAATTTCCTTCAAATCGATGCGCTCACGCACGAAGTGGTGGCGCACATCGATGTGCTTGGTCCGAGAATGAAACACAGGGTTGCTGGCAAGCTTCTTTGCACTTTCGTTGTCAACAAAGACTTGGGATGGCTGAATTTGCTGCACCTGCAGCTCCTTCAGCATTTGGCGCAAGTGCACCACCTCCTGCACCAGTAGACTAAGAGCCTCGGTCGTGTGCAGCGCGACGGGCTTCTCCGTCTGGCTGCTCCACGAAATGACGCTCCCACAAAAATTGAGTCACGTAGCCTGCAACAGACTTTCGATCATCAACTCGATTTGCAAAATCCGCATCTGCGTATGCTCTCAGATGATCATCCAGCTTTTGATCTGACCACGCTAGGCCACCAAGCTGGACCTGTGGCTTTCAGGTAGCGCAATCCACGTTTTGTAGCTCTCCAATGCAACAGACCTGGGTTTTCCAAGAACTGACTGCACTCTCTAACTAGGTAGGCCAGATCGGGCCGGGTACCGAGCATCAGGTACATCAGGCTGCCAACCACAGCACGATATTGCTTCGATCTCATCAGTTGCCTTTCATCGTTTTCGGTCGGACACATGGCCTTGCTCAGCTTCAGATCCGCCGTGCTCGGCGTCTTGCAGCCATTGCAGTCCTGCATGTTGAACCGCTTGAGCACGGTCTCGGCATACTTCTGCTGACCAATGAGCATCGTTCTCTCGGCCCGGTTCCGCGTGATCTCCCAGCCTAGAATGTAGTGTAACTCCCCGAGATCCTTCATCGCAAACCGGTCCTCGAACATCTTCTTCATCTTGTTGATGAGCTCCATCGACGGAGCAAACAAAATCAGATCATCAACATAGAGAGGGATGAAGACCAACTGCCCATCAATTACTTTAACAGCCACGCAGGCCTCCGACTGCAGCATCGTGAAGCCCTGCTCCTCCAAGAACGACTTGAGCAGCTGAAACCACACTCTGGGCGCCTGCTTCAAGCCGTACAGGCTCTTCTTCAATCTGCACACCCAGTCCTCTTTGCATTTCACTTTGTAGCCTTCAGGCTGCTCCATATAGACCTCCACGTCAATTGCCCCATTCAAGAAAGCAGTAGTGACATCCATCTGATGCACTTCATAATCCCAGACAGCCGCCAGTGTCAAGAGAACACGCAGTGTCTCCAGCCTCACAACAGGCGAGTACACCTCTAGGTAGTCGATACCATAAATCTGCATGAAGCCCTTGATCACGAGCCTCGCTTTGAATCTTTCGATCTCTCCGTTCGCTAGATACTTGACGCGAAAGATCCAGCGATTCTGCAGCACTTTCATGTGCTTCTCACGCGGCACTAACTCGCAGGTATCGTTCTTCATCAACGAATCAAACTCATCATCAGCTGCATTTTTCCATTGCAATGAGTGCTCACTCTCCATAGCGCCACCGAAAGTATCTGGCTCTTCAAACTCGCCAGTACTCATGCAGCAATAGTCCTCCCACCATGCAAGGATCAACTCGTTCGCCATAGTACGTTGCAACTCAGCTCGTGCTTTCCTCCATCCAGCAGGCAACGAGTTCACATCATCATCTGGATTTGTATTTTCGTAGGCAATGTAGACGTAATCACCGAACCACGTGGGCGGTTTACTTACCCAACCGCTCCGTGTCACTGGAGGGCTTTAGGGCGAGTGCCTCTCGGGCCTGTGTACTCACGAAGTGCTGTGCAAGGAGGTGTTGATAGACGCCCCACACTTGCAGCATCACTCGACACTTGGCTGTCCGAGTCGGCCCGCTCAGCAGCCGATGACCTGCTGTCCACCTCTTCCACCTCTTGACTCCCTGGTAGAGCCCTCGTCTCCTCAGCAGCCGGTTCCTTGTGCCGCCCACTGCTGCATTTCCTCTTTCTCCTTCTTTTGGAATTGCCTGGCACGCACTCACCTCGCAGGTGGTCTGCCTCATGTCCATTGACACGTTCCTCATCACGTTCTGCCACCTTGCTAGAACGATCACATCCAGATGCTGTAGAGCTCACTCCACGTCCTTCATCTCGTTCTACCACCTTGCTAGAACGTCCACTTTCAAACACCGCAAACCGCACTCTCTTTGGTCGAGGCGCTGCGGCATCACCACCGGGGCCTCTCTTCTTGGACCCACATGCCCCATCTGACCGGACATCTTGCTCAACTGCCCCACCTGGTCGGTCATCACATCGGGTGTCATCAGCCCCACCAGGCCGATAATCATCTCCGTCTCTGGAGTTGCTGGCCCCACCAGTCCAGCAATCTCCATCATCACGATAACTACCTCCATCATTTGAGTCATCATGCATTTCATCCAGCATTGGCTCAATGTCATCCTCTACTGATTGATCAACGCCTAAATATTCTTTACCGGAGGCTGCACGTGGCGTTGATGCCGAGTCCATGAGCAATCGACCAGCTTTATTCTCATAGAACACGACAGTATGGCTGTAGAAGGCCTTGTTGGTCTTGCTATCGAGCAAGCGATAGCCTCGCTTCTCTCGCGAATATCCAACGAAGACCGCCTCCCGTGCTTTCGCCTGCATCTTCCGTCTCTCCACCTTGTCGATTGACGACAGGACGGCGCAGCCGAACGTCCGCAACTTCTCATAAGCAGGAGTCTGACGGTGCCATACTGCATACGGTACCTCCATGCCTCGAACCGAGCTTGGCATAATGTTCACGGAGTATGCAGCTGTCATCGCTGCCTCACCCCACATCACTTCAGGCAGGTCGAAGTGCACGAGCATGCATCGCATTTTCTCCGTAATGGTGCGGACCATTCTCTCCGCGACACCATTTTGCTCCGGACTATGCTTGATGCTGCTGTCAAACTCCATACCATACTTCGTGTCACACGTACTTTGCAGCTTCTTGAACTCCTTTGCATTGTCTGACCTTAGCGCTTTCATTCTGATATGCTGCTGCGTCTTGACGCGTTGATAGTACTCCTCAAACTCTGGTACACTTCCGAACGATGCTCCAGAAGATACACGGTGACAAACCGACTCGCATCATCAACGAACACGGCAAAGTACCGTTTACCACCGTAGAAGTGCTCTGCATACGGACCCCAAGCGTCCACATGGACCTTTTCGCCAACTAACCACTCGCGGGTCTGTGTCCGAGACTTCTTCATGCTCTTCCTCGTAAGTTTCCCCTTCACACAGGTCTCGCAATTAAAACCCACCGGGATACGCAAGTTCACATGACTGATCATGGTTGAACAGCGCATTAAACGCGTTCTTGCCAGGGTGCCCCAATCTCGAATGCCACAGCTCCAAACTACTCACTCGAGCTGGTAGCGCCACCATGGCTACCTCTTGGGGTCTCTCCAACTTCAAGCGATAGAGATTGGTATAATCAACTTGAGCGGTAGTCACACCAGCCTGCAAGATAACATCAGCGCGATCTGCCTCATCAAAGTGCACCTTCACACGATCACGTTCAGGCAGATATTGGTTCAGTTGCCGTCGCACAGAATAGAGACTGCACTGCAGCTCTGGAGCATAACGAACTCCTCGCAGCGTCAGTGAGCACCTCCCACCAGTAGTCTCCAGCTCTTTAACCACAGTACCAATACCCTCAACCCCAGCGAGTTCTTTCCTCCAACTCGAATCCGGGCGCTAAGAGGCGTGAACTCCATGAAATCAGTGAGCTGGTTCGAAATATGACTCGATGCACCAGAGTCCAGGTACCAGTTATCATGGGCTTTGTCTGCGACCGGCTTTTTCATTTTCATCACTTGAAGAATAACATACGCGCTGTCATCACTTTCATTAGCGTAGATACTCGTTTCAGCAGCCTTAGCACTCTTTCCTCCACTCATCTTTACGCGCTTCTGAGCTTGGGTGCTGCTGCGATCCCGGCTGGAGGTCGCTTGCCAAGAAACGGGCAATCAAACACATGATGCCCTGCTTCATGGCAGTGATAACAAGCACCACCTGGCTTTTGTCCACTGCCGGCTTGGCCACGTCCAGTTCCACGTCCACCACCTTGGCTCCCGCGACCGCCAGAACCACGTCCACCACCGGAACCGCGCCCGTGTCCTCCAGATCGACCACCACGTCCACGGCCGCGACCTCGTCCTCGACCTCTTCCTCCACCAGCAAAGAACGCCTTTTCTTCATCATGGTTGTCCTTTCCGCCCTCTGCTTTCCGACCTTGGCGATGGTCGTAAGCCATCTCCAATGCGAGTTCAAGTTGTTCACAATTAGGAGGATCATCAGCATTTTGGGGCTTGTGACTGGCGAGAAACGTCTGTACAACATGATCATATTCGCGCGGCAGAGATCCAATCAATAGTACTGGCTTCACATACTCGTCCACAGGACGCCCGACTCCAGCAATGGTCTCCATCAGCCGACGCATCTCGCTCAGGTGATCTGGCACATTGCCGTTGGGAGCGAGCCGTAGCCGGCTGAGCTTGGCCCCCTCCTCAGCGTACTTCAGGTACGTCTTGCCCGTAAATCTCTTTTTCAGGCGCTCCATGACACGAAACGGGGTGGGTTCATACTTCACAGTCTTCATTATGTGATTCGTCATTGCGTCGTAGATGATCTCCTTGGCGTGGGCCATCTCGCTCGTCCACGTCGCGTGCGCCTCTGCCTCCTTGCTCTCGTCTGGCTCGAGCAAGTCCTCCATGCAGTACTTCCACAGCTTCTTCCTCTCCAGCTTGAGCTTGTCTCGCTCGTGCCAGACCTCGTAGTCCTTGCCGTCAAACGGCGCGATCGTCCTCTTCTCCTCGTGTGACTCCTTGGGCGTCTTCTTCTGATCCGCCATGACGTCCTAGTTGCTGTGCTCCCCACGCGTGAGCCTTGGGCTCATAACCTGAAGTGGAGTGTCCTCTTGGTGCTGCTCACGCAGAGATGGAAGCAACGACAACACTTAGCTGGGCGGCAAAAGCCACCTTGTTGGTCGTGTGTATATTCTCAACTGAGGCCTAGATTCTTCTCTTTCACCTTTTGTCTTACTCCAGCTGCAAGTAGTATAGTGGGGATCAGTATAATCCGCAACAGAAACAAAACAAACTTGAAATTGGCCAACGTCTATCGACCTACGGTGCAACCTAAACTACAAAGCACTGGTATTAGCCCTGGGTGCTGTAGGATGTTTCGGACGAGTTGCTGGACGAAGCGTAGCCCAAGGCTCCACTGAAGTTGACACCCTGCTGCACGGCCATCAACTTGGCACGCGCGATGTCAACGGCATCCATGCTCGTCACCTCACTGATGCAGGCCGTGCAAAACGTCACCTTGCGCTGGCTCATCTTCAAGTCCGGGTCCACGAAGCTAAGCTTCCTGACGATCTTGCACGCGCTGCAGACGTAGCCAAAGCACAGCTTACACGAGCTGCCACCCTTCCCGAGCAGACGTCCACCGGATGGGGACTTACACGTGACACAGTTGCTGCTAGTGCTCGGAGTGCCGCGCAATTTAGATTCCTCGTAGCGCATCTCTAGCATGTACGACAGCTTGCGCATCTGACCGCTGTATGCGTAGTCCAGACTTCCCAAGAACAGATCGGCCAAGACCGAAGGCACCATCTTGCGGACCAGACCATCGTCCACAGGGTCGATGATGCCCGTCGCGTACATCTCCATTGTGTTGTTGCTGACCTGGCGCCAGTACGCGATGAACGATATGTTGCCACGCACGCGGCTCGGCAGCGAGTGGGTCTGCGGGAAGTTGACTGAGTGCAGCAAGCTGTAGCCAAAGCGCTCGCCCGCCGTGTTCTTGATGATGCCGATGCCTTCGACATAGACATAGTCGCGGTTCTTGACGAAACCCGTCGACTTGAAGGGGATATCAAGCTCCATCCATTTGACGACGAGCGACTGGAACGGGTTCTCGAGCGTCGGCATGACCACGCCGTCGAGCACGGCGGCGGCGCTGAAGCTGTCGGTGTACGAGGCCTTGAGTCGCATGGTCTCGAGGTCTTCGCTGATGATGCCGAACATGAGGTCGTCCACCTTGCCCTCCTTCGTGCCGACGCAGAGGATCGTGGGCAGTCCTCCACCCGTGGCCTCGTCAGGCTTTGCCAAGCCAACGCTGTCGCGCCGCTCCGAGTAGACCTTGAGTCCTTCCTTCTCCTTGAGCGTCTTCCAGCGACGCGGGTCCACCTTTCGACCGGAGTTCATGAACTTCATGCACTGCTCGAGGCTGGACACGATGTACGTGTTGGCGAGGTCCTGGAGCGAGGCCTTGTCGGCCTCGTTGAGGGCGAGCTCCGGGAACGGGTTGACGGTGTATCGCTCCTTCATCTCTTGTATTGGTGATCTGTGGTGACTGTAGCTTCTGAGGTGGTGACTTGTGAAGTGTACGCTCGGACAGGCGTTGCTTGCCAAGGCGGATGAGGTGTCGTGCACGACTCGAGAAGCACTAGCAAAAGGACGAATGGCAGTTCGATAATCTGTTAAATGCGGCGAGGAGCCACTTGTCGTGCTCCTTTTCGTAACCTGGTGAGTCGGTCGACGGATATGCTCTTGTCTAGTGAACAGCTATTTTGCCGTCTATGCTTATTACAACGCGCTGAAACCTTGGATTAGCCTTTGTCCTGTCCCCTACAAGCTGATATGCTCGTTGCTACAGATGGCCCTCTTACCAAGAATTTCGTTAGTTAGAGTACTAAAACAATACTCTGCCTGCACTGCAGACACCCTGATTCTTACCTGACTCCCTCCTCAAGACAGCAATGGACTTGTAACGTCCAAGAAACTGCATGAACAGTGCAGCGCATTCAGCCCCCACTATCGACACGTCGTTCGAATTCAAACCAAGTTCAATTCGATTTTACAGCGTCTTCAAGATAGGTACTCAGTACAAACATGTCGTTATCTCCACTCCGAGTGCCCTTCTTCTTGCACCGCGTCGGAGGGAGATCGTTAACACAAGCTGCTCACCTAAGCACCTAGGGAGCGTCTCGGTAAGCAGGGTCTCTTCCAGTGTGAGGCCGTTCAGTGTCGACCAGAGTTACTGGCCTGCACGCATGGCTAGGATAGGGATGGCTAGGAGGAAACGTTATAAGCACTAGTGGTCAGGTAGCCCCACTAGCTGTTTCCAGCTCGTAAGCCCGGTTATATACAGCAGGCAGCAAGAGCCCTTCGCACACTGGCACATGCGAGCCCCGCGCCACTCGGCCGAGGTGCTCCAACACCGCAGCCCCCGTGGTCTCTCTCCACAGTCCTGCCGCCCTACTCGAACACTGCCCTCATCTGTGCACTGGCCTACCACTGCCATACCTTCGCTATTGCCGTCGCTTTGGCCGACGCTCTTCGTCGCTGCTCCAAAGACCGGAAACCCGTGCGTTCGGCGCAACTCGTGTATATTAGTCTTGACTCTCCACAATCCTGTGGAAAACCACAACTGAGGGTCGAGTCGGCCGACCGCCGCTCGGTATCCTCCTACTCAATCCTATCCCCGCTGTATCTACTCCTACGCACGGGCGCCTGCCTACCTACTGGACCTCTCCCTCTTCGACTCCTTCTCCATGCTCGTGGCCTCACAGCCTCACGTTCCTGTCCTTGATCTCGCCTCTCCTCGCTCGTATACTTCTTCGCCCTTGTCCCGGCGTGTCGCCCACGCACTGCGATCTTCTGTCGTCGCCATCGCCGACTTCAACCTCCCACTGCTTGCTAAACGACCGCCTTCAGCCGGTGGCACTAGTCCACTGGCTTGCCCTCTTCACCACACGCCTCCTGCCGTACACCACGACCCGATCTGGCCGATGTCCACCACACTACTCGTCTGTCAAGTCGATCACCAGCGCGCGATCGTCTGGCGTTGCCTGTTCGTGGCCCTTCGTCACGTGACAGGCCATCCAACTACAAACTATTAAACGAATCATCGACCAGCATGGAAACAGATTCAGAAGCTGCAGCAGCGCGCAGCATTGGGTGTAGATAGCCGACTAAACCGCAACAAATTCAAATTCAAAGCATGGAAACAGATTCAAGCTTCAGCTTGTACTGGTGCACTTATCCTTGTACATTGGGAACTTGCCGCACCAGTGTTGTATTCCACACTGTCGAAAAGTAGTCGACTATATAGTTTAAATCTATTGAGAAATCAGACGCATATCGGTAACCAATCTTCTTCCTGATTCTTTCAGTAATTACTCCTCTCAGCCAGATCAAAGAGCTCAGCAAGAAGGTCCTTTGTACGCCTATTGCATTGCAATCGGCTGTAAGCTTAGATCTCTGCGACTTTCGAAAGCACAACAGTTGTGATAGTACCCGTAGAAAAGGATCTACCTACATGTGCTCAATAATCACAAAATCAAAGAACGTTTTTGAGGGTGTTAATAGAAGTGGCAAATGCATGGTGTCAAAGCGATACACTCACACGGTGCCGCTGATTCCTGACCCGCAATCAACAGGATAACTTATCTTGTCGGTTAAAGCTCCTTCTCTCTACTAAGTATGTGCTGTACTGTGTGGTACAGAAGCGTCTTCTCCGTGCTGGATGCACGCCATCGTGGCAGATTTTCTCATGGCCAACAAATAAATGGAGCACCAAGCCACTCCACAAATGACCGGTGCGTCCATCTGAAAGTCCCGCAAATTATTGAGCATAAACAGCAAAATAGCCCTTCTCTATATCCCAGATGACCGACGCAACGGGTAAAAGGAGCACAACTATTGTACACTTTTACCCCGTTTGTACTGTATTGACAGATTAACGTTGTACAGTACAGTACAGCAAGTCCTTCTCTCTTCTATCTCTGTGATCGTCACAGAAGCGCTCCTCGACCAACAGTGGTGAGTCCACTTCAGAAGCTACCACCTCGGTAGCTACCGGTACAGTATCACCACAGATCATCCATACAAGAGATGAAGGAGCGATACACCGTCAACCCGTTCCCGGAGCTCGCCCTCAACGAGGCCGACAAGGCCTCGCTCCAGGACCTCGCCAACACGTACATCGTGTCCAGCCTCGAGCAGTGCATGAAGTTCATGAACTCCGGTCGAAAGGTGGACCCGCGTCGCTGGAAGACGCTCAAGGAGAAGGAAGGACTCAAGGTCTACTCGGAGCGGCGCGACAGCGTTGGCTTGGCAAAGCCTGACGAGGCCACGGGTGGAGGACTGCCCACGATCCTCTGCGTCGGCACGAAGGAGGGCAAGGTGGACGACCTCATGTTCGGCATCATCAGCGAAGACCTCGAGACCATGCGACTCAAGGCCTCGTACACCGACAGCTTCAGCGCCGCCGCCGTGCTCGACGGCGTGGTCATGCCGACGCTCGAGAACCCGTTCCAGTCGCTCGTCGTCAAATGGATGGAGCTTGATATCCCCTTCAAGTCGACGGGTTTCGTCAAGAACCGCGACTATGTCTATGTCGAAGGCATCGGCATCGTCAAGAACGCGGCGGGCGAGCGCTTTGGCTACAGCTTGCTGCACTCAGTCAACTTCCCGCAGACCCACTCGCTGCCGAGCCGCGTGCGTGGCAACATCTCGTTCATCGCGTACTGGCGCCAGGTCGGCAACAACACCATGGAGATGTACGCGACGGGCATCATCGACCCTGCCGATGACGGTCTCATCCGCAAGCTTGTGCTCCCGGTCGTGGCCAACCTGTTCTTGGGAAGTCTTGACTACGCGTACTGCGGCCAGATGCGTAAGCTTTCCTTCATGCTCGAGAAGCGCTACGCGGAGTCGAAGTTACGCGGAGCTCCGAACAAGTCCAATGCTTGCATCACGTGCACGTCCCCAGTCGGACGTCGGCTTGGAGACTTTGGCAAGACCAACAGCACGTGCAAATTATGTTTTGGCTTCGTGTGCAGCGCGTGCAAGATCGTGAGGAAGTTGAGCTTCGTGGATCCAGACTTGAAGATGGCGCAGCGCAAGGTGACGTTTTGCACGGCGTGCATCAGTGAGGTGATGCCGTTGACATCGCGCGTGCCAAGTTGATGGCCGTCCAGCAGGGCGCCCACCTCAATGGAGCCCCAAGTTTTTCTTCCTCTTGTAACTCGTCCGAAACATCCTACAGTACCCTGGGCTGATCGGAATCGGTAGATACAAGAGATCGGAGGTTGAGTATGTAGGGGCCCTACATAGGGGCCCTACAGTAGGGCCTACACTAAGTCACCTGGCATGTTTTTATTCAACCACGAGATCACGGCTCCTACACGCACTGTTTCGTGATATTGCTTAGGAAACCGCTCTGGGAGGGCACACAGGTCGACGAAGTGAAGCTGAATCGTACATATTTCGAGTTGCTAAGGTTGAAAGAATGAAACCAGGCCAAAGAGTAGTGGGCATTCACTCATCAGAGATATCCAACATAAGTACCAATAGGTAATGGTGTTGAGCAGCGACCAGTGCTACAGCGTACTGGTAGCATTACGTGCCCCGCGAAAGGGGATGCTTGTTATCTGCGCATTACCTTTGTTTGAGCACATTGAAAATCACAGCTCTCACGCCCTAACACTGTTAGGCTAACAGTATGACTTGCTAACTGCTTTGTTCAATCCACGGCGTAGTATTTGTGTGAAGTTGTAATGGCGAAATTCCAGACTAGCGAAGCTCTAGTCGCTCGTCGACTACCATAAGAAAAATACATGTACTACCCAAGCAAAAGGTTGAAAAAGCGATAATCGGCACTTTTAAAGCTATCTGCTTATGATATTACACGGCATCCGTAGTGACCAGGAGAGGGTCAACTAAAGAGTATGCGTTGGTTGCAATTGCACAGAGCGAAGAGGAGCTTACTGAGCTGGAGATGGCTGGCCAAAGTTTGTAAAGGCCAAAGTTTGTAAAGGCCAAACCAACTAACGTACCAGTCAGCGCAAGCAGGATGAGGACCATGCCAGCTCCAATGCCCAGGTTCTATTTGTTTTGCTTCACGAAGGCCCACAACCTTTTCGCTTTGGCAGGATCTTTGCCGACAGCCGCAACGATGTCACCTTTAGTGACCTTAACGCTAGATTTCTCCAGCTTAGCCGGCGCCGTCGCAAAATCAGGATCGTTGACAACTTCTTCATAAAATTGGGGTTCGCCAGGAGATCCGGGTCCTTTTCCAACGCAACCCCTGTTTTTTTCACGCCAGGGAGGTTCATAGCTGCTACCACGTTAGGATCCTCGCGCAGGTTGCCGAGCTTGTTACTGAGCTTGTTTCCGAGACCGGTCTTCTTGTTGAAAAAACCTTTGAGTTTCGAAGTAAAGGAGAACGCGCTTCTCTCCTCGATTGCGTCCCCGTGGAAGTTGCTGGCTTCGTCGTCATGGTTGGGATGAGTGGTTCCACGGCCCACTTGCGTCGCGTTGGATGCTGCGATGAGCGTGGCCATAAGTAGTAGCAGGAAGCGGACGAGTTGCATTCTACGTCTTCGACAAAGTTGGCCTGGTTTGGGGAGGTGCGTGGGGTCTTGGAGAGATATTTGAAAATGCCAATGACGAGAAAAAATCTTCTCGGTTAATTGATCTTCTACTGTAGAATTGATGTGTAAGCTCACCGTATTTTAATACTTCTACCGGTAGTACAGAAAAGGTTGTTGGGATGATCACATGCCTCTAAAATGGTCGGCAAAATAACTGCAAAGCACAATACCGGTATGTGAATAAAACTTGCATGTAACGACAGTTCTAAACGAACTGCGAATTAATAAATAGCTGCTACACATTTGCCTATTTCCAAATTTTTATTAATACCAAAAGTCTCTACAAATCTCTACACGCCAAACGGGCTTGTATGTGACCTAAGTGAGACCTAACTGCTCTGTGACCTGTTATAAATCCTTTGCGCATCAATGTATCCATTACTCCGATTTACACCCCCAGTCCAATCGAAAGTACGATATACTGTACACGTCCACATTCGCACACGTCTCGAGCGTGCGCCGCCGTGTCTACGTCATCTCGTTGGGCATGTCTTCTGCGACGCAGACAACGCCGTGATGACCTGCTCCATCCTGCAGATCATCGTGTAGTCAGCGGGGTCTTCCGAACGAATCTTGTGACGAAAGTAACCCAATCGGATCAACGGGATGCCTCGTCTGACTAATTTGACCCGATCCGGCAGTGAATCGCCTGATTCCGATCGACGCCGACTCCGAGTCGATTGGATCCGCTCGTCGATATGTGATTACAAAGGTAAAACCTTTTGTAATAGCTTATAGTCCAGATCATAAATAGAGGTGGATTCATATAGAAAGGTCCTCAGAAGCATCTAATTGGCTTAAAACAAGCGATTAAGAACCAATAAGATATGTGCTCTCTTTATCCTCATACACGTTTGATACTCCATCCCAAGGGGTCGACTCGGACTGCAGCTGACACTACCTGCGCACGCCTGCGGCTCCTGCAGGTTTTCGCTCGCCCTGTTGGCCCTACGACTTCACCCGAGCGCTTCCCCGCGAGCGTTCTTCTTGAGGATCGCGGGACTGGAGAGCAAGAGCAGCGCCTGGCGCCACAGCGAGCGCGAGGGCTCGCGACCGGCCTCCCTCGGACTCATTTGCGCGCAGCTGAAAGAAGGTCGCGGATGCCGGCCCGATGCTGGTCGAGAGCGTTCGCAAGATGGAACACGTGCTCAAGGTCATCGAGGCGGCCAAGCGTCGCACCATGATGCACATGACCGGCTTCGCGGCTACGCTGACGCTGCTGAAGCAGGCGCTGGAGGCCCTATTCGCGAAGACCGACGCCAACCAGATGCGCATCCTGCACTCACGGGTTCGCTGTCGTACTTGCCGCTGTTGGCTCCTTTCCACACACACAGCTGCTGACTGAGGCCAAGCCGAAGCAGGTCCAGGACGTTGAGCGTGTCAAGTGCGCCATCAAGGACAGCCAGCTGCAGCTGCCTGAGTACGCTACGAGCGAGGAGACTACCAACCTGCAGACGGTGGACGACGTTGTCGATGAACTTATTAACATACCGTTGCTGCAGCTCGTTGACTGGACTGCGACGTGGGCAAAGATCGCGGAGCACCACTCGAGCGCGACTCACGTGCTGGAGTTTGGACCTGACCTTGGCGTGGCGAAGCTGAGCGACAAGTTCGCGGAAGGCCTGGGCATCGAGGCGGTGATGGCGACCGCCAAGCACCCCGTCATGAGCACATCGACGAAGTACACCCCTCACATCGGCCTGCAGCAGTTCATCGACGCTACGCCGACCTTAACTCCTGCCGAGGTGATGTGGGCGAAGAAGTTCGGCCCGCATGTGACTGCGTCGGGCGGGCTCTACAACAGGTTCACGCACGCGCTGAACAAGCCCCCCATCATGGTCGCGGGTATGAAGCCCACGACGAGCCTGGAATGTATTGACCTCGTTGCAGCAATCCAGAACGCGGGTTTCCACGGCGAGCTTGCGGCGGGTGGCCTGTCGCGCCCGAACATCTTCGAGGACGCGGTGAACGAGCTGGTGTCGAAGATAAAGCTTGGTCTTGGCATCGCGATCAACATGCTGTACCTGAACGCGAAGCAGTGAGGCTTCCAGTTCCCCATGGTTCTTCGTATGCGCCACAGTCCTCGAAGCTGTGGTGGCCACCAGCGCGGCCGCCAGTCCACGGCAGCATCACGGTCATCGACGGCATCACCGCGGCAATCTTCAGCACCGCGTGGATACCGTCCACCGAACCGGTCTTGAAGTACACCACCTTGATGTCAACGGCCTCCATCTGCGACATCATCTCAAGCGCACGCTCCTGCGTTGGGATACCAGCGCCTTCCACCAGCCGATGGAGGAGACGTCGCCGCCATCCGTCGCGTGTCGAACGTGCTGCTGCTGGTGGGCTCTGGCTTCGGCAACTGGAAGGACTCGAAGCAGTACCTCACGGGCGAGTGGAGTCTGGCGCGGCCACCTGCACAAGAAGCCTGCGGATGGTATCCTGATGGGCTCTCGCGTGATGGTCGCGAAGGAGGCTGCGACCGCGCCGGCAGTGAAGAAGCTGCTGGTGGACACTCCTGGTATCGAGTCGGGGCTGGAGTGGGAGACGAGCTACACGGGCGTCGTGGGCGGCGTTGTCACGGTGACATCGGAGCTGGGCGAACCGATCCACGTGGTGGCCAACCGCTGCGCGCTGCTGTGGAAGGAGTTCAACGACAAGTACTTCTCGATCCCGCGCGAACAGGTGGAGCTGGCGCTCCGCCTGAACAAGCAGGACATCATCGCGCACCTGAACGCGGACTACCAGAAGCCTTACTTCGGCTGTAAGCGCAACGTCGAGACCGGCGAGGTTGTCCCGACGGAGCTGGAGGAGATGTCGTACGGAGACGTGTTGACGCGACTGGTCGACTTGACCTACGTGGAGGTAGAAGGCAAGCCGCAGCGCTGGGTGGAACGACACGTACGTCTCGCGCGTGAGCAAGTTCATCACGCGCACGGAGGAGCGTTTCCGTCACGAGAGCGCTGGCGCACTGTTTGACCAGTCGGAGCTCAAGTCAAACCCGCGCGAAACGCTGAGCGCATTCATTGCGAAGTACCCTGCGACGGTGTCGACGCTGATGTCGGTGCCGGACTGCGACTTCTTCCTGGAGCTGTGCCGCATGGGTGGCAAGCCGGTGAACTTCGTGCCTGCGATCGACACGGAATCCAGGACAAGGTTCAAGATGGGACTCTCTGTGGTACTCGGAGGAATTGGATTCGGTGTCGGGAGTCCGACGAGCAGCGCGTGTTCATCCTGCAGGACCCCGTGGCTGTCCGCTACGGCACGGAGGTGGACGAGCCCGAGGTGGATATTCAGGGAGGCATCAATACTGGCTTCATCAACGTCGTGAAGGAGAGCGGTGCGATTGCTGCCGCACCGGTTGCTGCTGCCAAGCCGATTGTGGACATCGCCGGTGCTGAGGTCACGAAGAGCGAAGGCAGTGTGGAGGTGTCGATCTCCACTGAGGAGGACACCGTTCTGTCTGCTGACGAGTAGATTGCGGCGCTCGCCGCGTCCGTGCGCGACAAGGACTGGCTGGAGGCGCTTATCCTGTCAACTCACGTCGTGGAGAAGAAGATGCGGCTTGTGATCCCGGTGCGTCTTCTCCCTCCGGCGGCCATAAGTACGTGATCGATGTCGCCGGTGTTCGCGTGTTCGACAGCCCCATCGACATCTCGGGCCCCGTAATTGAGATCACGAAGAAGGAGGCGTCGATTGCCGTTGTGGTGAACGAGGTTCGCCTGGCGGAAGACTGGCGTCGTGGCGCTGTAGATGACGTTCCAGTACTACCCTGAGCTGCCATGCTCGATCCACGCTGAGGGCCAGCAAGGACGAGGAGGGTGCCCCCGCCGACTTCGTGACGATCGTGCCGTGGCGTCCGCAGATCCGGTCGGTGTTCACGAAGGAGGTGAAGGCCAACCTGCTGGGCCTGGTGCACCTGGTGCACCTGAAACACGTACAAGCTGCTGGCATTGCACAAGGCGTCCGCGACGTTCCTGCCTGACGACGACATCGTGACTCACGATGCTCACGATTCGTGAGCATGTCAAACGTCGGCAGTCTCCCCATCATCGCCAGCGGCAAGAACGTGCACGGTGGTCCTCATTTCGCGCAAGACGGTGGGCGAGCAACTGGAGGAGGTGCTGTTGCCGCTGGTGGAGCTGCACAGCGAGTTCCTGATCCGCGGATCGTTCAATGACTTTGAGCCGATGTTTTTGATCGACAAGCCGACGGACGATTTCGTGACCAAGCGCCAGGAGGATGTGGAGATCCTGAAGGCGAAGTCATGGCTGAAGCTTGCTGCCGAGGCCTCGGTGAGAGTCTGTGACCTCTTGTCGTTTGAGCTGACGGCGAAGAAGCATTACGCGTCCATCAACTCACTGAGCTTCGTGGAGGCTTCGGTCGTGCTGTGCCGTGAAGAGGCTGGTTCGAAGATGGAGACCGGCACGGTCGATTCAAGAGGAGGTGAATGCGAGCCCTGTGGTGGCGTTCCTGCGCTAGGTGCAGTATGGTATGATGAAGCAGGCGCCGATGGCGTTTGGGTTCGACCAACCGAGGACTCCTGGTAGCGGTCCATACCCATGGTAACCCCGGCAGAGCCCTGGTCATCGCGAGACCAGGTGCCCTGGTGGTATTCACCTGCGCACGACGTTCGGTCTCTTCATCCTCGAGATGGTGCGGAAGAAACAGAAGTCCATTACGGCGCACTTTTGGTGAACCAGTAGCCCCTGAATCTGGCGACTATGCGGTTCTCACGAGTACTTGGAGTTCTCGTACTTCGAGAACATACACGAGGGAACGAAGAGCCCATAAGTTGTGGAAGCGCAGGACTAGATGCAGTTGCAGTTCACGACAAAGGCTTAGCCTATGTGGAGCTATTGATGTACAAGCTTACACTTGATTAAGACGCAAGTGATTAAGACGCAAGTGCCCCTGTTCTAGAAGGGCAGAGGACTCTGCTGCGTGAAGATTTCAACCCTTCCGACGGCGACGAACTTGGGGGTGCGCACAGCACGTCGGTGACTTAGTGCGTGGGGTGGCCGTCTCCTTCGGTGCAGAAATGTGGGCTTTGCTCGAGCTTCGTGACGTTGTTGGCGGCCGTCTAAAACTCGTGGGCGACATCGGCGTTTTACTTGAAGGGCAGACTGGAAGTTGTGACCAAAACTATGCTTCCAGTTGGAGTACAGACTCGTACGAGTTCGAGGCGCGTGGAACGGGTGCTGCTTGTTCATGTGGTTCACGAGCGCCATGTCGGTGTACTCGATGCGGGCGTTCGCGGACGCTGGCAGCTCCGCCGTCGACAACCCGCCCGTGATCATGAATAGGGCCGACTTTGTGGGCAGCTGGAATGGACTGGATCTGTTGGATATGTGCTACATATTATGTAGTCGATTGGAGGATGGCCCGGACTTGGAGAGCTCAAGTTGAACTCGAGGACCACACGAGCTCTGGCCAGTAGCACGGTCGGCGCGAGAGGAACGAGGTCGAACTGGTCGACAGTCATCTTGTTCTCGCATGTGGTAGCCGTGGATTTCGGGAGGATTCTGCAGCGCAGAACTATGGATAACGAAGGCTTCACGATAGAATTATTGAGTCTAGACGGCTTCGAACCGAACCTCGCCTACAGCAGAGTCGTCGAAATGAATTGCACTGGAGGGATGATGAATCAATAGCGTGTATTTGGTTTGATATGGGTCCCTATGGAGGTGATGCGTGGGTAATGACTATTCGCTGGTCCCGTCGGCTTCAAGTTTGAGAGTTGCTTCGTTGAAATCCAGAAACGATTGCAGCTCAGAGATGGCTGTGACGGCGTCGTCACCGAGGCGTGCGCGTCGTTTGCTCACGGTTGTACCAGCTGCTGAAAAAGCCTGCTCGCTAGGAACTGAAGTCGCCATGACAGCAAGAAAGTCACGCGCCATGAGCTGAATTCTTGGAACTGGTCCAAGCTTCTCATCCACGCGCAAACTTCGTGGCTGCTCGTCTTGGAGCTCATTGTTTTGTCGCGATGAGCCATCCAACGGTCCAGCTCTGACGCGAATGATTCTCCTTCGAAGCTGGCAGGCTCGTCAGACCCGAACGTGTCGTCGATCAGCTGGAATAACGCCTCTCCAAGTGCAGCGTCGCGTTCTTCCTGCTGGCTGAGACGAGGGCTGCTTGCCTCTTGTTGCTGGCGCTCGAATCGGGCTTTGTAGGATGAGCCATACTCGTCCAAGACGTACTGCCGGATGGTACCCATGTCGTCAACTATGCTTGGGAGAAGTGACTTTGCCCGTGGATCCAAAACAGCGGCTATCTGAGCTTCGCGACTCTTTACATGCGCCGTGTACTCGCCTAGTTTCGACTTGAATACCGTCGCGAAGTCTGCAGTGAAGCTGGAGTTAGCATGGAGCGCCACCTTGGCAGCGTGATTGGAGATGAGCGTAAAGACGACCACAGCCATGCCAAAGGTTGGATAGTTTTTTTCAGACATCATGGTAGTTGCGGCCTTTACGGGTGTGAGGAAACTGCAGAACTCGGTCAGCATTGCCCAGGCTTCGTCTCCGAGAGAATAAGCAAGCCGGTCGTCGGCTTTGATGGCGTAGTCCGTGTAACCTTCGTGACCTTCACGGATGCGGTGGAGCAGTTCCTCAATCGGCTTGCGCAGGTGGATGGCTGACAGCACCATTTCCCAGGTGCTATTCCAACGAGTAACGCAGTCGAGTTCAGGCTGACGAAAGGTTACCTTCAACACCTTGCACGCCCTTTTCAGCTCTTCGTTCAGCGCAATCGATTCCGTCAGCTTCTTCAGTACATCTCGAATATGGCCAATACTCGTGTCTATGATGGAGCACACCTTTAGGCCTTCTTTCACAGCCAACTGCAATACATGTGCGAGACATCGCACTTGAAAGACATCGTGTGGCTCGGAAAGCATTGCGCTTGATTCAGCCGTCATGGCAGCAGCTGACGACGGCATCGTCGCTTCAGCGTGCGCTTCAACTTCATGAGGCAGCTTTGCCTTGATCGACCGCACCATGCTTGCATTGTTCGTAGCATTGTCGGTAGTGATCGCCCAGATAGTGTGTAGAAGCGTTCCATCCATGGATTTCACAACGTCAAGGAGGTGGTCAGCTAGCCGAACACCAGTATGGGGGTATTCCGCGCGTATGAATCCTATGATGACGGATCGCAGGTTCCAGTTGGCGTCAATCCAGTGCAGCGGCACCACCATGTAGCCTTTTTTCGCTGGGGACGTCCACAAATCTGTGGTAATACTCGTACAACTCGCACCAACATCCTCTAAAATGAGGCAGCGCAGGATGATCTTCCGAGCCAGGTTTTTCTCCACCTTCCAGCGCTGGATTGCGTGGCTTCGGACTGTCTGGCGGCAAGGTACCTTGTAGGACGGCTGTAATGTTGCGCAGAAAGCGATGGACTTGGGCTGCTCGACGGCCAAAAATGGCTGAGCGTTCGACACGACCCAGTCAACCAGAGCTTGATCGGCGTCGGCTTTGCTGAAGTCACTCCCTAGGCGCTGTTTCACCATACGTTCGAAGCCATGGTAGAATAGATCCGTCTGCCTTGATGTGCTTGCATCCGTACCACCGCCGTACTCGTCTCCGTGGTATTGCTTGAGATGGTTACGCATTGTTGTGTGAGCCGTCGAGTTCCAGACCTGTGTTTTGCCCTCACGCTCGCAGCACTTGCAGGAGTATCTGCCATTACCAAGCTCTTTGATAAATGGCCAGACGTCGGAACGCTTGCGTGACCTCAGCTCGCTGGAGGTAGTGGATCTTTCTACAGCGTTGTTGTGGCCTTCATCATCAGCATCATGGATATCTTCGTCGTCAACGAGAGTGTCGCCTTGCGCGTCTGCCATCCTTGGTCACGGTCGCAACGAAGCAACTCAGAGGGCTCAAGGCCAGATTATGTATCCGGATCCGGATAAGCACTTCCGTTCGATTCAAGTCGACTGGGTATCGACCTGCGTTTTAATGATTTACCTGCTATAACTAGTTTAATGCCAATGTATCGAAAAACCAAATCTCGCAGGTCTTAAGCCTGTTCGATTTGTATTGGATCGAGTCGGATTCAGACGATTCGATCGATTTGAGGGACGTGTCGACTTGAGATCGTGCAAATCCGATTGAATTGCGATACCGAATCGTAACGATTAAATTCTTAGCACCACTAGACGAAAGCATAGCCAATTACAACAAGAACTAGCCGTACTACATAAGTACTACTAGTCGTATTTTTATCGCAAGGTAAATTCTTGCCTAAACGCACGTTGCTACGCTGGAACACGAGGAGCCCCCCCCTCGCGTTTTGGCCCACTGATCCCATCAAGGTCAAGCCTGAGCGTTTCTTAAACGCCGGCCACCCTCGCTTCTACTGCACCTGCCCTCGTGCAGGATTCTCATGCCCTTTTTGTCGCAGTTGGCCTTGTTGAACTCGCATCCATTCTGGTAGGTGACGCCATTGCTTGCACAAACTAGAGGCAGGCTTGGGTTCTCGCACGTACTTAAGTAATGTAGGGAACTCTTGAGCAGCTAAAACCGAGGTCAGCGGAGGTCTCGACGAGCAGGAGCGAGGCGATTACGGCTGCAATGGCGAACTTCATGGCTTCGAGCTTTGGGTGTGTGGTGGGAGGTCTTCAGGTCTGGTGGGCACAGCGAGGCTTCCGGAAGTGTAGCTGTCGTGCGTTGATGGTAAATACCGATGTGAATAGGACCACAGCTCTGTTGTATGATAGCGCTGCAGGGGATCCGCTAAGGAGGGCCCTCGTAATAGAGTCGACATTTGGGAAACAGCCGATTGTGACAAACGCACATTTGGGTCATTCGTAATAGGTACATGTACCAAAACGAGAGCTCGGTTCATAAAGCACTCTCCCACCTCTCATGCGTGTCCACCGCGCCTTCTTCGCCTGGGCATCCCAGCTACAGCAAGGGCAGGGAGTGTCTGCCCAGGCGAAGGTTTTCGCTCAAGAAGAGCTCGACGGCGCGCATGAGGCTGCAGTCACCAAGGCATGGCTCAGCAATCGCGCCGGCAAGGCCCTGCGCACGAAGTGGAAGGCGCTAACGCCAGAAGAGAGAGAGAGCTTCTTGCAGAGCACTGCTAACGACACGTTCCCTCTGGAAAAAGCGCCCAACGGGGTGCTAGACTAGCGCCAAGATGGCGCTCGTTACCCACATCGAGCCCGCGCTGCTATCACTTCGACTGACTCGCGCGTTGGTAGAACCTGCGACGCCCCAGTTCAAGCGCCCGAGTCGGCGGCCGACCAGGCTCTGGCCAAGCTTCTACGACAGCGCAATCAGCTCTGTGGCTCTGTGGCGCGAGCCGCGATGTCGGCAGAGCTGGCTGCTATGGCGATGGCTGTTCGGAAGCGTGATGCCGATGGTGTTGCTGAGTCTGCTGCCGCGGTTATTGAGTGCTTGGGTGCGCAAGTGGCTGGCAGCTTCTCGGCAGGAGCACGAGACATATTACTCGTGTTGATGCGGGATACGGCGGCTCATGTATCTGCCACGAGATCGTATAATTTGTTGCTTTGTGACTCTGAAGCGATGGAAGCTCATGAAATGACGCGAGACTCGGCTCGAGAGGCCGTGGCAACGTTGCGCGACTTTACAACCGACTACAGCGGCGTCAACCCAAGATTTAAGGAGGCTGTGGACAACCAAGTGCCGTTCAATCCCCGATATGCTAGGTATTTGGGATCCCTCGCTTGGCAGAGCCAGCTTGACTCGGGTGGCAACGCTGTGCCGGTAAATGGATCGGATTCTTCCTGTACTGGTGATTTGGGAGCAGAGCCTGAGCTGGATGAAGAAGCTGCCTCCTCGCTGCATTCTGCATCTGATCCAGACCTGCCGGTCCCGGTCCCTAATTCTGACGGAGCGATAGCTGATTCCGCCCTCTCGATGGTCGTCATGAGCGACAAGATCGCTAATACTACGCCAGCTTCGGCGCATGTGAACTCATCGCCTCGCCCATAACTTCCTCGCAGGGGCCCAAGCTCAAAATAGCGAACCTGTGACTACGTGGCCTCTACTGCTCATGCGACCGGTATCCTTCGGGTCGAAGGAAATATCGTGGCTTCAGTCAAGAAAAGGCCAAGGGCTTGTGTACGCAAAATGTCATCCGCACACTATTACTTCGGATGAAGTCCGTCAGCTAGGTTAACTTACACGTAACCTGTAGTGAGAAAGTTAACACGGAAACCATGCTACACTTCTGATGTTTTGATAGGCTTATTTATTAATTTTACTAATAAGTAATGCATCAGCAGTGTTACAAAGGCATAAATTGCAGAAGTGTAGCATAAGTGCATCATACCGAAGTGGTACATAATTGTACATTGCAGAAGTGTATCCCTTCTGCAAGGTGCATTCTGTGACACTTTTGCAACACGCGCAAGTGTAACACTTCTGCATCTAAAATATAAATGACATCTACCTGCATGTTTAAAAGTGAAACATACGAGAAAGGTACTTATGCGTTGGCGCTTACATGCTTGCGCACTAGAGCCCTTATAAAAGTTTAAAGTACAAGGTATGGTGCAAATCTGCAAATTGCATATCTGTGAAACTTCTGTATGGTACAGTGGTACAACTTCGATTGCAGTACATACTGCCCTAAACGTTGTGGGTGTGCTTGTACACGTTAGGTAGACTTTATAGAATACGTGTTAAAGTTAAAACGGGTGTCTGTTAGCGTATCCCCAAGTGCGTGGATGTGCGTGAGACGTTTGGTAGGGCCCGGCCAGGCTTGTGTCGACTCTGAAGCCGTCCTGTTGGTAGGCAGTGGTGACATGAACAAGCCCATTACTTGGGAATATCCCGCCATTCGTGATTGCGTGGAGATGAAGGCTTGGTTGGCTTGAACTGGTAATGAGATGGCTCGTCATCCCTCGCAGAAAACTTGGTGCTGGTGCTGGATTGTTTTGGTTAACTCTTTCTGCAAGCGTGGGATCTCGTGCTGTACCACTTGCCCCATGGTTGACACGATGCGATTGGGCTTTCCTGCGTTTAGTGCGAAGACTTGCGGGTTCGAGGATGCGTGGACGCCAAGCCTCCATCCGGTCGCGGTAGATCCACCAGTGTGGATCATACATCGTAGGAAGTAGTTTCATCCGACCGTTTCACTGAATGATCGAAATCAATTCATGTACACAGGGCCTCCCATTCACGATCCGAAATACACCAGTGCATCCACGGCACGGTTTAGCTCCAGTCAACATTTGAATAGCCTCCTTGCAGAGTTCGTCAGTTGCTCGCAGAGCCCATACCGTGATAATCCGGCCTACTTGAGTGTATCTGTCGTTCCGAAAGAGGTACGGTAGAATCGTAGCATCACGAGCAGCACGAATGCTTACAGCACTTGCTGAAGAGAGCCACCATGGTAGTAACCGAGTAAATGCGGTGTACAGGTCACCATTGCTGTCCTGTAGCCAACGCTTGCATTGGGCATGGATACCCTCCATGGCTGAGGTATCACGATACTCAAATTGCTTGTACTTGTTCGTCCAACACCGGACGATTTTAGTCTTGTACTTCCACCAATGAGCCTCCAAGTAGGCCGCCAGTACCGGAGACAAGTCTTTCAAAATCACACATTGCAATTCAAAGTCACTTTCAGTGCTTGCTTCCACTGCCCTATAGAAGAATGACATGAAGACCTCGGTCTGCCAAGTATTTTCCCACTTATCTTGGCCAGGAAGGGGGTTCTCCACTTGAACCTGGCCAAGAACGCTGCGAACCTTTGCCAATACGTTCTGGTTCAGATGCCATCTGCAGACTAGTGACGGAACCTCAGGAAACACAGAGTCAAGAGCATTCATCACGGCCAATTCACGATCGGTTAGATTGACCGATGGAAGTTGGATAACATGCTCGTCAATCAATTCGCGAAATCGCATCAAAAATCAAGTGTAGTCATTGTCTTTTAGTCCAGGTAAGAAACACTGCGCCACGGGCAGAACAGTATTCATTCCAGTCATTGCGATGACGTTCACTAGTGGCAGGTCGTACTTGTTTGTCTTGAACGTACCATCCATTATCAGAACATCACAGTGTAACTTGTACAGGCGAAGTGTAGCAGGATGCGGCCACAGCAAATACAGAAGCTCGTTTGTGGCTGGGTTGATCTCATATCTGAAGAAAAAATTATGATTGTTCAACAGAGTAAAAAGAGCTTCAAGCGGGGTCTGCGTCGCCATGGCGCCCTCATTTTGAGGTTTCCAATATCTTTCGGGAGCGCAAGAGAACCAGGGGTGCTGTGGAGGATGGCCGCTCGAATCTTGGCCACTGGAATACCGGCAGCTGTCTGACCGACAATAGTTTCCTCCATGCTCTGTTGAGTAAGCGATAGACCTGCTGCAGCACGCTGCCGGTGTGCGGCGTGGACACGAACATCGTCTACCGCAGGGTGATTGTGTACCTCACTGTTATCACGAGTGTGTACAATTTTCCAAGGTCCCTCGATGTCAGACTTAGAGACCGCGCACATTTTTAACGGCATGGGGCATCCACAACGCTTCGAGCCACGCATGGACCGCTGTCGCTCGCTATCCACCAAATGCTGCGTGCACTTTGGCCACCCTGCTCGATCGCACTCATAGCTGCGCGCCCACACAATTTTGGTACCAGGTAAATACCGAACCCGTCGTCGAGAGACGTTGTAATAGTGCTCCAATGTCCACTGATGTATCGCTGCCTCAGCTGCATCGTGCGATTCGTACGTAAGCTGAGGTGGTGGCGGAAGAATGTAGATTTCGTCCACCATACGGAGGTCGGTCCCACTCATTCCGATCTCACCGGACTCCGTTTGCGCTACGTCGTCTGCATCGACCACCGCTGAGTTGTCGAGACGCTTTTCCTCCTCAGAAAGCTGATGAGTACAAACCAAAGCCAGCAATTTGTCGTCAACCCAGTCCTACTCCGAATCTATTTCATCACAGACAGGTAGATCATCGTCCAAATTGAAGTCAGGAAAGTCGAATTCGTGGACGGCGCTGGAGATGTTGAAGTCTTCTCGTATCAAGTCCATGATAGAGTCTTCGTCTTCGCCATCACTTTCCCAATCTCCGTCGTCGTCAGAATTCCCATGGTACGACTCAGCGTTCACGCTAGCGGCTACTCCATCGCTATCAACGTCGAAATTACCCAGAACGCTAAAACCCAGGTCACTGACATCAACCGAGACACCGGCCGAAACTCCAGCCGAGACACTAGCTGAGAACTCACTTGCTGCGCAGCCGACCAAAGCTGCCTCGTAGTGAGCATCAGAGTGGCGGTAAGGCATCGATACTCGCGTCTGGATAGGTGTTGTTGTTCGTAGTGTGTTGGTCTGCCGACACCACGTCGGATGCTGGATGTGGTAGTAATGCACGTTTCGGAGTAGATGTCGGTGTTCTTAGAGTAGTGCCTGCGGACAACGCGGGTGAAAGGATGCTGGGGGTGCTAAGACGAAGAAGCACTGCCAGCTCTAGTGTATTATCGGGTACAACTATGTTTATAGCATGTAACGGCCAGGTAATTACCTCGTAAAAACGACTGAGGCGAAGAAGCTAGCAGTGGTTCCAGCACAAGTGATAGAGGCATACATCAGAACGTGGCAGTAGTCTCTGCGTGTTTTAAAACAATTCTAGGTTTCAAATTAATTAAAGTGTACATATCGTAACCAAGATAGTACGCTTTGTCTTATAAAATATTCTGCTAAGCCGTAGTATTTTTGTAAGCAAAAAAGCATTCGCACTCGCATACCATAAACAAAGTAAATTTACCTAAGTGAACATGTATTTGAGCTTAAACATTCTGGCTAGAGGTCGAACCGTGTTGAGCCAAAATATGAGAACGAAGCGTGCTTTGCACCTCAAAAAAAAAAACTTGGCTGCAATAGTTGCAGGGATACTCACCGCGGCGATTTTGCTGCTCCCGCCGAGCGATACGATGCGCGAGCCCATCCGGGTTCTGCAGGCAGAAATACCGGTGCTGCCGAATTCGGGCCGAAACTCGTTCGGTGCGACCGCAGTATTGGCATACTAATAGCGAATTAGACACCACGTCTGGTCTCCAACCAAGGTCTCGAAAAAACAAGTAGCAATGAAGCCTATAGTTGGAAGTAGTATACCCCACACCACTATGAAATAAATCGCCACGAAACACAACTGCATATCCAGTAGGGATCTCCAAATCAATCTCCATTTCAGGGCGGGCAAAGTCAAAGCAGCGGGGAAACAACCGCGGTCTTGTCCCGCGTTGGATGGCAATAATAACACTAGCCGGAATGCTGCCCGGGTAGCGGGCATGCCCAGCACCTCGCACTTCGTCTGCATAGTCTTGATGAGGTTCCTGGTATAGACCCCAGGTCGCGAGTGCATGAACGAAAACACACAGGGTCCGTAGTTGGAGTCGCGGGTAGCTGCATCCTCAAGGATTGCAGCGGAAACACGTCGAAGGGGAGGTGTCATGCGCTGAACTCGCGATTGACTTCTGAACATATCATCTTCGGCTCCGCCTACTTCTCGAAACACAGGTCTGTAGGTCCGAGACTCTGCTTCTAGGTAGAGCTCATCAATAGTCGCTTGGGAAACTTGCAGGTAGAACACGGCGTAGCCAGACGCTGGAAAAGCAGGGCGCATCATCAGCACAACGAGATCTGAAAAATGGCAAGCACTCAATCCCTCTTATTATTTGCTAGTAGTCTAAAGTAAACTTCGCCTCGGATGCTTATTTATAGTAGAGCTATGATCGTCGGCAACGGTATCATTTCCACAGAGCGTTGCCGACGATTTCGGTACATGCACCTATTACGAATGACCCAAATGTGCGTTTGTCACAACCGGCTGTTTCCCAAATGTCGACTCTATTACGAGGGCCCTCCCGATGAGGGCCCTCCTTAGCGGATCCCCGCTGCAGCTCCAGCTAACCAGGGATGATGTAATCCTAGTTGTCGTTATATTAGTAACTAAACTGGATGTTTGGCATATGACACACATATGGAACGCAAGATAAATATCCAGAAGAACTTTCTCTGGGAAGCGAGTACTGCAGTGGCCCACAGAAAACTAGGCAGGGGTTGGGAGTCATCTCCATACCATTAGCGGTCAAAACACAGCAAGCGAAGCACGCACTTCTCTGGTTAACGCAGCGCCCTGATATTTACACACCTGCATGGCAGTACTGGACGAGTCAAGAAACGGAGCTACCCACGAGACGAATATGCGGTAGAAGTACGTACAAGTTGCCTCTTTTTTCGCTAGCAGGAGCGTCAGTGCGCGGTATATTTTCTTCGGATCACAATCATTGAAGCGCTCGCTGATTCTCAGCCAGCTGGCTTTTCGTGTAGACAAATTTGATGTACTGGGAATACCTACACCTTTACTTGATACTGTATTGCATGTATGCTTCTTACAGAATATAAATTCTCTACCGGAGCGGAAGTCCGCGTATTTTCAAAAGACTGCGCGCTACCTCATTTGGTGTTTTAGGTCATCATCTAAACGTTCTACTGTAGTTGCTGGCTGCGTTAGTGAAAACGTACCATGCAATTGTCATCCTAAAAGACATATTGATACAGGCGTCCCCGGCCTATTCGCCACAGTGGTACTAATGATGTTTGCGAATCAACAAGATTCACGCAGTCTGAACATAAATGAGTATGTACTGACTTACTACAAGCTTAGCTCAAGAATCGGTGGAGGTATTTCCGCAACGTGCCACTTGTCGCAGTAGGTCTCGCTGTACACTCATCTAAATCAATATGTTTGCAGAAGTAGCGCGCTCGTAGCGAACACGGTCAACTAATAATAGCATATAGAGCAACTGTACTCGACAACTTCGCTATTGTAGCTACAAGGAACCACCAACGCAAACCGCAAGCGTATTTAGCATGGCTATACTAGGTAGGTTTTGCATCTGAATTTCGGAGGTGAAGGAGCTCTAGTGAGAGCCCCCAACCGGGGGAGAGTGCATGTTTTGCAAACACTTCGCCGAAATAGGCATGTTTTATCGTTTCCCCCAATTTGACGTGTTATTAACGATTGCGAAAGGGTCCCCACGAGTTTAACGCCAGACCACGCAGGTGCACCACGCCTTCCCCAAGGACATTAAGCCGCGACTGTATGTTGCTCTTCATCGAGATTGCTACCCTATCCGAAGGCTAAGTTTCAATCTGAATTTGAGCGGGTGTCGCGCACATATTTACATCTTCTTGCAGACCCCATTCGTGGTTGCGCAACAAAAGCATTCATTTAGTGCATGTATTTACATTGGTACACTAATACTGGTTGCTGCTGTAGGACAAATCCGACAAGTTACTGGAGGAAGAGTAGCCCGTGAGTCCGCTCGAGTTGGTGCCCTCGTGGTTCTTCATGCCCAGCAGCTTGGCACGCGCGATGTCCATGGCGCTCATGCCCGTCACCTCCTTGTAGCACGCGGCACAGAAAATCACCTTGCGCTGCATCATCTGCAAGTCCGGGTCCACGAAGCTCAGCTTCCTCACGATCCTGCACGCGCTGCACACGTAGCCGAAGCAGAGTTTACAGGTGCGGTGGGTCTTGCCAAAGTCGCCCAGCCGACGTCCGCCCACTGGGGACGTGCATGTGACGCAGGTGCTGCTCTTGTTGGGGGCGCCGCGTGACTTGGACTCGGCGTACCGCCGCTCAAGCATGTAGGACAGCTTGCGCATGAGTCCGCAGTAGACGTACTCGAGGCTGCCGAGGAACAAGGTGGCCACGACCGGCAGCACGAGCTTGCGGATAAGTCCGTCGTCAACTGGGTCGATGATGCCCGTCGCGTACATCTCCATGGTGTTGTCGTTCACTTGGCGCCAGTACGCGATGAAGGAGATGTTGCCCCGCACGCGGTTCGGCAGCGTGTGGGTCTGCGGGAAATTGACCGAGTGCAGCAAGCTGTAGCCCAAGCGCTCGCCCGCCGCGTTCTTGACGATGCCGATGCCCTCGAGGTAGATGTAGTCGCGGTTCTTGATGAGTCCCGTCGAGTTGAAGGGGATGTCGAGCTCCATCCACTTGACGACGAGCGACCGGAAGGGGTCTTCGAGGGACGGCATGACCACGCCGTCCAGCACGGCGGCGGCGCTGAAGCTGTCGGCGTACGAGGCCTTGAGTCGCATGGTCTCGAGGTCTTCGCTGATGATGCCGAACATGAGGTCGTCCAGCTTGCCCTCCTTGGTGCCGACGCAGAGAATCGTGGGCAGCCCCGCTCCCGTGGTCTCGTCGGGAGTGGCCAAGCCTATGCTATCCGGACGCTCAGAGTAGATGCGCAGCCCCTTCCTCTCTTTGAGAGGCTTCCAGCGGCGAGGGTCCACCTTTCGTCCCGAGCTCATGAACTTCATACACAGGTCGAGGTTGCTCATGATGTAGGTGTTGGCTAGATCTTCGAGCGAGACCCTGTCGACGTCGGTTAGAGCGAGCTCCGGGAAGGGGTTGACGGTGTAGCGCTCCTTCATTTTAGGCAGCTTTTTGGAGGGTAGCTGAAGGTGCCTTTAGGTGGGTTTTGCTCAATCAGCAAGTGCACGACTGACGTACGCCGTGGCAGGAAGTTGTCGATGCTCCTAATTACGCGATATGGCGGACACCGGCGCCTATGGTCACTCATAAGGCGTCTAGAACGACGCAACTTCTTCGGATAAGACGGTGATGTGTGGGCCCATGAAAAGTTGCGTACTCGACCAACTGGACGCAGATTTTTTTCACGATACTATTCTTGGATTGAGAGTAACCAATCTAAACGGCGTAGGACCCTTGGCTCACAGCGTAGGCATCGCACTACCGGCGATCTTATCTTCAGAATTACGATTACGTCTTGCACAGGCAAATATCTGAGCTCATTTGTCCAAGAGAATCTCAAGTTGAGGGCTTGCAGCTCATACAAACGGTAGCTGGGCTATTGTGTTGTGCATCTGGCGATGCGGGGAATGATGGAAAAATGTCTGTGGCGCTGGACGTGATGTGCTTTGGCTCAAGATACTGAGTTGGCTCTGCTAACAGCCTCTCCCCATTGAGACTTCAAGCCCGGAAGTCTCACATCAGCGATTCTCAAGTTTCGCTCTCGTCTCGACGCTGCGACATCGAGTTGAAGAGGCTGAAAACACGATGCGGTATGGCAAAGATACTTGTCCATGTTGAAGTGGACCAGTGGGTCCTCGAAGCTTATTATCGATAAAAACAACTTTTTTTCGGCAGCCCAGCCTGAACATCGGTGTCTTATCCAAACCAATTGCGTTCTCCCGACACCCAATGAGTAACCTGTGCAGGTGGCGTATCAGATCCGCTCAGGCGAGGCGCGAAATAAGGCGTAGATATTCTACCTCGACGAACTCGACCCTTCCGTCCACCCTCAATCCCCCAAAATCGAGTGGACGAGACCTCCTCATCGACCAGCACATACGACCTCCGTGGCCGTTGGCGAACTCAAAATGAAGGAGCGCTACACCGTCAACCCCTTCCCGGAGCTCGCTCTAACCGACGTCGACAGGGTCTCGCTCGAAGATCTAGCCAACACCTACATCATGAGCAACCTCGACCTGTGTATGAAGTTCATGAGCTCGGGACGAAAGGTGGACCCTCGCCGCTGGAAGCCGCTCAAAGAGAGGAAGGGGCTGCGCATCTACTCTGAGCGTCCGGATAGCATAGGCTTGGCCACTCCCGACGAGGCCACGGGAGCGGGGCTGCCCACGATTCTCTGCGTCGGCACCAAGGAGGGCAAGCTGGACGACCTCATGTTCGGCATCATCAGCGAAGACCTCGAGACCATGCGACTCAAGGCCTCGTACGCCGACAGCTTCAGCGCCGCCGCCGTGCTGGACGGCGTGGTCATGCCGTCCCTCGAAGACCCCTTCCGGTCGCTCGTCGTCAAGTGGATGGAGCTCGACATCCCCTTCAACTCGACGGGACTCATCAAGAACCGCGACTACATCTACCTCGAGGGCATCGGCATCGTCAAGAACGCGGCGGGCGAGCGCTTGGGCTACAGCTTGCTGCACTCGGTCAATTTCCCGCAGACCCACACGCTGCCGAACCGCGTGCGGGGCAACATCTCCTTCATCGCGTACTGGCGCCAAGTGAACGACAACACCATGGAGATGTACGCGACGGGCATCATCGACCCAGTGGACGACGGACTTATCCGCAAGCTCGTGCTGCCGGTCGTGGCCACCTTGTTCCTCGGCAGCCTCGAGTACGTCTACTGCGGACTCATGCGCAAGCTGTCCTACATGCTTGAGCGGCGGTACGCCGAGTCCAAGTCACGCGGCGCCCCCAACAAGAGCAGCACCTGCGTCACATGCACGTCCCCAGTGGGCGGACGTCGGCTGGGCGACTTTGGCAAGACCCACCGCACCTGTAAACTCTGCTTCGGCTACGTGTGCAGCGCGTGCAAGATCGTGAGGAAGCTGAGCTTCGTGGACCCGGACTTGCAGATGACGCAGCGCAAGGTGATTTTCTGTGCCGCGTGCTACAAGGTGACGGGCATGAGCGCCATGGACATCGCGCGTGCCAAGCTGCTGGGCATGAAGAACCACGAGGGCACCAACTCGAGCGGACTCACGGGCTACTCTTCCTCCAGTAACTTGTCGGATTTGTCCTACAGCAGCAACCAGTATTAGTGTACCAATGTAAATACATGCACTAAATGAATGCTTTTGTTGCGCAACCACGAATGGGGTCTGCAAGAAGATGTAAATATGTGCGCGACACCCGCTCAAATTCAGATTGAAACTTAGCCTTCGGATAGGGTAGCAATCTCGATGAAGAGCAACATACAGTCGCGGCTTAATGTCCTTGGGGAAGGCGTGGTGCACCTGCGTGGTCTGGCGTTAAACTCGTGGGGACCCTTTCGCAATCGTTAATAACACGTCAAATTGGGGGAAACGATAAAACATGCCTATTTCGGCGAAGTGTTTGCAAAACATGCACTCTCCCCCGGTTGGGGGCTCTCACTAGAGCTCCTTCACCTCCGAAATTCAGATGCAAAACCTACCTAGTATAGCCATGCTAAATACGCTTGCGGTTTGCGTTGGTGGTTCCTTGTAGCTACAATAGCGAAGTTGTCGAGTACAGTTGCTCTATATGCTATTATTAGTTGACCGTGTTCGCTACGAGCGCGCTACTTCTGCAAACATATTGATTTAGATGAGTGTACAGCGAGACCTACTGCGACAAGTGGCACGTTGCGGAAATACCTCCACCGATTCTTGAGCTAAGCTTGTAGTAAGTCAGTACATACTCATTTATGTTCAGACTGCGTGAATCTTGTTGATTCGCAAACATCATTAGTACCACTGTGGCGAATAGGCCGGGGACGCCTGTATCAATATGTCTTTTAGGATGACAATTGCATGGTACGTTTTCACTAACGCAGCCAGCAACTACAGTAGAACGTTTAGATGATGACCTAAAACACCAAATGAGGTAGCGCGCAGTCTTTTGAAAATACGCGGACTTCCGCTCCGGTAGAGAATTTATATTCTGTAAGAAGCATACATGCAATACAGTATCAAGTAAAGGTGTAGGTATTCCCAGTACATCAAATTTGTCTACACGAAAAGCCAGCTGGCTGAGAATCAGCGAGCGCTTCAATGATTGTGATCCGAAGAAAATATACCGCGCACTGACGCTCCTGCTAGCGAAAAAAGAGGCAACTTGTACGTACTTCTACCGCATATTCGTCTCGTGGGTAGCTCCGTTTCTTGACTCGTCCAGTACTGCCATGCAGGTGTGTAAATATCAGGGCGCTGCGTTAACCAGAGAAGTGCGTGCTTCGCTTGCTGTGTTTTGACCGCTAATGGTATGGAGATGACTCCCAACCCCTGCCTAGTTTTCTGTGGGCCACTGCAGTACTCGCTTCCCAGAGAAAGTTCTTCTGGATATTTATCTTGCGTTCCATATGTGTGTCATATGCCAAACATCCAGTTTAGTTACTAATATAACGACAACTAGGATTACATCATCCCTGGTTAGCTGGAGCTGCAGCGCTATCATACAACAGAGCTGTGGTCCTATTCACATCGGTATTTACCATCAACGCACGAAAGCTACACTTCCGGAAGCCTCGCTGTGCCCACCAGACCTGAAGACCTCCCACCACACACCCAAAGCTCTAAGCCATGAAGTTCGCCATTGCATCCGTAATCGCCTCGCTCCTGCTCGTCGAGACCTCCGCTGACCTCGGTTTTAGCTGCTCAAGAGTTTCCTCCATTACGTGCGAGAACCCAAGCCTGCCTCTAGTTTGTGCAAGCAATGGCGTCACCTACCAGAATGGATGCGAGTTCAACAAGGCCAACTGCGACAATAAGGGCATGAGAATCCTGCACGAGGGCATGTGCAGTAGAAGCGAGGGTGGCCGGCGTTTAAGAAACGCTCAGGCTTGACCTTGATGGGATCAGTGGGCCAAAACGCGGGGGGAGGCTCCTCGTGTTCCAGCTTAGCAACGTGCGTTTTAAGAATTTACCTTGCGGTAAAAATACGACTAGTAGTACTTATGTAGTACAGCTAGTTCTTGTTGTAATTGGCTATGCTTTCGTCACAAGATTCGTTCGGAAGACCCCGCTGACTACACGATGATCTGCAGGATGCAGGATGGAGCAGGTCATCACGGCGTTGTCCGCGTCGCAGAAGACATGCCCAACGAGATGACGTAGACACGGCGGCGCACGCTCGAGACGTGTGCGAATGTGGACGTGTACAGTATATCGTACTTTAGATTGGACTGGGGCTGTAAATCGGAGTACAGGCGTCCCCGGCCTATTCGCCACAGTGGTACTAATGATGTTTGCGAATCAACAAGATTCACGCAGTCTGAACATAAATGAGTATGTACTGACTTACTACAAGCTTAGCTCAAGAATCGGTGGAGGTATTTCCGCAACGTGCCACTTGTCGCAGTAGGTCTCGCTGTACACTCATCTAAATCAATATGTTTGCAGAAGTAGCGCGCAAATCTTGAGAGCTTGTTGTACTTCCTATGCGAGGTACATTAAAATATACAGCCGGGACTCGCCCGCCCGGGGACCCCTGTAATGGATACATTGATGCGCGAAGGATTTATAACAGGTCACAGAGCAGTTAGGGCTCACTTAGGTCACATACAAGCCCAAGATAATAGCATTTATTCGCTTAATTACGAATGTTGGGCTAGGTGAGCTGTGCGGGCTCCCCATGACGTCTGCATGCAATAGTGCTCGAGCGCTTCGGGCCAGACTCGATGGTAACACCCCCCATAACAATCGGGAGCGTTGGCACGAGTTTTTTCTTGAGTCTTGTAGCCACAGCACTCAGAAATGTGCAGGTGTGACGTAGCCCCCCTATGACCTGTAATAGACTCTACCGACATACCCACACGTGTTTCTCGCATGATGTTGGTGTTGCACTGGTAAGTGACGTTGGCCTCCAGCCGTTATACTCGGCGGGGGTCTGGGAGTGCGAACCCCATAACACACTATTAAAAGCGACCGTGCTTCCTGTTGAAGGGATGCAGGTGCTGTAGGTTCATGATCCTGGCACTTGGTGTTTGGCGTGTAGAGATTTGTAGAGACTTTTGGTATTCATAAAAATTTGGAAATAGGCAAATCTGTAGCAGCTATTTATTAATTTGCAGTCTGTCGTTACATGCAAGTTTTTGTCACATACCGGTACAAATCAATTTTGAGTGATCGGCCAGCTGACTTGAATTATTTATGGACTTCCATTTGATACTAGAACCAAGTTTAATAGAGTGCTAACCAGGTGGTCCACACAAACTTACCAATCAACTTGAAGTTTGTGGCCTAACAATCGACAACTTGGACACTAGCTTGAAGTTTGTGGCCCAACAATCGACAACTTGGGCACTAGCTTGAAGTTTGTGGTCTAACAATCGACAACTTGGGCACTAGCTTGAAGTTTGTGGTCTAACAATTGACAACTTGGACATCACTGTGGCTTGGAAGGAGCGAGATTGATCGACGTCACGACTAGAAACCGCAGCCATTGTGAAGGTGGTGGCAGCGGCACCACTGTGTACAAAGCGATCTTGTCTCGAGACGAGGAAGACCTGCTGCAGCATCTTAGCGGCGGACAGTGAAAGCGGCTGATCGGATGGAGTCGAGGCGTAACAGTTATGAATTGTGTGGTGAGGATACATTGGTGGTAAATGAAGGGGCGTAAATTGTGGAGGTTTACGTGTTAATGCTCTTGGTATTGCTAGGAGGAGACGGAGGAGGAGGAATTGAGAGTGGCGAATGAGGCTTGTAGTTGATGTGAGCAGAAGGAAGGAAATCCGAAAGTGAGGTTATTTGAGTGTTCCTTCCTACTCCTGTAGCTCTCCTAGTGTCTCCCTCGTTTGTCTTCATTTCACTGTATGCATGTCACACATGAGTGGGACGGGCACGGGCCGTCAGTCCCAGGACGGGTACGGTCCATACTCAAACAGAGTTGGGACGGACACGGCTGTCTCGTCAATGCATGTGATTATCCCATGCTAATCACAGCTGTTGATACGACTTCAACCGTCTCGCCCAATCATATCCACGCGACCCCAGATGATCCGCCAATCAGGTCGCAGCATTCGCTTCACTTCTAGGCTAGAGGCACGCGCCACCCACGCGCAGGCCATGCGGATTGTGCACCGCGACAGAAGATAAGGATGGGGAACTGCCACTTTACGGATGAAGCTACGGGCGTCGGCCATTTTCCGAGCTTTAAGCCCACTACCTTCTGCCAGAATATGTATGATCAGGTGTGGGAAAGAGCGCCGCATTATCTACGTGATCAACAGAAAGTACCACCAGCAGGCCAAAGCTCACTCCAAAGTACATGTACCTACAGGTAGTTAGTTGCCTGGGGGACAACTCGAAGTTTAGACTTTGGTGTTGGGAAACGCTGAGGTAAACAGAGTTATTGTGGGTGTGATCCTGTTATTGCTGAGCATCTCCGTGCTCAGCAAGGATGTTGCACTGACAAGTGGCACTTGTACGCGGGTCCGCTGCTCTCCAATTAATTTGTTATGTCGAAGGGGGTTTCGTAGTTTGCCTTAGTATGAAACTCATGTTACTGTGTCAAGAAAATAGACAGACCAGGTACAAGCAGAGGTCGGAAAATAAAATATCATATTGTATTTTGGTTTTGGAGTCGCAGTAATAATCATTGCAATACAAGGTCAGCCAATAATACAGTATTTTCACAATTATTGGCAATAAATATATAGGGGATTTTTGTAGTAAGCTTAGTTTTTGTATTAGCGCAAGTGTTGATACTAATTTTCCATTGTACGGGAGCACCCTAAAGCAATAATAAATTATTCCGTGCTAAAAATGCCGTAACTATTGTATTGAAACTATTTTTTCCAACCCCTGGGTACAAGCTCAAGTTGCAAGTTGTGACGGAGTACAACTAAACTTACAAGGATTTCATGATTTTTTTGCCGGCACGTAGCTAATAAAAAGCTGCACCAGACTGTACCCACCCACGAGCACAAGAAACAATGTTTAGATAGATTACGCTTTATAGTACAGTATGTATTATCGCCGTGGGGAAAGAAGTAACAAATCGAGTAACTTAATTTTGTGCCCAATTCGCCACGTTTCAGGAAGGATCTCAGACAGCAGCTATTGTCCTTGGCAGACGCGCGATGAAGGTCGAGATTACCCTAGTGTAGTGGCCGGGCCGCACGGAATTTTACTTGGTGGAGGACGGGAGGCGCAGCAAACGCGAAATATTGGATAAAACAGGGATGTCTATGTTGAAATGTTGCGAGTCAACGTGAACTTGAGCGTGGGTCTTCTTCCGGGTGGCTTTAGCGGGACCTTCCGCGACACTGTCACACTCAGAAATGCGAGCTTAATCTTTAGATCAAGTGGCAAAGCGTGCGCCGTAGGGGTCAAGTGATGCGCCATGAAGTCTCCAGCATACTTATCGTAGTCAGTTGGCACGACCAGATCCACACGTTCCAGGTTTGGGCTCGTCTCGAGCATTCGCAGAAGACATTGCATACGTCCATCATGGGGCCCTGGAACATACCTTTCATCCCAATGTGGCAGTGCGAGTTGGAACCCAACTGGCGCACACACCTCACCAAAGCGTATCTGGTATCGCTTAAACACTTCGCTATTTCTTCGACCTGGTTCCATTCGGTCGGCAAGCAAGACTCGTTCGGGTCGAAAACGTAGCTGTCCTGGGTCAAATGGAACTCTATCACCCTCCCGCACAAATTCAGCTCGTCCAAATTGGGGCAGCTCTGAAGTATCATTCCCACGTCTAAGGCTTCAGTTGGCTCAACGATAACCAAGTGCTGTAGAGTGGGCCCGATGGTAGCGAGGAAAAGTGGAAGACTGTCCGTAATTTCCGTGTCGTACGTCAAGCAAATCTGCAGCGACTTCAGGACGCTGTTCTGCTCGCCTGTAACTTGGTCGGACGGATAGCAATCCTCCCGCTGAACTGGCAACGCCCATTTCCTGGAACCAGTACATTCACCCATTCGCTCTCGCCGTCGTCACTAAACGTTCTCACATATGAAACTTCAGAATCAAATCGAAGGTTGGTAGAGCTTTGAAACGGGATACCTCTCGAGTAAAAGTCGCATCGAATCGGAGCACCCGCCCTCAGTGTTACATCACGCTCGGGAACGGAGCCGCGAGGAGAATCAAACAGTTCTTCTTCTGGATGATCCGAGTTCAAGACAGCAACGAAAGCCTCCATGTCAACAATGCTGATGCTACGTAAATCCATCAGACCAAGCGAAATCAGTGCATTGCAGTCACTAAGAGACCGAGACTCTCGAAAGCACTGCGCTCTTGCAGGTGCTACGTAGGTCAAGATTGCACAGACCACTAACACGCTCGGTGTCGCCCGCAACAGTAAGCTAGGAAACACCGATGTACTCTGTTCTGGTCAAAATCAAGAATGATCCGTGCTCTTTCAGTGTTGTTGTGTAGGGGAAAGCTTCGCAAGCCTCAAAACCCCCGCAGACCTACTTTGACTATACTGGTCCCTGCTACGAGGGAGTGCACTCGTGCACGAGCAATTCCTAGAAGTCCGCGGACATCTCTCCGGAATTCTCCCTTGCAGTCACCGTCACTCACAACCACCACTTCAACCTAACTGCCGGACACACACTCCGCAAGTATGTTCCTGCAGCCATAGCGACCTGACTCGCAGCCAAGTCTCGTACTCCCACTTCGCTGTGGATGCAGAACACTACAGACCATGAACACACTCGGGTAGAAAAACCTACATGCATTCAAAAAGAAACCACACAAAATGAACCTCGCAATCCTAAAGTCTTGGTTGCCATTGGGCGGTCTCGACCACCTTTCACCTCACGCCTCGGCGCCGCACCGGCACGCAGACACACTTAGCGCTGCTACCAAGCTTTGCGGACATCTTCGAGATTGAGCTTGTCGCGCAGACGCTCAAACACACACGGCCCCAATGCTTTGGTAAAAATGTCCGCAACATTCTTCGCACTTGGTACATACTCCAGAACCAGCTTGCCACGATCCACCATTTCCGCAATATATCTTGTCTTCTTGGCCAAATGCTTCTGGTTCTGAGAGTTGCCGTTGTTTGCCACCTCGTGAATAACACTCTGGTTATCGCAAAACAACGTGGCTTCCTTCTTCTGTGGCATCCGGATGTCTTTCAGCAGAAGTTGGGTCCACTTGATCTCCTTCGTGCACTTGTGCGCGGAAATCAGCTCTGCAGCACATGAGTCATCGGCCACACTGCCCTACTTCTTACTCTGCCAGTGCCAAACATTACCATTCAAGAGCAGCACCCATCCGCTCACGGACTTACTCGAGTCAGGACATCCAGCATGACCCGCATCCGCAAATGCGTCAATGACCACACCCTCACTTCCAATATCCTCATACCGATACACCAATCCCAAGTCCTTGGTGCCTCGCAGGTACCGTAGTGTTCCTTGAGCCAGCCTGAAGTTCTCCTTGGTGTATGCACCACCGTACCTCCCAAGCGTTCTCACCACATTGGCCAAATCCGGTCGAGTACAATGCACCAGGTACTGCAAAGAGCCAACGATTTCGCGAAAAGGTAGCTTCGGGTCGTTGATCAGAGCTGGTTCCTTCTCTACTTTCAGCGTCGGCTCGTTTTGCATCTGCGGAGATCTCACTGTCCTTGCCTCTGCCATACCAAACTTCTCCAACAATCGCTCTACGTACGATGTCTGCGGAATACACAGCATCTTTTCTGGTTCATAGTTTATCTCCATGCCTAGTAAGAATCTGACACGCCCCAAGTCTTTCAGCTTGAACTTCGCGCCGAGATCCTTCACCACCTTGTCAATGTCCGCAGTGTCGCCGACGATCACCAAGTCGTCAACATAGACCGTGACGTAGATAATGTTGTTGTCGCCTCGCTTCCAGTAGATACCAGCGTCGAAGGTACACTTCTGAAATCCTAGCGCTTCCAAGTGCTTGTGAAGTGTTTGGTTCCATATGCGTGATGCCTGCTTCAGACCGTACAGGCCTTTCAACAGCATGCACACTCTACCATTACCGTCGTCATACCCCTCGGGCTGCTCCATGTAAATCTTCACACCACTCAGCACTCCGCTCAGAAACGCTGTGATGAAGTCTATCTGGCGAGCATCTAGTCCAAGTAGTAGCGCTAGAAACAAGATCAATCGCACTGACTCAATCCGCACCACTGGAGAGTACGTCTCCAAGTAGCCTATTCCATACTTCTGCCTGTATCCTTTTATCGCGAGTCTTGCCTTGTGCCGATCAATCATTCCCTTTTCATTCCGTTTTAGCGTCAGCACCCAAAGACAACTTAGCACATTCACAGGATTGTTTCGTGTCGACTTCGGTCTAGGTACCAAAAGCCACGTTCCATTCGCCATAAATGACTCGTACTCATCATCCATTGCGCGCTGCCACTGCGCAGCATGCTCCGACGCTAGCGCTTCTTGCACACTCGTGGGGTTCAGCAAGCTACTCACGACAGCAATCATCATACACTGCAAAATTGTCTGTGCCATCGTCCATCTGCTTGGGCTGTACCTCTGCGTTTGACGGCGAGCCCGGGGAGATCTACGCGTAGGAGTTGCATAAACCTTTGATGCTGGAGCTGCACCATGGTTGCACCTGAGCTGGCATCAGCATAGCTGTTAACCGTGCAAACACGAACTAAACCAACGCCATCTGAGCTCTCACAGTGTCCTTTCCAGTCAAGAAATGCCATGTCTTCATCTTCCTCGAGAAAGTCAAATGCAGATTCAGACGTGCAGACATGTACTCCAATACCAGTGTCCAACATCCACTCGTGCGGATGAAGTTTCGAAGTAGTAGCCATTACCATACGGTCCTCCACCGCCTGGATCATGCCAATACTTTTACGTCGGGCCGAATCCTTCATCCACCGCATCAATCCCACGGTTTCAGACTTCTTCTTTTTCTTGGCTGGGGCTCTTCCTGCATCACTATCATCGTCGTTGTCCGAATCGTTCTGCTTCTTCTTCTTCAAATCAGCTAGACGAAACTTACAGAAAGCTTGCAAGTGACCCTTCTTGCCGCAGTAATGACACTGTAACAGGTTGGCAGTACAATCACCGCCATCTGCTGGACATGTGCAAAAGGTGACGACGACAGGCGCAGTTGCAGGCGACCCTCGAGCCGTCGCAGTGTCATGATAGTTCATAAAATCAAAATGCAATACATTCGTGAATTTTTATTCGGCTCTGTACATGTACAGACTCGCACGCAGATTTTGGAATGGAGACAGAATTCGTGTATTAGTTGTGGCAGTCAAACCTATGCACGATAACAGCAGCTACTTATTCTTTCGAGTACACCTCATCTCCTGCCTAACTCAAAACGTGCGCAAGCGCTTGGTAGCAACTTCCATTCATCCAACAGTTCATATTTCAACAGTTCATATTTCAACCCAAGAGCTCGAACCGAAATGACAGTTGGTAGATCAAACCCGACTGCAGCTTCCAGGCCATCTCGACGAAAGTCCAACTCGTCTATCGGGGGCTGGAAATCCTCAATCACATCAGCCCGGACAATGAAACAAATCTCCACTTTGTATATCCATACCGAGTTGTGAAATTGAGTCACCAGCCGCGTCAAGTGATCCTTGAAGTAATCGATCAGGAAAAAAATGCTCCATTGAGCTCGCCACTTGCACAAAACGAACGAGCATCTTCGACGTGCATCCAGCCTGTCTAGCCTGGATATCTATCACACCCAGGTCACACAGTTCAATGAACACGGCATCGTAGCCACCATAGTTCCAACTTGTCGGCACCAGCCACTGCTGTCCCCGGTCCATGGGTATTTCGCCTTCTGTACCAAAGCGCGGCATGAGACCGAAACTACTCGCATTCCCGGCTTTCCACACGTCGAATATTTGACCGTGCTTAGTCGAGTACAAGACAGCACCTGAGGAACTAAGCGACGCGAAAAGCCACATCACAAGGGTATTCCCACTCGTCGAGCGATTTTGAAGAAGCCGAGGCACGAGGTCCAGCAGCTTCTCAAGCCTTTCGACGAAAATAAGGCGGAAGGCGAGCTCCCTCGCTACAAACGCGCTCACAAGACCCGGGGATGACCGATCTGCGCTGCGCAGTGGAGGAAGCCACGACAAGAGTAGGTCATTGCTGGAGAAGATGTCAGCCGAGCTATAACAAATTGCATCAATTAATGCTCTCTCGGCTGTGTCAAGGCCGATATCAAACATCATTCGTGCGCTCCCTCCAACAACAAAGAACTTGGCTGCCACCAGCTCATTCCGTTGATCAATTGTCAGATACTCTGGCGAGCTCGTGAAGTTTCTTCTCACCTGCTCAAAGAAAACATCGCTTTTCACAGCTACCTGGAACTCCTCCAAGGTCCATGACGACATCGTAAAGCGCTGTTCATCCAGCACAAATCCTGGCGTGACCGGTACAGCTGGGGGCACAATCGCCTTACTCGTCAATCCACTGGAGACGACAGACGGAATCTTGATGCTGAGATCCATCCGATACTCCTTCCCTGTTGATAGCATTGAGGAGACAACCACGAGGCGACGGTTCTTCTTGTCATATTGCCAGCCCCTGCACGTCGCCAGTGCCCTCGTGGCCGTATCGTTGTCCACCTCGTAGTCATTGAAGAATACGATAACTTCCTCGTTTAGTGGGCACAAAAGTTCATTCAACTTCACGCGGTCGATCAGACACGCTTCCTTGATAGAATCCCCACGGAACCGAATGCACTCCAATGTGCTACAAGGTCCTGGTCTGAGGCAGTTGATCCACACCACATCCCAATTCTTAGATCGATCCAGAGAGCAGGCAAACGCAAACGCCGCACAAGACTTTCCCGTCCCAGGTGGACCCACGACCCAGGTACTAACAGCACCATCCAATAGTGCCAGCCATTCCTCGCGTAGAGAGTCGCGTCGAAGCAAGAGCAAACCGTGTGGACCAACATTAAGTCCACTGTCTTCTGCATACGCTGCCGGGATACGAATGAAGGCGTCGTCCTGGTCGTAGGACAACGGTGGACACGATGTATTGACCAGCCGCCATTTCGTCGCGTCCACTGGAAGCACCACCAACACGTGAACGTCTCCTTCCTCCGGCTCAAAGCCCGCCCCAAAGTAGCTAGTATCATTGATCGTCAGCAATTGGTTATCCATTTGCTTGAAGCCTCGTGGGGAGCCATTGCGGTGGAGCATCAGAGTTGCTGCGCCAGCTGCGTCCAGCCATTTTCCGTCGTCCTGCTTCCCCAGGAAAAGCTTCATCTTGTAGGCCTCACAAAGGACCGTGTCGGTCTTCTTCCTCGTGATCGCCACTTTCAACGCATACAGTGTGTTTCCTCCATCTACTCTCACTGGAAAAGGCTCTCCATCCCCAAGTATGACACAGTTCAGATTCACCATCGCGGAGAGAAACCAACTGACATTTAACCGGACAACTAGCGGGGGGAGTTGTCGATAAAAATCGCGAGCAAGTTTCTGTCAAACTTCAACCGGTGTACTTGTTATCATAGATACTCTTTAGCTCTTGATATTTTTCGACCAAAACTCGTCACACATCAATTCCTGTTGCCTCGCTCACTGCGGTAATACATGTTAATTACGCCGCGTGCCATATCCCGAGGCTGTGCAGCCACTCCATCATATAAAAGTCGTCTCGGTCGGTGGCTGCAATCACGCGGTTTCGATCAAACTGGTCGGGATAGTGGGCGTAAAGCCACTGCACAATCTCCAGGTGGCCCGAGCGCGTTGCGTTCTCCGCCGCTCGCCACGTGCATCCTTCCGTCCGGTTCGCCAGCAGGAAGAGCAGCACTTCAAAATGGCCACCACCAGCGGCCTCGTCCATTGCACGAGTCGTGCAGCCTTCGATTCTGTGTAGATGCAGCCAGCGCACTGTCTCAAGACATCCTCCTGCTGCAGCGTTGTCCATAGCACCCGACGTGCAACCTTCGAACCTGTTGGCCTGAAGCCACTTGATCGTGTCCAGGTGTCCTCCAGCAGCGGCTTGATCCATGGCTTGCGTCGTGCATCCCTCTTCCCGGTTAGTCTGCAACCACTTGACCACTTCTAAGTGACCGTTGGCGGCCGCCTTATCCATGGCGTTCGACGTGCATCCCTCTCGTCTGTGCGAGTGGAGCCACTTCACCACTTGCAAGTGGCCGGCACCGGCAGCTTCATCCATGGCGGCAGTACCGCATCCTTCTCTTCGGTTGCGGTGCAGCCAACGCAGGATTGACACCTGGTTATTGGCCGCCGCCGCGTTCATTGTGTCCTGCGTGCAGCCTTCGCTGCGGTTCTCGTGTAGCCATTGCACGATCTTGAGGTGGCCATTGGCGGCAGCTCCGTCCATCGCGCGCGTGGTGCAGCCCTCGTGACGGTGCTTGTGCAGCCATTGCAGCACCTGCAAGTGTCCGTTGCGGGCGGCGCCGTCCATGGCTTCACGTGTGCAGGCCTTCCACGACTCCTGAAACCTGTTCTGGTGCAGCCACTTGACCATCTCCAAGTGGCCATTGGCCGCCGCCTTGTCCATTGCTGCCGTGGTCCAGAGCACGAACTTGCCGTCGAACTTCTTGCCGTGGAGCCACTTGGCCACATGCAGCTGGCCGTTCTCGGCCGCCGCCGTGGTGGTGCGCGTCGTGACCAGCGAGGGCTGGCATCTTGCCAGCTTCTTGACGGCCTCGAGATGACCGTTTGCCGCCGCCGCGTTGAGCGCGCTCTCCCTGAGCACCGAGTGGCCCTTGATCATGTACTTGAACACGTCCAGATGTCCCTGTGCCGCTGCCTCGCCGGCGCCGTAGCCCGACCACTGGCCGCGCACCTTGTGCAGCCACTTGACCAGCTGCAAGTTGCCGTTGCGCGCGGCCAGCTCAATAGCGTTCATGCCCACAAACGGCGGCGCCGTGTGCGCGTACAGCCACTTGACGACGGCCACGCGGTCGAACTGCGCGGCCGCGCGCATCTCGTTGGCGCCCCAGAAGACCCTCGCGTGGTGTTCGTACAACCACTGCAGGATGTGTACGTGACCGGCGCGGGCCGCGCTCTCCACGGCGTCCGTGACGCGGCCCTGCGGGTAGTACACCTCACATAGCCACTGCACCACGCGGAGATCCCCGCGGGCCGCAGCGTTGGCCGTCCCGCGGGCGAACGCCCACTGGCGATAGAGCAAATCGTCCGCGTCGTCGCGCGGCGGCTGCGCGCGAGGCGTGAGTTCCACGGCGCACTGCGCCGCCCAGAGGCGCTCCAGGAGATGCAGCTTGGCGGGGCCGCGGACGGCTCGGGAGCATGCAATCGGCACGGAGAAGCGCGGCGAGTAGTCCAGGTAGGCCGAGATGGCCGCTAGGACATGCGGCAAGGCGGCGACGCGCGGGGCCGCGCTGCACAGCGCAACGGACGCGCCGGTGAGCGGCTGGAGGCAGCGACTGGGACGGACGGCAAGGGACTTGCACGCGGTCCTGAGCTTCGGCTGGGGCTTAAGCGCGGCGCGAGCGTCGAGGCGGCGCTCTCGGGCCCAGGACGCCGTCATAGTGAGTGAGTGAGAGAGTGGGGAAATTGGCGACTGAGGGCGTTCACTTCACTTCAACAGAGTATTGGATTTCTTTGAGGTCGTATGGGGATATAGACGGGCGCGGGATGAGTACAGTGGGATTGTTTTGCTGTTGGTTGGTGAGAAGAAGGGGCATCAACCATGTTTAAAGGCTAAGATACCACATTTGGAAAAAGTGGTACAACGTGTAACGTCTTTAGACAAATGAGAAACTGGGTGTGGTGAAGTGGTTAGCCACATTTAAGCTAAATGTGGCTGGAGCGCCAAATTCTGTAGACACATGGCGGCGTGTCTCTTGCACCGGACGTTTGACGCGGAATGTTGCTCCCAAGCTCCAATCCATTGGCGGCAGCGGCTCAACGCGATGGAGCCACAAGGTGGCGTCATCGCAGCCGCCCCCCTGCTCGCTTCGCTGGATGGCGGTGGCTTGTAGGCAGGCAGGCTGGCTGGCTTACATGCCTGACAGCCTCCTAATTCGGTCCAGCCAGCGAAAACGGTCGGAGAAGGGAGAAGGCGAAACCTGGGAACGAACATGGGATGGATCGCGATCTATGGAAGCCTGAAGCAGGATGGACGCGACTAATCCGTCCCTCTGCCACCGAGGTGTTCACGTTGAAGTGAGCGTCCAACTGACAACCAGTACTTCAATCGGAAAGACTCCCTGCTTCGCTATCGTATCCCCCGCTCCACAAGCTATGGCTCAAGACTGTGTAGAGTTCACACAGAAGACTGAAGCGGGTAGTGCGGATGCAACGAGCTTCCTTTAGTCGACCATGTGATGCAGCTGGGTGGTGGTTGTTCGTCAGCTGCAGTGCTCGAATAACTGAGCGGTTCCAAATCTACAATCAAGTCATGGATGGATCTTGGGCTCGCTTGGAGATATGTCGGCAAACGGTTTTTTAGGTCTCCTAGGTTCTTGTGGACCATGGCGTTGATGCAGCAAGCTATCTCACACCGACGGACATTTTCAGTACCGGACTTGCTACAAAAGCTATCGGACAGTGTATCCGCGCTTCGGTCACCGCAGTGACCAGAGATACCGATGTTTTGTCATGGAAATTGATACTGTGATGCTCAAACGATTGCCAATGATGCCCCTGTGGTTCGGAGCTGCAGCATGAGCTGGAAATTGGGGAAGGGGGGGCGGAGGCATGGTGCAACCTGGCGTCCCAGCACAAACTAGCATTTTTCGCGCTGGAAACCTGTTTAGCTGTCGGATTTAAATTTCTCGAACTACGGATGACCTATTCCTTCGACACTGCAGTAACAAGCAGATCGAAAACTTTGCTGTGGGGCGATCTTCGCTACATTTTCGAGCACTTAACACTGTGCTGTTCCAGTGGAGTGGCAGGAGCTGGGTGTGGGGCATGTTAATGCGACTAATCTGCATTCAATTGAATTCAACGCTTACCAAGAAAACAAATTTATTTACCAGACTTCAAGATTTCAAGTCCTGGTGACACGGAGACGGCAGCGTCACAAAGCTCGAACCCTTACTACAATCCAAAGCACTACCGCGACTCTGCTCTTGACCCGAAAGCACCAGCACAGCCAAAGGTGCTTTGTCTTCACTCAAGACTGCGGCGACTTGACTGTTCGTGGGCGTCTTGGGCCTGTAGATGTAGGTGACGATCATCTGCGTGGAGCCGAGCACCACTCCGACAATGTTCGGGGTCATGATGAACATGTTGTTGACCAGTGGGGCGTAAATCGCCCAGCAGAAACTGTTCAGCACATTCGCAATCCCCATTGTGAAGGGCATCGACGACGCAGTCTTGGTTCGGATCATAGCCATCGGTGACGCGTACATTCCGATAGTGGTCGCAATGGTAGTGAAGCCCAACGTCGTCTCCACCGAATGTCGCGATTGACCCGTCTTCCTAGACAACGCCAGGATGCTGTAGATCGTTATGGCGAGGCACACGACGACTGCGACGGCGAATATCTTCAGCACTTCTCGCTTGTCATTTGTCCAGTGGTAGAAGGATCCAGACAGAACGAGGCCCATTACCACGCCGAGCGTTGACGTTGCGAAGAGCGGAACGTAGTCGTCGATAGCGTAGGCGTAGAACTCGACGGGTGAAGATCAAGATGCAGGGCATGACCGCCATGTCCCCCGTGCTGCGATTCCTGCACCAGCGATTGAAGTCCGGCAGCAACGAGATTCGCATCATGACGGTCGTGATGATCGTCACGATCTTGAACACCAGGACGGCCGTCGCTTGGATGCTCATCTGAATTGCTCGGTCTTGTGCTTTCGGGCGCAAATAGTGAAATGACCCGATTCGAATCCGTGAACCTCTTCATGGAGCTGAGGCGGGCACCTTGGCCATAGATGATGCGTGTCCACGATTCCCGGATGACAGGAAGATTTCGCAGACTTGTCTACAGTGTACTTAGCGCGCGAAGTAGTTGCACAGATCACTCAGTTTTACTCAGTAGTCGTTGTGACTGGTGCGTCGCAAACGCAGCGCACTAAGTCGCTTGTGGATTAAATAAACTGAGAGTACTACGCATTATAGAAGAACTATCGATACTATACGCATCTGCTGCGACTGGCAACAGCGACCACCGGCCATGCTGTACAGCATTCACGTTAGTGGTCAGAAATAATGGGGTGAAGAAGTTGTGGCGAAATTGTTAAAATTTCAGCGACACGCATCTCTACAGTATTATCTGAAATTTATTTCAGAGCTAAGGGAGGACTTCAATCGAGTGAGGGTTGACAGTAGCGCTGCTCGAGTCTCTTCGAGGCTCTTCGCACACGAGGTCTCTCAGCCTTCTGCATGCCCAAGTCAAACTTGCGTTGCTCTCATTAGGTTAGCCTCGTAGCAATTGCATCACGCGATCCCACTAATCCATGCACACAACTCTACCTCTGTTGACTTCCACAGCTAAATACTTCTGCTTTTTCTTTCAAGGTGCTACATGCCTCTGTCACTAAGAAATTGCAGAGTTATCTTGGATCTCAATATGTGAATTTTGCTTTTTCTCGTGTACATGTGCACTCTTCTTTACCAGAATTGTAGTGGTTTTACTGCAATTGTTTCCGCCCAGAGGAAGTACTCGCCTCTTCCGGCAGCTCTATTGGTCACCAACTTGGTGCTGCTCAATGCGAAAGCTACTTTCCTCTTTCTGCAGGCTGCCCAATGCAAGAACTGCTTGCCTGATGGTAGTCTGCTCCCGACGGCGAGTGTGCGGTACATCATGTTTCTAACTCATTTAAAAATGGCTGGGGTGTACCAATTGAAGCTCAAGAGCCATTGTGAAAGCCTTTCACTTCTCTTCTCAGGGCCATTGTGAAAGCCTCTCACTTCTCTTCTCAGCTTCCTCCGGACCAAAAAAGACCAGACCTGCCTGCATAAGACCTGTTTAAAAATCTTCCAATGAGAGGTGTGTAAATTGGTAGGTCGCGGCGTGGAATCGTCGGACCGACCCAAACAGGTAGAAAACCAAAAACTCTGTACTTGTATGAGCTAGCTGTTGCCTTAACTTCTGTCATTTAAATAAAATACTAAATACTTTGCATCAAAAACTGACACAACACAAAGCAACATATGGTGAAGTCGTGAAGCGAATAGTAACCAAGAGCATATTTTTACGTGTGCAGAAGTTGATTGTACAGAGTAAAGCTCTAGAAAACTGACTATTTGCTAAGTTCCAAGTAACTTAGCAGATGCTGCGGCTGCGAAGCAGGCGCAGGAGGTGCGCTGTAGTAAGCAACTAACGTTAGGCTTTGTTGTGTTTCTAAGGCCAAAATTTTTGTTATTTTCCTTTGGCTTTGCATACACTACATAAATACATGTCTGTTCTAAATTTCAGAGCTTCTTCGTGTAACGCGCGACTTTGTACTGAACTCAAGTGAACTTCGGTTTTGTCCTACCATTTTTCCTGTTTGTCATAGCAAAGTGCACCACTGGGGTTAAAGTCGTTGAATTGTTCCTTCACATAATCAAACGAATCTTTGATTGCTAGGGCGACTCGGAGCGCTTCCAGTGTACACGACGTCACTTTGAATTGTGTTTGGCCCGGTAGCTGTACCAGGTCGAATCGCGTTACTTGTTAACACTGGTATCGTCGCCATATCCTGCAAAACGGTCAATATTGCTCGCAACAGACTTCATTTTTGTTGCACGATCTAGCGCAAAATGCTAGAGCCTCATTCACCGCTTTATTCAACCCGTATCCATCGCGCAAGACAACTGAGTTTTCACAGTGAGGGCAGCGCATAGAAAAAATCTGCCCGATCTATTGAAAACAGTTAGCATGAGCGTATACTTCGGGAATATGCAAGAGCGTGGTATAGTGCGAGCGGATGCAAGACGTCACAGACGACTCATTCAGCGCGTAAATTGCACCCTCATCTCGCAGATCCTCTGCGAAGTACCTGGTTGACCCACCGTGAGCGGTTCATCATCTGGAAGCTTGCTACTTGAAGCATTTTTATAGATAAGATAGTCATAGTTTTCACCAACTCCGAATCTTCTTTCCCTACCAGTCAGGAATGGCTACAGACTCGCCTCATCAGCATCTCCTATACTTCTTCAGCACAACATCGTCAATCTTGTTGGCAACACAGAATACTCAACAGAAATCCGTCCTAAGCCTTCCATGACTGATTGACCATGGCACTCTATCTAATTCAGAGGTCGACGGGGGAGTGCTCATTTAGAGTTCTGTGCTGTGGCAAGCACGGCGTAGCAAGCACGCTATCCACCTGGTCGAAAGCACCCTGACCAGTACCGATGGACAAATGATCCGACTCACGATTGAACCTCGACCCGACAAGCAGCAACTATTGCTTCTTGTCGGAGAAGAAATAAAAAAGTGCGCGAGGCTTTGGCGGCTGCGATGAAGCAGCGTTTCTCTATCGACTGGGGATATACTGCGGGGTGAGCGGTAGAGATGAAGCAGCGTTTCTCTATCGACTGGGGATATACTGCGGGGTGAGCGGTAGATAACTACACTTTAATATTTAGTACGCAGGTAGCTCTGTGCTTTGCAGCCTTGGCGGCATGCAATTCCGTAGAATGCACAGGAAGCAAAGCCTGGCAACGTTGTAGGCTGCTAATACAATCGTCGTAACTTACAACTCCACTTGCATTTTTAGGCTCCCGAAGCTGCTCCATCTTTGGCCACCAAGATCTGTCGAAGCCAACTAGCAACCTCGAAATGCTCATTCGCGACCGAATCCGCCATGGCTACAGCAGTGCATCCCTCATTTCTGTTAGCATATAGCCACTTCACGACCTCCAAGTATCCATTCCCCGCTGCCAAGTCCATCGCGTCCGTCGTGCAGCCCTCTGATCGCTTCTCATGCAGAAACTTGACCACCTCCAGGTGTCCATTGCCCGCCGCGCGGTTCATCGCCTGCTTGGTGCACCACGCGTGTTGGTCATTTAGCCATTTGACCATCTCCAAGTGTCCATTAGCTGCAGCGTTGTCCATGCGGACATCCTTGAGCACAACACTGCCCGGAAAAGTGTTTCGCATCCACTTAACCGCGTCCAGGAGCCCGTGATCCACCGCGCGCATCACACCTTCGTAAGTCAACTGATCTCCCCGCTCACTGTGCAGCCACTGCATCATCTCGAGGTCTCCGTGGCGCGCCGCCTCGTCGATCAGGAACATGTCATCTGGAGGAGGGGCCGTGCGCTCGTGCAGGAACTTGGCCACCTCCAGGTGGTTGTGCGCCACGGCGCAGTACATCTCGTCCCCGCCCCAGTACACGTGGTCGTGGTGATCGAACAGCCATTGTAGCACCGTCAAGTGGCCGTTCTTGGCCGCTGTAGCCACTGCATTGGACGGCACTCGACCGTCCGGGAACCGTCGATCCAGCCACTGCACCACCTCCACGTGCCCCAGCTCCATGGCTGTCGAGATTCCTTTCTGGAAATCTCGTTGACTGGTGACCCGTGGATGGGTCTTCCTCCCATTGGTATAGGCATTGATATTGTTGATTCGAGTCGAGAGGCGGTCGAGAAGTCGCACGGATCCGAATCTGCAGGCATCCGGGATTGTCCAGTCGCTCGACGGGTCCAGGAACGCGTCGACACTCAGCACCACGTGGCTCAATGCAGCGATGCAAGGGCGAGAACGACACACAACCAACACGCTCGTTAGCGCGGCAGTCGACTCGGGGTAATAGCCGCAGGATTCCATGCTCTCTTCGACGCGAACTGATAATGGATACCCGAGTTGACTTGAATCTGATTGGCGAGCGCCCATGGGCTTCCTGCCAATCAGGTAAAAAGTGAAAGTACATCACCCATGCACTGTTGCCGGAGCGGTCGGTGACGCACTCTGCGTCTGGACCCGCGCTGCCCTGGATCCTGTCGCTTCTGCTGCTCGGCACGGTCGTAAGCTCGAGGACTCCTCCTCGGAGGAGGTCATGTTCGTGGCGGCGGCCGAGACCGACGAGCAGATGAAGATCACGCCCAAGAATCTGCAGGACGGCGTACTCGAGAGCAAAGCGGTGCAGTCCGTTGTGGCTCCGAGCGAGGAGCAGCCGTTCCGACACGTCGGAGTCAAGTGGCGGCTGCACAACAACGCGCGCGACTTCGTGTGCGTGGACTCCACAGGCTTTGCCCTGAGCAGCAAGAGCGAGCAAATCGGCTTCAGCATCTCGCACTCCGTGGCGTTCTCGCAGGTCCCGAGCTTCGACATGTTCGGCGTCGAGCGCGCCAACATGTCGCTGGGCTGCCTGTTCCGCCAGAAGACGCCCAAGCTCAATAATGCAGCTATTTTTTTCTCGCAACGTTACATCTTCCCTGTGCTACGCGTGACTCGACTAGGCCGGTTGAACCCCTTCAGTTCGGCACCAAGTTTCACGGACAAACCTAACAGGTTATGCCTGGGCATCCCTCAGACGTCGGCCACCCTCTTTCCTGCGGCACATGCCGTAGTGCAGCACTTTCAGCCCCTTGTTGTCGCAGTTGGCCAGGTTGAAGTAGCACGTATTTTGGTTGGTGGAATAAGTTCGCGCATCGAGTTGCAGCACAGCGTTGCTTGCGCAGACTGGCGTTCTGTCAGAACCAGGGCCAATGGATGTAGGGCACTCTCGCACAGCTAAAGCCTCCAGCGGAGATTCCCGGACGCAATGGCGAAATTCATGGCTTCGAGGTTTGGGTGTTCGGTTGAATTCGGTTGAATGTCAAGCCTGGGAGGCGTGAGGGTTCGTTAGCTGTAGATAGCTGGTAAAAAGCACAGTGAAAACAGTAGGGCGATATCTTCTCTTGGTGCCGCCGCTATTAATACAGTGTGCTACATGTAATACCATAGGAAACAAAGTTCTCGTAATCTAAGACGAGTCAAGCAAAAGATACTCATCAACGAATCACGACATTGAACTGTAAAAACGCTGCATTCCCTATGGTACCGGCATCCTCCGTTCTTTACTGACGTTCGCTTATTACTGACAATCAATTATAGCCAATCAAAATACCTTATCGTCATCCTCCACTTTTAACTGACAACACAAAAATGGGTCATTTCCCAATCCACAAGATGCTACCTGCTCGCAGACGCAACGCAATTACGGCAGCAGAAAGCTCGAGGTGCTCGATGCCTGGGTACAGTGCGGTGACATCACCGCGGCTTTTAACGCCTTCTATTGCGGTCTAGATGAGTTTGTCCACGAACCGCAGCGAAAGCTCATGGACAGACAGCTCTCAAAAAGAATGCTCGGACGAGCAGCACAGGTATGGCCCTCCCCGCTGAAGCTGAGCAGGAGCTCGTGGCATGGATGAATGAACTGCGTGGAGAGGGCGTACCACTTTCGGCTTTGATGTTGCACTTACAGGCCCTGGAAGCAGGCGATGACTACATGTATGTCACAGCCTTTAGTGAAGAAAGTAGACGTTGTAGCTAGTGAAATTATCGCTCAGCTTTCTAGCCTGAGTCTGATAGATCATAAGAGTTTGAGTTGTGGCTGTCGAGCATGATACCATCGAGAGCAGCTCGGTCTGCGATGAAACAATGAGCTTTTTGTGTGTTTCGCAATGCGCGGCAGACATCACTTTTTTAACCCACTTTTTGAAGCCAAACATGACCAGGCCTCCCTAATTGGGGGAAATGGGGACCATTTCCCCCACTATACCCCCGTTAAGACCCGATCCCATCCCCCACAAAAATGCTATGGTTCTGAGGTGAATTCATGTTGGCAAGCTATTTTCAGATAATTATGTGGCTTGATAAGCATCGAGCTCACTCAGACCCCAAACAAACAGGAACATACCCAGGTGGAAGCGTGTTTCTCCGATAATGGGTCGACCCCCAAACCATCCCCATTCATCACAAATATTGTCAAATTTCCGTAATTGGTGGTATTGGCAAGTAGTATTTAAGCTCAAACGGACGGCGAGCTGACCGCGAACTGGAAGAGGCCGTTGGCCTGTAGGCGATGCTACAGAAGAATGCAAGTTTAGGAGCAGTTTTATCATAGGCTATGTTAATAAATTACATACTTATTTTAAGTAAAGCGGCGCCAATATCAATACGTAAGCCCTACCGATCAAGCAAAGTTACAGAGCTAGTCAAAACTTTTATCACGATTAGTGATATATAATTCTTTCGCTGACATTCGTTTCTAGCTAATTCGTATGCGGATGAACCGTAACACTTTGAATATCGTAGGTTGAATCCAAATTAGCACCGGCTATGCCAATCCCTAAGATATTTATCTTACTTTCACTATCGTCCCCCACCATACCCATTTTAAGTCCTCAAGTCGCCCCCCTATTAATCTAATTGGGGGAAATGCAGGATTTCCCCCAATTAGGGAGGCCTAAACATGACTGTCAGTAAAGAACGGAGGATGCCGGTAGAAGCTAAGATACAGATTGTAGCGTCCGATGACAAAATGAAGTACACATGTAAAAACACCCGCATATAATGAACGGCGTGGAGAGTGACTCACACTAGGCATACATCACCACAGTCAAGAAGGAAGATGGATCGACTTAGATTTTGTACGCAAGAAGGTCACAGTACGGCTCAAATGGAAAATACTAATCAACGAAGGTACAACCGCGATGCTCAACAAGTATGTCTGGTCAGGTGAAAAGCTGGCGTTCGGCCTACACAATGGACGATAGCGTGCATGTGTTTGCGTCCCCTCAAAATATTTATCATTGTCAGCTCGAAAACGCCTAACAGTAAATTCGTAAAACCATCCAGATTCCAACCAGAAAACTCGACAACGGCATGGGATCATTATTTAACACAATGCCGATGCATTCTTTCGGCACGTTTAGGACGGAACGAGTCAAATCAGCACACACATCAATTTCCTCAACTCTACGCAATTCGTTCTTCTAGGCCAGATACCGGTAGGCCTTTTGATAAGAAAGCCGGCGTGGCATTGCTCCAAACGGATGGAACTGGCCAAATCCATATCAAAAGTCATACTCAAAATAATAATTTCTCCGTCGCCAGCATTTCATATTCCAGCCTATGCATCTCCAATGGAAATTAACACAATGAAAACACTTTAACCCCCCAATGCCTGGATGCACCGAGGAAAAACAAAAAGCCAAAAATGCAATCATTACAGTATCGTACAATGTTGATTAGTATTTCTTCTCTGACTCAACGTCGATTGCATTACTGTACAATATGAAAGCTGCGTCTTTCTTGGTATAATAGAGACCGCTCTCTCGTATTCACCTTGCCTTTTACTAGCAGATGTAACCTTCCCGCAGCCTTTCCGCTTCAAAGACCTTCAATCATACGCCCAAGTCTGAAGCCATGAAGTTCGCCAATGTGTCCTTGCTCGCCTCTCTCCTAATTGTCGAAGTCTCCGCTCGCCTCAGATTTGACTGCGTAAGAGTTCCCTACATTATCTGCGACAGTCCAAGCCTTCCAAAGGTCTGTGCAAGCAACGGCGTCACCTACGAGAATGGATGCTATTTCGACAAGGCCAACAACAAGGGGATGCGAATTTTGCACGAAGGCATGTGCTCGAGGAGCGAGGGAGGAAGGCGCCTTCGAGATGCCCTGGCTTAACCTGCCAGGTTGGGGAACTCCGTGGACTGATGAGGGCAAGACCTAAAATGCCTACCACGTCCATTAGATAGTACAATACAGTGTCGTTTAGGCAAGAAGTAACCTTGCGAGAAAAATACTACTAGTAGTACTGACTAGTAGTATTTTTGAGCTGGTATCAGACGCAGGAAAGTCGACGATAATATCTTTTTAAGTCGCGATAAGCAAGCTGAAGTTCCTTCAATCGAACACTATGATGTCTAATTCTGTGGTACGTACGAGGCTCATACCCAGGATACTGGAACCTGATTGGTCGACATACTGTATTCGGCAGTTGTGATTGGCTACGAGAAGGTAACTTCAACTTGCCTTCCTAGCAACTGTTAACCACCTTGTTTTCTGGTACCCTCCTAACACGCGTCGAAGTTAGAAGCGAGGGCGTCGTGTACTTGTTGATAAAGCACAATAGAACAGATTGGTCAAGCTAGTTTTTCTAATTCCAAGTCAACTGACTCTGGGAAAAACCTGTTGGCTGTTTTGGTGGCTAACAGGTTTTACTATAAAACCTATATTAAAACCTAATGGTTAAACCCGATGTGTCAACCCTGAGTACTGTGCACAGTACAACTAGTACTTGTTGTAATCGCCTGTGTCGTTTTACTTTTACTTTGGAGGGTTGCGCGCGTATTCGCACATGCCGGTACGAGCGCAAGCTTGGTGTTTTACTCGAGAAGTTGAGTGCGCCGAAAACAGATAGATAGGCCAGCTTACATTAAAACCACGAGCGTCCGGAAAGAAGAAGCCAAAACTTGGCCATGTCGCCAGTTTACTGGCCGTTTACGAGGATCGAGAGGTGTATATCGTCGAGGAGGACGAGTTGCGTGGAAATCAGGAGATAGTGGATATCGACGACGCGATAGAAATCCACGCTCATCGTGCAAGAAACGAAAGAACGGGTTAGTGTGACGCAAAAAGATGCAAAAGACCCCAGTAGGTTGGACTATTCGGGCATTTTAGGACGCCAACGAAGATACAAGGACTGCAGTTCCAATTAAGCCTCGACTGCTTTGCTGGCATTGGCCTCGAAGCAGATCCGATGGATACCCTTCCGCAGCCTGCGGCGTGGGTTAAACAGACAGAGCCCGCTCTGATAACCAAACTTAGCTAGCGAAACGGAATGTCCACTAACTAGTTAGTCAATTTTTCTTCTTCTTCTGATAACCAGACTAGAGCATACCAGGAAGCTATTAACTAAGGTTCAATACACTACCTCCTCTCTCTCTCAGATCCAAAGGCAGTGCGTTAACTCCAGCAACCAACCGCTACTCTGGTTGCGTATCTGACGCGTTCAACTCGACACTCAGCCCGTTGCAGTCGCCTTCGCCAACTAGGCACGCTGCATCGAAGTCGTTGCCAAGTCGCTAACATCCCAGTGCCGTCGACCAACTGTGCAAGAGTAAATCTTACGGAGATTGGCCGCAGCAGAATCTTCAGAGTGATCCGTGATGTTTGAAACTAACTTGTCGGCAACCAAGGGCTTGGCAACGCTGACGAGCAGCACCGACGTGTTCGAATTGTCGCTACAGGGCTGGAAATTGTACTAACCTATGACGTGGTGATAGGACTCCCCTACAGGACACTCACTACATGTATCCTGTTACAGGTACAGGATTCTGTATGCCGTCCTGAAGAAAACATATATTCCTGGTGAATCTCTCCATTATTTCGAGGAAAGCCATAGCTTATTCGACGCAAAACTTGAATAGTCTTAATTAAATATAAAAGCTAGGATACATAACCTCCATGATACATGTTACATGTAGAAGTTTTTTTTGCAAGGATTCAACGACTACACGCAGCAGTCATCTCCATCATTAGGTATGTACTTATCCGCATGTACAGTAGTACGTACTAGTTCAACAATACGATATGAGGCATAACCCACTCGGAGCGGCCGCTCCTCCGATCCAACACGCACGGATCAGTGTTGCCGAAAGTGGTTTGATGGATCAAACGGATCAGACGAAGAACCGTTTTTTCGTTTTTTGTGTTGTTTCATCGATTCTTCGACCCCAATCTCCCGAAAAGGGGTCGCATAAATACGCACAAATACACCTGTCGTAAATACTAATCTAAACACATATCACATTTAACGAGGGAAAGGAGTGGACGTGTGTTAAAACGGCCATTCTTCAGGTTTCATCGTTTCTTGGTTTCTTGATCAAACAACGAAGAACCTGAGAAACGCGTTTGAACCAAAAAAACATGAAACAACGCTGGACCCGGCTATGGAAGAAACGGACCGGCCCGTTCGTTCGACATCACTGCACGGATGGGATCCCCAGGTCCTCAGTCTGACGCTCAGAAACCAACGCATGTGCATAAATCGACTACATTCCCGCACTCATATCTTTGAATCAAAGGCTTTGTTACTCTCAATATACTCACAGACACCGTGATCGCAAGCATATGTAATCTGAGTAAGTAGTGCTGATTCACTGTGCCACACAGAGCGTGTGGTGGGTGCAATAACCAGCGCTCGAAGAGGTGACCGCACTTTCAATTTGTCCAAGAACCAGAACGGTTTCAACACGTCCCAAGGTACCAACCAAGGCACCATGAAATTCACCGCTGTGGCTATTCTCGCCTTAATCGTGGCCACCAGCGCCTCCGCCGACAACAACGCCTGCGTTGTTCTAGATTGCCCTAAGAACTATGATCCCGTTTGTGCGAATAACGGTTTCACCTACCTCAACCAATGCGAATTCGACAACGCCGCGTGCGACATCCACATCCGTGTGCAGCTGAAAGTGCTCCACACAGGCATGTGTCGGAGGGACGAAGGTGGCGCCGCGCGTCGTCTGCGAATCAGTGCGAGAAAGTGAGCTCGAGCTCGTCGCCACAGCTCTACCTATCCGTTGCACAAGGTCAGCGTCGGCAAGAGCTTTACTCCTCATCCTACCATTCGCGCGTACAGACAACGACTTACAAAGCCGGCATGCTTAATGCCATCCTCCTATATAAAAATAACGATAAATTCCCTCCCGTCAAATCTGTAAAACTGTCATAAAACACACGGCGTGTTGCATAAAATACACAAGAAAGCATATAAAGAACACAAAACCAGATGGTATACAAAGATGAAGTCATTTGATTGAATCTGATTGGCTGGTTTGCTTATGTTAAGCTTTGCTTGACTTCGTCTGCCGGCTTTTTGTGTCTGCCGGCTTTGTAAGTCTGTTGTCTGTACGTGTAGCAAGCTCCAGCCTCGCAAAAAATAAATTTGTTTGGGATCGACCTCCTCTTCTTTACACTACTACCTAGTCCTAAACATCAATTGGAGCAAGGTAACGGAACATCACCTGGATTCTGATTGGCAAAAAACATCTTCGAGAGAGCCGTGAAGCCCCCATGGCGACAAAATTAGGGTGGTCCACATATCGCACTTGATGTGTCTTGGACGCTGAACGCATCGGCGTTGGGTTAAACTAGGTCGTCTTCGACTTGGCTGGGAACACCAGTGGTATAAACGCTGGTGATGGTACCGGTGCTAATTGCCATGATAAGGGAGAACTGTGGCCCGTGTGATTCAAGGGCGTGGCCCCTGCGGGGCCACACCCATGAATATCGCGCGCTGGTGCATGTCTGTTGGCGTGCAGTTGCCGTTGAACCTGTTCGGTCGACATCCTTCTGGCTGGTGTAGCACGAAGGTTGCGCCAGGTTACGCTTACGCGCCCAATTGATCCGTTGGGAGCTGTCCACCCCCTCATTCTTCGGGTGTTCCCAGTATAATGACTCCAGTTGGGGGTGGCCGTACGACATTCGAAGTTTTTGAGCTGGCAATGTTAACACTTTGTGAGGAAGCAGATACATACCTGTACGCCTGTCCTCCATTGTGTAGGCTGGATGCCAGCTTTCCAGTTGGCCAGACATACTTGTTGAAATTCGAGATTGTACATTCGTTGATTAGTATTTTCCATTCAAGCCTTACAGACAACGACGGATTAATAATACGCAACGCAAAAACCCGGTACACATATGTTGTACTTTTTACAGTACGTAAATTAGAGAGCCAATCAGCTTCAATATTCACACTTGACATTTGTATTCCCTATGGTTTGAAGAACTTTTGCTAAGTTCTGATGTACTTTATGCTCCGTTTCATGTACTTTATGCCATTGCCTTGTGCAATCTCTATCGTCCCCGACAGATAATTTTGGCTAATTTACGATGTAGGATGCCATTCAGTGGTGCCAGTTTTATCCGTCGTTGTGCATGCATATGCAAGTGTGATCATTCTGCATACAAAATCGAGGTCGGCCCATCTTTCTTCTTGATTGCGGTGATGCATGCACAGTGAGTCACTCTCCACGCCATTCCTTACATGCGGATGTTATCGCATCTGTACTTCATTATGTCATCGCACGCTGGTACACCTCCATTCAATCAACAATCTCTATCTTAGCTTCTGCCATAGGGAATGAAGCATTTTTGCAGATAAATATCGTGCATTCGTTGATGAGTATCTTTTGTTTGACGCATCTAAGATTACGATAGCTGCGTTCTTCTTGGTACATGTAGTAGTAACGGCGGCACCAGGAGTAGATCCCGCCCTAATGTATTCACTTTGCTTTTTACCAGCTATCAACAGGTAACAATCCGGGACCCTCACGCCTCCCAGACCTGAAAACCTTCAACCGAACACCCAAAGTACGAAGCCATGAAGTTCGCCATTGCGTCCGTACTCGCCTCGCTCCTGGTCGCCGGAATATCCGCTGAAGGCTTTAGCTGCGCGAGAGTTCCCTACATTACTTGCGACAGCCCAACCCTCCAGAAAGTCTGCGCAAGCAACGGTGTCACCTACGACAATATCTGCTACTTCAACAAGGCCAACTGCGACAACAAGGGCAACAAGGTATTACTAGTACTTGTTCCATCACGATAACTAGCTTACCCGGGCGACAAGCGTCCGGGGGAGGTCGCACTTCGTAAGGCTAGAAATCTTTATCAAGATCCCCAAATCCGATCATTTGAAGCCGATCAGATGAAGCCTCCCGTTAAAGTTGGGTATTAACTTTTTTACAAGGTTTTAGACTCAGAAATTAAGATACAGGAATTGATGAAGGTGAAGATCTCACATCAGAATCTCGTACTCAACTTGTAAAGCCCAATCTCGCTCAACTCGATCGCGGCTCGTTCCTGAGTTTGCAGGATCTATGAACGAAGGACCTGTTGAGGAGGTTGGAGCGGTTGGTATTCCGCAAGGCTATCCTATTGCTACTTTGTCACTTTAATAGGACTGGGTACTTGGCTTCACATAACCTTGGTCTATTGAAGATAACCTATTTTATCTAAAGCTATTATGGATGCATGGAAACCAAGTGACAATATTATTTTAGGGAATGCACTGGGTCCGTTGAGCTTATGCACTTTGTTCTATCACGAAAAAGCTGGGTTATGTCGGCGGAAGGGCAGATGCAAAACAATAGTGGAGAAGCTTAGACCCTTGTATGTTGTTGAGTCCTCAAGACGACCAACGAATAAAGTTGTTTCAATATTAGTGCAGATTAACAGACAAGTTGTATAGTGCAAAAAGTATAACCACCGAGCACTACTATATTATATAGTATTTTGGTAGGTAACACGCTACCTACGTGTACTATTTGTAGTATTACTATAGTTCCAAATTTGACTTGAAAATTGTATTTACGTGCCAGTGGAACTGTTCCAAAATTGACACAATTCTTCATGACACAATTTGTGGAGACGATATGTGCGTCTTCGCATACTGTACTGGGTATGCAGCCCATTTTTTGCTCATGACACATTAATTTTTGTGTTATTTTTGGAAGAGTTCCAGTACTATACTACTATACCTGCGTCAGTGAATTCAGCAAACTGTCACAATCATTTTGTCAAATCTCTGTGAAAATCAGTGATTTATGGAAATTCCTCTCAGCAGACTGTCCCGTCATCCGGTCCCCACCGCAATTATTAAGTACGATTTCCGTGCATTCTCGCGCTGCTGGAACCTGATCACTTTTAATTATGTGAGGACCTTAAAACCTCGCACCACACGCACGAAGCCATGAAGATCACGATTGCGGCCGTACTTGCCTCGCTCCTAATCGCCGGGATCTCCGCTGACGTTTTCAACTGCCAGAACGCCCCCAACATTCAATGTAACGGGGGTCGTGACACTACACACCTACGAGAATCGGTGCTATTTCAACAAGGCCAACTGCGCCAAGAAGTGGGCAGTGCTGCACAACAGCGTCTGTCACAGGGACGAAGGTCGCGCCGCTTAACCGATATCAGCCTGAACGGGCCAGGTTGGGAGTTGTTGGCATTGAAGGCCTTTCGATTTTTGAAGGGCCGATATGGGGAGGTGTTACGTTGACACCAGTGTAGTACCGTGCGTTTGGGCAAGAGGTAAAACTTTGCAATTAAAAACTACTAGCATTACTACTGTAGTAATACTGCTGTAGTAGTACTGCTAGTACTGGTTGTGCTTAGTCTTTTGCTGGTCGTTCGTTTTACCTATCTTGTCTGATTGGAACAAGGTAGGCTAACTGCGAAGTTAATCAGTGAGATAGGTTAGCAGAAACTCGCATCCAAGACTAGAAAGGAGATGATTGCATTTTATTTTTTGTGTATTTTGGGCGTTGTTTAGGGCGAGGTCGACGTAGAAATAGCTGCTCTGGGGCAGAGGAAACTCGATCTGTGAGTGGTCAGCTCTCTTTTTATTCCGCCTTGCCAAAATGTACACATATGTTCCCAACGGGCCTCAATGAGATCCACTGGAGACTGAAGAGGAAATGTATGACTGTGACCACGATATATTACTACTGTATTCATTATTAATAGTAGTAAACGTACTAAGGTATTAGCATGCATTGTCTGCTATACCACTTAATCGTACAGGACATGTATAATCCATTTCTTGGAAGATTTACGACCACTTGCTCGTCGCATGCGGTTCTATAGGGTCACCACATGTATTATACAGTAGGCTTACCATCGCACATACATGTACGTGTTTGATTACATGGTAGTATGCTTTGTTTGACTCAACATATATTACATCTGTACTTTACGTCAGGAGTGGCGTCCTTGTTTAGCAGGAGCTGCAGCTCTTCCTACGACTTTGCTTTTTACTAGCAATACACAAAACTAAACTTCCGGGAGTTGGCTGACTCCACAAGACCTCAAGTTCCACGCCACACGCCTAAAGTCAAAAGCCATAAAGTTTGCCTTAGCGACCGTACTTGCCTCGTTCCTTGTCGATGGAATCTCTGCCGAAGGTATTCGCTGTATCGCTGTTGGCAACGTCAATTGCGAGAATCCAAACCTTCCAAAAGTATGCGGAAGCAACGGTGTCACCTACGAGAATATCTGCTACTTCAACCTGGCCAACTGCGACAACAAGGGGATGACAGTGCTGCACAACGGCATGTGCCGCAGGGACGAGGGCCGCCACCTAAGGGATGCCCAGGCTTAACCTTTTTGGTTGGACGCCGTCATCAATCTGGTGGATTTACACAGCCAAATGAAGGAACGACCTAGTCGATTCATGCGTAGCACAGGCAAGAGTAAATGTTGCGAGAAAAAATACAAGCTGGAGTACTACGTTAGTACTACCAGCACTTGCTGTCACCGCTTAAGTGTTTGACCTTTAATAAAAGTTAGTAAACAAGGTTCTCAGTACACACGTGTCAGCAGAGTTAGCACCATTAATGCATTGAAGGTGGAAGCGGTGTTGCTTTGATGCTCCTTAGGTTTGCTGCTGGCCATAGCGTACGAGTATTGCCAGTTCTAGAACTGGGAAACGTGGGTACAAAGGGCCCGCGATGTGTTCGCCGATACGAAATGTGGCATTACCTGAAAAGCCGAATGTGAGGGCGAAGTTAATCTGTCCAAATAATTTTGCATCCACGAGCAACCAATTGGAAGAAGCCACTTGTCCAAGACCGTCATCCTTTCCTGACGGTTTACTAGAATCAAGAAGCACTAACTGCGAAGAAAATGAATTCGAGTTATCAACTCCCAAAGTTTCTGCAAGAAAAAGGGCTCGATATGGATGAATACTGTATGGTGGCCATGGTCCAATCAACTGACTGTAAGCAATTATTGTCAAATCAGGAGGCCGATGGATGCTATTTTATCCAATCATCAAAGTTAGGGGTAGGTATTTGAGCTGCCGACACTCTTGCCGACGTATAATGTCGGCAGGCCTGTCGAAATATGCTATCCACCTATAGTGAGGCTAAGTAATAAGGCGATTGTACGAATATTTTGCATGCTGCCGAAACTTCACCTTGGTTTTGTATTGCTTGCGTCAGTTGATTGGACCATGGCCACCATACAGTGGTTAAGTAGAAAAATATATGTGTCGGCACCTTGACGATATTCATCCATATCGAGCCCTTTTATTTGCAGAAACTTTGGCCGTCCTCCGGCACAAGGGTAAATAACCCCCCATCAAAAATTGAGTCGCTACAAAAAAACATATGAAAAATGATATAAAAGTGAATCCTACACAAACAATAGTAGCAGAGCCTCACATTCCTAGCGGCACGGCGGGGCCCCGTGCGGAGTGCCACGCATAAGTGCTCGCCTTTTGTCTTGCATGTGAGTCCCTCAGGCAGTAAGTAGTATTTCCGTATACCCACGCGGACTTGACCAGTCCACAGCGCCAGCGTCTAAACACGCTGCAACATGATGATGGTTGGTGACGCGGAAGGCTGATTTTTCAATGCCCATGTGTCATCTCTAACATACAATTTGCGGAACAATCAATTCAATACAAAGTACGAGTATAATTTGATGGGGGGTTATTTACCTTTGTGCCCCGCCCTCCGCACACTTGGTGCCTTTGCTGCCCTCCGGGCCCTTAGTCAGCCCTTCGTCCTTCGTGTCATCGGCCTCCACGCCGTCCTTCGCGTCCTAGCCCCCGTTCTTCATGCTCTTGGTGCCCCCGCCCTGTGACTGCTGCCCAACTCGCTTCTGGCTCCGAGAGCACGCCCTCCCCTTGGTGGTGAGGAGAGAGGTCTTGTAGGGGGCAGGTTGCTGGAGCCGATGCGACGTGAGAACACTTGAAGTTTGTATGGTGTCCACACGGGTCGGTGCACAGGCTGCTCAGTCTGCACGCAAGTGGAGGCTGAGGGAAACGAGACTCTGAACGCCGGAATAGCTTCGGCAGAATGCCGAGGCAGGGACTTGGAAGTGGAGGAGGAGACCTGCGCTGCAGGCGGTAAATGTTGGAATGAATGCACTCCTCCTTCACTCCTTAACCCAGTGTATTAGCTGTTAGTTCTTGTGCTGGATGAGCCGCACGCTGGTGGCTCCTAGAGAACGATCACGGGCTTCAACCGTACCGCATCTAGCACGCGACCGTGCCGTACTTGGCACTCATATGCAAGCGCTGACAGCGCAGCGCAACATGCAACGCCAGCATGGCGTTGATCAGAATGTAGATAGCAGCTGCCGTGGCGATGCTCAGACTGCAGGCAGCAGCAATGACAGTAGCACGGGTGCTTCCGGCAACGGAATGCAACGCACCAGCCGTTGAGCACCTTCGCAGACTACCGTCATCTCACACTCCCACTCGCTCACAGCACGTGCACGGCCTACCCGGCGGCGTTGGTGTTGGCCATGCCGCGAATGTGAGAGCTGTGAACTCAAACGCACGCGCCGCTAGTTGCTAGTCGATGCAGCGTCACGGCTGCGGGACATCGCCGCAGCAAGGATGGGCAAGACCTTTATGTGATCTCGAAAGCGGCTGAACTTGTCCATGCTGAGTACCTTGACCATGATGTCTGCCGTATTGTCGTTTGTGGCAACATGCTTGGTCCGCAGCTCGCCATCGTCAACGAGGTGCCGCACGAGATGAAATTTGTTGGCAATGTGCTTGGTCCGTGAGTGTTTGCCCGGCTTACATGTGAGCTACAGAGCTGCTTGATTGTCGCCACGAAGCTGAGGGATGTTGCGACGCCAACCCAGTTCTTCACAGAGTCCAACCACCCACAGCACGTCACGGACGCCCTCGTTCATCGCGATGTACTCGGCTTCGGTGCTGGACTGGGCGTTGATGCCTTGCTTGCGCGAGCCGTACGAAATCGCGTTGCCATCGAGGTAAGTCACATAGCCGGACACTGACTTGGAGTCATCGGGGTCGTTAGCGTAGTCCGAGTCCGTGAAGACGGTAACACAGACTTCGTCCCTCGGGATCACGTCCATGTGCAGCGCATAGTCTTTCGTCTGCAACAGGTAGCGCAGCACGCGCTGAGCCTGAGCATAGTGCTCCGGGGTGAAGTCAGCCAGGAACTTGCCCAGGTGACGTACGGCATGAGCGATGTCGGGGCGCGATCCCGACACAAGGTATTGCAGTGCGCCGACGAGTTCACGGTACGGAAGGTAGGCGTCCTTAGCCAGCTGCTTCGCCACCGGTTTTGGTTCAGTGGTTGCTTGTGGGGTCCAGCACCCGTTTGCGCTCTCCATGTGAAACTCCTTGAGCTTTGCTTCGATGTACGCTCGCTGGCTGTACACGCTCTGGTTGTTGACGTTGTCCAGCGTGATCTCTACCCCCAACAGGAACTTCACCTCCCCCATACTGGTAAGAGTGAACTTGTCCTTGAGTTGAAGTACTGTGACGCGGTGTCGATCCCTAAATTCGGGTGAATGCACCTGAACCTGGGAAGTCCCAATGATGTGGTGCTAGGTGTCCTCGGTCAGCTCGTAAAGCACCGATGCTATAACAGGAAGATCCTCGATAAACTTGTTGTAGTAGTTGATGCTTCTCCGAAATGACTGCACGTCTTTGAGTGTCGACGGAAATGGCAAATCATTCACACCCTTCGCGATCTTGGGTTTCGCTCGCAAGCCTTCGGCGCTGATTTCATGCGACAGGTACGGAGTAGACAGCTTCCCGAACTCGCTCTTGGGCAGGTTCACGGAGATTCCCCAGTAACGTAGTCGGAAGAGCAACGCGTTCAGGTCCGAGCAGAGCTGGTCCCAGGTAGGCGCCCCATGGGCGATGTCGTCAATGTATGAGCTTCTACCCAGGGCTGGGCCCATTGAAACTGGGGCTGGAATGTTCCGGTGGAAAACCGTCATTGTATCTGTCAGAGCTGGGATCTCCATTCCAGAATCGGGGACCGCTCGCTCGTCTACCTTAATTCCCAGAAACTCAAGCACATCGGGATCGACCTTGGCTTCTTCCTCAGGCGACAGTCGTACAAAACCCCAAAGACAGTTGTTCAGCATCTACTGGTATATTAGGGGCGCATTTTTCAACCCGAAGGGCATGCGCAACCACTGGTAGTGTCCAAGATGACAGACAAAAGCAGAAATGAGCTTTGCCCTCAGGGTCATGGGCACCGCCCAGAAGCCACTCGCCATATCCAAGCTCATAAACCCATCGCAGCTTCAAATCCAATCAGCAAGTCATTTATCAACGGTAGCGGGTAGTAAGACAGCTTGATGAGCTGGTTCACCATCCGGTAGTCGATACAAAGTCTGATATCCCTGCCGTTCTTCTTCGAAATGATTACGATGGGTGAGGCCCACTCCGAATGCGAAGTCTCGATGAGTCCGGTCTCCAACAAATTTTTGATCAGCTCGTAGACTTGGTGGAGGAAGCGTGGAGCAATCGGACGAGCGCGCTGGGCAATGGATTTTGCGTCCCCAACATCCAGGTCGCAGACAACTCCTCTGGCAGGTGCGGGAACAGCATTGCCATCTCCTAGGAAGATCGAGTGATGATATTCCAAGATACCTCTCATCTCCTTGTTCATCTCAGGAGTGGTCTTGCCTTCGACACCCACATCAGCTTCATCCATGTTCACCTTCGGGCTGAGATCCTTCAAGTCTGGGAGTACAGCCAACTGGTCTCGTAACTGCGTCAACAGCTCGGTTCCTTCATGGAAGAAGACTTCTTCATCAGGATCCAAGTCAGCTGTGACCACCCGAAAACAAATCGCGTACGCCACCTCCAGCTGCTCCAGGGCATCCTCACAGATCTTGACTGGCTCTGCGCGAAACACGTCCTTCAATTCATGTCGAGCTTCGGCACTACTGGTACCTCCACCAGTCAGTCCGCGGTCGACATCACCAGAATCCCGATCAATGACGAGCTCCTTCGCAGGATCTAACTCATCTGCCTGCGAGGCTTCGGCTTCGTCCATGGGAGTGACTTCCGCGGCAGTTGGAATGCCCAGATCCAGAATCTTTACATCAGCAACAGCGCTCGAGTGACTGCGGGCCTCTTCCTCAGTCTGACCCGAAGAGCTCATGGCTCGGCCACTCGAGTTCCGAGATTTCTGTAGCTCAGCAGCCTTCCGGACTTCTTCAGGTGGACGTGGCAAAATCTTCGTCGGCCAAACATATTGAGGTCGCAGGACTGCGGGTGGGACATTCCGTTCGGCTTCAAGTGCTTCCAGCTCCTCCCGTCGCCGATACTCCCGCGAAGGGGTGTTCTGGTAAATCTCTTGTTGCCACTCTCCATACTTACGCGACTTCGGTTGAACAAAGCGGTCTCCTCGTGGCAGTTGCCCAGGCTCCACCAACGCTGCTACCACCGTGTGCTGCATGATTTGGGTCCACTTCTCTGAGATATTGACCACACGAACTGCGGCAGGCCGCCGTCTGGAGCTGTAGATCACTTGCGTCACCCACTGATTCCCTCGGGCAGTCCATACCTCAGCTGTGTCAGCGTCAGCTTGGCCATACCGCACCGGAACAATGATCGAATCACCACGAGCCAAATACACCGGCTCACGCACACAAATCGGAACTTCCAAGATGTATCGTGGAGCTTCCTTCTCTCCAACCAGAGGAATGTTTTCTTCATTCGGAAGCTTAGCCAACTGCTCACGCGCACACAGTCGTACTCCAGCAGCTTTCATGAAATCCATACCCAGCAGACAAGTGACTCCATCTCCAATGTTTCCAACCCACATGTCCAGTACATATACCACACGCATTCCCAGAGTTAACTTCACTCGAGTCCGCGATCGGATGTACGTGATCACTCCTCCCATACCTTTCACCTTGAGTCCGGCGTGCGACGTCAACTTAAGCTTCAACCTGCGTGCAAGGTCTGGGCTCAATATAGTTGTGCTGGCGCCGGAATCTAGAATGATGTGTGTCCGATAGTTGTTGATCGCCCCATGCACTAATGCCACTGCATCTTGATTATCCAAGTCGTGGTCTGCCCACCACCCGTAACGTTCTCCTGGGTTCAACGTGAATTCCACTGGGGCTTCATCTTCAAATGCAGAACCTCGGAAAACGTAGTTTCGAGAAACCGGGCGCGATTCCAACAGCGATTCATCTTCACATGCAATGGCAGTCATGCATTGTGGGTTACCGATCTGGTGCCTAAGTTCTGGACCGACAAACGCAAGAGCGCAATACGCTGGGGTCTTAGGCTCGACACGCACTGGGTCCCTACCCAGCGAGCCTAGTTGTTTAACGACGTCCCAGACTTAGCCGGCTGTTCTTTCAGCAGTTGCTTCAGAACTTCGGTCGGCAAGTCTTGCAGCGCTCCTTGTCGCGCCAATTCCGGGACTGCCTTCAAAGCAGCCCAATCGGCACAGAGCCCTTCACGGTGAATGTCTCCGCACTTGGAACATGGGCGACGCGAACACTTATATGTCGGGTGTCCAGCTTCATGGCATCGGTCACAGATCAGATCCCGCCAACAATTCTGTCGTGTCCAAAACTGCGGCAATTTTCACAGAAGGGAGTTCTTTGGGAGTTGTCTCGGTATGGAGATGGTGGTCGCGCTTGTGGAATTGGAGGGCGCCAACCCATCTGCTCAGCAGCACGGAACACCTCCTCGGTCGTCGGGGGTCATGGTACTTGAACGATAGTCTTAGAAGCTTGGGCTACGTTGATCTTCTCAGAATTCACCGTACGCCCCATGGACTGGACGGGGGCGGAGTTCCCGGGAGATAACGTGGTTCTGGTTTCTCTTCGGAGCCCGAGGGCGGGGAAGCCTTGTCTTCTGACTCCGAGTCCAGGTTCTCGACCAAGTACGCACGTTCACCTTGAGTTCGACGCGGAGGAGGGAATCGATTAAACCTCACACCACTAGGCTTCGCATCGCGGGTCTTTGGAGGTGGAGGCGTCTCATATCCATCATCACGCTGCACCGCTTCGATACGCTTGAGAGTTTTCTCGAGCTCCTTCATCGACTTGAACGTTTGTCCCTGAAGTGTGATCTTCAGACGACGATCCGCCAGCTTCTTGATGAAGCGACGGATGTGGAGTTCCCGGTCACTCGGAGAGTCTTCGTACTCGACGTCGGCCTTCTTGGCTGCAGCGTTGAGTCGATACAGGAACGATCGCGCAGACTCGCCATTCTCCGGTCCCAACTCATAATAGCGGTCGTTCGGGGACGCCTCGGTGCGGCAGTACTCCTTGCGAAACAGCTTCGACAAGCGCGACCAGTCCTTCTGGTCCTTCTCGGGTAGTTGGCGGAACCATGCACGTAGCGGGGCAGGTAGTCGACCCAGGAGCTGACGCAACTTCATCTTCTCCGGCCAGACTCCCAACGCAGCAGCGTAGATAAACCGCTCCCACCAGTTCATGCGGTCTTCGAACTTGGCGTGGGGATCAAACATCTCCACCGCCCCATACTGGATATACGGGCGGAACGTGTACGATTGGCCGTTACCGGCTGGTACTGTTGCAGGGGCGAGTTCCTCAGCAAGGCCGCGCTCCCAGTCGGAGTCGGAGCCCGAGCTGGACTCGCTGCTAGACAAGCTACCGCTTGAACTTGAATCTGACGATGAGGGATCGCCACCTGGTCGCTTACCGCGACGGATCTTCTTTCCACGCTTGTGTTTCTGGGAAGACTTTTTATTAGCCGACTTCCCAGAATATCTGGGGACATGGCCACTCCCACTCGCAGAGTCCCGAGTGACACCTTTCGCTGAGCTCTTGGTCTCTTCCGAGTTTTCTTCCTTGACTGCAGCGACACTGGACCGAGTCTGTGTCGCAGCCTTCGGCTGCCTTCCACGCTTGGTCTCACTTGACCCCGTCCTGCCTGTCACACGTGTCTTCACGTGTCCCAGTCGGCTTCGTCTCGCCTGGTCCCATCTCGCGTTTGACAACTTGACTTGGAGCTTGTATGGTCGCTTGAAGCTGCGCTGCTGCCAGCGAATCCGCGGCCACTTGCTGTTGCCGATATAAGTGGGCGACCGTCCCGCAAATTTGTCGCAGGAAGTGCGACTCGTCGTGGTGGCTTTTCCACTAGATTCAGGTACACTAGTCGATTGTTGACGTAGGCGAGCATCATTCTCACGTTGAACCTTCTGGGCCAGGGCGCACTTCTGCAGATACGCGGACGTGACATTGCGCAACTGGTCCTCGAACGCGGCCAAATGGGCATTCGCGCTCTGCGCGATGCCCTCACTCTCTGCCTTCACTTCCTCGGCTGCCGCCAACACAGCAGCGGTGGCGGTGTCCAGGGCCACACTCGGCAATGGCGCTTCGGGGGGAATAAGTGTGCCGCGCCCCATCTCGGGTGCAGGCACTGACGATGGTACTAGGGACTGCTATACCTTCACCGCGGCAGCAACCCAAGCTTCAGCAACTTCGGCGTCGCGACCGCGGGACTCACGTTCTGCGGCAAGGGCTTCTTCGCCCCGTTGAAGACGCTCCATGAGGGAAGCGGTCTGCTGCTGGTTGTCTAGGCGAATGCCACGCAACTCGGCAGCCATGTCGGCGCGTACTTGGTTGAGGGCGGCCTCCTGCTGCCTCATCATGACCAGGGCGACCTCGGACGCGCCGGAACGTGACGACCTCGAGGACGACACATGAGAGGAGATTCCTGACATCGAAGACTTGGACGACGCAGATTTCGCGGCGGACTTCCGGGATCGCGATGACTTCCCAGAATGCACGGACTTCTGTGGTTTCTTCTTAGACTCCGGGTCCGCGACCTTTGTCGAAGTGGCTTGAGTCCGTGGCATAGCACTTGATGTGGAGACGCCACGGTTCATGCCGGCTGCGGGTGTGGTGGAAGACACGAAGCTTGGAGGGGCAACCACGTTGGATGCAACCCGGGAGCAGGTTGCGTCGAGTGTTCTGGCTGGAGACTTGCGCTGCTCTCTGATGACTCGGGCAGCGGTACATGCGCAGGCGACTCCTGAAGGGGTTGCAGCGAAGGCGAAGGGCGTGCTGAAACCGGCACTGGATACGACACAGCACCTGCCGAGACACCGAAACCCGGGTCGGCAGCTGCCGCAGCCGCGCTCTCCTGCGCAATCATTACCATCGCCATCGGGCTTGGTCCAGGCGTATGACTCAAGGCACTGCCAACCATGTAGTCCGCGGCGGACAAGAACGTCATCCTGAGGAGCTGTGCCCCGACTGGTCTGTTCCTTCAGCGGCCGCGTTCATCGACTCGTCGGAAGCACCACTTGGCCCGACCAGACTAGGAACTGAGTCCACACTCGCCATCAGCTCAAGACTTGGAGCTCTAGGGACTAGGCTCTGAGTCCGAGGCTCGACGTTCTGGGATACCGATGGTTGGGGCACCAGACTCTGGGACGACGATTTCGGAGGCATCAGGGAACTGGGCGGAGATCGCTCAGCTTCTAAGGCCGCACGCTTGGGCGCTGGTTGTCCAGACGCGCTTGAAGCAGGACTTCTTCTTCTGGTCCGCGTGATCATCAAGCGGTGCAACAATTCTTCACCAAGCAGTTCCACAGCGTCGTCCGTCATTAGGACGTCTCCATCGGCATCAGTCGGGGAACTTGTACTTCGCTCGGATAGTTGCACAGCTGGGAGAGGTTCCAGCGGCTGTCGGATGTGAAACCCTACGCCATCCATCAGCTTGTTCCACTCAAGACTCTCAACTGCGAGTCTGAGTTGAACTTCTTCAACACCTCGGCGGATCAGATTCTCAGACACCTCGGACACCGCACGGACTTCACTCCACGTAGGAATCACATTGCGAAACTCGAAGCCGGCCTCCATCAACATGGTCTGGAGCACAGCGACGCATGCAGCAGCCGGAAGCAACTTGGGCGATACGGTGACGGCCTTCATATCCGAGACCAGCGGTTGCCGTCTGCGTTTGGCAGACAACGCCTTGATCCAAGACTCGGAAGTCCGACCAGCGTTCACAAGACCCAAGTATTTCCCAGTCTCGAATGCGGCGAAGACCCAAGCTTCCATGTCGTACTCTTCTTCTCCCTCGTCGTAGACCACGTCGACTGGAGAGATGACTTCTCCTGGAAGAGAGCTCCAGCGGCTCAGTTGTTCGGCTCCATACGCTCGGCTTCGTCGTCAGCAAGACAGTTTACGTCGGATCCTGGGATTTCACTCGTGCCCCGTGGAATCAGCGGAAGCGGATCTTGGAACGTTGAGTGCAGCGTGGTTGGCAGTTCAGGTCCGAAGACACGAGTGCCAGGAGCAGGCCCAAGACGTAGTGGTGCACCGGAATCCGGGACCCTCGTCTCGCGCCACTCTCGCAGCGCCACATGATCACGTTTTCCAAGAGCGCTTGCAGCCGCAGGGCTCAGCGCCAACTCCGTCGGCAGACGTGCTGCATGAGCGTCGGAACCACGGTCTAGGGGCCGTCCAGGGCTGGACTGCACAGAACGGGGAACCATCACTTGAGAAGCTCGTCTTGGCGTCGAATGGGTCGATGTCGGGCGCGCTGGTTCGGCTAGCGCCAGTTGTTGTTCAGTCTCCGTCGGCATCGCAGGATCTTGTCCGGGCCCCGGAGGCGGGACAGGGAGTTGCAGCGGTCTTGACACCTTGACCGCGTCCACGACCTCGTCCGCGTCCTCCAGGACTCGAAGCAGGCACAATCGCGTTAGCGTTAGTAGGCATAACCCTCAATGCACGTTCAACTTCCAACCCCTGATCCGGGCACGCGCACCAGCTGTGACGAGGCGATGCGGTGTTTTCTCCCAGAAAGCAGTTATAGGCCCTCCTTGACAGACCTCAGGCTACTAGAGCTTTGGATCCGTCTCGGCTGGCACAGGGTGTGTGTTGTCCAGTACACGCTGTTGGTCAGGCGCACGATGTGTATCCCTTGGGTAGCGGTTCTTTTCACCAGGAGGTTAGTATCGACCCCGTGAATCAGACAGCTACGCCGGGCTAACGCTAGAACAATCCAACCCAAATAGAGTTATACGCGTTATACAATCACACAAATACTTCAATGCCCTCTCTTCTTTCTCTAGGCCCAAGGCTAAGGCCAAAATACAAGTCAACTGGTCCAAATCCAAGACACTTGATCAATCTTGGGGACGCGCACCACCTCTCGGAGAGAGGAAACGATCTACCCTGTCGCCAATTTCTTCAGTTCGACACAGGCCCAATAGACCGCGAATATACAACAAAGACGGTCTGCAATCCGCCCAAATATACAGACATGGAATAGATATGATCACTTCCAGGCCGAAGCAGTGGATCACTTACCTAAAGTACTTTGAATTTTGTCGTGGAGAATGGCCTTCCAGGCTGTGAAAGAAGCACTTGTGCCCTTCGAAGCAAAACGAACTCTGTTTGGTTAAAGGTCACATGCAGACGAAATCTTTCCTAAGCGACCCTTCGGAGACTGCGATCTTTCTGCGGAGTGTTGGTCTGGCCTTGAAGGGTCGCCAAACTGGATACCTTCTCGGAGTTGTTGGGTACACCTAGGATCTTGGAAGATACCATAGTGAAACCAAGTGTTCTTGGGTTTGGAGCCTCGGAACGCCTCAAGCCGAGGTCGTTCTTGGAATTTTGTGGGAGGTAAGTCTGGGAACGCGAAGTCTGGGAATCGTTATTCCGGGAAAACAACGGGGAATCTGATAAGTGCCTCAGCTCCCAGGTTGTAAGCCTGAGTCGAGTTCCGCCGTACTTAGATATACTGGGGAGGATCGCTCGCATTCCGTTGCACTTCATGGAACGGGATCAACTCGCCCACATTGATTTATCTTCCGGGATTCAGCGTCCATTCGCAGACATTACCCTTGTTTTTATAGGAGACTGCTGGTTGGGCCAAGAATATGACGGTGTGATTTTTCCTGTTCGGTACACTGGCAAAACCCTCAATGAGTCTGAGATTAAGTATCATCCGGCTGAGAAAGAGGTGGTGGCGTTGTTGCGCGTCCTGCGAGTGTTTCATTGTATGCTTGCTGGGAGTCACATCAAGGTCTACACTCGTTACTCAGTCCTGCGGTGGATTTTCACTTCGTCATCATTGTAGGGACGTTGTCAACGGTGGGCCACCCTGCTCTCGCCTTGGGATCTAGAAATTCACCGGATTGAGAGGGACGAAGATGGCCTGGCAGCCATCATGGGCGCTGGTATTACGCCTCGTGAACATCTCGATAAAGTGGCAGAATACCTGATTCCGAGGAAAGGACGAGTGACACCTGCCCCACCGATTAGTCTGGAGATGTTGGACGAGGATTTCTCAGGTTACCTGCTCAGTTTTGATGGCGCTGCGAAGACGTCTACCAGGCAAGGTAGCTGTGGTTGTATCTTGTGGAAGCTCCCAGAGTGGACTGTGGTCAGCGCGCGAGGTTACTTCTTGGAAGATGTGACGGTCAATGTTGCAGAGTATCATGGCTTGATCAAAGGAGCGACACTGGCTATGGAGAATGGTGGCTACGACTTGGTTGTCGTCGGTGACCCCCGAATCGCTATTCAACAGGCCCAAGGGTTGATCAACTGTCATCAACCGAATCTTCAGCACCTGTTAAGTGAGCTCGATTCGGTTCGTCAGAAGTTCCAGTCTGTGAAGTTGATTCATGTGAAGCGGGAATTCAACCAGGCTGCGGACTATCTCACGAGTCGGACTCTAGCCGCTGGAGAATCACTGGTTATCGATGATCCCCTTGAGCTGTCGCATTTGCGTTTGGTGAATCGCATCCCTGAGAAGCTGGTGAAACAGTCTGAATCTGGAGTTGTCGATCCATTGGTCGAAGGCACTGCTGAGCGTCGAGTACTGAGAGCAGTCGTAGATGAGTTCCCAGATTATGACAACGCACCACTTTCTCTTGGCGCGCGCGTGCTAGCCGCTCTGACCCGGATCCAAGTCCAAGCGGAAGTTCGTGATGCAGAGGAGACGGAGTCTGATACCCCAGGCATGACACCTTTGGAGTTCCCAGCAGAGCGCTGGCGCTGCATTAAGGCTCACCAAGATGGCGACCCATGGATGCGATAGTTGAAAGCTTTCCTGCGAGATGATCTCTCTGAACTCTCTGAACTGGAAGCACAGAGGATGGCGAAGATTACTGACAATTATGTCTTGGATTCCCGAGACGTTCTTTACTATCTGAGCCGATCGACTGCTTCTAGGCCAAGAGATGCACGAGATGAACCTCGATTAGTGGTTCCTCACGATCTGCGCCAGGATTTGCTGCATCACTGTCACGAAGAGCTTCAAGGCGGTCACCAAGGAATTACGCGGACGCACGAACGCCTGCGTCGAGAGTTCTTTTGGCCAGGCCTCTACGCTGATGTTGAACGTTTTGTCAAGGAGTGTGTGGACTGCGCCTCTGGAAAGGGGAAGCCGCCTAATCCCGGGCCGTCGCCTGGGAACATTGAGCCCAACGCTCCGTTCGAAGTGCTGTCGATGGACTTTGTCACGCACCTCCCGAAATCTGAACGAGGGAATACGTTTCTCTTGCTTTTTCACGATATATTCTCGGGTTTCATGATGTGTGAGCCCATCAGTTCGACGACAGCACAAGACGTAGCTGAACCTTATGAAGAGGCTGTCTTCCGGCGCTTCGGTGCGAGCTCCATGCTCAGGCACGACCAAGACCCCAGATTTATGAGCGAAGTTTTCAGTCGATTCAGGGAAATGCTGGGCACCAAACAGCGATCGACGTTGGCGTATCACCCTCAAGCCGATGGGCAACAAGAAAGATCGGTGCAGACTATGGTGAGGAGCATCCGGGCCTATGTAGCGGAGGCAGATCAGTTCGACTGGGATGATCATGCGGAGAAGTTGGTGTTCGCCTTAAACACCTCCTTCGATTCGACCCGGCTCGAAACGCCCTTTTATCTTGTCCATGGCTGGGATGCGAAGAGCACTGTGTCGGCTATGCTAGGTCCACCACCCACGGGGCTGGAACAGAAGTCGGCTTACGAGTGGAGACGCAAGCTGCAACGCGATTATAGTTTCGCCCATGCTTGGGCTCGAGACTTACAGAAGTAAGCTAAACGGCTGCGCTCAGAAGCACAGACTCAGAGATGGCAGGAGCTCTCGGAAAGACTCAAAGCTGGATTCCAAGTTGGTGACTCTGTCTGGCTGTATCTGGCCCGTGTGCAACCCGGGTTGACCAAGAAATTCGCGCATATGTGGCATGGTCCCTTTCGAATTGAAGAAGTCCGCGATGGTTTCCGCGTACGACTAAAGATCGAAGGCACCGGCTATCGAATAGGTCCCTGGGTACACATCAGCAGGTTGAAGCCGAGGGCGCTCTTCCCAGAACGCCCAACGGTGGAGATCGAAGTGGCCGAAGAAGATGACTTCGACGCAGCATTATTATCAGAAGATAGCTGGGATCCTAAAGAGCAATCCGGTGTGTACGAGGTGGAGATTATCAAAGACGTCCGCTGGACGAAGATGACCAGAACCGCGCGAAGAGTTCGTGAATATCTTGTGAAATGGAAAGGATACTCAGATTTGGAATGGCTCCCGGCGACGAAGCTAAGTTGTGGTAACCTGCTCTACGAGTTCAACAAGGGCGCTAAGGCGCGGGCCCAATTTTGCGCGATGCAAGCAGGTGGTGATTCCGACGCTGTGGGGGACTCCCAGTAGTTCTGGGATTCAGGCGCTGGATGTGATTATATGTGCACGAGTCTGACGCTATGACGACTTGACCCGACAACAAAAAAATGGATTGGTTCCAGAATGATGAATGACTTTTGAAGTGATGATTTGGCGACTGGAGATGAAGCGTGACCAACGGGAGTGTAGCGTGAAGTCCAACTCGACAGTGACACGCGAAGATTGCCGCAGGTGGTGACCGCTGCAACGACCGTCGAACTTGCATTGTATACGCTGCTTCCTTGCACGTGCTGGTACATGGAGCTAGGGCGAGTTGTCATGCGAGCTGCGCGGGGCTGCTAGCGCTCGGACGCCTCCCTTTCGAAGGCGCGCGTGCGTGGCTCCGTTCCTGCTGCGCAAGGCCGCTTTGCTGGTGATGATCGGGTTGCTTCGACCCGCGTGTCGTCTGAGTGCCTCGCGGCCCAAACTAGAGTTCGGATGTTGGACCGTTCGACCCATCTCGACTCTCCAGTTGCCTCCGTGGCTCGAATTGGCCAATGGGGCGGTTGTGACGCGGTGTCGATCCCTAAATTCGGGTGAATGCACCTGAACCTGGGAAGTCCCAACGATGTGGAGCTTGGTGATACTGGATGATTTGGAGTCTCCTATAAAAACAAGGGTAATGTCTGCGAATGGACGCTGAATCCCGGAAGATAAATCAATGTGGGCGAGTTGATCCCGTTCCATGAAGTGCAACGGAATGCGAGCGATCCTCCCCAGTATATCTAAGTACGGCGGAACTCGACTCAGGCTTACAACCTGGGAGCTGAGGCACTTATCAGATTCCCCGTTGTTTTCCCGGAATAACGATTCCCAGACTTCGCGTTCCCAGACTTACCTCCCACAAAATTCCAAGAACGACCTCGGCTTGAGGCGTTCCGAGGCTCCAAACCCAAGAACACTTGGTTTCACTATGGTATCTTCCAAGATCCTAGGTGTACCCAACAACTCCGAGAAGGTATCCAGTTTGGCGACCCTTCAAGGCCAGACCAACACTCCGCAGAAAGATCGCAGTCTCCGAAGGGTCGCTTAGGAAAGATTTCGTCTGCATGTGACCTTTAACCAAACAGAGTTCGTTTTGCTTCGAAGGGCACAAGTGCTTCTTTCACAGCCTGGAAGGCCATTCTCCACGACAAAATTCAAAGTACTTTAGGTAAGTGATCCACTGCTTCGGCCTGGAAGTGATCATATCTATTCCATGTCTGTATATTTGGGCGGATTGCAGACCGTCTTTGTTGTATATTCGCGGTCTATTGGGCCTGTGTCGAACTGAAGAAGTTGGCGACAGGGTAGATCGTTTCCTCTCTCCGAGAGGTGGTGCGCGTCCCCAAGATTGATCAAGTGTCTTGGATTTGGACCAGTTGACTTGTATTTTGGCCTTAGCCTTGGGCCTAGAGAAAGAAGAGAGGGCATTGAAGTATTTGTGTGATTGTATAACGCGTATAACTCTATTTGGGTTGGATTGTTCTAGCGTTAGCCCGGCGTAGCTGTCTGATTCACGGGGTCGATACTAACCTTCTGGTGAAAAGAACTGCTACCCAAGGGATACACATCGTGCGCCTGACCAACAGCGTGTACTGGACAACACACACCCTGTGTCAGCCGAGACGGATCCAAAGCTCTAGTAGCCTGAGGTCTGTCAAGGAGGGCCTATAACTGCTTTCTGGGAGAAAACACCGCATCGCCTCGTCACAGTACTACTTGCTCGTAGAGAACCGCGGGTCCCATCAATAGTAAGTCGTCGACGTAGACGGTGAGGAGCATGGTGACCTCACCGCCCTCGTGCATGGCATACAAGCCGTAGTCGCTGTCGAGGCGTGTGAATCCGATCTTCTGCAGGAAGTCGTGTAGAGTCTGATTCCAGACTGCTGGAGCTTGCTTCAATCCGTAG